AAAGTGGAAGAACTTTATCCTACTAGCAAAAACAAACCGAAATGAAAATTTAATCAGATACACCAGACATGACTAGACAACTCAGTCAAACAGACGGCTCTGGTTCCCCAGAATCTTCCACACAGACATGCTGACTCGCAGCTTGACTCGGACAGAAAACTCCGACTGAAGCAAACCACCCTAAACTCTTTCCTCCCGCAAAAAAAACCCCAAAAAAATCTTGATCATGACATCAATGAAGGCGAAAAAGATGACGATACCCCTAGTCTTCCGACGATCCCGTCCTCAACATCATTGGTAACGCAGCATTTCCTCAGCCAGCCAGCGTGCGCGGAAATTACGTTGTGCGGCCGCAATGACGACATCTGTGACCAGGATTTTGATCACCCGGTAGCCGTTCTTCTCCGCGTCTCGCGCCTGCGATACACCCCACTCTTAATGCCGAGTCCGCAGTCTGCCGACGAACCCAAAGCAAGCAGATGGTTCACCATGGGATTTCAACATTGCCATCCGAAGTCGTCATCCACCTGCAGCCAAGACTACCTACCCATCAACCTTAAAACGGGAGTTGACGTTGGCGCCACAGAGTCAGGGTGCGAACTGGTCTTAGGACACATTACAACGCCACCCTCGGCCCAGTATCGCGGCGGCGAGTCATGGTGGTCATCGGGATCGGGCAGAAGAGCGCACGCACGGGGTTTGGTCGCCAGACACGCGCCAGCCGAAAGAGCACCACCCAGTTCGAAACCTGTTGCAGTCCGGGAATAACGTGACCCTATCCGCCATGGAACAGCATCCGTCGAATTCCAAATACCCGTATGTTATTGGATATACTACGTGTCTATCTCCCCACCAGGTCTCACTTGCCATGCATGCGCAACGGGCGGGATGCGACGATCCTCACGATGATGCTGCTGCTGCATGGGGTTATGTACAGAATGGTGTATACTGTCACAGCCGAGGGGGGTGGTTAGTCGGGAGAAGAGCGGGCTATGGAGATATCATGTGTGGGGAAGCCCTATGGATAGTGTACACATTGTATACCTCTCCAGGCATGCTGACTGTTAGCGGATGAAATACCCCATGTAAACAGACTGATCAACACATACAAATTGTGGGACACGGCAGCTATTGGTTTACTTGCACAAGGGTGTCATTGCCCTTAACAGCACTGAAAACGGTGGAATCCCTAGTACTATGGGGGTTGTAGTGCGCTAACAATCTGTAATGCGTGAAGAGGTGTAGCGTAGTGGCTTGTTACAGGCTACAGATGGCTGACAAAGTAAACACTAGAGGTTCGCTTTGACGATACCGGACAATGCTTCACTGTCTTTCTTTTTGGTGCTAGCGGTGATCCGTCGCAGGCAATTTAGTGGTTGACACTTTATGAAAGGTCTGGACTTTGCGTCGACACAAACTATGGAGTACGTTGTGCGAAAGGAGCATATTTACAACAGAAAAGAGGCCGATGTTTCGTCACGGGGCTTAGGGAGTCATTCTTGCATGTGTCATGAGCTAGGGGCTGTGAACTCGTGGATGCAACGTACCTCGTGCATAAACAGGGGTCCAACGAAACGCACCCCGCTTTGATCGCGTTCTCGTGTACCTTTCATGTGGGATGTCGACTCGCGGTTTTCTCGTGATGATGCACGAGTGAGTGGAATGTCCATCAATGGCAATTCAAGATGGAGGCGGTTCGGCCGGTCTATCGGGGAATAGTTCAGACGGTGGTGGCAGCTACATGCGTCGTGCTTGTCTGTATTCATGGAAACGTGAGACAATAGGAGACAAAGTTATTGCGGTGAGACGAAATGACACGGGTCCATCACGAGTTGTAATCGGAGCTGCCAATTTGATAGTCGTATTGCGGAACTGAGCCTCAGTGAGCGTGACCGGATCAGGCAAGAAGACCGACCACCTTGCTTTCAACATCTGGCCAATAGGTTTTGTCGGAGGGATTTGGATGGTGGTGGTGCGACCCTTTGCGGGCCTGATGGGTAGATAGCCTTGCGACGAGTTGGAGAGGAGAAGGGGAAAGATAAGCTGTCAGGTCGTACAGGAAATAGATCGCGAAGTGCATGTGGCGCAAGGGATCTGGCTTCCGAGTTGAGGCAGGCCGCCCAAAGGATCCGGATTCAGTAGCTCTAGGGCTGACACTTGGAGGTGAGATTGTCGGTGAAGGTAACAAACAAGTGCCACGAGCTTTCTTCAGCACCGCCATCATCGACGTCACGAAGAAGATGCCCGTCCCGTAAAAGCCTGGCCGCCCGGCCCAAGCAAGCGAAGTGATCAGATGAAGCCGGATCTGGCGGACAGACAACGCGGCCGCTGGTTGTCGGTCTAGTTTGGGATCAACAGATGAGAATCTGGGGAAGGCCAAACAAGCTCAGCGGGTTCGGGCTGGCTGAAAGCATCAATAACAACAATCCAGATTGCGTGGTACGCGTGATACGCGGGATAGTTTGACCAGATAGGTGTGACCCTCATGCCCAATGGCACCAACAACCAACAAAGTTTCAGTTGTCCGCCACGATGCACCAAAGCGGCATTTTGACAATGCAGATCGCGACCATCGGGGAGGCTTTTGGTGTGTTTCCACCACCAAGTTGCACACCATCTCGGCCGCTTCAGCAGAGGCCAGGCAGACAGACCAGCTGTCTGGTTTTCCCCCTACAATAGAACCAGGCAGGCGCTGAAAAGCGATGCGACACCGGAGTCCAATATTTGAAATGTCGGGTTTGCGTATACAAGTAGCCCACGTTACACCCCCACGACTGCGTGACGGACGGCTCTGGATTTCATATTGCTCGAACTGTGACCTGAACAGATCATCGGAGAGAGGCGATGGGTTTTGAAATCAACGTCCACTGTCACCGATGCAACTTCGTCATATGTCACATTGTTCGTCACTGTGGTTCCTACACTTTCGACACTTCAGCCTTGTGTGGTCGCGAACTATCTGCAAATTAGGTCATTTCATCACACCCGCAGGAGTCGCAAAACGCCTAGTAACCCGCATCTGGTCGCGTTGCAGCAAATCGGCGGGCAGTGAACAAGGGCGTTAGTTAGGCACGAAGGGAACAAACGAGGCACAACACAAATAACGAGTGACACCTCGAACACGGTCCAATTGAAGGAATCCAAGCTGCAGACTGTCAAAGTAACCAGGTCGCGACGCCGCCCCTTTTCATCAAACGCGTCGGTTTCTGCTATAATCGTCCACTAACTGGTAACAACGCCGCACCGCCCTTTGGGGATATGTGGGAATACTTGAGACGAAGACTCTGCCAAGCGACGCCGATCTCAGGACCGAAACGGCCATCGAACCTGAGATTTCCGACCAGGTGTTCGGGCGTCGACATATTTTGGAGCCTTCGGAGCCCCGTTTGCTGGATACCGCCTGGCCGCCGCCAAGGAGCCCCGCCGGCAGCAATTCAGGAAAAGGTGGACATTTGGAACTCCTTTCATTACTTCGTAGTACTTCCACTTGAACTACTGCTTGAGGTGCAGGCAGACCTAAGACCGTCTTTGGCCTTACTATAACTTGCGAGTCAAGCAATCTGTGTCCGCATCGTCATTGTTCTGCGTCTTGAGTCGGGAATGATTGTGTTTCAAACCCTAAAGGGACCTGCTGCCCGACGTAAACAAGGAGGCGCCGAAGTGCAATTGTTATCATCGCTGTCATCGTCGGCCGTACCTGCACTGAAGCAAGTACCCCGTACCTGAACGCCGCCTGCAAACTCAACTCAACCGCCCCACGACGACATTGCTTACACCTAAACCAAGCCCTGTCCGCCCATCGGGAGGCGAATTAGTATTCCTGAAGTTGACCGACTCACCCACTTTGCCCCTATTCAATGACATCGGGATAGCTTCACGCGCATATGTACGACCGTCCCCTTCGTCGTTTGATTGCAGATCATTTCCTTTCCTATGCAACATTCAAGTTTTGCTGAAGACTGTCAACGAAATACATAAGTAAAGATCCCCCAAACTCCCCACGGTCTGCGGATGCATTTCCCCGTATTGTCACTCTGAATCTTCTGAACCCTTTCGAATCTAGACCTTCCGCATTTTGGGGCTTCTATCCTCTCCCGTTTCGCCAAATTCGGCTCGTTCCTTCCACTGACATTAGTCTGGACATATATCTTAACTCGTAACGACGACGCGTTTGCAACCAAACACCAAACACCTCCCAACTCTATTTCCCCGAATTTCGGTGAAGCTACCGAGACCCAGGTGCATCCATCTAATTCAGGACCTCCTCAGCGACCCCGCCGTAAGCGCACCAGCTGAGACAAGCCCCGACAAGCCCACCCTCCTTTACAATATCCGGGCCACACCCTTCCACATTTTCTGACTCTGGGGTTCCTTGTTGTTCCGGCAGTCACCGCATTAGAATTTCCAGCCCCCGTCTTTATTTACCAAGGCCGGAAACCCGTATTATTAGACCCGCTCGCGTTCTCTTCTCGCGACCCGCGCCAGCCTGCCTTCACCTATACATACATCTTCATCCTCCAACCTGCGATTTCCATACTACCCCACGATCCGGGTTCTTAGCACCTGGGCCGCCTTCGGAACTTTACACTACTCCGCAGGAAGAAGCATGATCACGACATCCGGCCGCAGCCACACGACTCGCGACATCTATTAAAGAGTTTCGAGGTTCCACGAGTTTCTTCAAACTGCTATACCCACCACGTCGCTGTCGCCGCGTGTCACTTGCACAACACCGCTCACAAAAAGACACCGACACAGTCACGTCACCGAAAGTCAACCTGCATAGTACTGGCTGCATGCTCATGTCGCGACGTAACCCATCGGCGACCGAGGACAACAGAAAAGAACGAAGCAGGACAACATCCCAGCAGGGCCACCATCACCGCCACTTGAGTTCCACATCGTCACCGCACCTCACCATCTCTACGAAACGGTCAAACGGACATTCGCACACCCATTCGCACACCCATTCGCACACCTTAACCCCTTCGCCCCTCAAAATGGTTACCACTACGACGAATACCCACCACGCGCACCATGACGCATCATCCTACTACTATCAGTCCGAGAGGACGACCCCCGAAACCGAAGCGCAGGGCTTCGAATGGATGGTCCCGACCGTCATCGACGATGACGATTTGATGTTTGGCGGCAAGAGCTTAAGCGCATGGTACGAGGAGGACCGGAGGAGCGTCAGCACCCCCGAGGAAGAACGACGTGGTCGTCAACGGGTAAGTTGAAACGTAACCTATGCGAGTGTGCCAGGCCACAGCAGACCTAGAAACTAACAATGTCTGATAGGTGCGACAACATCACTCGCATTCTCGCCATCCCAAGTCCAAGGCGACGGGCAACGGCGAGCAGAAGAAGCATTAGACGACAAACATGGTCGTCGAGCAGCATCATCCACTTTTTCCAAGATACCCAACAACTTTCCAACGAGCAGGCTTCGACCCGTAAGTGTTGTGAGCTCGGTCATCGTCAACGTCATCAGGCTGCTTCAACCATCATCGCATTAGATATGGCGTTGCTATTGCATCTGCGACAGTCACGTTATGGCATACGAAATACGACTTGTCGCCAGCATGGACTGGATTTGATTTCCCTTCCAAGCATTTTTAGACTTATTATCATCCATTTGGACGAGACTGCGTCGTCATCATCATCATCACAAGCCCTCATTTGGGGTTTCGGCTGGTTACAACACATTTAGAAGGAAAGGTCGCAAGTACGTACCCGTGAAACAGATCGCGGGCAGTCGCCTTGTCCACTCCCCTCTCCTTTGTCGGGGACTAGGAATGGAAGCATTTGGAATTTGTTATGATACCTTGGGGCTAGCTATACCGAGGCATACCCCTGCGCATGGAGCTTTGTTTGTTTGGATTCATTGTTGATACGATTTGATGGGTTTTATGGATGGAATCGGTCGCTCGAATAATGCAGTAATGCGACTCGAGTGCAGGTAAGGCCACTGGCGATGGCCTACGTCGGGCTGAAGAGAGAGCCTTGACGCTCAGATATCCACCCACACTGTTGTGTTTCATCAACTGCGTGCCGGACGGCTTGCAAGGTGTGAGGAGGTTCTGGGATAGCATTTATACCGCTAATATACCTGCACGTTACATGTTACCTACGTTTTTGGTCCAGTGTAATGTATTGATTGATGACTCCCGCGCAACATGGTACGTCGTAGTCTGACACATGGAGCCTTTAAGTCCTTCCAGACTAATCCATTCCTGGAGTGCGTATAGCTTATTCATCGCAAATCCGCCATGAAGGACAGGCTGAGTTGACGTCTTTTCGGATCGATCTCAGCATCCACAACCCGCAATCCACAACCCTAGGTCCCGACAGAGCGGGTACTCTCAACAGTCATCTCATTGTTATGCGACACCTGCCACGCCAATCAAACATATACCCGAAAACCAGCTGACTCTTTCCCTACACTTCAACATCGGAGTATCCGCCTTACACCAACAAGCCCTTCTATATTCAGAGGTCGAGCAGTCCTGATCGGGCGAAAGGTTTGCTGATCCTTTGTCCATTGTAGTCGAGAGCTGGGGTTGGATGTGTGTAAGCGTCGAAAAAGTGGGGCATTCCCGTCCGGTTGAAGGTTAGGGGCGTTCTATTACTGTTTTGAGGTTGGAAGTATATATTTTCAGCTCTTGTCATCCCAAGTTTTGGTGTGTGGAATGGGCGGTCGGATGATTATAAATGCAGCTGAGCTGATTGTGCGAGTTCGGGATGTGGACATTGCAGATTACTTAGTATAGCAGACATGGTCCTTGCGCGTTATAGGGAAGTAGGGAAGTACGGAGTACGTAGACTGGGTGAGACGACGAATCAATCACCTTGAAACCCAACAAAAACCGTGAAACAGAAATAGAAACAGAGATCTACCAGAACCCCGCGGTGATGATAGTAACCCACAGGACAACCAACCCCAAACTCTATCCGGTCTAGCCATCATGTGGAAGTCCAGACGCAGTCACGTGAGGGGAATAAGAACTCTATAGTAGTTAATTGGCCAAGACGTGCTCTTATCGCCCGCTACCACGCCCACTTCGAGTGGGTTACTACCATTGGTCGGATTTTGCGTTGCGATCGCCGGTTCCGCGTCGGAGGTGTCCATGAGCCGCGTTTCCCGCATTCCGAACAAGAACTAGCCGACATCAATTGGGAGCGGGTCGGGAATACTTCACATGTCTGCGTAGGGGGTGTTATTAAATTGAGGGGTTTGGGGTGATGAGCTAGCATTGTTGAAGAGTAACAAGACTGAAAAGCCGGGGTTTTCTCTTGAGAGGAGAATACCACCTCAGGGCTGGTGGTTACATCGCGACAGAGTATATTTATCAGTATCGACATCACAATGGCGTCTGATGAAGCCAAGTACGTATGGCATCTCTCCTGCGTTGGTGTTCAGATACTTACACAAGACAGAACACAAGTCTCCCGGGAGACCTTCCGGGAGATCATGGCGCCTCTGGGCTTCAGCATGAAGCCTGAGGATGAAGTCGGGTATCTTGAGCTCCTGGAGAACACCTTAGAGTCCATGGACATAGTGGACCAAATGCCAGAGTACATCGATCCACGGCTGAAGCCTAACCTGGATCCGGACAACACGCCACGGGCTTATAGACGACCTACGTCTGAAGAGAACCCGCTGAATGCGTGGTCGCATCGAGTCCGATCCCCTTTCTCCCAACTCTACTCGCCCGCAAAGTTATTCAGCTGGCTGACTATACTCTATAGACTGAACTCAAATCCCCCAACCCCGAATCCTCCCGCGGCCACCTGGCCGGCAAAACCCTCGCCGCAAAAGATAACATCTGCCTTTCCGGCATCCCCCTGACCGGCGGCACGCAAGAATACCACCTCTGCCGCCAAGCGCCCTATCCAATCCCCGACATCGACGCCCCTGTCATCAGCCGCGTTCTCGAGGCAGGCGCCACCGTCCTCGGCACGTCAACGTGCGAGAACTACTGCATGTCAGGGCTTTCGCTGTCGAGTGCTACGGGGCCGGTGCAGAATCCGTGGTTGAAGGGGTATTCATGTGGGGGAAGTAGCAGTGGGTCGGCGGCGTTGGTCGGGGTGAAGGTCGTGAGGAGGTGGCGGGAGGCGAGGGGGTTCAATGTGCAGGATGGGGAGTTGGGGGAGGGGGTGGATTTGGCGATTGGGGGGGATCAAGGGGGGAGTATCAGGATAGTGAGCAATCCCAAGTCCTTTTGCCTCTTTCATCTTATACTTCAGGCACAGTGAACCAACACAATTCCTTTTCTTCGCAGACATAACTTCTACCCCACGAGACAGGCTAGAAGCATCACTTACTAATATCAAACCTCCCAGCCCGCAGCATATACCGGCATCTACGGCCTGAAACCCACCCACGGGCTAATACCGTACACTGGAATCTGTCCCCTCCACCCACTCATAGACCACGCCGGCCCCATGGCTTCCTCGGTCCGCGACCTAGCCCTCCTCCTAACCGTCTTGGCGGGATACGATGGTATCGATCCCCGCATGACCCCCGAGTGTCCTCTTCGGTCCTCCGTCCCGTCTTACCATGACCTGCTCGACGATGCCATTGCCGTCCGCAAGCCCACAGGTAATTGGACGCCTACTACCGCCGCTAAAGGGCTCAGGGTCGGGATTCTGACTGAAGCTTTTGCTGTGCCGCAGCTGAATCCTGATGTTGCGGCTACGGTAAGGAAAGCAGCTGAACGATTCAGGGCGTTGGGAGGTGAAGTGGAGGAGGTCTCCATCCCGCTTCATGCTAAAGCGCCCGCTATTTTCACAGCCACTACAAGGGAGCATATGGCAAGCACTTTCCTGCACAACTCGGCACCGACACTGTTGTCGTACTCCCTACCCAACCTTGACCCCCCGAAACCAGGACAGGACTGGTACGAGACCATGAACCGATCCAACCCAGCCGTGGTGAGCGCGCTAGTTGATGGCCACTACCTCGACTCTCAAGCCCGATACCCGCCGCGAGTAAGGGCGAAGGCGATAACGCATGTCCATGAGCTGCGAGCGGCTTACGATGCTGCACTCGCTAAATACGACATTCTGATCACGCCGGCGAACCCGACGGTGGGGAAGAAGCAAAGAAGCAGTGCTAAGGGAGATATGGATGGAATGGGACAGAAGGGGTTTGTTGATTTGGTTTTGGGGAATACGGCCAATACGATGCCTTTTAATGTCACGGGACATCCGGGTTTGATCATGCCGGTGGGTTGGGGAAGGGTCGAGGATGGAGAGGGGAGGTTGCCAGTGGGGATGCAGATTGTGGGACGGAGGTGGGATGAGAGGACTGCTTTGTTTGCAGCTGCTGCTTGGGAGGTTGGAGGATTGGGGCTGGACGAGGAATAGGCGGCGGTGATGTATTGGGGTCGTTGGTGGTTTCTTTATCAGCTAGATCCACTTTGCTGGGGAAAAATACTCGCCGGCGATTACTAGCAACGAAGTCAAAGTGCGGTGTATAGTTGGAACATCTATTTGATTGGCCATGTTCTGGGTAGAATGGAGATTTCCTCTTTTTTTTCTCTCTTCTGATGGTGGTTGTTAGGGACTTGTTCAGGTTCTTCAGATATTCTTCGTTCGCGGGGCGAAAAGTGATTAGGGGGTCAAAATACCACTAGATTCAAGGGATGTAGGTTATATGCGTTCTGGGTTTGTCTTAGTTGATGTATTTTCAGGGTCTAGTTAAGGTATCTGTCAGAGAACAGAATGCCATAGGCACCAGTGGGTGTCAGGACACTGAACGCAGGACACCGGCGGGCCGCCGGAGGGGTGTTTCGGACAAAAGACTCCCGAATCATGATTACAATCTATGTGAAGCTTTGGGATGACGAGAGTCAAGATCCTTGGCATCGCCGACCCTGCTGTTATGCCGGGTCCAAGCGGCGGCCTAGCTATCTATATAAGGACCATCTCGAAGTAGGATAGGGAAGGAGTTGTCAGAGCCACAAGTGTCATCCGAGGCGGGCCGGCTTCCACCAGGTAGGAAGCCGTTTGTGGCGGCTAGAGAGCCGCTTGTGGCGAATGAGAGCCGTTGAAGCCGTTTGCAGCGGATAGGGAATCGCTTGGTTGCAGATAAGGAGCCGCTGTCCAAGATATTGGCCGAAGTCGGAGGAACACAGACATACGGAAGCAAACATCCAGAATCCAAGAGAGAACCTCGGCTGGCTATAAGTAAGGAGTCGAGACGGAGGAAGATAGAGAGGGCAGAGATCAATGCATCACCGTGGGCACCCCTACCTGAGACCGCCAGTGACCACCCGGTGCTACGTAGGAGGGACGCCCGTTACTCCCCATCACTCTGTACTATTGCCTTCGGCCTAGCCGTACCCTGACAGTATCCGTCTACTCTTTAGTTTACTTGCATGGTAGTGTCGTCTGGTCAGAGCTTTGTGGACATTTTCTCATGTCGTTCGTGCTATGGTGCCTACGCCTCGGCAGCATTATTATAACAAACGGCACTATCAGTAAATTCTACGAGCGGTGTGACGATTCAGGTTGAACATGGCCGCAAATTGTATTTAACGGGCTTCTGAGATTTTATTGTAAACCACAGTGCTAACGGTTTATTTTCTCGCCAATCTACCGTCACATTTGGTATGTGGTTTACCCATGACAGGGACAATTGGATTAATCATATCTAGTATGCGTTGCCATACAGGTATGATATGTGGAGCTGCTCATGGATTCCTCCCCTATTATAGTAGCTCATGGCTGCTGCGACATAATATTCATATGAGAAACTTTCTTTACTTGTCCCCCCGAGTGACCTTGACTATACTTAACACAAGCGATCTCAGAGCTGTTTACTTCTCCACGAACTCGTTCCGTTGGCAACATCAAACTCGTGTTCTTACCGCGTTCACAACCTGAGCAGACCTCGAGAGTTATAGACAGCCCATGATTCCCACTCTTGTCAATACTGAATCTGCCGAAATCCGCGACTACTTCAACCTCTGCAAGAAGGACTTCGTTCTCAGCGTTCCTGCCGTCTGGTATGACCAGGCCAAGGATCATACCTTGAAGTTATGTTAATCCAACGTCTCTGCAGCACTAATTTGATGGAGTTCTCACAGAAGCACCGTTGAGGCTATCCAGAAGGCTGGGATTCACCCAGTTTTGGTGATCAAGGAGCTCGAGGCTGCGGCGCTCAAGCTAATTGTATGCGAAACCAAGAACTCAAGGACACGTCCGAGCCTCTTGCCGAAGACATCGTTTGGGTGATTGAGGGCCAAGTCAGAGCTATATTGTAGAAACGAGGAGGCAGAGCCCTGGATGGGGGTGAAAATTACCGCAGAAACGACACTAGTAGCTAACTACACACAGGGAATATTCCTTGTCGCAGGCTTTGGCTCGAGCCAGTATCTGAAGGACTGCATCCAGACTAAGTTCAGCTCACCAGATATCCGGGTCATATAGCCCCATGATGCTTGGGTTTCCATTGCCAAGTAAGTATATCAATGCCCATAACTCAAAAACTCCTCAAACAACCACTGACCTGTGTTAGGAGACGAGGCTACTATGATCTCCACCAGACGGACCGGCACTACGGTGTCAGCACCTGGAGAGTATATGATCCCCTCCTGGATAGAGGTCGCCCCACGATCTACTACCTAAATACAACGGAAAGACCAGGTTCCACAAGGTGGACATTGACTGCAAGTTTCACAAAATAATAGGTCACGAGTTGAAGCGAAGCGAACCTGTCAAGTTCCGGTTCCACCGTACGTTGGCTTTTAAGCACGAATCCGACGATCTCATATTCTACGACGACCTCGTCTACTCGGACACCCGTATTGCCCCCGTGTATCCCGGCTGTGACGTGAAGGTCTGCTGCACCCTCATGGGAGATATTCAGTTGGTAGACCAATCGTTATTTAAGAAGCGGACCGATATCGATGGCAAAATTTACCTCGATTTCCGCTTTTATTTCGCCGTCTCGACCGGCACGGCCAACCTGAAGTTTTTCCTTGAGGTGGATGGGAAGAAGATGGGCAGCGTTGAGGCCACCTACGAGTAGTTGACTAGCACTATATGGTGCAACCACGAGGGAAAAACACGGTAACACCAGTGGAATGCCGACCTATTAGACAGTAATTATCGGTTGCTGTGTATTAGTTCACTCACTGGTCCTTTGATTCTACGATGCACATGAATATTGTTTTGAGCGTATAACGTCCCACACCCACATCCGGGACACCCCACATATGGGACGCCCTAAAAATGATGCTGTATATTATAACTATTGACTTCAACCTTTTTTTACACTTATTCTGATGCGACTACAATACAGCTTTAACCATCACTAGGGTTTTCAGACTCGCTAGACTCATCTGTACTATCCTCAATTTCACCAGCCTCGATATGAGCCTTCCGAATAGCCTTGATATTAGTAAACTTCGAATTAGGGCTCATCTTGACCTTCCTCCGCTTCCTAGCCCTACTAGCCTCAAGCTCTGCCTCTATTGCCTCAATCTTTCGCTGTGCGACAGCTAACTGGTAGTCCTTCTCATCAAAGCCCTTTTGAACTTTCAGAAAGAGTAGCCGCTGGGTATTTGGATCACTATCAAGCTTGCTGAATAAGCTGAGTTGATCTTGGAGCTCATCTCTCCTCTTAGGCGTTGACCAGGCTACTGCTGATGTCTCTAACGCCCAGTCCTGACTACTAGAGTGCCCTTTGCAAGTCTGACTAGGCTGTTTGATTGGTGCTGACGTATTCTCAAGGAGCAGGGGGCTCATAAGGGGTCTAGCTATGCTCGAAGGCCAGAGACCAGTATATTTCCATCCACTGATAATGTTCTTAACGGCCAATGCTGCTAGACGTGCCTTTCTATAGCAGAGGAGAAAGTTTCTCTTCCCTACGACAGTAGTAGTATCCCATTGGTTAAGGTAACCAAGCTCCTTCTTATAGGCTGCCTTGAGGGGTCCAAAGACTGACTGATCGAGAGGCTGGAGAACGTGGGATGTATGTGGCGGTAAGAAAAGCAAGTGTATCTTGTTTATGAAGCAGAGGTACATAAACTCTGTCGTTTCGTGGCTACTATGCCCATCTAGGATAAGTAACCTAGTCTCTTCAGGGTCCTCTGGTCAAGTCAAAGGAATAAAGATCTTTTGTAGCCACTCGATAGCCGTAGAGTCTGACGTCCACCCATTCTCTGTTGCTGTAAACCTCCAGGCTTCGTATGGAGTCAAGTCCAGAGGAAACCACTGCTGCTGGACAGACTTCCCCTCGTATATCACAAGTGGGGGTAGCGCAGTACCAGTCGCAGAGATACACTCTATAAGAGATGTCCAAGCGCGAGATCCAGGCTGTTTCTTCCGTATAGAACGAGTCTCAGATGATCCTAGAACAAGACCATTTGATCCTCTACCTTCTAGAATACCTGTCTCATCCATATTGTATCGATTTGAGGCCTTAATAGCTTTGATCTCAGGGATAGCGAGGTATTTGAACCATTGCCTGATCACATTAGCTGAGGCTCCATTAATACGCTGGGAATCGATAGCTCTGCTTCTCTGGACCTTTACTGAAGGGTTCCTCTTGATAAAAGCCTGGACCCAGTTCTTTCCAAGTGGTTCGGTGTCTCCGTGGATCTGTAGGATACGCTCGGCGAAGTCTTTGAGCTGTTGATGGGTTGGTGGGAGGCCTAGGGCAGCCTGGATTCGAACCCATTCAGCCAGATGGGATTCCTGGGCTGGAGAGAGCCTCTGGTAGTCAGCGAAGGCCATATCTCTTGACTGGGCTCCCTGAATCCGTCGTGAAAGAGTAGACCTTGGGACACCATGCTCATATGCCGCTTTTCGGAGGCTTTGACCGGTAGCTATTGCTTGAAGAGCTCGATAAATATCATCTTCGGTATATTGACTCATATTAGTGTAAAGAAGACGGACGTAAAATTTTGTAATGATTGAATCGATATTGGTAAAGAAAAAAGAGGTTGAAGTTAGAGGCTAGCGGTGTTGATGAGGCATTTTTGGGTGTCCCACATGTGCGGGTGTCCCGAATGTGGGTGTGGGACGTCAAGGGTGACAAGATAACTAAACTGCTTGGTAGCTTTTGAGACTTTCGACGAATACAGTAGTGTTGCCATGATACCCGCGTGCGAAACTTCGTTCCATTGTAGCATTGTGTGCCCTGTAGCCTACGACGAAAGGTCCGTATGGAAAATATCTTCGAAGAGGGCGGACAAACCAACCCGAACCTCGCCCGGAGGAGAAGCAGGAAAACACAAGGTTTTGTCACAATCTCATTAATGGTATCATATACTGTCATAAAAGCTATAAACATGCGGACTTGTCATCCACTCATGCGTTCATCATACCCTCCATCCTACAAGTTAATGCTTCCAGCTCTAGGGACCCTAGTGCTCATGTCAGATATTATGACCTTTTCCACACACTCGGCCAAAATCAACCGTACGCCAAATCACCGTGTATCCGATAAGACATTGAAAATAACCCTTGTCGATCTCGCGCATGATCTGCCCGACTACCAAAAAGGATTCCAGCTCTACTTTTCGAAATCCTTCAGCACCCGCCACTGGTCTTCAAAGTGCAAACCGCCGCCATCAATGAGGTTGCAGTTGTTGTGTCCCCACTTCCGACGGAACACCTCTTTGCCCGCTTCGGTAAGAACGTCCAAAGCTTCGGTGAACCCGTCGGCATTGTAGTAGAAGGGCTCGCTGTCACCGCCGTGCTGGCTCGCTTGCCACGTATTGCGTCCGCGGTTGCCGTGCTTGTAGTGAAACATGAAGTCGCTGGTACGAAGCAGCGCCCACCAGTAATCAAGTGGATTTTGCATGTCGAGCTCGTGAGGTGGAATGACCTCGCGCTTCGCGATCTTCGCTGAGGTTTCCGGAGTGGGTTCCGGTGGATTGGGGTCGGTGAATCCCGGGTCGACGCTCGGGACGCGATATAAGGCCAATAGGTCATCGAGCACGGCCGAGGTGTCGGTGACGACGCCACAGTTGGCGTCGATTTGGCTCCAGCCTTTCATGGTCAGGCGTGTGTACGTATCACAGTCCGTCATGTAGTAAGGGATCGAAGTGTCCCAGCCGCCGATGTCCTCAAGCGCCTGGGGGTTCTGCAGCGTGAGATGGTCGTATGCAAAGAAGCGCGTGCCCCATTTATCGCCGGAGTCAAGCGTCTTACGCAACGCTTCCAGACACAGCGTGTATAGGCTCTTATATCCCAGCTCTCCTCCAGGCGGGGTCAATATCTCGAATCCGTTCTCGTGGCCGAGGGCTAGAACGTCCATGTGACTCCAGAAATAATAAGGCCATTTGCGTTCGTATGACATGGCAAGGTAGAAGTTCTGCAGCTGCGCAAATGTGAGCAGCACAGGAGTCTGGACAATGTTGACCCCGAGCATGCGCAGCTGCGTATGGTTCATGTACCAGGGATGTTGGAGCGTGAGTTGGCCGCGCGTGTTGGCTTGCTGCATGCCCGTGTTCTCAACGACGTAGATCTGCTCAGGTGGCCATCCAGCCGTGATGTAGGACACGACAGCCTGAAGTAGCACCGGCCAGGTGCGGGTGAATCCGATGACTAAAGCAGGCGCAACCTCAAGGTCGTAGTCCGTCTTCCAGCTGTTCTTCTTTGGGATATTGTAGCTCGGGATTGGCGGTGGTGTTGATGTAGAGAGAGCCGGGAATGGATCTCGTACCGGTGGAGGAGTCCATGTTGGTACTGGCTTATACGTTGGGTGTGGCGGCGATGTTTTGTCATCTTCATGGACAGAAGACAGCTTGACTACGCTTAGCCCAGTGACGCTTCGCAAGAAAAAGAATACCGTGACTAGAAATACAAGAGTGGCGATAAGTGCTTGTCGAGAGCGCATTTTGGACAGCATGGTTGAGGTTATGAGCCAGAACCCGATGGACAGATCAACGAGCAAAACCAAATCCGTGCGACCAGATCTCTCTGGTGGAGAGAAGTGGTCGTCGCCGAGAAGCGCTTCAAACTGTGAATCGTCTGTTGCTGACGAGTCTCACCTGCTCGACAAGAGAGCCTTGGGTGTGGGAAAGAGAATACGAGAGTTTTCAGGATATCGGTCTTGTTTATCTGATGACATAAAGGACGCACGATGTCAAAATGAATCAAGCCCAATTAGAGAAAAGCGAGAAACAAAACAGTAAGACGAGCCATCTAAAAAGTAAAGTGAAAGTGGAAGGAACGAGCCTCGTCAGGTCGAAGCAGTCGAGATCACGGACATCGAGCAGTGGCACGGCATGCGCTTGCATCCATAATGGCAAAGCGGCATGGTATCTAGGTATCGACCCCGCTCCAGGTGCGGCCCGTCCTAGGCAAGTATCATTTGCCGTGTATGGCAAGAGCCCTGTACAAAGATTTTTCATTAACAAGGCTGAGATTCGGGTAGCCCTGCTTCCTAGTTCTGGTCAGTCATTGCGTCGAATGTGCCTACATGGAATGCATGTATCAGATCCGTACAGATCCGTAAGACTGATGTGAAGTATACCGGATGGGTTTGATTCAAGCAACTATCTTTAGCTTTTCCGTCTTGGTGTTTATGGAGCAGTACGAACACATTGGGAAGCTGAGCCACAAGGTGTCACAGCGTTTCCAACCCTGCCAGCACGAGAGAGATTACGTTGAACTCGCGCGATTTGGTGGGGCTGGGGCTGAACCGTCTATGCCGCTCTCTCCAACAACCGTTCCCCGCTTCAACACGTGGCGAACTTGCTAGTGTTGGTTGCCAAATTGTCCGATATCGATAATGAAATAATCTGTTGGCAACAACGGATACCAACCAGAAAGGCACTTTTGGGTGAAATTGTTGGCCGTGTATGACGAATCTGGAGGCGATATCACAGAAATGATCGTCCGGGCCAATACCGTGAGCCCGGAAGGTTTGGGGCAGGAGCCACAAATGCCGTCATGTCGACGCTAGTTAGCGTGGCGCGGTACTGGAAGGAACAAATCACGGCGCAAAAATAGGATAGCATTCATGCAATTGCGAGATGAGAATTTGGAGCTAGCAAGGTCACTGCATGGGAGTCAGTGCTGACGGAAAACAATCAAAAGTCGATGCGAGGTCAGCACCTATTAGGGATAACGTCCAATAATAACAGCGATCACCAAAAGCTGGGAACGAGGGTGGACCCAAGTTAAATATACTATGTAGAGCCGCCAAGGCACAGGTCAACTACTGACCCAAGGGTCGGACTAATCGGAATCTGTACCCCGCTGCTGCATGGTGGTGCCTTCCTTTTGAGGACCGCAAAGGCCAAATTGGGCTCGCTTGGGCTTGGGCTTGCTCTTGCCTCTTGGATGCCGATCGTTCTCGACTGCATTAAGGGCACGATGGCTGAGCACGAAGACAGGGTTATCACCGCGCACCTAGGCTGCGCACCTAGGAGATTAGACCACGGAATTCACAACAACAGGCCCTACCACCAGCCTTAAGGTCTCGAATGCGTAGTTGGTAAGCTGTCCATATCCCCTGCGGCGAATTTCATCCCACCACAGCAGCGCCGCAAGTCGCGGTGAAGGTGAGGAGGATATGACAGGTGCCACAGCTACCGCGACCTCCACTTACGCTGATCTCCAAGCCCTCCAAGCCAACTTTAGATTGCCAGCATCGCATGTTATCAACAGTCTAGAGTGCCGGAATCAAGTCTTATCATCTGCCCTTTCGAAGCTTTGAGGCTGTGGTTGAGTGAAGACGCCGTCCAACGCCCTTTCCGCAAGTGCACTGAGCCGTGGTGTCCTGGCACACTCCGGATACGAAGATACGAGTTTAGAGGCTCATGCAAGCGGCCGCACACACCCTTCGTGAACAGGACGCGTAAATAGATTCTTTGATACCGTTGCGTGTGAGGGATGAGAGATTCGACCGTTCGGGCGGCAGGCGCGGTTCGGCAACCATCGAAGACATACACTTAAAGGAGAATAGCTCATGGGCGCGAAACCTTAAGCCCCGATTCCGGGCGAAGAAGTCGTCGTGACGCCGTACCCCGCCCGTTACATGCCCGGATCTGCACCCGGGGCGACGATCATCTTCAGCAATCTCATCTTTCGAGGCTTAGACAACGGCTATACTCGGTTTTTAACACTGTTATTGGTGCTTGCTGCTGGTGAACCGGTGAAACGCCGCGTTGCCGTCCATTCGCACACTACCCCCTTACAAAAATGGCAGACGGCTATGCATATATTGTCGATCATCTGCAAGCCAGTTCACCGCACGCTAATAATCACTCGACAACAATTCTCCGATACGCAACCCACGCCAGCCGTTATTGAAATACTTCTGAGTTGCGGCGATGCTGAATTGGGCGATGCCTGTGGGCCCATACCTGTCTAACGGATTGCACTCACCTGAATAGTCGTATCTCTGCCGGCTTGTCTGGGAAAGATAAGACGTCTATCGTGCGATGATGAGGGGTATTGACGATCGAGTGCATGACCACTTTCCTAAACCTTTCCCAGGGTTGGAATACTGGTGTGCGCGGCTCGTGATTTATCGTCCTGCTGGCAGTAACAACGACTTCATGAAAGGGTTGTCCTCCAATGAAGGTGACATGACTTGTCACGATCCACCAGTCGCCTCACTTGAAGTTCTTGTGCGTTAAAGATGCCTGCACAGAGGATGCTCAATCATCCACCAGACGCCTCATTGATCATGTGGAAATCGACGAGCTGTCACCAATACTCCCTAAGGCGGGTTAGGTTACCCCCGCGCTACTTATGTAGAGACGAAGTTTCAAGTGCAAGTCCATCGCGGGTACTTCCGTGGTTACGGAAAAACCAGTGTACGCTCAAGTACTCTGAAGAAATCTTCAAACAAATGATCCGAGCACTCACCCTAGTTGGTCGGAATCCGAAAAGCTAGAACGTCAAATCCTTGATTTCGCCGGACTACTCGAGTTTTCTTTCTTTTGTCTTCTCGCCGACTGACAACATAACCGTGAAGTTTCATGACGTCCATGACGGCGAAATCAGGTTGATGCTGTACAATCCCAACCGCACACGAGCTGTTCTCTGTCCTCGAAATTGCAATTCCGGCGATTGTATTACGAGACTGACGACACCAGACGAACCCGCCAACTTCATCGTGTGATGCAGATCACCGATAGCGGGACTTGAGGTGTGGTAGGGTGGAGTTGGCAGGGCCTGGCGGGCGCATCGGTAGTTGAATGGATCTGCAGTCTGCAACCCAACCCTTGCAGCCAACTTTTGGCGCCCGCCGGCCAACAACGCAAAAGCTTGTGTCCTCTGACGGACACCCCAATGCTACACACATACTTCTGCGCTACTCAGTTGTCATCAGCGCTGATGCAAGCCTCTCATGGCCACCCCTTTGACGTGCGGCCCATGGCTTGGGTCGGATGAGCTCACTCATCATGACCTCAATCAAGCTGCATTCATACCCAGCGTTACCATCGTCGTCGGCAAGCTGGGAACATCCGCTGCTGACACCGGCTTGACTCAGACAGAGACGCGGGAAGCCCAGAGATGTAGTCATTGATGGATGGAGAGAACAACTGCATAACCCTGAGTATGCTGTAGACTCCGCGTGGTCTGTGTAGTCCAATCACCAGCGGCTAGATGCAAGTTTCATCGTCATCCCATGAAGACAACCTTGGCTCGATCAAGGTACATACATGGGTTTCAATGCCGCAAGGTTATGGCTTAAAGCATCTGATGTGTGTGGGTGTATATAAAATTTCCCACCTGCCCCGTCAATCCCGGCTCGGTCAGATCGGTAAGAGGGGCCACTTACTACCTTGTGATTGTTTGTTGATGCTACATCGCAAAAATTCGTCGTCTCGTCTCGAGTTCCGAGGTTTCCTTTGTCTCAGGTTCAAATTTTTTCCACATAAAAAGGACCCGTCGGGACTAGTACTTTGCCTGCATACTTTACCTACCTACATCACCACAAACGCCCATTACCACTACCTACATCAAGTGTCACGATATCTGTTGGATCCACAGAAGATTATATCATAACAGCGGACACCATGTCGCGCTCCAGCAGGTCCTCACTCTCACGATCGTCGTCCTATTCAGATGACATCGACGCTATCACGCCGTGCCCCCCACGCGCATGTGCCCCCACGTCCGAACCAGAACCAGAGTCCACCACTACGTCAAATTTCCCCAGCGTTCTCGAGTGCGGCACACGCCAGTCGCGATCTCCCTCACCTAGTTCGTCCGTCTCATCCACTACTGAGTCGCAAATGTCCGAAGAATTCAATGAGCGGAGGAGAGATTCACTGAGACTTCTCGAGGACGGTACGGATGGCGATACGGAGAGACTTTGGCGGCGCATGCTTGCGCTGCAGCAGATTTTCGGGTGCTATAAGTCGGCGAGGATGAGCGCCGCGCTCGAGTCTGGCGATGCCAGATTACTACTACGTGAGTCGATTGTATAGTCTTATCATGCATGCACTTGCGTTACCCGAGTTCAAGTCGAGCTGAGGTGAATCATGGATGGTGTTGGCGCGATAACGGACAACTCGTATTAATTTGCTGACATATTGTTACACAGCCTCAAAAGCATGTTTGAATTTGCTCAACGACAACATTGGCATGCTGCCAAGTGACGCCGAGGATGTCATTAAGAAATGTCAATTACGGATAGGTTACTAGGCGCGAGGAGATATTGACGACATGCAAGCAACTGCGACAATCGGTGAATTAAAGGAAATGAGATGGGGTTGCAGACGTTGATTTCTTTGTTTGGATTTGCGACATCGTTGTACCGCACATTTTATGTTGGTGTTGCGGCACTACTAAATTTCCACACTGCGGTGGATCATTGTGCAAAAGACGCATTTAGCGAGGTTGTGGTACGGTATGAGGAGTACCAAAAGAAATCTCAACGGGAGGCCGGAGGCGGACGGGATGGACGGATAGGAAAGCCATGATACCCTTGAATTGAAATTTCCACTTTATTACTCAAGAATAACTGTATAATCTCGTTTGCGCCTCGTATCCCGGATAATTCGGCGGCCTGGTGAATACTTCAAACTTGATGTACTTCTCGAGGCACCGACCGATGTAGTGCTGGTTGCATAATCGCCTTCGTCAGTTTAGCGCCCTCCGATTGTCCGCGTGATTCGAGTGTTGATTCGAGTATTGACTGTTTTCGTTTCACCTAATGTATAGCAGTTGTTTGGTGTACTCGAAAATCTGCTGGTGAATTCCTACCGCGATCGCCGAGTTGGTACATGATAGGGTTGGCAGGGATTGACCAACGGCGGAGACGACGTGCCGTCGCCGTCGCTCAGTCGCCAAGAGAAGTCACAAAAGGTGGGGTGGTGATGCCAGGGTAGATCGACGGAGTATGCCGCATAGACGTGATGTCAGGTAATTGCACCGAGGTGATCGTGAATCATTCCATGCATACTGCAGTGGTCAAGTAGAAGTTGGTATTACGGGGTTCATGTTGGCGCCGCGAGATGACTCGCGGCGCCAAGACTGAGTTGATGATTACACATCGTCACATTTAGTACTTCAAAATGTAATAGTGTTCATTTCCGAGGACAGGTTAGAACAGCGGACTTGTTTTTCAGCAAACAAGGTTTATGCTGACTTTGCCAGATGGCCACGGCCCAGAATCACCGAGGCCCTGTTGTACGTATGTGGCGGCCAACGCACTACAATTCAAGGCTTGGTAGCAACGAAACCTCCACCACCCGTCCGATTGACCAATGGAAGCAAACCTTGGTCGTCCGCTGTAGAATTTCAACATGAAAACCCAAAGCCGGAAAACCCATTGATGGCCCGCAAGACGTGATCCTGTTGGACCGTTGGGATGCCCGCTCTTCTCGCTAGATTTCGCTTTCTGCAGGCATTTTTTCGACATTAACGAATTCCCGATACTTTGGCCAGGGCATTTTCGAGCACCTTCCTGCATTGCTCCCGATACAAGACTGCGAGCTGCTGATTCGGATTGAGCTCATCGCCCACGATTTCGACTTCGTCCAATGTTTCCAGGTCAAAAGACAGTTTGGAGCCCAATGCAGTGATGATCTTATCCTTGACCTCTTGCACGATTTTGCCCGCCATCAGGTCCTCAATACTGACTTCATTGATCACGCCGGTGGCCCTTCCGATAGCTTCGTAGAGGTTTAACACTAGGGAATCTTGAATATGAGATAACTCGCTCAAGACTTCAGTGTCGTCCAACAGCTGCTGCCTGGATCTACCCGTCACGGTGCTGGGGTCGTTCATTGGGCGAAGCGAGACGAGGTGAGTGGATGCGAGGTCATCATCATCTGTTGGTTTCGTTTTGATGTGATGGTAATCGTTGTGGAAGTCATCCGTCTCGGCCAGGACGAAACCATAGCCCAGGAGGAGCTCAGCGTTCGTCTTCATGCCGTAGTTGTTGTACACCTGCTCACCAGGACCGCATGATTGACCGGCCTGCAGCCTGCATATCTGCGTCTCTCTATCGGTACTCCAGGTCGTTCTTGCCAGCGGCGAGTGATTCCCAATATCATAGAGAGGGAGCAGCAGTGAGAAGTCGTCGATGTCACATGACAGCCCCAAGGAACCCCCATCCGGAATGATCAATGACGGTCGAAAGCTCCTGCTCGTAAATATGCCGTACGACCAAAGGTACAATGGCCTGGAATAGCCCTTAAAGGCATACTTTTCGGGTAGTAGCTTCATGGCGGCTTTGTATTCCTTCTTCAGCGTTGACTTGATCTCCTGAACGGCAACATACGCGTTGGTCCCCGTCAGGAACTCGATATCATCATTCGGCCACAATGCAGGAAGCATGCCTCCCACGTGTTCCGGTTGTGGGAGTGTCCGGATGTATGGCCACCAAGCAGAATCCCGTCCCAAGAGATACTGCTGCATCAAAACGAAACGACCAGTCACATGCGGGGGCGTCTCCTTCAGAAACTCAGCGGGGAACCATTCTGCGGTCTCGGGGTTTCCACGAAAACTCTCATGCCTGAAATCTGGGAAATCCGGATGGCCGCCAATTGCGTTCAGGTATGAAAGCGTTTTTGAAAGCGGAAGCGCAACAATGGGGTCGCCGCGCTCAATTGAGCAGCCGTCCTTGACTCTGAAGGAGCTGTTGGTGAGGGCGTCATGGTAAACCTCAATGGCGGGGTGGAGACTGCCGCCAGCGGCATGTCCGGAATCTGGTTGCTCAACCCATTGAACAAGAGCGCTATTGCGCTCAAAGAGTGTCGTCATGCCAATTGGGGTTGCAGAGCTACCGGTCTCGGGCTTCTTGAAATTGAAAAGTCTGAAGTGAATGCAATCAGGATCGGCTGGTGCGAAACCAAACCATCGGCAAATAAGTGGGCCCACTCGTAAGGCTGAAGTCGAAATGAGCCGCAGAAACAGCCCAAGAGCTCAAGTGATGCACAAGTGATAAAAGAAAAGTAATCATCTCTAACAGCAGAGCAAAGTAATTTGGGTCTATGGAGCTTCTGGCCAAAAGTTTTCCGACTCGCAGCGGCCCCTGCCACCGTATGACTAGTCTCAGTCCTTGACCATACAATGCTTCCAGTGCCTCGTGACGTCTTAGCAAGCCCGAACTTCCTACTACCGATTTGGCTTTATTCTGGTATGGTTTAGTGTAATATCCAAGGTCAATACTGACTTTTGGGCTCGGTAAGAAAGATGCCGCGGACTGGGAAAGCGAATCGTGATGTGGTACAGAGAACGTGGGTACCATCGATACAAGCCGCCGGCCGGTCGATAGAAGCTGTTAATGACTGGGTATTAGAAATTTAGCTTCTTTATCCTGTTACACAAGGCTGAATGCCGGGTGATGCGTGCACATAGGGGGAAGGATGCTATAATGCAGCAGTGCGCAACGTTATAGTATCTAATTGAATGGGATTCACCTAACCAGTGGGTCCCCCTACCTTTTTGTATCACTGTGTATCCTGGTCGATCTGACCTCACAGGACTCAAGTCACGAATATCAGGATTGATTTCGTGCCAAGTCAGTTGTGTGGTTCAGATCTCTTTTGATGGTGTTTTTTCTAGAAAGCTCAGCTATTTCCGAAGCTACGAAATGTTGCTTAAGAGCAACGATGTAGCCAATCAGATCCTCTGATTTGGATCCACATCACCGGGGTTGTCTCAGTGCCGGTCTAATCGATCTTAACTTCACTATCAACGGTGCTTAGGAGCGCCGATAGTACTACCCGAGGAGACGGTTTCCTAGATTAAAGGAATAGTTACTTAAAATAAATATCACGCGGGAATACTTGGCCTAAGTAATTAGTGAGAGGGTAAAGGCTTTAGTATTTAGTAAGAGAATATCGAGACGGTTAGTACTATATTACCTCAGGGTCGGACTAACCTCACCAACCTCACCAACCCCCCTAGCTAGTTATGCTCCATAGTCGTATCAGCCGTCAGAGTCCCAAGCAGAGTATCCAGCTAGCCTGTTAAGACGGCTCTATACCAACTTCGTAGTACCTGGAATATGCCTATGATAACGGCGTCAAAGCTTGGCCGCTGCGAAATAACCAGTCTACCGGCAGATGAAATTAACAGCTCACATTCATACCCTTCTGGATATCATGGCTATGGCCCATACCCACGATGAGACGGACCTACCGCGCTCGGAGAAGATAAAGCCACGGAAACACTGAAAAAGATGCCCTTGAGCCTCCGGGGATATAGGAGTGGCCTCAGCCGAGGCCTGGCAAGATGGTGATGATACCGAAGTTGGCGTTTGATACGTGACCCCATGAGGGGTTGCCCTATAGCTAGAGATAAGATAGATAAGAGCTATAAAAGAGCTCTGCCAGGCCAGAATAGCTGACCTGACCATCCTTTCCCAATACAACAATTCACACCCCATATGCACTCGCATCAGCGTTGTAGGGGCGATCAGACTCTCCATAGCGTAAGGGCAGCGGCTTCGGCGCTAAAGGAATACCAAGATAGCAGCAAAGTTTCAAATACCAGCTATTTTACAGAGATCTTCAAGCAAACAAGTCTTATAAGAAGGGAGTCCTACGGGGCTGGCAGGGACCTCCAACACGTTCAAATTACACCAAAATAGGGCTAACAGGGCCGCCCAGCACGGTCCAAATAGCGATTTAAGCCTTAGTAACCATAAACCAACCAGGTTGCCTAACTAGGGCCTCCGGTGTGAGTACTGGTGATAATCCACGCTAACCCTGGTTCCCCAGGTTAGCTTGGTGAGGTGAGTCCGACCCTTGTATTACCTGAATGAGGAGGGATTTAGTAAGGTAAAGCCGACTACTAATTAGGGCTTACGCTAGACCTTCAAGGCTATTACACCAAACTACCAGGACATATGGCCACTTACCGTACGTTATGGGCCAATGGGGCTACCACGCATTGTACCACACAAGTACTGCCTGTAGGACAGGCATCGTTCATATCTATCTATATAAGGCCCTTATGGTCGCTGTTCATTTCTTGCGGGACTATCCAGAGATCATGACCTTTTCAATACAAGACCATTTGCCCACAATCTGTTAGCTTAACGACGCTGTCACAGTGCTAGCGCTGACATAGCCACAGAGTGCTGTGTACAGTATTTATTTGGACTCAATGTCAGTGATCCACTAGCATTGAGGGGGGGTGAAAACTTTGACCTGATACCGTAGTAGTTCATTGATGTCTAACTTGCCTTCCTTCCACTTCCGAAACCCTTCCTTATAGAGACAGACAGAATCCCTATTAGGAGCTACAACACCCCGATTCCTCAGTTACCACGATATTCCACGGCCTCGCACAGTATTCTATGACCCACGAACCCCCTTGCTATTTCCCCGCCGGCTTCCCACCGGCGTCGCACACCCAGCTCTCTGACATTGGGCAATCAGTCGAGCAGAGAGGAAGACAGGCGCTGCCTTGCCATGTCAGCGTCCCACTTTATCAACACGCGGTCCTTCGATTCTTCCATCTTTATTTGTACCAACGACTCCATAGCTGCTCGTTCTTTGCGTAGAAGATGCACCCTTGTCTTCCACAGGTCTTCCACCGTTCTTCCGTAGGAATATCGTTTCTACGCTTACCGAAGAACCTTTGGTCTAGGTACTTCCAGTAGATAGTATCAAACGCCCAGCTCCTTCTAGCGGCATAGTTAAGCCAGAAGCGGCCCGTCCCCCAGCTCTCTCGCAGTACGCCGAGAGAAGGAAAGCGCCGGGAATCATGTCTTGTTCTGCCTCTTCCATAGCCGAAAGCCACGTCGTCAGCCGTCTTTCGTAGATGCTCGTCCATTTCTCGATACCATTATCCCACATCTCGGACGGACACGTCTAGCAGTAGCCACCAGGGACAGTCCAAGACGAACTGCGTTGGGCAAACGTAGGCGAATTCCCAGTCGATGGCCCCGAGAACCTCGTTATTATTCTCATCAAGGACAACGCCAACGGGCCTGAAATTATCGGACCAGAGGCGGAAAGAGGCCGAACCGTCTGGCGCCGGCAACGTTGCATGAGGGCCGTACTGTAGCGGGCAGACCAGTCATAGTTAGTAAACCCAAAGTTTGACAGTCGGCCTTGTGTAGCCAATTTGCGAAACAGTTGGCGAGCGACTATTGGTCCTGCAGTCATCCTCCGACGATACAATATCGTTGTGCTGGAAGAGGAGAGTTCCTATTTGCATTTCGGCCAACACCACGTACCGCTCATCAGCGGTCTCATACGTGATGTCTTCGGGTGGAAAGATTGATTTGAGGATGTTGGAAAGTTGAACCATGTTACTCATATTAAGGGTGATAGGTCGTCCTACTACACCGTAGGATCCAGTACCTGTCCCGATGAGAGCTCCAATGCGCGGAAAACTAAGTTGTGGAAGCTGCAGCACACACCGTGCCATTTTCACGTTCGTTGGGGTCTTTGCGGGAGCCTCAAGAGCCTGGCCCATGACTCGGCATGACCCGAGATCTTGAATGATCATGAACGGCCCAATGTCGGGATCAATACCATGGTAGAAGACTTCTGATACTGGTGGTTGAGTATGTTGCCTGATGTACGCTGCCGTCGCGGCTTCTGCAAGTGTTTTCTCTTCAGGAAACACGGCCTGGTTGGGGCAGGGCAGGCGAACCAGAACGTGAGGGGATGAATCTTTAATTTGAATGGGATATAGTACGTTGAACCCGCCAATAATCAATGGGTCGATTGAGTTTACGGGTTTTCCGAACAAGCTCTCGGCCAAAGATTCAACCTTGCAACACGTGGATAACAATCGGACTTGCTCCATCGCCTCCTCCCAGAGCTCATCGCTGCGGTCCTACGCAAGATTGTCCGAGTTCTGCCGAGCTGTCATTTTGGATGGGATATTAGTCCCTAGGGGGTTCGAGTCCGAAGAGATAGAAGGGATGTACCCCTCCTACGTATCAGAGGATTGAAGTCTTTGTAGGTCCTTCACTATAGTAGTAAGGCCGTTCGGGGTTATATTGTCGAGGCTCATTGAAGGAGTCTAAGAGCATTCGTTATAAGCGTCTTAGAGAGCTGCTCACTAGCCTCCTTACCAGCCGAGCTAGTCGAATTCTGGAGAAAACTACCTAGCGGTCCCTGTAGCCTTCTAGACCGTCGAATCTTTTCTGTTGGGTTAGGGGCCGAGGTCTTTTACTCGTTTTAGTCGTCTTAGTCGAATTCGATTCTGTCTCGACTACGAGACCGGAGCGTATTAGATTTGACCTGTGGAGTGGGTCGTCTTCCAGATTAGGTAGTGGGCTAGGTGTGGGTCGAGATGAGTAGAGGCTAGGTTAGTACGAGCGGTCCAAGAGATGACAAGCATATATGCGCGCACCAGTTGGCCCCTACAAGATCTGCCCCACCCGACCTAGCTTCTTGGGAATGCCCCGTGAAGCATGTGTCCGCTAGGATACTTATAAGTCTTATAGCATTGCTCGGAGTCAGCTCTGGACTTCCCGGGATCGGCCTTGATGCTATCGAGCATACCTTCCAAGGTCGCTCGACCTGCCCGTTTGCACCGTCATGTTGGCCATGGTAAGGTAGATGAAGTTGAGACGAAAGAGTGAAACAAGAGGGGTATTGGAGGGTGATGTATGAAGATGAGAACGCGAGGACGGCGAACGGGCGACGGCGGCGATTTCAACGCCTTTGAGCAGGCGAGCGTGTAGATTCCACCACTAGCTTGAGAGGTGACAGTGAGCAGCCTCACTGCCAGCCAGGAGTGCAGCGCCTCGGGAGGGGCTTGTTGGTAGATAGGTGATAGGTAGGCCATGATAAAGAGCCGTGATGGCCCACTCACCCAATCTCTGTCTCCCACGAAAGTCATCCTTGCTCCCTCCTCCCCCTCTTCTTCGCAGGCAGGGGTGGGCGAGAAAGAAGAAGGAAAATACAACATGAGAATGGAGGCGTATACCCGGGTGGGCGGAGGCGGTACCGCGGCCAGGGGAGGCCAGGCCGGGTTGGGTGGAGCCGGCGATGGAGGGGGTGAGGAAAGGGGGTGAGGAGGGAAGGTGGGCAAGCCATCTGGGGCTCCCGTGTGCGGCCCCACTCTAGTAACAAAGTTCTGATACGGGTTTTCAGGCGCTGCATAAAACCCCCCCCCAAAAAGTAGCAAAAACATACAACACTAGGGATTCGCTGGTGGTCACCCACCCAACTACTAATCTAGCGGTTTGCAGCTTGTCTATGGGAGAGCGGACGGGATCCCGAATTCTCTGCAGCCTATGGTCGTATGTGCCAGAAAACGGTGTTAGTGGAGCTTATGTAGAACTGGAGCCTCCCTTGAGCTCGGATAGAAACACCTAGAACAAGGGCGATCGATAGACATCCAAGCACGGCTAAAATCAATTATACCACAAAACGTAACGTTAGGACTAAGGATAAGGACTCTAGCGAGACTAAACATAGCTACGGATATTTATAATATCTAGTATACGACCAAGGAAAAAGAAACATTGCAAAAACATGCAAAACATACAACACTAGGGATTCGCTGGTGGTCACCCACCCAACTACTAATCTAGCGCTTTCCAGCTTGTCTATGGGAGAGCGGACGGGATCCCGAATTTTCTGGAGGCTATGGTCGTATGTGGTACAAATGTCTCGTACAGAAGTATATAATAAACGTTGTAAGGTTTGTGCACTGAGCAGTCGAGGAAGACGTCGTCGACCTTTGTCCTGCCCCACTGCTTGTCATACTACACCATCAGTCTCCGTTAACAGGAACTCCTTCAAAATCATGGCCTCTATTGGTTCCAGAAAATTCAGCTTTCCATGGTTGACCCGGCTATTTCCATCTAACTGTTTGGTACCATTTAACGTAACAGAGACTAGCGCTTGTAATATCAACAGCAACTGCAACAGGGCAATTTCTCTAGGTTAGCTACTGTTCGGGGGTTATTAAATCTTGAAAAATAACCCACGACTACGTTATCTAGCTAGAAGCCCAAGTACGATTCTGATGCTCCAACCTCCTACGTTTCCAGGTGTTGACGTATCTCCCTTAACACTAGCTCATTCTTTTCCAGATGCACACTATGATTCGCACCGTCAACAATCAACAACCTGGCGCCTGGGATCCTGTCCGCAATGTACTTCGAATTCTCTTTTAGTCGTCAGCTCAGATCCTTACAATGCACAGCATCTCGTGGTCAACTCACCCGGCGGGCATATCCAATCCTCCTGTCCAACAACCACCAGCGTTTTAGCTGTTATCAAATGTAACTGATCCCGATAATCAAAGTACTTCTCTGTCTCCGAGTACAAATCATCTACGCAACGTCAACAGATTCGCTTCACACCCCGGCCCACCATCCACGTCACGCAAAAAGAGATAAAAGGGAAAGGGAAAGACTTACTATGTGCCTCAGCATTATAAACATTCCCCAAACACGCCTCCAACGCCTTATTCGCGTCGAAATTTTCGCTATACAACGGCGACATGGCGAGGTGCACGAGACGGAACTCGAGATCACTCTCGAACCGACCAAAGACTTTGTTCTTCAGCATTTCGACCGAGAAGCTGGGGGCTTTGGCGATGCGCTGCTCGAGGACTTTGATGGCGTCTTCTTCTTCTACGGGGCGAGGCATTATGTCAGTGGCCCCTTCTCCTTCCCCTGATTTGCACTTCTTGATGGAAATATGAGGAGGGAGGGGTGGTGGTTCATTTTGAAGTTTGCGAATGGTGATAGGATGAAAAAGGGTAAGCAGGCAACTCACGATGACAACTCGCCGCTGTGCCCCTTAATAATAACCACCCGAGTCCCTGAGGATACTTGATGGCGTACCTCAGGGCCAGGAAGCCGCCGAAACTGCCACCACAGATGACGACCTTAGCCCCATTTCCGGCGAAATGAACACGCATCCCCTCGACATCATCGACGATCTGGTCAAACGTGTACGGCTTCGTTTTGGAGCTCTGTCCATGGCCGCGGTAGTCGAATGAGAGCAACCTGTACGCACCAGCATTGCTAAGCGGGCTGTAGGCTTTGAAATCGGAGCGGTGGTCTCCTATTTCCGTTGTGTTAGATGATTACTGCGAACTGAGAACGAGTGCACGTGATGGATGACTAACCCATCCCCCTGCCGCCGTGCAGCGAGATTATCAGCGGCGCGTTCTCCGGTCCGCGGATGCGGTAGGCGAGTCGGGCGCCATTAATTTCTACGAACTGTATGTCGGATTCCATTTTGGCGATTAATGCTATACCGAAGGCTCAAACTAAAGTAAATATTAGACAGAAACCATCATGAGCAGCTGTTGGTTGGTTCAGCTCAATATACCCAGTTCAACCACGGCATAGAGTCGGAGAGGAATACGGTTGTCGGCCCCACTTCTATTTCCACATGACTCGGGCTAAGTTCAAGATGCTCAGAAACAACAGAACTGTTGAAGTATCGCCGGGTTATTCGCATTGGTAGTGCATATGTCGAAAAGACAGTTCACGATCCGGCCACCTAGTTGTAACGTTTAGTCCAACTTCAGCGCTTGATCGGGCGGACAACCGCATAATGTAACAGAATCGTGAATTGTCCCGCTTTTATTGGGCATAACCCTGACAGCTCACAGTACGTACGATGGGGCAAATATGGGCTTCATGGGCGGGAGTCGGGGAAGATGCCGACCGTCACGACCACGGGGTACGGGCGCAATGGCTTTCCCGTATGGCCAGCTTTGCACCGCACTCTCGCTTCGAGTATATTGACTATCTATTTGGGCAATGAAAAACTGCCGCAGCAAAGTCGCATCCTTGAGGGGGACTGACAGAATCGGCCTGGTCTATCTAAACCTCGACGCTCAATCGCGGCAACCCGAAGGTCAATCCAATTCCACAGTGGGAGTCGCGATATTGTTTGGAAAGTGAACCAAACATCCGCTGGGGCACGATCGGTGGTATCCAACCTATCCCCACAGGACACAAGCAGCCTGGTATGAAATCCTCAGTCCATCGATTCCGCATAAGTCGGACGACCCCGTCACAATCCATAGACAAATCCATGACTCCTCCGACAGACGAGCGGCCTCGGTCCGATTCTTACGGTACTACTTCCAGCACCACCGACAAGCCCCCGACCCCATCTGTGTCGAGGTCCAGTCACATCCCCGCCTGCGACCGATGCCGCGGCTTCAAAAAGAGGTGCAGCCGGACCTTTCCCATCTGTTCGCTCTGTGCCAGCGCCGGGCAGAAATGCTCCTTCTCCACCCCGGCCTCGTCGGCCGCGGCGCAGGTCCATCACCTCCGTGCACGGGTCGACTGGCTCACGATGGTCATCAATGAGGCTTTGCCGGCTGGATCTCCGGGGATTGAAACAGTTGAGACGGGGTCCGATGTGTCGAGGCTCCTACAGGGCATTTCATCGAATACCTGGCGCTCACAGAATGGGACGTCGCCAGCAGACGTCATACCCGGAAACCACCAGGAGATACCGGGTTCGGGTTCGGATTCGGGTTCGGGCGATCAGAATATACTTGACCAGCCAAACGTCAACGTAGGGCTGGATGAACAGTCTCCCTTGTCACAAGACCACCGGTATATCGTCCCATCCTCCACCAACTCCTACGAGGAAGCCCCCCCTAGGCTTCCGTCCAACGCGGCAGCACGCAGGTTCGTCGACGCCTATTTCCGTAACGTCCACCGCGCCTACCCCTTCGTCGACCGAAACAGAATCCTGCACGACCTCGAGACCTTGGGCGACTTCGCCAAGCGACGGCGGGATCCAGGCTCGACATTGCTGTATCTCATCATGGCCATCGGGTGCACCACACTAGAGCGCGCGGGGCAAATTCCACGTGATACGGCGTCCAAGTTCGACGTGGCCTACACAGACATCATCCAGGAATGCCTAAATCGGGAGATCATCGAGTCCGTCCAGATCCTAGTCCTGTTAGCCCTATACTCTCTGTTCGACCCGACCGGGGCCTCACCCTGGTCCATTGTCGGCATCGTCTCGCGACAAGCCATGATGCTAGGCCTCACGCGCCGCGCAACATCAGACGACCACAGCAGCGGCAGCTGCATCCCCGCCATCGAGACCGAACTTCGTCATCGCCTCTACTGGAGCATCTACGTGCTCGACCGCATGATCTCCACCTCCCTAGGCCTCCCCGTATCCCTAACCGACGAAAATACCGACGTTCCCCTTCCGGGTCTGACCATCGCCGAGTTCGCGTCCCCGGACCGCCCGCACTTCGCCGTGATGTTGCAAACCAGCCGACATGTCATCCAGCTGCGGCAGCTCGAGGACCGCATCCTGAAACAAGTCCATTTCCGCAAGCAGGCCGAGGTGAGCATGCTGACGGCATTCGACCGGAGGGCCATACTGCAGGATATCCGCGCCGATGTGGAGAACTGGTACAGCAACGGGTGTTTAGTGTCCACGCCGCTGGAGCCAGATAATGTGCCCATTCATAACTCGATAACGTGGTTGAGTGCGAGGTATTATTATTTGTTGCTGTTGATGTATTACCCTTGTCATTTCAACTCCCCCTTGAACTCCCGCTCTTCCCACCTCACGTCGTCGTCCTCCTCGTACGCCTTTCCTGTTGCTAGCGCCTCTGTCGTGTCCCAGCTCGAACTCCTGAGGTTCGCGCAAAAGCACATCCAGTCTACCTCGGCCCTATTCCAGCAGCGCCAGCTGCCCCTGAACCGAGTGACGCTGTGCCGGTTGTTTCCTGTGGGGCTGGTGTTTATGCAGGGATTCATCGCGTGGGGAGGCACTGAGTGCGTCGCACATGATTTTCCGGCGAGCGATGAAGTCTTGCTGTTGGTGAATATACTGGACGCGTTTCCGGAAGGTTGGAAAGATGCGCGGAGGGCGGCGACGGTTTTAACGACGTTTTTGGATGTTATTGCCGGGACTAGAACTGTGGCGGGAACGAGGACAGAGACGACGGTGAACCATGGACCGGGGATGCGCTTTCCTCACACGAACATGCCATTCGTTGGCGGTGGTGGTGTTAGTCAGAGCAGTTCAAGGGCTGCGTACCATGATGTCCTGGAGGCCACATTGACGGCGTATCTGGGGCTCTTGCAGGAAGTACTGGGCACAGCAACGTGCTATCAGTTTTTAGAGATGTCGGATGAGAGGGAGGTGGTTGGGATGGACATGGACAGCGGTGTTGGTGAATCCATGAATAGTCCATTGGGAATGAGGAGAGAGTCGATGGAGACGGGTATGAACGGTATAAATGGTGTAGATACGCTTGGAGTTGTTGGGGGTGAAGAGGGGGTTATGGGATATGGTGGCTGGGGGCGAGTAGAGATGGATTTCTTGTAGCAGCCACGAGAGAAGGGGGACATGAAAAAACGAGTAGGGAAGAGAAGGGACGAGAAAGGATGAGGTGGCAGGAGACACATAACCGGTGTTTGAAGGTGATATGTGTGTGTGTTGCATTAGCATGTGATTATGTACTGTAAGTCAAATCTACACTTCCCTTACTGGGGTACCCCCCTGACGATATGCGACACCACCCATGCTCGCCTGAGACGGACGTTCTCGGTACAGGCGTAAAAGAAAGAGACACGTTGAGAAACGCAAGTGTTGGTTTGAACAACGGTATAGAATTTTATAATGGCGTTTGGTGTTGTCGCGAGTGAGCACCGCCTGATCCCGGTCGCCCAAGACATCCAGAATCTCGATAACATTGACAAGCTCATCTCGGCTATATATCGCATTTAATTATTCCCGCAAGCTAGACCAGTTTCGAAAAAGTCGCGAGGTAGATAACTCCGCACCTGGTATCGAACTGAGTGCTTGAACCTCAACAGTTTACGTGAAATAAAACCTTGTTATCTTCGAAGAAACTGTCAACCTGAACAACCGGCGACAACGCCTTCGACACGATCCAGTCGTCGTCGAGATCATTCTCAAAAGAAAGCGCAGTCCGCTTCGTCAACAAGTCAAACAGACGAGTCAACGACACCATTGGTCTCTGTTCTTATTCCAACCTTAACAGGCTCTTAGTGAGGAAGGCCATGAGGCGAGGAGCCTCAAGGAGCAGGGATTCAACCATAACGCATGGAAGATTGAAGGGGCAGAGGATATGTACGTGTGATCCAGCCTGGCTTGTAGCCATCCAGGGAAGCCAGCGTTCGTTGCGTAAGCCAGAAGTTGCGAATGGGTTGATTGCGCTTCGAAGGTAGTCAACTATATATTGTGGTTGGTTGAGCCGTCATATGAATTCCGACACTCTCAAGAGCCCGAAGCTGCATCCAAGGCGAGGGTGTCATTACGCACGTCGACACTCCATAATGCCAAATTCCTCGGCCGATTCGGCCGAGATATGTCCAAGGTCTTTCGGCTTTCGCCATGAATGGCTCAGGAATAGGCGCATCCCCTGCCCCGCGCCTTAGCGGCTTGGAAGCCATTATCTCCGTATTCGCCGGGATTAACGCCGATCGGATGTGGTGTAACTCAGCACTGAAATCGGTACCACCCAGCTAGTTGTTACATAGTACACAATCAATGACAAGGTGGCGCGAGAGAGGGCCTGACTCCGACCCTGCTCACTAATGACATTTGAGCTCAGGCATACTGAATTTATTATTATTATTATTATTATTATTATTAAATACGCCGTAGGCTCGAAGCCCCCGATACCTCTACTAGTACTCCCGTATGTCAAACCGTGCCCTAATGGCTGGACTAAATACATACGCTGCGTCGTCGGTTCGCCCTATTGGCGACTGCGTTACGTCCACTACCATACTACGTTGGTTCTCAACCTACCAACAAAGTCCCCCCTGAGAAGATCGATGCTATCTGGGCCTTGAAGCTGTCCGACCCGTCCCTAGCAGCCACCTTACAATAGTCCCACTAACTACTGGTTCTCCTGTTGCCGTTGCGAGGTCTCTGCGAGAGTATAGTGGCCGTGGTGCGATGGCGGCCCGTAATCGTTCCCTCGGTCCTTCCAACAGCCCGCAAAAGAGGATTACGTGCTCTGCCGTCTCAGGGGCGTCGCTACAGCGGCATAGCGGCGAGTACACGCCAAAAGCCCCTGTCTTGAATAAGAAGGCTGCTAGTCCTATTTTTCCGTCCTGATCTGGCACAGCGTAGACGCCTCCAGTCGGTTCAGGCCGAAATACCTGCCCCCTTTCGGTATCTGCATCGAAGGGCCCTCCGGTTCCTCAGCGATAGCGCGTCGCTGGCGATCGTGATGCTCTGCTCCGGTGAGCCATCTCTTCCTCCAGTGGCCGAGGAGGGCAGCCGGGACCTCATTTTCCTCACTCATCCACTCGGAGCCCCGGGCCTCCTTCTCCATAGTGTACTCTGCCGGTCGGAGTAGCTGCGACGCCTGCTTCCTCTTCGCCGGCCTATCCTGCCGGAGTATATGTGACGCTTTAGCGCTCGCGCTGCGAAGCAGATTTCTCTTCCCGCTAAGCCGTAGCCGTTCTTCAAACTTAGCAGCCCGGGCACTAAGATAGAGGTCTAGTGGCGGGATTGCTGCTTCTGCTTCCAGGTGGCGAACCGGCGTCGCTTTGTGGGCGCCACAGACTACCTGGAGGCACTCGTTCTGTATCCCCATCAGGCTCTTAGCTGGCCCTGCCGGTTCCTCACTTATAGTATGCCACGCAGTCGCCCCGAAGGCGATCGCGCTACGGATAACCACCGTATATAACAGCCTCGCCCGTATAAGATCGCAGCCCCACGACATATTGACTAGCTTTGTCAGGGCTAGCTTTTGAGTTGCCATTTTTGTTTTAACACGCTCAACATGGGCGTGCCACGTCAGTTTGCGGTCGAACCAGACTCCTAGGAACCTCGCTGAGACTACCGGCGACACTGTGGGAATATAATGAAGTCTTAAGATAAGGTAGCTGAGATCTAGGTAAATACCTAGGCTAATTTTCTACTTCAGATATGCTAACGCTACGTCGAACGTATTCGGAGTATTATCAATTAGGTTATCGAGTTAAAGGATAGTAACGAGCACCTAGCCGCAGAATCATATAGCATAGTGATGCTCGACTACAATGGGGTTTACCCTGTAGCCATAGTGATACGAAAAGGTAGGGAGACCCACTGGTTAGGTGAATCCCATTCAATTAGGTACTACAATGTTACGCACTACTGCACTATAGTGCCTTTACCCCCTAGTAGCACGCATTACATAGATAAGATGAGCTAGGCAGCTCAAGAGGGCCGGCCTTCAGCCAGCTACATAGCTGGCTAACCAAGCTTTCCTAATAGAACTATACCCACCCCGTATGTTCACACATCATATAGGGACGGCGGTGGTGGCTGATAATAGAGGGCTTTAGCTTAATTCACGGCTTTCACAGCTATGACACTTAGACGACGATTCTGACCAGAAGAAGGGCTTAGGAATAATTTAAAACCCAATGAATCCTAGCCTTAGGTGCAACGATGACCTTATCACGTTGCTAACTAGTTTTATTTTAGCTGTGGTTACTGCTGAGCACCGAACTTCCGATAAACTCCTGCTTAACGCCAAGCCACTGTGGCAAGGGATCTTGATAGTCTAATAACTTTCTGCTACAATGTAGAGGCTCTGTACCAATGCCGGGCGGCCTAATTAAGCAGCTGATTACTATACTAGGCTGGAGCAAGGGCTTCCTGTGGCTAAAACGACCGGCGGTTAGTACATAAAAAATCAATCTCTACAATCTAAGCTTTATGTCAACTTCACCTCGTTTGTATTTTTAGAAAAATGGCCAAGTGACAGTTGTATTGCCCCTGTAGCAGTTTAATTTTCTAGTGGGGGTGGTCCCCAAACTTTTAAATCATGACTGTACCCTAACCACGAGATATGAAGTATCTATTCCGTAGGCTGCAACAGCCTTCAAGTTCTTCGACTTGGTGATTGCTTATGTGAAATGAGAGGACATTGACTTGTTGAAGTTCAGATGTGAAACGACAACAGCCCAACATAACTCGTTACTCGAACCTCAATCCTTCCCACTGGAAATGGAAACACCTCGTGATCATGCTAAGCAGCAGTGCGAAGCTCGACAGTGTGCGTAGAGCCGCACTCTCTCTCTCACTGCTGTCGTATCATTTCTGCATATCAATCTTCGAAGCAAACCTCCTAGCCACCTGAGCCAACCTGTCGCTGATTTCGGCTCCAGCTGAATCTTTCAAGCACTGATAAACCACAGGAACCAGCCGAGCAAGTTTGTCAATATGCGTGTTCTCATCCCAGGCAGGGAGGCCGTAAGCTTCCACCTCATGAGAGAACCCCTCCCTCAGGAGCATAAGGAATTCGACACTCTCATCATACACCTGGAAGTAGTCTACCGAGAGCTGGCCTTCCAGCAAATCGTTGGTGGTCGCCGCCAGGGTCTCGAGTAATTGCACAGGGGCCACCTTCTGCGATTAGAAAGCATCATTCTGCAGCCTCTGGATGGTACTGGAATCGAGTGCCAACGGGTCATCTAGGATGGTGGCCAAATCTAAGTCGCCCAGGACGGCGGCATCACTCATGACTCCGTTACTGCCAGGGGCCATGAGCGCCTTCTGCCTCGGAAACAGTGACTGAAACTTGAGATTAAACTTTTCCTTGAGGATTTCACGCAGATACGTCATCGACCGCCTCAACCGGCTACTGTCCCAGCCATACCTATCGTTGAACGCATTAAAGGTTTTGGAGGTCTGATTGAAGCCCGCAACCATGCCGGCTGGGGTAGTCGCCAACTCGTGCTCCACAAACCTCTCGAGAATATCCAGAGCAGTTGCCTCAGACGATAATGGCCCACGGAGTACTTTGGATTCCCCGTGGAATTGCAGAAATCGATCCATCGCATGCCAACTAGGCACATCGCCACCGAGACGCTGCAATGCCTTGTAAGCAAAAGCTGCCGCAAACACGATGGGCGAGGAGCAGATCAAGCGATAACCAAAATTGTTCATGACCAATCGACATCGAAAGTCCAAGAGACCAGCCCATATCGGGTCCCGTTTCAAGAGGTGGTGTTCTTCGATCGGGTCGGTGCATCCATGTAATTGGTACCGCCTCTCCTTATCACTCAGCGTAATATCTCCTAGAATTACAGCTTCGATCTCGGCAATGCGGGCTCTTATCTCCCGCTTGAGTTCCGCATTGCCTCGTATCTTTGCCAAGTGCCGGGTCAAGGTTTCATGGGTCTTCCGTGCCGTCTTCTGCAATTCTGTAAACGCACTGGAGACCTCGGCCTCCATGATATATCGAATATCAACGTAGAGACTGAGACTGAAGATGAATGCGGACGTGTAGTCTCGTTGGCGAAACATGTATTCGAAGTTGAGAGTCAGCTCGTCCTGTGCCCCGATGACGTCCGGGGCTTCGTGGTTCGTCTTCATCGCTTTGATGGTGCAAATTTCTGGAAACACCTCAAAGATGACGGCGCGGACAAAGTCCCTCATACCGTAGGCGTCGAGGGTGCCATATTCTGGTTTCTTCCTGTCGGCGTCGCGGAATGTAGGAACCTTTCCAGGAGGAACAAAGTCTAGGAGTTCTTCCATATGAACATGAGCTGGCCATCCCACCCAATCTGCTTCACGGTATATCTTGTTGTGCAACTCCTCCTCGCTAAGGTTCTTGTCACTCTCGTAGTCGATGTGGTCCAGCCCGTATTCAAAAAACAGGGTGTCCATCATGGTCTCGTACTCTAACATCACCGAGGATAGCTTGAGCCTTCGTCCGGTCCTGAACAATTCGAATTCCATCTCGTCGAAAAGCTCGCAAGCCGCGTTGGTGATGACGGCAAGCGTATCGATGGGGATCGACCTGTAATAGAAGTAATCGCACCATTTGTCCGCGACATACTCTCTGATCATGTTGAAGTCTTCAAAGAAACAATAGATCATCATCTGCATAGAATGTTCAGTGATGGAACCAGGAATTTTTTGCTGGGGCAATGAATCACGTAGTAATCGAACTCATCCTCGTCATCTTCATCAAGCCACTGAAACTCATCAACCCAAGAGTCCGACGCATCTACCTTAGCGACAGTCTTGTCCTGTTTCGGCTTCTTCTGAACCTTTTTCATCTTCCCCTTGTTACCGCCCTTCTTCCCCAGCTTCCCCGCCTTCTTCGTCTTCATCACAGGTTGCTTCTCAGGCCCCGACCCCTCCGACTCCGCATCCTCAGCATCCTGTGATTCATCCAGCTTCAATTGTGCAAACATGTTATTAATATCGCTCATATCCAGCTGAACCGTAGAACTTGGCGCGGAACGAGACTCCCCGCTGTTTTTGTTTCTTCTTTTCGACACAGCCTCTTCGAACTGTCCCAGGATCCTCTCCAGAACCTTGATGATATGCTCATGCGCCGCATTTTTCTCCTTCAGCTTGTTATCATCCGAGCTCTGAGCCACCCTGCCAAAGAAGCGCGCGCTCTTCTTCCGCAGATTGACCACGTCGCGGAGGATGCTGATTGACGACTCAGGGATTTCCTCAGGGAGCACATTGTTGATAATGGTTCTGGCCATATTTTCTAGTTGAGACCAGTGCACAGTGCTGGCGCTACTGTGACCGCTGTTCGCCTTGGGGACCGTCTTGGACCCTGAATTAGAGTTGCCACTGGTGGAGCCTCGCAATTTGTCCGACGTCTGCTTCAACCATTTTGTGAATTGAGCCTGGCCAAGCTTGTAACGCTTCCAAGTCCCAATGGATCCCGAGTGCTCCATGGTTGAGTTGGTTCAACCGGTTAGTTAGGTTCGAGGTCTAGTGTGGACACTTGCTTGGTCGAAGCATAGAGCAGATCAGTTTCCCATGAAAACTTGATAGAGATGCGAGCAAGCAACCGACATGAAAACACGTGACGTTCCTGGTCGGTTCTGGGCTGTGGATCAACAATTTAAGTGATAGGCTCGTACTTTCATGTTCACCCAGTCAGTGTGCACCACTTCTTAACTGTGAGGGTTGCTTGACGTTTGTTGGTTTCATGATGGTATTTGCGAAATGGTGTGCAAGAGGTGCTCCTCATCAGCCCACGTTCATTCTATCGGCTACGGTTGGGTCCACACTATTCAACCTCCTTCAGCAAGACCTCCAGTAGTAACTCGCGATCCACAGGTGCATCTCTCCTTAACTGCATGTTCGTCTTCCTGCTTTCGACGACCAGCACCTCGCCAGTTTCGCTTTTCCTAAAGTACGCCATCACACCACCCTTTCCATCCATTCGCGCAGTCAGGCGGACGTACTTCTCACCCGTATCGGTAAACTTATGCGTAGGGATGAAGCGTAGATCATTCTCATTGCACCAGTCCTCGATCTCGTCTCTGAATGTCTTTTCCCTTTGTACGGGTTCTGGTGGCTGTGCAGTAGGCATGTGCTGTTCGATGCGTTGAGCCTTATCCCTGTGAGACCTTGGCTTCGGCTGGTGTGCGGGCTGTTTCCTCGGAGCAGACAGGCGAGATTTGGCGTTGGGTCCGAGATCCAGAGCCTGTTCGATCAAAGCCATTCCCTTTTCGAATTCGGCCGCAATGCTCTCGTTACTCTTCAAGTCTCCCAAAACTTCATTCTGCCACCACTCAAACCAGGCACCCACCTCCTCGTAGTTTGCCTCATCGCTCGTAAGCCACTGGTACAACACATCGAGCCACATCGGAAACACTTCTGCCACTAGGACCTCAGCGACCATGCTTGGTGCGAGGACATCCATCCACTTCAGCACCCCTGTCAGCATAGGAAGATATGGCTCCTGATCGCCGGGATCAACACGAAAGTTGGTGCGCAGGTATCGTGCCATTGCGGGAAGGACGTGATGCATAATAAGCGGTTTCCATTGATCCTGACTTTTGGATGGGCGGAATATTTCCTTCCATTGCTTGAGTCCAGGTATAACACCTTTGTCGAAATCCCATGCGTCGATAAGCGCACGGAACTTGCGGCGCACATCAGACACGATACCAGTACCTCTGGGATCAAGGTGATGGGTCGGCAGATGTTGAAACCATGGAAAGAGCCAAAGGTGCGGCAGGTGTTGTTGGTGTTTCTTTCTGGGTTTCCAGGCGCTGATTGCATCGTCTAGCCTCCTAACAACTTGGTCGAGAAGCTGGGTACGAACGAAACCGGGCAATAGAGAATCCCACTTGTCAAAAACAGCAAGAAGAGGTGCTGAGTCATACACGTCCCACTGCGTCGCGATGGTGGTGATGAGTTTAGGAAATAATAGCTTGTAAATCATACTTTCGTAGGGGGTTGTCGATTTCTTGTGGTGCCGATGCGTGCCATCGATATCGTGTTCGTCCCATTTTGCGACGGCATTTCCATTAATGACCTTATCGTCCAAACTAAGAACACCGCGGATGGACGTCAGGTCTGATACAAAGTTCCCAAGCTTCGGATCTTCCATAGGCAACCATCCTTGGACGGCATCGCGCATAAAGGGGTGTATCGCCGCAACTGCGATGGCAGCATAATCATCATCAGAAGACCCGGCAGCTTCTACGTCTTTCAAGCCTTTGATAATAGGATCCCACTCTTTGTCTCTTGCGGCTTGAGATATCACGTCCAAGGCTGAAGCAAACTTTTGGAGGCTCGCAAATTCCTTTTGCACTTCGTCCAACTCTTGCTGTCGTTGATGTGTCTCCATGCCCAGCCATGCCTTTCTTTCCTCCAAGGTTTTCCATTCTTCGACAAAGGCGCTGAGATCTCTTTGTGCTCGACCAGCCAGTTTACGTGCTTCAGTCTGTTCCACAACCTCCGTGCCAGTCGTAGGGGTCAAGAGTCCAGAACCCGACGTCAGCATCTTTTTTCCCGGTCCCGTCATGTCCAAAATAGGCGCAAAAGCATCTGGAATATGCAGCCCGGGAGCTGCCTTCTTGATATCACTGACTGTGAGGTACCTCGTCTTGGGTTTTCGCGGTGTGCTCGCGCCACTCCCTGCGCTGCTGACGTGCCCCTGCTTCTTTCTGTCTCGTTTCCGTTTCTTCTTCTCTTCGTCGGAGTCAACGATTTCCTCACCTCGCAGACGAGCTTGTCGCTTCTCTTCGTCACGTTCCTTCTGCGACTTCTCCCTGACAGCTCCAAGACCCACACCCTGAGGTCGCAGATTTGGCTCGATGATGACATTACGTCCTTGACCCTCGGCACCCAGACCTTTGCCTCCGACATAACCCATCTTCTCCATCATGCGAGCTGCAAATGATTTAGCCTTCCCACCGCCTCCAAAGGCACTGGGCTTGGGTTTAATAACAGGCGTGTCATCCTCAAGGTCATCCTTGAGCACGGGTACATTCGCAGATGATGGCACGAAGCCTTTGCCCAGTGGTGTGCTCCCATCATACTTTGTCTTGAATGAGCCTGTTGTCCTAAAAGCGGGTTTGCTCGGCGTGCTCGCGGATGTGGTGTTTTCGGTTTCTGTAGGCGGCGCCCAGCCCAGACCTTGCCCGGACTGTCGAAACCCTAGCCCAACTCCAGCCATACTCTCATCTTCGTCCTCATCATCGTCATCTTCTTCTTTTTCGACAGTGACAGTCAGCTTAGCACCGAGACCGGGGCGGCCGGTGTCTGTATACTCGTCGTCTTCCCCATCTTCTTCGTCGTCCTCGTTCTCATCCAATTTCATTTGACCCGCAGACACGAAAGCCATGTTCTTGCTCCTCAGATTTTGCTTTCCCTTCCACCTACGGCCTGGTCCATCGTCTTCACTATCCGAGGCAAAGATGCCAAGAGCAGCGCTCTCTTTCGCATTGCCGCCGGTTCGTCGTTTCTTACGCGGGTTAAAGTCGCCGAAGTCGTCGGCTCGAGGATCGACAGACGGTATCGCGAAGTCATCGTCGTCGTTTTCATCGGAGTCAGAGGACGAATAGGCTGCCGCGTCGGCTTTGGAGATGTTGCCTGCATTGAACGACATGGTAGGCAAGATGTTGATGACGGAAAATGCAGTGGGAATGGTGTTAGCGTTGTAATCACCGCCGGGGTATAATGATTAAGAGAAACTCGGGATCGGCGTCGCAATGCGCCTGGAAAATATCCCACCCACCGCTGACGCGACAAACATGAAAAGCGCGTTGAAGCAGCTACAGCCCTTATATCTAGAGTCATTCAATTTGCCGTTTCCAAATACAATTGTATGGTAACGCTTATCTTATCAAAGCCGTGGCGACCGTGCGAATATACATAACAATGGACACTGTACGCGCATGTGTGAACATGGCAAGCCAAGTTAAAGACTTAGAACTGATGCATATCGCAGTTTTCGATTTTGGGTATATTCAGTTTTCATGCTATTTCTTGATACGTCATTTCTCCGGTTTCGCCTTGATGCTCGTAGTACTAAGTATTTTCATCAGCATCCAGTCCAGCTTCTCAATCCACCCCCGAACATACGCCTAATGCTACTCTGACGTGGTCAGTTCTAGGCGATATGGTTCTTTGGTTCTTGCCATCAAGTGATGATGCATCGCGACCATCAAATCATTCCATGTCCTCCCAAAGCCCAGCATGAAGGTGATCACTTCTTGACGCCATCCATCCACTCCTTATGGCCCTTCGCTCCCTCGTGAGCTTGCCTGTACAACTTCTTCTCCCACTCTTCAAGGCCCCTCATGAAGTCCTCTGCGGATCCAGCATCGCCCGTAGCGCCTGCTTTGCGTCCATGCAGCGCGACCTCACCGGCCCTAACGACGAAGCTTCTTCGCAACACCACGCCTAGCTCAGGTTCCTCAAATAAATCCAGCATTCGCGCTCCCAGTCCATAGAAGTTTTGGCTCTGATCACGCAGCGGTACGGCGCGGGGGTCAGCCTTGAGCGCGTTCAATACATTATCTCCGAGCGCTGGGGGAAGGGACAGCGTCAGAAATGGCGTTGATGATTGATGGGTCAGCGCAAGAAGCTCGGCTAGCCATAGGGGTAGGTTGACGGATGTGCCTGCTTTAAGGGGTTGCGAGGGGTTGTTGTCCAGATAGCCTAGGTCTGGGACTTCAAGCTCGAACTTGCAGGGGACTTTCTGAGAGAGCGTCAGTGGAGGTTCAGGGGGTTCAGAGAAGCCCGTATAGCGAATAGTACCTCGGAATCCGTTAGGATCACATCTAAATCATAGTACGACATAACGTCACTGCCTCACGGTTCATCATCCCGATATTTGGTCACAAGCAGCTTGTTCAACATCGCCAATCTTGTGGTCGCGAAGTAATTCCGCGCCAGGTGCCACGAAATCTTACAGCTCCATATTGCGTTTGGTGGCTTGGCCATTAGTGTGGCTGAGAATGGGTCAGCCATTTTAAGTCGGCTTAGAGTGTCCCAAACTCAAATCACCAATTGGGATCTGCACACATTAAAAGATCTTTGACATGTCATAATTTCTCATGTAATTTGCAAGCATAGCTTAGCTTTGTATGATTTAACAGCAGTCCATCTCGTCACTATGTTACAAAGGATTCCAGTAAGCTACTCGGATAATTCGGACTTGTCTGATACACCGACAGGGGCTCAAGCTCAAACCTGTAGCTGCCGATGACGAAATCTTGACATCCCGCATATAGCTCCGAGAGGATAAGCCGAGAAGCTCCAAACTTCAGACTAGGATCACAAATTGACGGCTCAGTTATCTTGACATCATCACCTAAGCTCGTGCTCAATCCCCAGATCACTCCCATCACAACGCCAATTAAATGTGAGCAGCTTGCAACACTTCAGAAAGTCGAGTCGTTTCCCACATATATCGCTGACCCAAAGTAGCAATTGACTGTCAAGATGCCTATCCGTCTCCCCACCACAAGCCTCCGCACAGCTGGCCAAGCTGTCCGAGGTGCCCGCCCCGCGAGTGTCGTGGGTGGCATTACTTTTGCGCGAGGCAAGGCCACACTTCCTGACCTGTCGTGTAAGTTCGCATCCTCCACATTCGCGGCATTTAACCATACTGGTTCCATACTGGTTCTAATTGGTCCAACCGCAGATGACTACGGCGCCCTCGAGCCCTTTATCTCGGGCAAGATCATGGAGCTCCACCACAAGGGCCACCACCAAACCTACGTCAATGGCCTCAACAGTGCCCTCGAGGCCATCGCCGATGCCAAGGCCAAGGGTAACGACATGCAAGCCGCGGCCGTAGCACCTCTGCTCAACTTCCACGGCGGTGGCCACACAAACCACACACTCTTCTGGGAGAACCTGGCACCGAACAACAAGGGCGGCGGCGGCGAGCCCGAGGGCAGCCTCAAGGGCGCCATTGAGAAGGACTTCGGCTCCTTCGCCACCCTCAAGAAGCAGGTCAACACGGCCTTGGCCGGTATCCAGGGCAGTGGCTGGGTATGGTTGGCGCTGGACAAGACGGCCGGCACGCTGCAGGTCATCACCCGCCCGAACCAGGACCCGGTTATTGGCAACATGATACCCTTGCTGGGTATTGATGCCTGGGAGCATGCTTACTATCTGCAGTACCAGAACCGCAAGGCCGAGTACTTTGAGAACATCTGGAATGTGGTCAACTGGAAAACTGTGGCCAAGAGATTGGAGAAGGCCGCATAGGAAGAAGTCGGGCATCAAAATGATGACGATGACCGTGGTGGTTCCGGAGGATGGCTTGCCGGCGCGCTGACGCTCTCGTTATTCGACCTTGTAAGCTAGTTGTATGATGAAAACGCCGGGAGAATATTCATATTAAGCAAGTTGTGTCACATTCATAGAATCTTGCCATGTGACGCCCTAAGCTTCTGCTGTTGATGAGTAAGCTCATGCGTCCAAGTTAGATGTAAACCCGACTATGACGCCATTCGCCAACTACATGAAAATGAACATGTCCGTTCTCAGTTCCTCCAACTCATGTCTTGACTGTTGACCGTTGGGTACGGCCGATTCGCATGGCTCGTCTTTCCCATCGCTTGCGCCACGCATCCAATTAGGTAATTACTTGGGTATAGAACAGCAAATGGACATGTTCTGGTGGCTGCCATTGTTACCGGTGTCGGCTGAAGGAACGGTTGCTGGGGCATGGAGGCCGAAAGAAAATGGAGAAATAGTGGGAAAAAGAAAAAGAAAGGTGGAATGGCCCGATTCCGAAATCGACGGGTATGTGCCTTCCACCTAGCAGGGCTTATTTATAGGATTGACTAATTGCTGCTTCTCTACTACCAATCTAACCAGGTTGACTTATTTGTTGTAGGCGATGTTCAAATTGGGAGTTTTGAAGCGATCTATTATGATTCGGTTTCTGTTATGAGACGAGGTACTGAAAGTGGTTGATGCTCTCAATGTTGGGTTTGGCATATTCGAGGATTCTAGAAAACATCAGACGTGAAAGTTGCTGGCTACGGTTTTTTCCTATATATGTAGTCAACACTCACTGTTCAACACTCCCTGTATAAGCAAAAGGCCATATTCCGGTGTTTCATGTGTAGTCAATACGCTACTGCAACTGGAACACAACTATCTTTGCACTTATACCGACCCGTAGCAGTTGGAGAAGCGGTGAATACGTAGTGTTTTCTCTCGAGAAGTCAAAAAGTCACAAATTGGGACACCAATATGAGCTTGGTAATTCTCGTCTGATTGTGCCGGGTATACCTCATGCCTGACACGTTCAGACTCAAAGCTCGCCATTGAATTGTGGAATTTCATCACTACAAACACCTGAACCCGGGCCTTCTCTTCAACCCTTTTGAACGATAACCGGTTCTGTTGGATTGTGGGCAAATGGTCTTGTATTGAAAGTGTCATGATCTCTGGAGAGCTCTGAACGAAGTGAACGGCGGCCATAAGGGCCTTGTATAGACAGTAATGACTGATGCCTGTCCCACAGGCAGGACTTGTGTGGTTCGATGGGTGGTGCTCATATTGGCCCATAACGTACGGTGCGTGGCCATATGTCCTTCCAAGACTGGCAGTCTTGATGTAGTAGCCTTGAAGGTCCAACAGGTTCTTCCCGCGAACATACGCACTGATCAATATTTATACGCCACTGGTAGGATCTTATTGATTGATGATGTCTATGAACTCTTGGTTTCATACGCATGCCGTTTCTTCAGTTCTCGTCCGATGACTGGGAAGAATCAAACACGTAGCCGAAAGCATCGTCCCCCAGTGCCAAGTTTCTTTAGACTGACGAGGAACGTACATTATCCATCATGCTCATGTCTTTGACGAGAAATTTCATGTCCAACACGTGGTTGCCTCCATCAACATTCGCTGGTACTTGCATCAGGGCTATTTCCTGTCATTAATCTCGATTAACAAAAGCACCTTGGTCACAGCCTCCTGGCTTGCTTCGGCGAATTCTGTCGCAAGTTCTGCTGCATGTCCACCGGATCCAGATAAGCGCATGACCGAGTCGATGATGATGTATACGGTTTCTTCCTTCGGGAATTCCCGCAGGGGGTGGTCAAATAGTTTCCTAAGAGAAATTGCGATTTTAAACGACTTGGGTCGATATATTTTCCTGCTCATGAATGATAGGTCGATGGGAAGCCTCCTTTCCACGATGTGATGTAGGATTTGCGCGATAAGGAGTGGCAGTGGCCCGGATCCTGATTCAGGTGTGCCCGCCTGGTTCCGGAAGCCGCACACTTGTCAGAACTGGAAACCCAGAAGTACCGGAGAGACTGAGGGTCAGGAAGACTTGTCCTTTTCTTCGAAGCCCAGGATGGCCCTGATTCTGGTATCGAAGTCGATCCACTATGATGATCAAAGTTGGTTTACTGACCGTTGTCTGTCGAGGTGTCACTCACAAGTTGCGTTGCGGCCGTCAAACAGTAGCGGTGCTTGTTAACATTTGGTAGAATTCACTGATGATCCAGTGTTTTCGTCTCCGTTCGCTCAAAATGTACTACAAAATGGATCAGATCAGCAGAGGTAGAGGCTGTTACCGACATGGTAGTACCGTACCGTCGATTTTGGTTCGAGTGGTTTCCGCAATGAGGCCAATGCGGTCCATTTTCTTGTCCATTCCGCCGATTCTCATTGAATCGCACAATCTGGATTACTCGTCGAATGTATCTACCGCATTTGTCAAAGAATCTGTCGCGTCTTGATCTTAAACCCATACTTGTTTTCTTTTGCACTTCAAGACACCATTCTTCCTGTAATATTCGTTACACCTATGTACGTGTATAAAAAAATTGCAAGAATCACATACTCTATGATCCCATTGACAGCTCACCCATCAGTATCCCGAGGATCTCAGGTATGGTAACAAAGTCGCCATTAGCAGCTGTGTTCAACTCCTTGGGATGACAGTGAATCTGTATCGTTGCCTTGACTCTTCTCAGTCTCCATGGAATCTCTTCCAACGCAGACAAAATATCTCCACGAATATCATCGGCTGGATCGATTGCCTAAGTCAGTCAGCTACTGAAGGTGGTCACAACGCTTTGCAAGGCGAGAGCATCACCTACCCCGAGTATCATTGTAAAACCCCTGCATATGACAGAGCCGTAGGTGTCGTTTGGAACAAAGTTCAGAAGCTTATGCAGAGTGCCTTTTATTCTGGCGGTGCTGCGGAACCACTTCTCGATCTTATCAAGGAAACTACTAGTTTTGGCACTTTGACGCCTTTCCTGTAAATTCTGGGCGATTTCGAGTACGTCTTGAATGGTATCGTCGTAAGACTCTTTGAGGGCTATGTAGGTTTATGGCCAACTTTCTGTTTCTCGAGGTACTGGCAGAACTGCATAATTGTCTTTTTGAACTTCACCCTCTGTTCTTCAGACTCCCCGAAATAGTCAGGTCTATCAATGTGTTAGCAAGACAAATAAGACCCTAATTGTGCAATACTCACAGTGAAAAGTCAATCGCCGCAGTGGATTTCTCCATCTCCGAATTACATTGGCTATCCGTTGCGGACGAGAGCGATATCGCTAGATCAGGTCCAAATGTTTCGTCTGGCTGAGTTTCGACTGCGCTGTTTACCAAGGTTCGGGACCTCAAGGTTCCCCTCCAATTACATATTGCGTGAGAGCCGTCGCGATCGAGCAGTGTCTCCGCCATTGAATAGATGCGGCGACAGGTTCAAACAGTTGAAAGTCGTATTTCTAGAAAATGGATGATTTGGACGTGTGAAGACTCAGCATGATACGTCTGCCCGCTCTCTGCATAGTGGTTCTCTGCGTGTTAAGACTAAAGATCTTGACCTACGCTAAGTAGGACAGATTAGAGACGCGACTAAGATAGGAAGGGAATGAGCACCGGTTGAGGTTAGACAGGTATGGAGCTGGATATATCTATAGTACTGGCAGGATTTCAGGATTAAAAGGGCAGCCTATAATGAGTTCCTTCAGAACGTTCCTTGCATCTCAAAGCTTCGAGTCATTCCATTCAGTAATAAGACACGCCAGTCATGAATACAGACAGCCAACAGCCTCTTATAAAGAGCCTGCTGGACCAATATCTCTAGCCAACTCAAGACTCAGCGGTCATACCTCCGGGAAGTGTCGTAAGCCCTGATTCGCATTAGCGTATGTCATTTGCAACAGCAAGATAGCTTCTAGTGCACTTACATCCGTCAATAGGCTCACTGACCGTCTTGGACTTGCTGCACTTGTTCATGGCCGCCGTGTCCTGCGTCTTGAGCGTTGCACAGTTGATGTAGCAAGGCGAGTCCAAAGCGCGCTGCAAAGCGTCGTCCTTCCATCCGAAGACGTAGTCGGCATGGTTGCCGTATCCGGTACTGAGATTGGAGATATTTCAGCGTATATTTACTTACTTTATGCAGGAAATGGGGAGGATAGGAAACGGGGGGTCAGAGAATCAGAGACAGACTTACGTATCACCGAAGCTCCAGACAAAAGGTTGCGATCCGTCAGCAGGCCAGTCGGCCTTGTTGTTGAACTGGCGCGTGTCCCAGACGACCTCGTAGAAGAGCTGACCCATGCGTACGGGGTGAGTGGCCGGACAGGGACCCTTGGTCTCGAAGGTGCCCGATTCGGGGTAGGCCATATGCTGCATGTGGTCGGGGGAGTCAAGGTTCTTGCCGTCCCAGCAGCTATGAGTAGATGTTAGCTGTTAGTCACATATATTCGTGGCAGTGCTGTAGTATCCATGTCCAAAAGGGGGAGGGAAGGGATGAGAAAGACTCACGTTGGGAATCGAAGCGCGGTCATGATACCGGCCGGACAAGGCTGGTTGGGGAAGTCGGTTATCTGGGGGTCACGCGTGTCGATGCTCTGCAGACAGGTGTAGGTAAGCTGGCGAAAGCGGGCTACCTCCTCGGGGGTGCGGGCATTGACGTCGCCGATAAACATGCGGAAACCCTGACATTATGGGCATTGGTCAGCAATGACTTCTACCGGAAGTTACTCACGATCAATGGCTGGTACTGACAGGCTTGAAAGCAGTGACCTTGGAGGTCTGTTGGAAGTCATATAAGCCATCCTGCATGTAATAGATGGTCATGCCGGCATTGACGCCGTTAAATCCCGAGTTGGGAATCTGAGGCACGCGCTTGTATGTGCCATTGCGAGCCTTAAAGTAGCTGTTGATGGGGTTAGTAATGGCCTCCGATATTAAATTTCTGGATGTTTCTCTCACAGCACTGCTGTCCAGTAGTTGGAGAAATCCTCGCTAAATTGGCAAGTCGTGCAAGTGGACTCCCCGGGCATGTCCTTTGCTGGGTCCATGGAGGCGTTGAAGGAGTTCTGTCGGCCGCCTGTTAATTACTGTCGAATTTGGCGAGTTTGGGGTATACTCACTCCTCCAACAATCTGATGTAGATGCGGTGATGGCACCTGTCCGGGGGTCACCAGTGGGTCGAGACGGTCCACGACCAGCTGGGCGCACGGGAAACGGAGGAGGGCATTGCTGCATCCGAAGAGCACGATCGTGCTGAGGAGTGGCCACTTCATCTTGATTTTACGATTAAAGATTACTTGCAGCAAGTCGTTGTTGGTTATCTGAACTCGAGGAGCACCCACAAGGTGCAACTGTAGGATAGTAAGGGGTCTTATAAAATATTAGTGACACGCTCCCTGGGAAGCCAAGAGAAAATTGCCGCCCGGCCTTTAGCTATCGATAATGGACATGCATATAGTGGCAGTACTCCATTTCATGGTCAATAGGCAATAATCGTCATCTCTCTTGATAACGGCCCTTCTCGGCCCTATTGTTCACAGGTCGCGTTGATTGACCCGACAACAGTGTTGTTGTTTTTAATATCCTACATCGATGACCTACATCCTTTACCCCGTGTCCCAATGACCATATTCGCTATGTTGGACTTCAGTGTTGGACTATTTAAACAACCTAAAATCGTGCCGTAACCCGGAAAATTCCAAGGCGCCACGGACAGTAAGCACAGAAGAAATTGTCACCACGTTGTAGCCATCCAGTCGTGGAAAAGGTGCATATTCCCCTTCGGGACGTGGTCACATTCTGTGTCCTTTTGCCGGATATCCAAATTCGGGGCCAAGTGTCGGTAGTTGGTTAGTAGACGAATGATTGGCTTTCTATCAATCAACTTATTCATCCACACCGGCTGATTGCTGGATGCCAATTTACAAACTATACCACACGGAAGAAAGCCTATACCAATTTCGCCTGTGACTCTTGGATGTCACTCCAGAACATTCTATTTTTATATGTCTCACCACGGTCCACGCATAAATCAACATGCCGAAGACCTCTGCAAGACGGCACAGAAAGACAGGCCAAGGCAGTTCTTATTTTTGTTTCATCTGGTCATCGTAAGCTAACCAACTCCCCCTTCTATTGGGCCGTATCTCACCGTGCATTCCCGTCGTGCGTCTCGTGAGTTGTCGATTGATTCTCAGACCCCAACGTCATCATCTACGATCGATCAAAGTCCGATCTCGTCGCTTGTGTCACGATGAGGCTGCAGCATGCCCTCCTTCTGGCAGCAAGCCACCTCTTCCTCCTCAACTGCCCAGTCCTCGCAGCTTTCGACCAAAACCGCGCTGGCGCCGTTCTTGAAGCCCCCGCCGGTGACTCGTTCACTTCGGTCACAGGGACTTTCACAGTCCCCTCCCTGACCGGCACCAGCAAACTCTCCATCTGGGTCGCCATAGGCGACACAACGCAGCAGGACATCGTGCTGAAAGGCGGCATCACTTACGCCAACGGGCTGACTTCCTTCGCAGCCTGGTACCCAGCCGCCAACATCGATACTACTAGCGCCGTACCCGTCCGCAATGGCGACTCTATCCGCATCACCACATCATTCGCCAACGCCACCAGCACAGGAACCGTCCTCGTCGAGAATGTCACCCAGAATAAGCAGTCTACACAGACCATCGCGTCGCCTGTGGAAGATCCTGCGAGGTTAACAGCGTTGACTGCTGATTGGTTCGTACAGGCGTATCAGGATGCCGGAGAACTGGTGCAGGTCCCTAGGTTTGGTACTTTAGCTTTCACGGCTTGCAGTGCGACGTTGGCGAGTGGGAGCTCCGTTGGGCCTACAGGGGCGGGGACTTTTGAGATTCAGGGGACGAGTGGGCAGATTTACTCTGCGACGACTGTCTCGGCTTCGGGGGTGTCGATCAGGCAGCAATAGAGTAGCCGGTTTATGGGTTCTGCACCATACATTATTTACAATAGAGACAAGACTACCCCCTCATCATTTCTTAGTAGATTATCCCTTTTATGGCCCTTTGCGTAGCATATTTTATATAACTTGAGAACCTTTAGAACAACACAATTCTGGAGTTGATTGCCGTCTTCAAAATGGCGTCTTCTACCCTCCCATACCGACAACTTCATTCTCATACCATACGGTCACGTGGAGTAAAAGGAGCATACTTCGAGGTTTCTGAATAAGTCATCAACCTCACCAAGGATCGTAAACGTCCGAAGAGCTTGATTCGCGTCATCCAACCATCCACAGCAGGTCGTCTCAGGGCAACTGCACGGAAGTCACAGAAAGCTTAGACTGATACTGTCGACACTCCTCAGATATTCACAACTGAGTCACACAATTTCGTAACGATTGCAATATTTGTACTCAATTGGAAGAACCCCAAAGTACAGTTGCCCCAGGGTGTGGTAGAATCCTGACGCCAGGCTATTTCGCTAAGAGCACAGTTCTCCCAGCAGCTGATCGAGGATGCCCCCGATGGTATCCGATCAATATAGATGCAATGATCAGCGCAGAACATTATGATCATCATTTATTCGTGCTTGAAAATGGTGGTCATATTTTGGAGCCGCGCTTTGATCATCTGCCTCCAACGTCTCACCTAATGAGTTCCCACCAAACAGCTGGAAACCTTGACCTTGGCATCCATTAAAAATACAACACAGACAGCTGGCAGCAAGATCCAAGCTTCCATAACCTGTGCGTTGAAATTACTGGAGTTGTCAAGGTTATGTTCATGGGGCCAAACCTTCGCAATTGGCCTGTTGGACGGCCTGTATGATCACGCCATAATCGGTTGGTCCTCATGGTTACATTTCCAGTCTATCTAACCGCAGCAATTTCCTTCGTAGAATAAATCAAACAGTCATTCATTCCTTGGTTTCAAACGGAGAACTGTCTAGAAGCACCCAACACGACGGATGAGACCGAAATCATACAAATTATCTTGCTTCATGGTTTCGGCACCATCCGATAAGCTCCGCTGGATGCGTCGACACGATACTCAAAGAATGAGATTGACCTAGCCGCGGTGGTATTAACAAATAACACTGCCATAGATATAGTACGAACTATGGAAGAAGAGTCGACGCATTTGTTCAGGGAACACACGACCTCTCACCATATAACCTAAAGCGCCTAAAGGAATAGAGTCTGACCTTGGTATAATCCTAGAGGTTGTTGAAAGCATAATCTCAAAGACGAATTTGTTCCTAATACTACAGCACCACACCTCCCATTGCATTATCACATCCAAGAAAACGCCCCTAGCGAATATTTTGGTGGCTACCAATGAGATCAGTCTTGCTTACACGTATGAGAGACAAGATTTGACCTTGTCCGGTACCTTTGCGATCCTCTCGTCCTTCCAATACGCTACATGATTACCAGTCAACTAGGTACAGGTGTCCTCTGCGGTCCATCAGGAGCTCACAGAAGCTATGATCCCAGCGTCAGTCGAGATGTTAATCCAGCGCGGACAAGTGGAATCAATGTAAGGCTCTCTTCAACTCTTCACCGAATTTCTCATCGAACTTACGGTTCTAGGAAAGCATCGCAGCATTGCCCGGCGATGAATGAAATTTCTCGACCACAACTTCTTGAATCTATGGACAACCCTCCTCGATATACACCACGCACTACGGTCGATGTACAAAGACCAATGAGTCAACTGGCAGTCTTCTCAGGAACTTCTATAAAGCCGCTGAAGAGCCTTAGAGCCTGGACTGCCAAACCAACCTCAAGGGCCTACGCTGGGGCACCGATCAGGACAGGATGGCCGAGCACCTTCTGAAACAGCTCAGCGAGTGGACCAATGACCACATGAGAAAGCTAAAGGCTAATTCGGGACGAGCTGGCGTCACAACGTGGGAATGAAACTGACTTATGAACATCCTCTGATTTGCGGCGTCTTGGTCCATAATGGATGCGCGCTGATGCAGGACTCGGGATTGCGGTGGAGAATGTTCTCGACTCAGTTCTATCGGCTGCACAATTATATCGTGCTTGTCGCGATAAAGACCATCTGACAGTAACTTGGAAAGAGCTGGAGGATGTTTTGGTTATCTAGGGCCACGACGCAGTCTTTATCGGGCAAGACCCCCCACAAGGGCGATGCCCAAGAGTATTTCACCCGATTCATGATTCCATGCGGTGGCTCCATGACGAGCCTCTCAAAGGGCGGATCAGTGCAGCCATCCATGACGAAAAACAGAGGCGTGGAGGCGAGGGGCAAGGCGGGAACGGTCACGAAACAAAATGATAGTGGAGTTGGCGAGATTTCCACAGTCGACAACAGGCCCGTCACGCTCGACCAGCTCATTGAATGCTTGGTCCAGGGATTTCATCAAGCTTTGTATAGCTTATGTTGGGGTTCAGAACTGCTTTGACAATGCTATTAACACCACCCCGGCCAATTCAGGGGCCTCCTTGGGTGCGAACGGGGTGGCTAGCAAGGTCTTCTCAACTACTCTGATGGCCAAGAACATGAGCAAGTACGAAGCATCACGGGTTTTTCGTTGGTCTTGACGTACGCTCTTTGTGAAAATCAATTATACCCTTCGAACTCACAAAGTGCCAACGGGATTCCCAAACTAATAGTGTTACCCGAATTTCAGTGTATCCATGTTGCGTGGACCGGGCCGTGCCGGGCCTTTGCTATGATATGTCATGGCTAACCCTGCTTCTGTAGCTGCAGATTCCTGAGAGTTAGTCCCATAACCATGCACCTGAATAGATGCAAAACTATAGCCACAATAATAGTCAGATATATTTATCATCCACTGCTAGTTGCGCCTGCGATGACAGGGTGGTAAGAGAGTATAGCAAAACTAGTGCAAATATTCAACTACATCTAAAGCCCAAACTTTCTTCTATGAAGTTTTTTTGAGCCAAGGCGCCATCATCGTAGTTCCACAAAAGCCTCAACCGTCAGAATTCCATTCTTGCGATACGGCATTTTCGGTTCTTTTGAGGCTTTTCAATTATAAATATCGACAGGGGTGGCCCATCTACCGTGGTGGACATCAAGAAACGACAACGGAACAGTCCACACACGCCCCATGTGAAATCCACCCGTATTTGCTTTACCTAACAACCCAACATGACAGTCCGGTTCCGGACGTCAGGGACGATATTATGTTAATTTTAAAGCGAAGCAGGAATGGCCATCGTTCAAACCGAAACCGGAGCATAAACAAATTTTAATTCAACGTGGCATTTCTTGCGTTCATTGTATTGTCTAATCCTTGATCGCACCTATGCCAGGCCGGTATAGCGGCTAACTGATTGATTGCGGCCGGCTACCGAGCGGCCGGTTTTTTTAACCGGCCGATCACAACCGTGGGCAAAAGCCGACCAGCCGCCGGCCGACAAATATCACGACCGGTGCCACCTGCAGTAAGAGACTGATGGCCATGGCTGCACCATGCTGATCGGCGGTGGAGCGAATTCGCATTTTGCGGTATCGGGTGACAGTTGGATGAATGAATGAGCGTGGCTTGAAGAGCGGTTCGGTCCTCAGGCCGATTGTCACAAGGTAGTAGTGGCGAAGCGAACACTTCCTGAACACGATGACGATACTAGGAAATCGACTTGTTTTGGTAATGGTTGGTTATGCCAACTGAAGTACTGGGCTTGCGTTGAAAGTCATCATGTTGAATTGTTTACATCAGGACTTTGGTCTGTGTGCATTGGTAATAATTTATCAAAGTGTCGTGGGGTACTTCATCGCCCAACATGAAACCATTTCCTCGCCAGCTCAAACTCCCGGTTGTATTAATGAAATCAGATGATCAGGACAACTGGTACACGGAACATCTACCGCCAGCTCCTTCCCTTCAACTGGAGGAATATGGTAGGAATGATGCTGACACCAATCATAAGGCAACTGCAGAGCGCGGCACTGTTCCGAAGGCCGAGGTTGACAAACATATCCGGGAACCTGGTATCTGGTTAGCAATGTGACTTATCTCATACGAGCCAGATTGAACTTACCAAAAAGGCCCAATGAAACCCCAAATTTGCCTCACAAAGGTGATGAACACGCCCACACTTGCAGACTCTTCATGATAACAGTCGACAGCGTAAGTGATCAAGACCGTGGTCACAATCTGGTTGCCACCACCAGCGATCGCGGCACCAACAATGGGCGTAACGTTCCATTGGCCGTCAGGCGCCTCGTCGAGACGTACCAAGAATACCACCACGCCCGTTATCGTAAGCAAGTATCCGATATAACTCAGCCATAAGCGGTATTCCGGTTGTGGCCTTGACCCAGTCTTCTTAGTCCCCAACAGCATCCAGTGATCGGATATGTAACCACCAATGAGTTCACCCAAAATACTTCCAATAATAAGCCCAATGAACTGTAACCCGATCTGCGCAGGAGTGAACTCAAACTTCTCCTCGAACAGTTGAGGCACTTCGACGGTGATGATGATGCTGCCAAACATGAAGACCATGGCGTAGGCCGCAGCTGGCAGCATGATGCACAAGTGGCGGCCCATGGCCAGGGGGCGCAGAAACTCAGCAAGGCTGAAGGGCGTGGGGTCGATGCGGTGGAAGTTCATGTATTCCTGCTTGAGCTCGGAGCCGTGATGCTCGACGCCGCGGCGAATGTAGCGGGTTTCGGGGCCGAGGAAGATGTAGAGGACTAGCTGGGTGCTGTTGATCTGCGGAGAAGATTAGCTCGGAAACTGTACCAGCTAGAAGCTCCTAGCACTCACAATGGCCAGGATATAGTAGATCCAGCGGTAGTTGAGTCGCGTGGCCACGAACCCAAAGATGAGAGGCGAGAGAGGGACTCCAAGGGTAACCATGAGCGTCCAGATACCAAGATATCTGGCACGTTCCTTCTTAAAGAATACCTCAGTCACGACGCCGCTGCCAATAGCACTGGGTGGGCAGATGAAGAAAGCCGTGATGGCTCTACACAAGGCCATGGTCCCATAGCTAGGACTGTTGGCACATCCTATGTTTGCCACCAAGCTACAGATCAGACTCAAGATGAAGATAGGTCGTCGTCCGAATCGGTTGGACATGGGCCGCCAGAAGAGTGGTGCACCACCGATGATGGCGATCTGGAGCGAGGTCAGGTACGAGGCCTCTTGGATACTAACGCCAAGGTCTTTCGAGATGGCTCCGTAGGCGGGGATGATGCTGGCTGCCGTAAAGGTTGCCATCAAGGCGTGAAAGGCCACGAGGAGCAGGTTGGCGATTTTCTGTTTCTTGTTAGCGACTGGATGAGAAGGAGAATATGGTTCTGCACGCACCTTCCATGTTGTCCAGTTGTACGGGTCCGCATCGCCATACCCAGGAATTGGATCCAGATCCAATGTGCCATGGCGGTGGAGCAAGTACTGTCGGTGTTCGCCCGACAGCTGGTCAATCGCTTCCTTCTCGATATAGGTGCCATGAGTAGGGAAGTGCTCCATATCCCCCGTAGCGTTGAGCAAGGGGTCGCTCTTCTCAGCCGGCTGAGCACTCATATGAGTCGGCACTCGCCCTGCCTCTGAGTCGGAGGCATTGCCATTCCCATTCTGCAGCTGTGCCGCATGATCTTGTGTCGTGGTAGCGTCAGACATTGTTCAAACTGGTTAATGCCCACTAGGAGAAACGGGAAACACAATAGTCACAGAAGGAACCATGGGGCAAACGGGGGACAAATAAAGACAAATAAAGATAAAAATCAGATCCCGGGATCGGTGCGCCGGCATCCCTACTATAGTTGCAAGTGGGTCACTAATACATGTCGCAGATGGATGGAGCTTCAATAGCAGCTGCCACCCCATCGTCGCGCTTGTGCATATCATTGACCCTGTTGGTTAAAGGTCGGCAGAAGACAAAGGGCCGAAATCGTGGAGATAATCCTGGCTATGCTCGTCATCACCTCATTTCGCCCCATGGGGTTGGTGGACCTGGATCGTTAGTTTGCAGGGTGTTAATGAGGGGAAGCCCATGGCATTGGAGGGATTACCGTTGTGACAAAAGCCCGGATGTTTGCAATCGAAGAAATCGAGGTTCGCGATAATTTTGTCTGGTGTTGGAGCACATTATATTACTAAAGCTTGTCGTGAAAGCCGTTGAAGACTATTCCGCCTAAGTGCATCCATCACTTGATGGATCACTGCCGTCTTGGCCGTCTTGGCCGTCTTGGCCCTCTTGGCAACTGCATGGCCGCCTATCGTTTCGAGACGGATGGTACCGTTTCAAATCGCCGTTAATAAACGGAATTAGAAGGTGGCAGTCGGAGATATCAAGTGAAGAATTTCACGACGCATGTCCGGAACATCATTATTTCACAGCGAAACTATTGTTGCTCGCCCCAAATGTCCCCATGGTCAAATTACCAATTTCCCCGCGTTTCAAAATCTGGATTAGATCTGAGCACTATTGGACGCTCAAGGAAGTGGATAGCTCTATCGTGCCGCGGCCTGTCCATCTCACATCCCGCTTTCCAGGGTTATGCGTACAACCCCCCAGGGCAAAGGTTGTTAGGGTGGCGCCAGGCATCAAGATATGTTAATCAGTATCCCGTAAGCAGTTTTCTATCGAAGCATGACTTTTGATCGCACTAATTCTTTTCTGGGGTCGGCTGGTGTAGTTGGTCACTTCGCTGGTAGATAAGTCCCGATTTGAGCCTCGCCCACTTGGGTCGGTGACGAGTCGCGGGTTCGAATCCCGCAGCTGACACACAAGGGGGTTTAGTCAACCCTTACGGCGCGCTGCCCACCTTGTTGACTTCGCCTACCTAGCGATAATAGGGAGATTGGTGCAGTTTAGGATTACGAGCATCCTAGCCAGTCGACCGTCAAGCACTACGTCGGCGGAATATAACTCGACAGCCGGTCCAGAATTCGAATCGTTAATCCGACCTCTTATCGGACCCCCTCTCGCCGCGATTCTTGCGAGCGTCTAGACCACGTTACGGTCTATCCACTTGAGCGTATGGTTGAGATGTATACGCTCGACGAGAACCCCAATTAGCAGATACTACGACTTGTCGCGACAAAAAATAGTCGAGCATCTTCTGCACATCAGCAGCATCCCACCCCTGAGGACGAATTTAAGTGCCACATTACCACACTTATCGGTAGTTCAGGCAGGGGTTGTAGCACAGACTTAGGGAGGGACAGGAGGTTTAGTAGTCATTTGGCTACAAGTTTACCTGTATAACCGCCCGACGCGGCTTAAGGGCCCGCTATATCATCTATAGCCCCTTAAGGGAGTACTTGTAGAGGTACCGAGGGTTAACACCTACGGCGTATTTAATATTATTTTTTCTTTTCTGGGTTATTGCTTCACCAAAACCTACTGCTACAAAATGTTCATGTCTGGTGCGGTACTACCAACCTATGCCCTGGTGGGTTGTAGACCTGCTCCAATGACGTTGAATTCAGGTCGCTTCGGATCCTACTTGGGTTAACAAACCCGGATTATCACCTGCATCCCTGCACTGGTGCAAACGCCTCCTGCAAGTCACTTCACCAACGGGGGCTGTGATGTCGCGTCTCCTTGTAAAGGTTTAAGCAACACTTGGGGCTCTCGCAAATTAAAAATGGCCGATGGGTGGGCGAATGCGCCTGGCAAGGTGTTTATCAAGTAAGCCCTGAACCTTTCTACTTACGTTACTCCATATTGTAGTTTGGGCATTACAGGCAAGAGAGCTGTAGATATTGGTGATGATAGGACTCATCTATGGACAGTTGACCCAAGCGCTGCACCCAGAACACAGGCTGTAGGGTGAATGATCTAACGCAACAGTTTATTGCAGAACTCGGAAGGCGTGGCAGATTGGAATCTTCCAGCGGTCAATGCATCCTCCTATCGATGGCCGCTCAACATATGATTTACATGGGTATTTCTGGAAGACGTGGTGTTAAGCGACGTGTAAATAACGAGGAAACAAATCAAATATTAGCACACTAGGACTGGGTAAGATCCACGTCATAAATAGCCTGCCGAGGTTTGTGATAAGTTGCAATGTCTTGTCGTATCAGCTCGTGCTGCCAGTAATTCCATGCTAAAAAGGGGTGGTGATTTGAATAGAGAATACATTCTGAACTCTCAACTTCCCCACGTAACACTAACCAGATAAGCATCTCGAGACTCAGGGGTAATACACATATAAATACTTGACAACGATTTTGATGCTCAAAATCTATAGTATTCTTCGGAATTGGGGGGGCTCAAGTCATGATGAGGTAAAACTGAGATGCTTTGGTGCGCTTCCCTTCTTCACCTTCGTGTGAAGCCGGATTTCAAGTACCAGTGCAATCTCACGATTACCGGGACTTCTCATCTGTGAGGCATTCTCAATTCCTATTTCTTTAGTATTTTCAGATTGAAGCGCATGTAATGCTAGAATCATATCACTTTCATTCCAAGAACCAACCATAGTTATGTGGTGAAAAACCGCAGGTCAAAGTGGTAACGTACGAAAATCTGCCGAAGTGTGCAATTGGACCGTGTGTGCAATTGGACCGTGGACTACGTTACATCTCAAACAGCAGGAATAATGCAAACGCTTCAACTTGACCTAAAACAAAACTAAAACAAGCGACGGCATTCACAATTGCTACATAGTAAACATCACTTCAATCCTTCACAAACAAGCAACATTCTAGATGTGGTCCTCGACACCAGTGATCTCGGCAAAAATTGGATATGTCAACAAGCGATACATTCGCTGTGTGCCACGTGTACTTTACTCACAAACATATGTGTCGCGAAGCATGCCAAAATCAGAATGAATTCGGCCATGTGCAAGCTTCTTGTCCAAAATGTGAACAGCATTGACTTGAAGCCAGTGCTGCACGAAATTGGCCTGCACAGGGTATGCATTGTCGCCAAAGCTATGTTGGACAACCAGGTCTTCGAGTCCTCCATCCATGCCGCAATGTACATCCCTGATCTTTTCGAAATTACACGAGCTCAGTGTCAAAAGGAAGGACTGTCTGCTGCTACAATGACTCGAACCGACGCCCAGGCCATGCTGGATATTGCAGAGCATGATCAGAAGGACTGTGAACTATCAATGCGAACCATCGTTGTGGAAAATGGAAGAGGTGTGATATGCGCGACTCAGTTCGACAAGACGATTTCGTGAGAAAGCATCCACAACGTCTCTGACCCCTCAATCAATGGTTGAAAACTGCAGAATGCATTCCATGATATGCACCATCTCACTACCCAATTCAGATTCCTTTCCCAATCTAGCATAAACTCATGGTGAAAGTCCAAAGTCTCCTGGATGCATGCATTTTTACGTATGCTAGCCATGCCATGAAGGCTACCCTGGAGAATAAAGGTTAGGATTGGAAGTCGATCTCAACCATACACGATACAATGCAGTGTACAGGGAAAGATTCGGTTGCGAGACGATCGAAGGACTGTTAGCCTCTGCTTCCTTGTTGGCTCGCCTGCTAGGGGATGAATTGTGTACTCGGAGCATCGATAGACTCGGCCATGAGCTTCGAAGTGTGACTAACGACATCAGTCGCAACAAAGAAATCTTGCGGTCGAAGATGGAGCGCAAATTAGAGGATCTTGCCATTAAACGAGAAGAGCTGCTTCGTCTTGAGGAACAGGCTGTGGAACACGTGATTCAAGAAGATACCGCATACATGTCATTCGCAGCTGCAGGCTTGCAAACAGTATGGAAAGACTCTGAGACCCACATATTATCTGAGGGGCCTTCGACAGAGGATATTTCCAGGAAAAGAGCAGTGGAAGCGGAAGATGGAATCACCAAGGTATGACACGGTGGTTCTATACCATTCCTCAGATATCAACTTTATGACAACTTGCAAGCTGACTTCGATTCGTTCTACCCTACCGCTCTGTCAAGTGGAGCTGGAGGAGGATTTACTTCCTCCCCCGCGATGCATTATAACCGACTTCCGAACCGCTAAAAAGCTCAAGGGCTTCATCAGGTAGTTCTGTAGTTGAATCATATTCCACGTCAACTGGACCGGTTGCGTGGACAAATGAGGATGCTGATATAGACATGACCATCTCGCAGCTTTCTCAGAGAATACAGAGTGCGATCAACACTCTGACCCCTGTAACGACATCCTCAACCACGACAGCCAAGTCGTCGACCCTGCCAGTCTGGAGTAGATCCCTTTGTTCACGACTACAGACATAGTGGATCGTATCAGAATTCTGTGCGGCCAATATGCTGCCACCACAGAGGCGAAGCAGTACACCCCGCACCTCACCCCTTCCTTCGGAAAAGCCCTTTTCCTCGCCAACTCGGCGCCCATCAAAGCGACTGTCGACCTAACGATTCAGCTGGCCAGCCGCCTGTACTTCGGCTATCTGCCGGCGAGTTGGGAGACGGTCTCGACGGCACATTTCCACTTGGGCCGTCCGGAGATCGTTCAGGTGGTTCGCAAGTCGGTCGTTGAATTCTGCGACGCCGCGCTCGACAGCCGATGATGCGGGCGGCGCGGGAGTGCAACGCGTAGATCGTCAAGGGCACCGAGGGTCGGAACTACTTCCGACTCATGGACGTGCTCGAGCTGATGAGCCAGGAGCAAGAGCAAGAGGAGGTCCCCGAACTGTTCTCCGACCCCGTGTGGAAGAGGGGCTACCCGCGGCTGATCATGCAGACGATGATCGAGACGAAGCTGGCCCAGGATCCGGGCTACACGATGGAGGACCCGGAGTCTGTGTGGATGAGTTATACGGTGAATGACGATTAGTGAGTATTCTCTCGGCCAGCACAGCATAACTATGTTGCTAACAATCTGTCAGTATGGAGGTGTGTTTCGTCAGCCCTCGAAGGGGTGCCGAGAGCTTCCAAACCGCGTTGAATCGTGCGGCAGATATTGTAAAGACTATCATTCGGGCCAAGTAGGAGCAATTGCAGAAGGACAGGTCATCATTGGCAATGCGAGGGTTCTGGCAGTTGTGATACGTGACCCCATGGGAGGTTGCCCTATAGCTAGAGATAAGATAGATAAGAGCTATAAAAGAGCTCTGCCAGGCCAGAATAGCTGACCTGGCCATCCTTTCCCAATACAACAATTCACACCCCATATGCACTCGCATCAGTCTGGTATCCCAAGCCAGGCAGGGAAGTAGAGGTTTTGGACCGGATGAATGGGCCGTGCGATGTGAAAACGTACGGTTACTTCGGGCCAGCTCTTCTGATCGCCAGTCGCCAATTGCCATACCAAAGATAGATAAACACTCCAAATATTGATGGAACCTGGCATTTGACTCTTCTCAAAAGGTGACGTATTTCCTAGCTATTTATGCAAAGTCGCTTTCTAAGCGGGTAGCTAAGGCAGGCCGGAAAAGGCATAATCTAGACCAGTGACTCGAGGAAAGGCCTTTTCCTCTGGTATTAGAACAAGGCCGTTAAAATACCCCTATAGGCTGAGTTTCCCTTTTGGCATAGCAACTGGCTCTGTGCCTTGTTGAGGGTCACAGTCACTTTGGGCATGCACAGCTAGCACGTGTCTTGCCACGTGAAAATGCATATAACGAAGTAGACAATCGCCCTCGTCTCCTGACGAGATTGTTATCAATAGTACATTCATTATATCTGTATCTGTGTTGGCCTCTAGCAGACTGGTTTCTCTGAGACCTCTGTCGCCGGAGCTTCAGTACTCTGACTCTTCGGGTCGGGCAGTTGTCGCCACTCCATTGCCCAGCTTACGATCTAAGCAAGAGCTGGAGTAGAAAGGCCCACCCGGAACACCTTTCTCAAAGCAGAATTAAATGCATCAATAACTGCATCCATCAGCTGTGGAGGAACAATCTCCCTGAATGTCCTTCCACCGGCCGCCACTACGGCTGCACTATCGATTCCCTCTACCCTACTAAGATTCCGTAGAAGCCTATCAGTGAAGATATTCTGCCCAACGCTAGGAGCCAAAGCGCCTCCAAGCATCTGGAAAAACATGACCATTACGAGGGCCGTCGGGATATCAGCCTTTTTGAGGACGACCTGAACCGCCAGTATCGGCATCTGGCTACACATCCCGTAGCCAACCCCGGCCACGGTCTGGAACCCTATCAACTTTCCACGCGGACTGTCGGGGCGGATGAGTTGAAACAGACCACCTCCAGCGGCCAGGACAGGGGCGCCGATCCACATCAACGGTACATAGTATCCAGACTTCGACGAGAACCAGCTAGCGCAGATCGTGCCGAGGCTGTTAGACACAATCGACGGGAGTAGATTGATACCCGACTCTCTTGCAGTAGTATTCCTGACCGACTGGAAGTATATAGGCCAAAAGTACGATTGCAGTACTATCGCTACCTGGATAAGTATCATGAAGCCACATAACGCAGATATGGTACGACTTTGGAAGATGTGAAGAGGAACAGTAGAGCTAGAACAATATTAGCAAGCATGTCGGGTATTCTTTATGCAAGTGTAGATCAAATTAACTAACCTTTCTTTACCTCGTACTTGTAAGCCCAAGAAGGAAACCAAGAGTAGGCCGAATCCGATCAGGCAGCCGAACACCCTCGGGTTAGACCATGGATAGACGGTGCCACCCTATTGTAAAGCCAGGTTCAAGCACGATGTTACACCAAGAAGTATAGTGGCGCCCGGAACGTCGAGTTAGCGTATCTTCTGTAGCTATGGCAGTCCTCCTTTTACTATTGGTGGAGGTTTCCTCAAGGTGAACCAAATCAGAGCTAGTCCTACAGCTCCGAAAGCTGAAAACCGTCAGTTAGCGATAGTCAGGAAGAGAAGGTGTTTTTTCATCGACAGACTTACGGAGATTGATCCAGAACACAAAGCGCCAAGTAAGTACCTTACTATCGGTTATAGCACCACCTACGCGTAGTTGTCGGACCTTCAAGGCTACTCCGTCAAGACTGCTAAGTCAAAGGAGAAAAGTAAAGCCGCAAACCGTACGAAGTATGGGTCAATATGACCTCTACCCATTGAACCACACAAGTCCTGGCTGTGGGGCAGGCATCAGTCATTTCTACCTATATAAGGCCCCTATGGCCGCCCTTCACTTCTCTCAGGACTCTCCAGAGATCATGACACTTTCAATACAAGACCATTTGCCCACAATCCAATAGTAGTCCTACGGCAGATCCAATACTAAACATACCTATGATAATAGGCGACAGTTTCGCTTACATTTTCAAAGCGATACAGTATGACAGAATAGTGATTATTCCGCAACGCCGAAGGTCTCGGCAAGGTTCCTAGGGGTCTGGTTTGACCGCAAATTAATGTGGCACGCCCATACCGAGCGGGTTAAATCAAAAATGGCGACTCAGAAGCTAGCCCTAACAAAGCTAGTGAACATGGTGTGGGGCTGCGATCTCATACGGCGAGACTACTGTACACGTCGGTTATTCGCAGCGCGATCGCCTTCGGGGCGGCTGCGTGGCACACTATAAGCGAGGAACCAGCGGGACCAGCTAAGAGCCTAGTCGGGATACAGAATGAGTGCCTCCGAATAGTCTGTGGCGCCTACAAAGCGACACCGGTCCGACACCTAGAAATAGAGGCAGCTATCCCGCCACTATACCTATATCTCAGTGCCCGGGCGGCGAAATTTGAAGAACGGCGACGGAATAACGGCAAAAGGAGCCTGCTTCGGAGCGCGAGCGCGAGAGCGTCACACATACTCCGACAGGATACGCCGGCGAGACGGAAGCGGACGTCACAATCGCTCAGACCAGCGGGGTACACGATAGAGAAGGAGGCTAGGGGCTCCGAGTGGATATGCAAGGCGAAGGAAGTCCCGGCCGCCCTCCTAGACCACTGGGAGAAGAGATGGCTCTCCGGGGCAGCACAACACGACCGCCAGCGACGCGCTATCGCCGAGGAGCCGGAGGGCCCCTCGATGCGAATGCCGAAACAGGGCAAGTACTCCGACCTAAACCGACCGGAGGTGTCAGAGAACAGAATGCCATAGGCACCGGTGGGTGTCAGGACACTGAACGCAAGACACTGGTGGGGCGCCGGAGGGGTGTTTCGGACAAAAGACTCCCGAGTCATGATTACAATCTATGTGAAGCTTTGGGATGACGAGAGTCAAGATCCTTGGCATCGCCGACCCTGCTGTTATGCCGGGTCCAAGCGGCGGCCTAGCTATCTATATAAGGACCATCTCGAAGTAGGATAGGGAAGGAGCAGAGATCAATGCATCACCGTGGGCACCCCTACCTGAGACCGCCAGTGACCACCCGGTGCTACGTAGGAGGGACACCCGTTACTCCCCATCACTCTGTACTATTGCCTTCGGCCTAGCCGTACCCTGACAGGAGGCGTCTACCCTATGCCAGATCAGGACCGGAAAAATAGGACTATTGGCTTTCTTATTTAAGATAGGAGCCTTCGGTGTGTACTCGCCGCTATGCCGCTGTGGAGAGGCCCCCGAGACGGCAGAGCACGTAATCCTCTTTTGCGGCCTGCTGGAAGAATCGAGAGAGCGCCTGCGGGCCACTATCGCACCATGGCCGCTGCATACACGTAGAGACCTGGCAACGGCGACGGGGAAACCAGTAGTCAGCGGGACTATCACAAGGTGGCTACTCAGGACTGGCCGGATAGCGCTTAGGCCCGGATAATATCGATCTTCTCAGGGGGACTTTGTTAGTAGGGTAGTATTGTCGAGTGCTAGCACGAAGCAAACGGACATAAAGGCCAGGGTCAACGAGGCGAGAGCCTATCCATGCATGAACCCAGTTGCACGCTGCTCTTCACTTTGCTGGTTATCGTTTTTTTCTGCAGGCACTTCAGCAGGACGAGAAGTTTCGGCTGTAATGCTCGTCATGCTTGTTGATAAGGTGGAGTTTACGATAGGAAACACAACCGGACGTGATGAATAAGGGTTTTGGCAATTGACGTAGAGTCGGGAGAGGGTCTACAATAGGGTTTCAAGTTCCCGCAACAAATATAAAATGATTGCGGGGAGGGGGGGTGCCCAACGGCTGACCATGCCGCGAAGAGATTGCGACTGTTAGCTCACACTGACATGGACCCTCGATCAGGTATGGGTACGGAAAGTGGGATGCCCCTTGGCTCCGTGCCACCCCGCCATTTTAGCACCCGCCTGCGGGCCGGCTACCGTTTCTTTCCGGCTGGTTTGTGGTACATAGTAATCTCCACCCCCGGTGAGGCGTTTGCGCGGCTTCTGCCCCGGTTGGTTATATCTTACGCAGTCCCCTGCTTTAAAGCCTAGTACCCCAGACAAGGCCCCTTGACATGACCAATTGAAGCAGGCATTTGGAGCAGGAAATGGACAAGAAATACGGTGTGTTTGTTATTCCTTCCTTTCTTGGCCGCACGGCTGGCAGTCTCGTGGCGCCCGGACTGGAGACGTTTTCGCTGTCGTCGTCGTTTGTTTTCTCTAAATTATGTCAGCTAAAACCTGCGCTAAGGTACATAAGCGATAGAGTGGCGGGATTGACCGATCCTTTGGAGCCACCATCTGTCGAATATCACGTGTGTCCAACCAAGTAGTCAGAAGTGCGTAAGATTGTATATGAATGAGGTGTATTGTTTCCTGTCCTCTCGAACTCCCGTTGCTCTGTCTTTTATAGATTCTTTAGAACATATCGGAGGTACATTGTTCAGGTATCTGACCCCTAAGTGGACAGTAACTTTGGTGTTACTTTTGAGAAAAGGGGTTCCTTTTAGTCTTCTCCAGTGCCATATCATTTCTGAACCTAGGAACCAGGTGCCCTATCTGACACCATCCTATATATAGAGGTTTAGCCGTTTGTGGTTACTCGGCCGTTGATGCTTAACGTTCTGGCATGATGGTACATGTATTCCCAGCTGTGTGGGACATGCGGCCAGGGCCAATGGGGCGAGCGCAACCGTATAGAAGCTCCAACAACCAACTGCATATGCGGAAGGAGGTGAGGGGCTCCCGTTCAGGTCATGTAAAATCGAAAGTAAAGAGTGGCAATGATTGTAGATGTTGCGCGGCCTGCCCTTCCCTTTCCTCGTCTCTTGTCTTGTATATAGCTGTATGTTCTGTTCAAGGAGGAATGCAGAATGTTGACCACCCCAACAACCGAGTTTATAACTGTTCGATTCCATCAGACCGAAATTCTCAAAAAAAAAAGGACGAATGAGAAAGTGTTTTCTTTTTCCCCTCGCCCACCGGATCAGGAAGATGATGAAAACGAAACGATCAGCGTGTGACAGATGCCACGCAATGAAAATGCAGTGCAAGACGGATGGTTCCGGTGGGCATTGCGCTCGTTGCCGGAACGCCAACCTATTTTGCAAACATAGCGAACCCGGCAGGCCAGGGAGGACTGTCACCAGATCTGGCAATGTGATAGACCCGAACAGTGCAGCTGCTGTCGACTTGACAGTATCCGCCATATCAACACCAACGCTGAGCCGTACGACAGCTGACGAAGGCACCTGGAGCCAGAGTACGCTCACCGAATACGGTGCAGTTGAAAGGTCCGTTTACCTCAGGGAGGACCACATCGGTACCTGCACAAAGGATGGCTTCCTGGATTCCTTTCCAGGTAGCCCATACCTGCCTCTGGATACGACGGAGTCGCTCGGCCCATCAGATTGGTTATGGAACATATCTGAAGCTGAGGTGCGTCCAAAAAGCACAATCGGTGACAATCAGCAAGTTCATCAAGGTGCTCCGGGCGAAATGGGAGTTGCTGCAGACCCAAACCTCCCCTCTGCCACCTCCAGGACGAACACGACTTTACCGGTCGATCGAAACTACATGGAAATACTCCAATATGCGACCATTGCAGATCAAGAGATCGAGTCTTAGATACCCTGGGCGTTAGCGTAAGAAGAAGCAGTATCCCAGCATTACTCCCAAGGGCAAAGGAGCCAGTCGTGGGCCTAGACATGAAGAAGTTATTCTACAGCCTCTAGTTGTAGCTGAGGATCTTTGTATGATGGGGGGAAATAGAACTATCATGTTACGATACAAAGAGCGGTACCTGTATACTAGGGAAATAGAATCGTAGTCGAAGTACTATCTATTTCTGGATAGAGATAAAAGGGAAAAGGTGAGTCTTCCTGGTGGAAACTAGGACAAGTTCTATTGATCAGGATAATATAGGGTAATGTCTCGAGATACGATCCAAAGCCCATCCCCTTTTTATGATCTGGCCCTTCTATGAATCTATTCTCATGGTCTAAAGCTGGTTACTAATTGTCGGGCTACGAGGTCCGTTTAAGTTAGAAGTACTGTCATTATCTGCCACCATTTTGACTGCAGCAAGTCTGCAGTGCAGGATCACCAAGAAGCCTGGACGAGATACTATCTCAAGGGTACCTAGGCACCGGTACCCCTATGATGATTAATGTGTTTACGTATCATGGTGCGTGGTCCAAGCATATCATGCTAGCAGCTAATAAAAACACCAGCAAATAGACACTCTAGATATCAGGGGACTTAGCCCTTCAAATAGCTACTGCACTAAGGAGAAACTGTGCCGACTCACAGGATATGAATGTGCCAGTGACGTGTAATAAATATATGGTCTGATTAAGGTGATGTGGTCACCATCTAAACCGAGCCGGTGTTGAATCTCAACGCCCGAGAAAATGCACGATAAATGTAGGCTATAAGGAAAATTCAAGACCAACAAGTTGAGTAATAACGGGTTAACCAGAACACAAGTAAAGAAAGTCCAACAGCTCATAATTACAGAGCAAAAGGACATGCATTCTAGATGCTCCAATCTTCTATGATGGCTTGAGTCGACAGAGTATTTGGATGCTCTGGCCCTAGGACTCGTTTCTGAGCCTGCGCACAGCCCTGCATTAACACTAAAGCATCTGCCTGTCGACCTTGAGCTTTCCAAGTTAAAGCGAGGTTGGCCATGCTCGTAAGTGTATCGGGATGGTCCGCCCCGAGCTTCGTTTTGCTCGTCTCCATCACCTGCACCACCAGCTCCTCGGCCTCCTCCCACCGGCCCTGGTTCCTGTACGTCGACGCTAGGTTGGCCATGCTCGTAAGTGTATCGGGATGGTCCGCCCCGAGCTTCGTTTTGCTCGTCTCCATCACCTGCACGTCCAGCTCCTCGGCCTCCTCCCACCGGCCCTGGTTCCTGTACGTCGACGCTAGGTTGGCCATGCTAGTAAGTGTAGAGGGATGGTCCGCCCCGAGCTTCGTCTTGCGAGTCTCCATCACCTGCACCTCCAGCTCCTCGGCCTCCTCCCACCGGCCCTGGTTCCTGTACGTCGACGCTAGGTTGGCCATGCTCGTAAGTGTAGAGGGATGGTCCGCCCCGAGCTTCGTCTTGCGAGTCTCCATCACCTGCACCTCCAGCTCCTCGGCCTCCTCCCACCGGCCTTCACTATAAAAAACCCTACTCAACGTGCTCCGTATAAAATCATGTTGCCTCTCCGAATCTGCACCATCATTACCGCAAATTTCGGAAATATGTGGGAGATGCACTATCAAATGTCGACGGAACTCGGGCTGGCGTTCGTCCTCGCTAAGTTGTTGGCACGCTGCTAGTATAAACACTATATACCACCAACCCCATCCTCGAGTTTGTTCGCTTTGTAGTGCCCGCCACTGAACCAGCCTGTGCATGATGACGCCACGCCATTCACCGTCCACAAGCTGCAGCAGGCTATAGCGGAGCAGTACGTCGCGCCTCTGCCGGTATGGGAAACTGTCCCATTCACCGCTTTTAGATAAGAAAAGTTTTCGAAGCTCTGTAGGTATTCCTTCGACGAGCTCATCATCGACGAAAGCGCAGCCAAGAGCTGCTAGTCGAAACATCTCATCCTGAACAATAGTGCCCTTGAAGTGTGCAAGAAACGTTAAAAGCAAATTAGGCTGTAGTATTGGGTTCTCTCTCGTAATTCTTTGGAGTGTCGTGTCCCATACCGTCCACACTGTCTTCTCCGTTGGCAAAAGTCCCCGAAAACTATCCATTTGCAAGAGCTCGTCGCAATGCGTGTCGTAGTCTGCTAGATACTGCGTCAGAGCACCCTCACGATCAGGGTCGTTGCCAATATAGGCGCCTGCAAGGTCAATAGCAAGTGCTAGGTATCCAAGCTTTTGCGCCATCTTATCGCAGCTGTTTTGGATTTCTCCGGGTGCTGAGACTACATCCAGCTTGAGATGTTGGAGAAGAAGTCTCCTTCCTTCTAGCGGCGACATGATATCGACTTTAAGCTGCTCGCACCCCCCGGAAACTAGCTTTTGGCTCAAGGTGTTCTGACTAGTAATAATAATTTTTCCTCTTCCCCCTTTTGGAATTATCTTCTGAATTCCCCAGCGGAGGTCATCGGCATTATCAACGATACACAGCCATTCATCATCAGGCTCCATTCTGTCGCGGAGCCATCGGAGCACCGCCTGGACAGCCTCCGCATCAGCGAGAGCAGAGCCTTGCCTCTTATTCTGTTCTTCTGGGAGACCCAGCTCTGCAGCACATCTTTTGAAGCTCGATCGGACCGCCTCCTCATCTGTCGCATCAATCCACAAAATTGGGTTATAACGATCTCGATAATGTTCCGCGTACTTTAGCGCCAGCTGGGATTTACCAGCACCACCTAGTCCGTGAATGGTAACCCCATACGGAACACTTGCTTTCTCATGTCGTATCTGCAGCTTTTCCTCAAGTTGTTTCCATAACTCGTCTCGCTGGGTAAACGTTGATACGGTCTCGAGCGGGACGGCGTAGTGGTGATTTACCGACCGAGCTGAAGATGCCGTGATGTTGCGAAGCTTCGATAGGATCATCTTATAGCTTTCGTTTCTCGAACCAAACTTGTTAAGCCCAGAGTGGTCCACGGACAGGCCGATGTTTTCAACATGTGGTCCATCATACGTTGCAGATGACTCACGAACACACTAGATCTCCTGTTAGAATGCTTTCTTCAGCTTAGTAACCTACTTACGAATTGTTGCCATTGGATGAACCATAGTCGAAGAAGTTGCGTCGATCGTTGCTCAAAAAAGTTGAACACCCATAAATCATGTCGAACGATACTGACAAATGTCCTGTGCAAGTCTAGCAATAAAGTCGAATCGTACTCTATTTCGGCTAGGATTGAAGGGTTGGAACCGCGCGGCTGGAGAGCTCGCGCCGCCAGCCGTCCCCATACACTGAAGCTAGACCCACGATGCGGCGTACCTAAGAAGAGGATCGCTTTGATATGTTCGGTAACGTGGCTTGGGCCTCGACGTGCATAGCTTTGAACAAGTGCCTACCATGGTCAGATTTCGCGACTAGAGAAGAGCATTTGCCCACTTACCTGCTTGATCACTAGACCCCCATAACTGTATCCCACGAAAATCAGGTCCCGGCTTCGCTCCTGGAGGCCGGGCCGTCAGCAGCAATCCAAAGTCGTATACATTGTCATTACTCACCTGCTCAGACTCCCGGATCTGCTTGATGTGCTCAAGGAGAACATGGGCAAGATGCGAGAGCCGCGTGTGTATTGCATCCCTCTTCCAGTATGAATCATAGTTATAGAAGAACATGCGGATATCTCGGGTCGCTGTATGCAAATCGTTGGGAAGGAAGTCGCTAACCCAGGTCACATACCGCTCACTATCCGGCAGGGCTTCTTCGGGTGCATCAGACCTCGCTCGCCACGTCGTGTCGGGGTTAGATCCAAGGCCATGGACGAAAACGATACTAGGCGTGTCAGCAATGTTCCAATTAACTAGCGAGGAATCACGCCTACTCTATCCCTCCGGCACGGACAGGTGAACTATGCGGCCCTGCCGGGACGAGCCCAAATCTCGATTTTGGGGCTTGACGGGGGTCGACCCGGGTCGGAATCTTCTTCGTGAGCTGGTCATAAAGGAACGCGATCACAAGAAGAGAGACGAAAAGGTACGTGATCATGTCATAGAATAATGCCATTGAGAGAAAGAGGATGGAGAAAATCGCAGTTGTTTCTTTAGATCCGTCGGCCCCACTTCACTAGAGGGGTCGATCCGGTCAATTGTTGTAAAGGACCAGGTGGGAACAGAGGAGCAGATACGCATAAAATGTACAGAAATAGTTTGTCGATAATCGTGCGATGCAGTTGCAGTACATTAAAGCAAAGTGTAGTACTGTCACTCATTGTTCTCGATGTCGAGGCTGTACCGGCTGCAGCTGACCTGTTTAAGGCAGCCACATACCCGGCGCCGTCCGAGGTGTTGCCGCTTCGTGCCTTGTCGAACACCAATGGGCTCGAAATACAAGGCACCTGCTGCTCACACCCTTACGTTCGCCAACCTCGCTATCGTGCCTGATACACGATGGCTATTTCTACAGGCTCTCAGGCTCCGTTCCCGCAGTCATGTGCTCCGAACAAAGAACTTTTGAAGCATTCTGATATCAGCATACCAACCCCTACACATCTACATGAGAACGATGCACATTATATAGCACATATACCTGGAGATCCCGCAGTTAATCTTCTACTCAACGAGGTCCGCGACTATTTGTCCAATCAACTGGAAACTCCACTCCTGGACGAACTTTACGATCATCTTTGGCTAGTTCCCAGGAAATCCGGCCAAAACATTGACGCGCTCCATAGGCAAAGAGTCAAGGGCCGAAGCATTGTCCCTGCGGAAGACCCTAGACTTCATCTTGTCTGGGGCGGCGACAAAATCTACATAAAGCCCATTCCAGTTTTCCTCCTCGACCATGATTTTTGGACTATGTATCTACACCCTAGGATGGGGGAAACTTCTGCGCCGTATTCCCAAGGACTTTCCCAAGCTGCTACTTCAGCCTTCGACCGCTCGGTTGCACTAGGGTTTTTGCGGTCATATGCGTTGCTCGTACCGCATCGCCTCGACTTCATGTTGGCAAAGGAGTCTTATCTGATCCCTGAGGATGTCGACTGGCTCCTGTGATCAAGTTTCATCCGCCACTTTCGCGACCTCGGAGACGAGAGCGTTGCAAAGCGGTACCACTACGGACAGCTACGTCTCTCGCGACTGGACTGGGCCGTCCGAATATTTCGTCCCCAGCACACCAGCACGATCTGGTTCTGCGAAATTCCTCAGTGGTCTCACACCGATTTCGTGGCGAGAGCGACCCTGCCTTTGCTGTTCGTGTTTGCCAGTGTTTCCCTCGCTCTTTCGTCGATGCAAGTTGCTCTCTCTGTGCCAGGAGATGAGCTATGGCCTCAAGGACTCAGCGAATCTGGAAAACGAGATATGCAACGGGCGTTTTGGATGTTCTCCGTTGTCGTGGTACTATTGTGGGTAGTGGTTTGCACCCTCCTCGTTGGCATCCCACTTATCGGCTTGATTTGGCAAGTTTTATGGGGGTATAGAAATCGGGAAAGGAAATGAAACACAGACGCATCTTAACGCTTTAGGGATTTTGAGGTGACTAACGCCGTCCTGTCTCATCATGTTTGCGCCTGAGTAGTGTGAAGGTCAACCCTCGCAGACTCACTACAACCAGGTGACTTACAGCTGGAACACCTGCCATGGCAGTGTCAGATGGGAAGCCAATCATAACCCTTGTAGGAGCCCCGCCAAGCGTGGATGACTTAGTCGCGCTCCCTCAAACCTAAGTTGTCATCTTCTTTCCTTCGCTCCTTAGAGTAGAATCTTCGTCGATAGCACCTAATCGAGGTCTCTACCAATGCGATGCAACCCAGGTCGTGACAGACGTACACTTAATTTTGGATCAGATTGAAGCGCATGTAATGCTAGAATCATATCACTTTCATTCCAAGAACCAACCATAGTTATGTGGTGAAAAACCGCAGGTCAAAGTGGTAGCGTACGAAAATCTGCCGAAGTGTGCAATTGGACCGTGGACTACGTTAACTATTATATACCTACTTTATGTCTACTAGAATTGTAGTATAACTCTAGTAAATATAACTATCCGGCAGATTGTATAGTTTGTTATCTACTGCGGTTATTAGGTAGATATATGCCTTATGTAGGAGGGTGTGTGTTTTGGTAGGCGTCCATGGGGTAGTTTGTCCTATAACAGAGGACTAGTGGCACACAGTCCACTGGCGGAGCCCTAGTTACTCCGTAACAATGTACACTAGTTAGATAGGTAACATTCTACCGTTACACCTGACGGAGGTTAACTTAGCTCAATCAACATCACAATCCTCCATGATCCTATAACTAGCGACACCCCGCGTGGAACTAATGATGGAAAGATAGCGAAACTCACGCCATAGTATCCAATAGTCATGCTATTGCCCGGTGGCGGAGAAGGCTTTAGAATTTGAGGCATATATCTCACGACTATTCCGCAATACAACTTTTTGAAAGTGGACTTGCTTGAAAGTAGTAGAACGATAGCAGAATCGACATCGCACCATTCCACCAAGTTTCTCCATCATTTCCCTATCAGCAACCGAGTCTGTAACTCACGTTACAGAAAACATCAAGGAGAAGGAATTTCCATCCAAGGAGGAAAAGACTGAGGCAAGCAATAGTAGCAACGGCGGTACCGCTAAACATGACTCCAACGGCAACACCGAGTCGAAGAAACCCGCAGATGACACCCCAAAGCTCGAGACGGGACATAAAGAGCCGCTCAAACTAAGCGGAGCTCTCGACCAATTCGAATCCTTCGATGTAACCCCGGTGATCGGAAAGGAGTTCGTCCATGTGAACCTCGCGGAGTGGCTCCGGGCTCCCAATTCTGAAGAGCTGATCCGCGATCTGGCTATCACAAGTAAGTCTTGTCCTCATACATGCTAGTTCTGAGATACTAACACCACTTTCTCATCCTCAGTCTCTCAGCGCGGTGTCTTCTTCTTCCGCAAACAAGACAATATCGACGATAACCTCCAAAAGGAACTCGTGCAGCGACTTGGAGAATATTCGGGCAAACCCCAGACATCCAAGCTGCACATCCACCCAGTGAACAACGCTGCTCGCGAGGACGGCGGAAAAGACGATGAGATTAGCGTCATCTCGTCGGTGGGCGCTAAGAAGATCTACTCGGACCGGTTTCTCACCTCTTGGAAACAGAGCCAGAAAAGCCAGTGGCACTCAGACATCACCTTTGAGCCGATTCCAAGCGACTATGCTTTGTTGAGGTTGACCCAGCTGCCTAAAACCGGTGGTGGTATGTGACGATACTCTCGATAAATGACGGTTAATCACACTGGTGTGTATGCTATACTGACACATCCACGCAGACACCCTTTGGGCATCAGGCTACGAACTCTACGACCGCATCTCCCCACCCCTGCGCTCCTTTCTTGGCACTCTAACGGCCTACTACGCCCAACCAGGCTTCAAAGCCGCCGCAGACCGCAACGGCTTCCCGCTGGACTCCGCCCCCCGCGGCGCCCCCGAGAACACCGGTGACGTTCTCGAGGCCATCCACCCCGTGATCCGCACCAACCCCGTCACAGGCTGGAACAGCGTTTTTGCCGTCGGCCACCACGTGCAGTACATCCACGGGCTCCGTGAGGAGGAGTCGCTACATTTCCTTAACTGGTTCGTGCAGCTAATTGTCGAGAACCATGACTTGCAGGTGCGGAATAAGTGGAAGGTTGTGAATGATTTGGCGATTTGGGATAATCGCAGCGTGTACCATGCAGATACCCCGGATTATGTGCATGAGGGGGGACTGGGGGAGAGGTCAGGTTCAAGGGCTGTGAGTTTGGGGGAGAGGCTGTATTTTGATCCCGAGGGTGGGAGTCGCAGGGAGGCATTGGCTAAGGCGAGGGGTTGAGGACGAGGCCTGAGATAGGGCTACGAAGCATGGTACGAGATATATGAGTTCATTGTGCAACACGTGTCGCACGGGGAAGATAATTTTACCATAATATAGATCCAAATAACCTCATGTATCAATACCAATGTGGAAATGCCGTCGTTTTGGTTTCAGTAACCTCCCCTGGATCAAGTCCACATTTGCTAATGCATGTTGGAAAAGGGCTATAACTAAACCCGCGGCGGATCCTATCACTGTATAACCATCTATGAGCCTGGTACTCAAGAATTATTCCGTCCCTCATGAAACACCAAAATGAGGATCTCACGAAAATGGGGCAACAGTGATCTTCATCCATGCATTCTTTCATTGATTCACTTATCCAAACCCGAAACCCCATACGCCTCCACTGCCTTCTGCACATTCTCCTCCATAACCGCGGCCACCCACTTTCCCACAGGCCACGTCGTCCTCGTCTTGAGCGTAGCAACAACCCATTCCAAAAACCCGACCTCGCTTCTCGCTATTTCCCGCGGCGGCTGCATCTCACTGTCAAGCTGGTTGCCTATACCGGACATTATGGCGTCCAACACAAACGCGCATGGCCGGGAGCGCGCGCTTCTGTGTTTGGTGTTGTGACTGGAGCTGCTGCACGCTTCGATCATGGTCAGCCGCACGAGGCGCCAGCCCACGAGGCAGATTTTGAAGCCGAGAAGGCTGGTGAAGGGGCTCTCGAGACTGGGGTGTGTGGTAGATTTGGTGGGGTTGAGGATTTCGAGGGCGAGTTCGAGGTCGTTGAGCTATTGAGAGAGTGTGAGTGATTGGTTATTTGACAGTTACGACCGCTAGATGTTCTCGCTTTCACAGAGAGAGAAGGGGAGAGGGGATAAATGTATGGCTTACAATGCGGAATACATCCCTGTCTTCGTAAATATCTCTTTTCTCCTTGCTTCTTGGTGTGGCTAGATGTCCGGCCGCTAATCAGGAAACATTACGTGTCAGCAAAAAGATTAGGCTCTACTTTTTCTCGGGGCGAAAAGTAATTACGCATGGATAAGACTTACTTGCAATCGCCAACGGCAAATTCGACTCAACAATCCCACTAACCAACAACGAGTCCGGGTGCGATAACGTAATCGAAGTATAATACCACAACAACCAAAACGAATGCCACAGCGGTGCGCTGCTCCCCGAATCAGGAAACGCATCCATGCGATGGAAGTCAAACAAGCTAAATACCGGCTTTTGGTTCCGCGGCACCAGCTCCGCAATAGCCCTCAGCGCCTGCGAGATTTGCGCATGCTGCTTGTCTGTCAGCACCGAAAGACTCCTCCTTTGCGCCTTGGGCCGCTCCAGGAGACAACTCGCGTGCGTTAGTTCCCGGGCCATCATCTGTAGCTGCATAACAAGTATAACAGCAGCGAAAGGGGATGCCCAAAGGAGGCGCAGTTTGCGGGGCTGTTTTTGCTTTTGTGGCTGCTGCTGCTCCCCCTTTTCGGACTGCTGCGGTTGTTGGAGGAGTGTCTGCGAGGCTTCGTAGAATAGGCCTTGTGATGGAGGGGTCTCGTAGCTGTACGCTTGGTCGTCGTGGTCGTCGAAGGAGCGAAATTGCCGCTTTTGGCAGGTGGACCACTCTTCGGCTGATTTAGCGAGCCAGACGTCCTCGCAGCAGGGGAGGTCGTGCTTAATTTCGAGAGAGGAGAGCATGGGCCGGACGTTGCAGAGGATGGAGAGTTGGGAGTCGAGGAGGTAGAGGATGTATATGCATCTATGGATTCATTAGCGAGCTTTCCAGTTTCACGCCCTCTGCAAATATGTTTTGTGGGTGGTTGTGTGCCGGTCTTGGGTATGGCACTTGAACAAGTACTGACCTTTTCCTTGACTCGTACTTAACGAATTCTTGCCACCTCGCCTCCAACGAGTCCGCGTCGTTTACTTCCCAGTCTTCGTCGCCGATAGATGCATCCATGGCCGAGCCGGCGTCGTTCATCTCGTCAGATCCCGTGTGGGTCATCTGCAGCATACGAATAGCATCCACCAGATCGCGATGGATGCGCTGTGCCTGGAGGAAGTGCCAATCATCACCTCCGTAGAGTCCCAAATACTCGAGCAGGAGGAATGTCTGGAGCACCCATGTTTCTTGGTGCCGGGACCGGTTTTGTTCAACCTAGACAATGTCAGACGTACACTTTAATAACATAAGATCCCGAAAGGGAAATATATATCCTTACTCACATAATTTCGTAAAGACTGCAGGGTTGACTGGAACGTAGCTTTCCGCCATGACTCGTCGTGTTCCGCCGTTTGACAGTACAGACTCCCAATGCAGCGTATGACGTTCAACAAAGGCACCTGCGCCGACACGACATGAAAGGAGCCCTCGTGAAGAAGAGGAAAATTGGGAAGAAACCCAGTGAGAAAGGCATCAATGCATGGGTCGCTTAGAATGAAAGTGCTGTTGTCAGGTCTGTAAGCCACTATTCGGCGGCAGAGGGTAGATATGGCTAGATGAAAGTAACTTACCCGGGCCGCTGCTCTCCAGGAGTCGGAACGGGAACGGTTTGTTGCATTGACTCGTACGGGCCGCCTAGGATATCAGCCGGCCCCGCAGACGCAGCCAGTAAGTCGAACCAAGCTTCGCTGTTTGCATTGGGTAGAACCATGGTAGGTGCCACCGCCGGCACTGCAGCAGCGGGAACTTTGGAGGAGACATGACAGTTCTCGACGTGCCTCTTTCTCAGGTCACTATCTGGTTGTTAGTCTGATAGCTCCGGGGGTATACGACGGGACTTGGGACTAGATGTGGACAAGGGTGGACAACATATGAAGCACATACCTCCGAGCAAACCTAGCTTCACATTGGTCACAAGGGAAATTCCGGTTGCGTCCCTTGTGGTCTAGTTGGAAATCAATCATCAGTGTCGGCCCAAGTAAGTGTTCGGGCACCAGGCTTGAGTCTACTCACGGGTATTGATGTGTCGTTTGAGGTTTTCCTATCCAGTTAGCCAAGGCCCCGGGAAAACACTATCGTGCGGAGAGACAAGGATGGGCTGACTGGGAGCGCTTACCTGACGAGTAAATGCTCTATCGCACGATGTACATTTGAACGGGCGAGGCGTCAGACCATCCATAGCTGCAGAATCCCTGGAGAGCTTGTCTCTTTCCCAAAGTGACGAGCACCGACTGCTCCAAGGAGCAGCAGCTCATGAGCGTGAGGGGCACATATTGCGAGAATGATAAGCATTCCCGGCTGCCTTGGCCGCATCGGCATTGTCCACCACACGAAAGTGGAGTATCCTACGATAAGATACTCTTGGCATATCTATACTAGGCTATTAGTCTACCCCATACGGGTTTAAACGGGTCTGTCCTTTGACAAGGGCTATGCCGGCCGGGCCGCACCAAATTGTGGGGTGTTGTATTATAAACCGAAAGTGGCAATTGGCCGGCATCTAACCTGTTTTTAAGGGGTGATGAAATACTTTTATTTTGATATATATGTCTCCCAGAATATGAAGTCTTCGTTGTATGAATACACACGCAAGGCATGGAGACACGGAAATGTTCACTCCATACGTGACGTTTGTTGGGGAATGACGGCAAGTTAGAGCAGTTGAGAACTAGAGTAAGGATTGTAGACCACAACTTGCCCCTGTCTTTCTGTGTTCTCACCACTGCAGCAACTTGATGTCTAGCGTGTTTGTCCATAGAGATGATACTTCTTATCTGCGAGGTTCGAACTGTATAAACCAAAGCAACGTGGGTACGTATAAATACAGTGTATTACATAGTCGAATCTGGTGATATTCATGCATCTCATAAATATTGTATTGTCTCTAGAAATAACAAAAGCCAGCCCGCCTAACTCGGCTTGCCACCAACCTCATCCAAAACGTATGGCTCGCCATCAATCTTCTTCCAAATGTCATCACTCTTAATGCGCATGTACCACTGATGTATAGCCGGGTGCGCAGCAGCCCACTTCTTTGCAAACACCTAATCGCACGGTCAATGAGTTATTCCTGTCATATCACATCTAAAGTGACAAAGGGGGCGACTGCGACTCACAAATTGGTACCCCCGAGCAATAGCAGCAATCATAAACAAATCCGCAATAGTCAGCTGGTCGCCGACGAGGAACTGCTTCCCCGTCAACGCCTTCTCGACGACGCTGACCATGCCTTCGCTGTTCTTCTCGGCCGCGGCGAGGATTTCGGGCGAGGAGGGGCTCTTGCCGATGACGGGGTTGATCCAGGCCATGATGGGGGGAAGGAGTTCACTGTTGGCGAATGATGCCCACCTGGAACGCACGTAAGCTTTCTGAGCATTTGGGGGATCAAAAGATGCAAAAGTGCACATGATATGTATCATCGGACACGTACTTCAGGATTGTCGCTTCTTCCTCCAAGGTTGAGCCGAGCAATTTTGTGTTGGGGTCTTGCTTGGCGACTAGAGTCATGCAGTTAGTACAGTCCGAACAGGCAAATAAGAGGGTTTGGGGACATTGAACTCACGATATATGGACACCGGGATGCACTCAAACAGCGTGAAGCCACGGGGTCGTTCCAATGCCGGCACCTTTCCGGGCGGGAACTTGGACAGGTAATCCTCGCCGACGCCGCCCTTGCTGGAGTCGACCTTGATGGGCCATACTTCGACGTATTCCACATCGAGCCTTTTGGCGCAGGTGTATCAGAGAGTGTTTGCACGAGAATTTGGACTCGGACTTACTTGTTGTACTCGGCAATGTAGAGACACTGCGTGGCGCGGGGCGCCTTGGGGTACCAGTAAAGCTTTCCGAAGCTCATATTGGCGGTGACTGATGCAACTGGTGGGGGGTTTCAAAGGACTAAGAGATTGAGAGAGGTTGGATGGAGGTTGGACACTGAGTGGTTAATAAGTTGATGGCTTTGAATGCGCGACTGGAAGATATGATATAATCTTGAACGTATTCGCCAAGCTTATTATATGGCATATACGCTGCTCTTATCTTGATCACTATCTAGTCAAGCAACTATCTGTTGCTGTGAGCAAGTGGAGCAGGAACCCGAATCGTATTAGGCGTAGTGGAGCTCAGGCAAAGCCGCATGAACTCCGATAGTTAGAGGTTCCGATGCCCGTTCAGTATTGACTTTGTTTACTTGTTTCAAAGCAAACGTCGATTGATAAATACCAGATATCAGCCCTGTACAGATAGTGTAGTCGTCCGAGACAACGATAGTATCCCTAGATTTAGTGTGGTTCTGTTCTTACTTCAAACATGGCTGTGATTCAAGTGGGCTGGATCGGACTCGGTTCCATGGGCATCGGCATGTCCAAGAACCTCCAAAAACATCTGTCTAACTCAAATTCTCCCGCATTGATATAGACCAATCGGACGCTATCGCGTGGAGACTCACTAAAGTCACTGGGTGCCGTTTCAGCCAACACGGTTGCTGAAGTTGCGAGCAAGAGCGACATTATCTTCTCGTGTGTAAGCTGTCCAGATCCCACAAGCCGCTCGTAGTTTGAGAGCTTACTGCAGGGGCCATCAGGTAAGCAATGATGCTGTTCTACAAGACGTCGCCAAGGATATTATTGCGTCTGGGAGTATCGAGGGGAAGGTATACGTTGACTGCTCAACCGTACATCCGGACACGTCTGTCGATGTAGGCAAGCAGATTTTGCAAGCTGGTGGACAGTTCGTGGCAGGTATATTGGCCCCCCCTTTTCACCTTCGAGCTGGAATTCAGAACACACCTAACCCATCAGTCCAGCTCCCGTATTCGGCGCAGCCGCCATGGCCGAGGCTGGAAAACTCATATTCGTGATTGCCGGGCCCGAAGAAGCCAAGTCCAAAATGGCACCATACCTCAAAGATGTGATGGGCCGATCCGTCATGGACATGGGCTCAGACGTGTCCAAGTCCAGTCTTCTCAAGATCGCCGGAAATATCTGTGTTATCTCCTTCATGGAGGTCATCTCCGAAGCGCACGTCTTTGCGGAGAAGACCGGCCTTGGTTGTGCGACGCTCGAAAATATGCTGGGGAACATGTTTGGGCCCGTAGTGGAGAGTTATTCCAAGCGTATCACTACGGGGGCGTATGCGCCGGCGCCGGATGGCAAGGCCGGATTTGATGTCAGGCTAGCCGTAAAGGATGCTAAGCATGCGTTGAATTGTGCCAAGACCGCGGGGACGAGATTGGAGGTTAGTGAGGTTGCTTTAAGGCATATGGAAGAGGCAATGGCATCTTCGGAACTAGACGGGAGGCCGCTAGATAGCAGTTCGATGTATGGAGCGATACGGAAAGAGGCGGGCATGGACTTTTTCTCGGACGTTTGTAAACAAATGGATAGTGCAAAGTAGATGCGTGAACATATTCTGGGACGAAAACATGCCAGTCAGATTCATGTAAGAAAGGAGAGGGAAAACGCGTGTAAGATAGCGGCAAGAACAAACTAATGCAAGGCTTGACAAGTATCTGGAACTCGTTGTTATAATTACAGGTTTGCCATACGGGCCTCCCTATCAACTTCCGTTCAATGCAAGTCGAGCACCTTTCTCCTTTTGAGGGAAATATCTGGTCGCCATACTATCCACCGAAAGTCCGGCCCCACCTGCCTGGAGCCATTTCAGCTCAACGGAACAAGATGAGCTGCTGCACCTCAATCGAGAGTGCCACTGTTGATGGCATGAATACGTATGCTTTCCATTTTCACATCACCGCAGCTTTCACTTGCCTTACGTCACACACAGAAGTATAGCAGTTCACAACAATTTTCAAGGAAGATATCAAAGTCAAGCACTTTCCATGTCGCAATGCAAACCTACTCAGAGCCTTTGTGATAGTGAAACCGAAACTGCATCATAAATCCTGCCAGTGCGGCGGAAAAGTTGTATGTCCTTTCAGGATTCTCCCCGGTAAGAGGCAGCCTCCCCACGACTGTCCAAGTCCTTCGTGGCAACTTTCTTGATATCATCCCCATTCCCCTCGTCCCAGACCTCTCCCTCGAATACCTGGATCTCACGACTCGTCTCCCTTTTGTGCAGATACATGATTACCACAACGAGCACACACTGGGCAATGTTGTTCGCCATAACCCAGTACCACCCAAACTGGAATCTCGGCGCAGACGGGGTCGGGAACGTGACGATGTTGAGACCCGCCAACAGGGCCTGCCCAATGGCATTCATCGACGCCACTGTAACCGCGCGCTCCTCAGCCGATTTGAACGTCACCTCCGACGCCCAAGCCATGAAAAGCGGGTTCAGCGCGCCTCCGAGACCAGCGACGTAAAAGGCGAAGAACTTGAGACCGACTGGGATGTTCCACACAGCCATGCAGATGCTCCCCACGGTCATAAATCCGCAGATGAAAATAGACGGCAACCAGCGCTTCCCCGTAGCATCAGCCCAGTAGCAACAAGTCAGCGCCGTGACGATAGAAACAGCCGACTGGCCCGTAGGCAAGTTGTTAATCTGGCTGATTGAGTACACATCGCTGTGTGCCTTGAGGTACAGATTGAAAGGCTGGCCATTGGTGATCATGGACTGGTTGAAGACGTAGTAAAGCGCCACGAAGGCGAACCAGTGCCAGCTGCGGAAGATCTTGGCGAAGGTCTCGGTCGTAAGCTTGATCTTGGGGGCTTTGGCACCGCCTTCATTGACGCGACGGCGGGCGAGGGCGATTTGGTCCGCGGTGAGAAGCCAGGAGGGGTTTTCGGAGTCTGGACGGGCGGGGAAGACGACAGCGCCGAGGATGGCGACGGGGAGGGTGATGCAGCCGCAGATTATGAAGAGCCATCTCCAGCCTGCAAGACCCTGTTTTTTATATAATTAGGGGCGTTATTAAACAGGATAAGCAGTGCGGATTGGACATACGTTTACTCCGTTAAGGTTGGTATAGCATGCGGTTTGGAAGTATCCCGCAAACATCTAAGAGAAAGGTCAGCTTTCGGGCTTCGGTCTCGTCGGCTCGAGCACAGCCACTCACAGTACCAAGGGGTCCGGCCACATAGAACAAACTCAGACGTCTGCCGATCTCGTTCCGTTTGTACCAGCATCCAATACAGTATATCACACCAGGATAAGCAACACACTCGAAAATGCCGCTGAAGAACCGAATGATGTAAACGTGAGAAACCGTCTTGGTGAAAGCCGTCAGAAGTGTGAGAACGCCCCAAAGAATCTCAAAGATGGGGATGAGGACATTGGGTCTGTGAGAACACAAGCAAATCAGTATGATGTCTCGATTGATATGCCGGCGGATAAGGGTAGGTCAGCTGCGCTCACCGGACTCGGGTCAGCAAGATATTGGAGGGAATCATAGCAGCGCAGTAACCTGCTTGGAAGACACCGGTCGTGTATTGCAAGTCATTGCCAACCATGCCAATATCCTCTTTCATGCCGCTGACATAGGCATTTTGGAAGGCCTGAAGGTCGAGGAACTGGAAGAAGAAATGCGTTAGTCAAACGCAAAAATACCATCACGAGGCTAGGCTGGTTCAGGGGCTCGCCTACCTTGGTAAAAAAGGTCAGGCACCCAAATACCAAGATCATAAAGTCGAGTTTCCGAAGTAGGACTTTCTCCTTCTCGGGCGTGCCTCGCTCATACCAGCTCCACTTGTGCCACCATTTCGTCGTCTCGCAGACGGTGACGGGCTCTGTTACAGAAGCACTGGACATGGCCAAGTTTGGCTGCGTCGACTCTAGCGGGCGTGGGTGGAAACTCCCGAAGTGTCGAGAGAATGCTTGGTTTCCAAAGGATGGCTGCAGGGTGGAGGGTGGAGTTGACAACGTCAGCTTTAAGCTAAACAACAACACTGACACCCAAATGAAGTTTGATCATGCGAGAACCGATTGATGAACTAAATTTTCATGGTGCTCAACGGCCTCGTGTTATAAGCCTGCTGAGCTGCGAGAGAATACCAGAACACGCGGGTGACGGCACCGCCGCGGTTCTCATTATCTTCCGGCCCCCAGCTGGCTTTGATAAGCTTATCCCCGTGGGACAGGATTCCCTATAGACAGGATCTACCCTGGAACTAAACCCCCCCCCGGATTGTGAGTGGGGACGCTAAAAGGTGGAGCTCAATATTGTCCACCTTTTAGCGCAATACCAGGTATACCAAGTGACGTTGGCGAAGACAGGTGCTATCAGCATCCCAGGGGTGGAGCAACGTCCACGTAGATGGGATAGAGCCCCCGGAGCAGTTGTGTAAGGTCGCAGGGGATTATGTTTTCCGAGAGTCGCATTTGGAACAAAGGGTAGCATGGTCGAGATTGTCACAGCCCTCCTCATTGACAGATCGGTGCCGTTGCGGAGGAATTGCCCATTGCTACATGTACTTAAAAAGGATCGTGGATATACCGGTGGCTTTGGATTTACTATTCGACCGACAGCTCAACAATTTCGAGTTTTGTTTGCCAAGGCATGAAATAATACCATCCCATATCAGCTGCACACACACCAACACACATACATACAACTTGCCACCATGTCTTCCGTCACCGCAACCACCATCCCGGGAATCCCTAAGTTTGTCCCCTGCGCACCCACAAAGGAGAATCTCGACTGGGTCGACTTGATAAACCTCGACTTCAAGAAATTCGACGACCCCTCAACCCGCCAGGAGCTAGCCAAAGAACTCCTCGATGGCGTCACCAAGCATGGTTTCTTGACCATTTCCAACCACGGCATCTCGAACGAGCTCTACGAGCGTCAAGTCCAGCTCGCCAACACCGTCCTGACCTTGCCCCCCGAAGAAAAGGCCCCATACGAAGCCACCCCCGAAGAAGACGCCAAAGGCCGGTACGTAGGCTTCAAGCCCTCGGGCGAGCTCGGCATCAAGGGCGGCTTCCACAAAGCGCTCGACCACTACAACATCCTGACGTACGACCCGGAGAACCACGCCCACCCGGCGATCCTGCGCCCGCACATGGAGGAAGTCCAACAAGTCATTGCTTTGATCCGGTCACAAGTCCTACGGAAGCTGCTTGTGCTCATCTCCATGATCCTCGGTATCCCGGAAGACCGCATCCTGGAGACCCATGCGCTGGGAAAAGAAAGCACGGAGTACCTGAGGTACATGATTTACAACCCGCGCTCCAACGAGGATAACGACAAGTACCGCGATCTGTATCTCGCGGGACACACCGACTGGGGCTCGTTTACCTTCTTGTTCGCGCAGCCTATTTCGGCGCTGCAGATTTACACCACGGCGGGCGAGTGGAAGTGGGTGCAATACCTACCCCGCTCGCTCGTGGTCAATGTCGGTGAGGCGTTGGAGTTGCTCACCGGGGGGTTGTTCAAGGCAACTATCCATCGGGTTGTGAAGCCGCCGGCAGATCAGGAACGGGAGAAGAGGATTGGGGTTATCTACTTTGCGAGACCCGTGGATGAACAGCGGTTGGAGCCGATTGAGAGTCCGTTGTTGAAGAGGTTGGGCATTGATAAGCCGTTGGATGAGACGGTTTATAACATGGCGGATTACTTGAATGCCCGGAAGCATGGGTACAAGCGGCTGGACTTTGACAACGACCGCCCGAGACAGGATGGGGTGCATGCTGATCCTTTCCATGGCAAGTACATCGACCCTGAGGGCTTCAAGCCCGTGGTTGCGCCTGTGTAAATATGATAATGGAGTAGTGAGATGGGATCCAAGTAATGAGAATACGACTAGTGGGGGCTCTGGGTGGCAATTTTAGGAAGCCAGTCTGTTTCAAATTTTCCGTTTGTTATTCTCATAGCCTGGAAGCAGCAGTTATAATGACCTACAATGACACAAAGTTACGAAGATGAAAGTTCAAGATTCGCCAGTCCAGTGCACATGTGTCGTATTCAGTCTGTCACAGAACCGAATGCATCGATCGTGCGTGTAGACTTGGGACACTGACCTAGCAACGATAATTTGACGATGCTCCCTAACCTCCCTTAACCTTGATCAACAGTGCATATCTTTCAGAGTCATTATCTATCATGAATATCCTTGCAGAATCCTCAGTATGCTATTATCAACCAAAATTACCTTTTGGGTGGAGGCTCATGCATGTACTTTCCCCCTGCTATCTCTCCCGGGTCCCGACACGTCGCCAGAGACATTTACCCCAGGCTTCGGGGAAAGATGATAGCTTGAGCATGCCTGAACCTCATACTTGGGACTTGATTATGCTTCATAAACTTGACTCCTACACACTTTTAGTTATTATACGCCAGAGGGCGCTGCCGCAATTCATGGTAAGGACAAGGCAATAGACGTAATAATCGCAAGCGAAAAGTAGATGTCCAACCTGATTCCCACAATAGATTTAGTTGCACGGGCATTGCCCGGCTCAATCTTCCATGACCACCTTATCTACAGTCTTGGCAATGGGTGGCCCTCCCCCATGCTACAACTTAAGAGCAGATAGCCAGTTCATAACTAGTATAACACTTTTTTTTACTTTACAATCAGATTACGTAAGAAATAGCTCGCTTTAACCAATCAAAATCTATGAATGTTGAATTCTAGGATAAATAGATTCACGGATACATATATCACTCACTCACTAGTTAGTTAATACAAGGACAAAATACAGATGCAATATCTTCAAATATTGGAGTCGCCTTGACTGAGTTTAGTAGTTGGCATTTTCAAGACGGGGCTTCACTGAGTACTTCAGTAAGAAATTCAAATAATACAAATCAATATATGAGACTTTTGTGCATTCAGAAACGAAAAAGGTCGAATTTAAATGATGTGAATAATGGGCATGCGAGACTTCAATGAAGTGAGAGACAAAAAGCAGCACGATATTGAGTGTAAAAGGAGCAGCTATGCATGGTTGCCCATGTGTAGAATCATGTCTGACAAAAGAAACGTCCAATCAAGCCAGATGAAGAGCAAGGCAGTTCTAATTCATTCTAATTGCTGTCTATGCGGACTCCCCCATAGCCTGAATCGCATTCGCCGTCCCATTCGCACGAGAAACAAAAGAAGCCACGCCATTCGCTCGATTTCCATTCCCAGCCCATGTCCCATTCGCAAACGTCGCATTTCCATTCTCACCGCCCAGCGGTTTCCCCCATCCACCCCCACCTGGAGACTGCACCACAATCCTATCCCCTTTCTCCATCAACGCCGTATTCTTCCCTCCCAAGTTGATCACCCTCCCCGACGCCTTCCTAACCCACAAATTCTCTCCTCTCTTCCCATCCTCGCCCCCTTCCAACCCATACGGCCGGAATGCCCTCCGCTCACTCAGAATCGACACCTTAATAGGCACCATAAACTCGATATCTCTTATGATTCCATCTCCGCCGGGGTGCAATCCCTTCCCCCCACTCCCCTCACGGAGACAGAATCTCCGCAGAATGACCGGGTAACGCCTCTCCAACACCTCCGGGTCCGTAATTCGAGTATTCGTCATGTTGGTATGCACCCCACTGGTCCCATCCCACGTCGGCCCTCCACCCGATCCACCACAGATCGTCTCATAGTACCCGAACCCTCCCGTTTCGGCATCGTCCGTGCCAAAGGTGAGGTTATTCATGCACCCCTGACTAGCCGCGACGGCGCCAAAGGCTCGAAAGATGACGTCGACGATGCGCTGAGACGTGAGCACGTTGCCGGCGCAGACGGCGGCTTCGGCGGAGGGGCGGAGGAGCGAGTTGGTCGGGATGTGAACCGAGATGGGGCGGATAGCGCCTTGGTTAAGGGGCATGTCGATGTTGACCATGCAGCGGAGGGCGAAGATGATGGACGAGTTGCAGATGGCTATGGGGGCGTTCCAGTTGCCTGTTTGGGTTAAGTTAGTGAATCGCCTTGTGTCTCTCAAGTATATAACCGTAGTGACCAATGACATCACGTCAAAGCTGAGACTGAGTGAGGAAAGGAGAGCAAGAAATTCTTCACGTACCATAAGCTTCCGGCCCAGTACCCTCAAAGTCAAATACTGCGCCGCCCGTCGTGGGGTCGATGGTTACCTTCAGCTGAATTGCGGTGCCGTCATCCATGTAATCAACGGCTTCGAGTGCCTTGCCACCCGTCATCTTGTAAATGGTCTTCAGCATGTCTCGCACCGCCATCTCAGCAGCGCCCTGGATCTCCTCCACTAAAATCCAAAATTGTCAGTCATGCATTGTTCAAAAGTTCAAATACGCCGACGGTGGTTCCAGATTGGGTAATATGGGCATGAACTTACTGTAGAATTGCACAGCCTCAAGACCATAATCCTCAATCAAGCGTCCAATAAGTTGACTGCCCCTGTGGTTCGCCGCAGCCTGGGCCTTGATATCAGAGATGTTATCCCTGAGACAGCGTGTTCCTTGGCATCCAGGGATTTTGCCCGGCGCCATCAGGAGCTCGGTTAACTCCTTTTCCTTGAACTCGCCGCCCTCGACAACCTTGAAAGCCTTGATGACGGCGCCCTCTTCCCACAGTTCTTTAGAATTGGGTGGCATGGAACCTGGGAGAATTCCGCCGATCTGGGTGGGATTAGTATCATCTTCGATAAAAGGGGAAACAAGTATTAGCCAAAAAAGGTTGCTTACATCGGCGTGATGACCTCTTGATGCGGTCCAGAAGATGATATTCTCTCCTTTGGCGTCGAATACGGGAGTTATGACGGTCAGGTCGGGCAGATGGGTGCCGCCGCATACTGGAATTGGAGTAATATGATTAGTATGTAGATTTCGATATTGCTCAATTCGAGCATGGGGAACAGGGGAAAACTAACTAGGTGAGTTGGACAGAATCACGTCGCCGGGGCACAGATCACTTCCCCAGTACTCCATCTGCCACTTGACGGCAAAGGCCATACTGCCGATCTATAATCATGAAAGACAAACAGTCAGTACACGGCACAGCACGAGAGGTTCAACAATGCAACGAACCATAGCAGGAACATGCGGCGCATTCGCCACCAGCCCACCATCAGGCGAAAATACAGTACACGAAAAGTCCAGCCTCTCCTTAATATTCGTACTGACGCTCGTTTTCTGCAGCGCACGACCCATCTGCTCAGCCACGCCCATAAAGCGGTGGCCGAAGATGGACAACTGGATTGGGTCCACAGTGCTGGACGACACCTCCTCTTTCTTGTCGACATCAACATCAATGACAACCGTGTCGGAGAGAATCGTCGCCGTCGATCTCGGAATTACCACGATAGTCTGCTTGCTGTCCATGATGAGCGCAGGGCCGGGCACCCGGGAGCCAGGGGCTAGGGAGTCAAGGTTGTGCATGGGGGCTTGGCACCAGCCTGAGCCCTGGAAGAAGACCTTGGCTGTGGCCTCGGCGTCGGTGATGGTGGTGGGTTTATTGTCGTTCAGGATAGAAGAGAAGGAGGCCAGCTCTACGGGCCAAGGTTTCGGGATTTGTGCCGAGCTGTGGCCAATGGACCGTACTCGAAAGTCATCAATGAGTACCTCGCGGCCCACCGGCAAGAAACCGAACTGCTGTTGGTGTGCCTTCTTGAAGGCCTCGAGATAGCCCCATGGCTCGCTCGTCTCCTGCACCATCAGGGGCGTGTCGCTCCCCTTGAACCGCATGTTGAGGTAACTCTCAGACTCGATAGACTTCTTGGCGATGTTCTGTTTCAGCAGCTTGTCAACCGCCTTCTCCTGAAGAACGTCAAGCTCTTTGGTCGCTATGGTCATAGTATTTTCGTCGTACACGAGAGCGCAGGGACTGCGCTCCTCGTGCACCACGTCGGCCAGGGCCATTCCGTACGCAGACAATAGCGAAGAGTACTTGTGAATGAGCACGCGTGAGATGCCTAGAGCCCTGGCCATGTCGCATGCGTGTTGGCCTCCTGCGCCGCCGAACGATGCCAAATTGTGACGGCCTGTATCGAACCCCTTGGCTTCAGTTAAGGTCCGGATTGGCCGACACATGGACTCATTTGCCACGTCGAGGAATCTGTGAGACATCAGTTAGCCAAATATTAAAAATGCGACTCTTTACGCGTTTGAGCCACGTTATGATGGTGTAATGGTTCTAATTACCCAGCAGCAACTTCCTCCACTGTCAACTTGACCGCAACCTCCCGGTTGATTTCAGCCGTGACTTCGTCAAAAAGTCGCCGACTGGCCTCGATATCCAGCGGAAGATCCTCATTGGGTCCAAATATCTTGGGGAAGAACTCGGGTCGGAGCCGGCCCAGGACAAGATTGGCATCTGTCACCGTTAAGGGGCCCCCTTTCCGGTAGCAAGCAGGGCCAGGATGGGCGCCAGCACTATCCGGCCCGACCTTGAACATGCCAGATTGCCAGGTCAGTATACTTCCGCCTCCAGCAGCAACTGTGTTAATGTCCAGCTGGGGACTCTGAACAGTGACACCAGCTGTGGTAGTCTCAAAGACCTGCTCCAGCTTTCCGGCATAACTGTACACAGAATTAGTTTGGAACCTGCACTGTGATCCGGAGCCAATCTACTGAAGATCGAAAAATCCAATATCCCGAGTTGTACGTACCGAGAGACATCCGTACTAGTCCCGCCCATATCAAACCCAATAACCGGCGTCCCCTCCTTCTCATCATACGCCGTTCTCGCATATCCCACCACACCACCAGCCGGCCCCGAGAGAATAGCCCTCAGGCCAGACAAGCCTTCGAACTCGACCAACCCGCCATCGCTCTGCATGAACTCACAACGGCAGCCACTCGATCGCATATCCGCCTCGAATCCGGACTCGAAACCGGAAATATACCGCTTAATCTCCGGAGTGAGGTATGCGTCCGCTGTGGACGAATGACCCCGGGGCACCATCTTGACCACGGGTGAGAGCTCGGCGCTGAGGGAGATGTGCGTGAAGCCGATATCAGCCGCTAGCTTGCCGACCGCAAGTTCGTGGTCTCGGAATGTGTAGCTGTGCATCAAACACACTGCCACGGAGCGGTAACCTTCGTCATACGCCGACTGCAGCGCCTGTTTGGTTTCTTCAAGGTCTAGTGGCGTGCTTGTCAGAAAAAGAAGGCATATGGGGGCGAAGGACATACCTATCCGCTGAAGAATCCTCACCGTTTCTCCAGTGATCCCCTTTACTAGGTCTACCCCGTCTATCGTTGCCTCGGGTAGGGAGGGGCACTCAGTCGACGCCTCCAGTGTAACGCGTTCTGGCACTTCAATGACTTTGGAGTACAGCACGTCTGGCTTGTTAATAGCCAGGTCAAAGAGCTTCGGTCTGGACTGATCGCCAATGTGGAGCAGATCCTACTGGTTGGCATCGCCATTAGCCCCCATACTCATCCCATATCCCTGTTTGAGGAGAAATAGCAAACTGACCTTGAGGCCTTTCGTCACAACGAAAGCAGTGCGCTCGCCCCTCCGCTCAAGTAGAGCATTCGTAGCGACTGTGGTCCCCATTTTGATGGACTCTAGTTATGCGAAAGTCACTTCTCAGCGCGCGTGCTTTGCTTTTGCATCGAATGAGACAACATACCGACTCCCCGCAAAGAAATCTTCTCCCCCTTCGGATATGGTTTTCCCGTCGCCTGCTCCAACACCCTCCGTATGGCCTCGACGGGCGCATCTGGGTAGTTGTCTGGGTCTACGGACAGTAACTTGACTAAAATATCATCTTGTCCTGGTACGAAGGCGACGCACTTCGCAGTCTCTAGTTAGCGTCTCCTTTTCGTAGACCATTGAGAATAGCATCTGGACGCAAGTGATTGACAGTGACTCACGTCTGTGAAGGTACCACCACGATCGATGGAGATGCGAATCCCACGAGCCGGCTCGGGCTCCGGCATTGAACCCATATCTTTGCTTAGCGAGGAGGTGTGGCCAAAGGGCGTGTAGAATGTTGAGATGGGATTGAGGACGATCTGCAAAAGACGGGAATAGGGGTACAGTCTCACAGCTCAAAATCAAATGCGGTTTTGTTTTGCAGTTGATGATATCAATGACATGGACGCAGAGCTAGAGATTCTTCTACAAGTCTGTTGGTAATAACACGAAGGAACGCACCGCCAAGCCATGTGGACCGGAACCGATTGGCAAGACCGATCACCGGGATCTAAACACCACAGGTCTGGGTACCACCACCACGGGATGAGATAATCAACACGATGCTCCACCTCCTTCAGATAACGTCAACGGTTTGGGATTGTCGATGACCATGGGGCAGACTCCCGAATGCAACCTGGTCTAGTGTAGGTCAGACTTGCAGCTGTGTGGAGTTGGGTGGTGGAGATACTCCGCACATAGGGAGCTCCACCTCCACCTCCACCTGACTTCAGAACCCTTATTCGAGAGTCGAGACATTTTATTCTAGGGATTATCAACTTTGCCGATGACATATCAGGGGAGATTTTTTATTTTGAAGACAATATCCAGGCTTCTTAGTCCCTGTACTGGCTTATTGCAGTAGAAAACCGGCTTGTCCCGTGTTGTTATTCCTCTAGCCACATGACGTTTCCTTCTCTCTGCTCGGTAACAACGTAATTCTGTACATGACGATGGTTACTCTCTGGTGACTAATAGGGCCATGGCTAGTGGAACAATGACAGAAATGATATGCGGGGAAATTTTGTAGCTCATGATTGGTCCTACTCATCTATTCCTGGACTTCGATCAGGACTATGGCTTGGGCAGATTCCAGAATAGGGCATGTGTCGAAAATTCGCAAGGGTATCTTCGTTGTCACTCGCTGAAACACTTCGGCATAGAGGTTCTGGCACAGTCTATGCCTGGATTTGTATTCCTGTGTGTACGGAAGACTTTCTGCTTGGTATCTGCCTTTTCGCGCTTGTGTACTACACCTCCATCCCACTAGATGGTCATTTCACCGTCCTCACGGTACTGTCAACTGCCTCAGCAAAATACACCACATTGCTCTCATTGAGTCCTGCAATCGAGATTCTCCCCGTCTCCGCCATGTAGACGTGCCACTTATCTGTAGCACACAAGTCAAAACATTAGCACCGAATCCCGTAAAGCACAACACACATTGTCAAGTCGTAGGGGATTTCGGAAGTAGAGCCAGTCATACGTACCTTCAAGGTGCACCACCTGCGCCGGCTCAAGCCCAGTATACGCAAACATCCCACTCTGTTTCACAATATGCTCCCAACTCCCCGGGGTCTTTGCCTTCACTAATTCCTCGTACAGTCTCTCCCGCATCGTCCTAATCCTCCCCGACATAACCCCCAAATCCTCATCCCATTGCGTCTTAATGTCCGGCGTCCCCAACACCTGCGCCACGATCCGAGCCCCATATGCAGGCGGATTCGACACCGTCGCCCTCTGCACGTTCTCCAGAACCGATTGCATCGTCCGCGCTAAATCGGACGACCCGGCTACAAAGGACGTGAGGCCGATGCGCTCACCATATAGACCCATACTTTTGGCAAAGGACAGGCACACAGCAGCTTCCAGATGCAGGTCCTCGACAAAATAGCGTATTGCCCACGCATCTTCGTCTACGTTGCCCGAGTTGAAGCCCAAGTAGGCCGCGTCGAATATGGGGAAGATGTGCTTCTCCTTGACCACAGCCGCGATGGCTTTCCATTGCTCGCGCGAGGGATCGCAACCTGTGGGGTTATGCGCGCATGCGTGCAGGACGACGGCGGACGAGCCGTCTGCTTTGATGTCGCTTAGGACCGAAATGTAGCTCTCAAAGTCAAAGTGGCCGGCCTTGTAGTAGGGAATGGTCTGTACGGCGAAGCCGAGAGACTCGAAAAGCAGCTGGTGGTTCGACCAGGTAGGTTCAGTGATGTAGATGGTTTTCACCTTGGGGCTCGCTCGCTTCAGGGCCAGACCAGTAAGGAGAAGGGCGCCGGTGCCTGATATGGCTTGGCAGGATGCTATCTAGAAAAGGGGGTTAGCAATAGTGCTTTACCATGAATGGGTAAATAAATGTGATGGTATAAATACCCGGTTCTCCTCCAGCGCCTTGGTGCCATGAAACGCCAATTTAACGGCTTCATCGCGGAAGGATTTTAAACCCGCGATGGGAAGATACTCGTGCCCGCAGTCAGCGGCGGCGATTTCACCCTTGGCCGACCGCACAGACGGGAGAATCCATGGTTTGCCATCGGCGTCACGATATGTGCCTTGCCCGAGATTGACCTTGTTGGGAGTCGTGTCGGCGAGATACCTGCGAGTAACGTCGAAAATAGAATCGGGGGGGATGAAAGTTGCCTCGCTGAAGGCGGAGGAAGATGCGTCGAGGGAAGCCATTGTGAAGATTTCTCGAAAGAAAACGCAAATATAATAGTCGGAAAGTACAAAATCACATAATATCAAAGATTGGTATTTGGGTTGCGGGAACATTATGGATATTGTCCTACTCGCCGTTGGCTCGGGAGTTGATGTGGAGCCCATCAATTGTCCACTTTAAGCACCTGTAGCATTCAGCGGACCCGAGATCGGCTAACGCTGGAGTGGGAATGAGCAGACGGGGCACGAATCCAGATAGAGATTGTGTGCGAGTGGTATCTGGATGTGACTGTGTGTATTTTTTGCCTTGGCGGAGATCAAACATTAGGCCAATATTTGTATACATTGACTACCAATGACCGCAAGTGCTCACACCATGGAAGAACCTCGGGAACAGGATAGTTATGTAGGGTACGTTTTTGGGCATATATTATGTACAATATCATTTATAGGACAATGCATCATCAGCCTCCAGAAAGCCCAACCCAGCCTATGTACGAAGATCTGACCCAATCAGGGCCTATTCATTGCCCTATCCTACTACATCCAACACAAGCAAAGTACCTTATCGCACCGCCAATACAGGGCCTAAAGTCACAGTCATGTGAATATATCCCTTTCCCACCCCAACGCCCGATTCAGCCGGCGTCTAATCCGTCTCATCACAATGAGGGCATCATCCTAGCGAAGTGAGGCTTATAGACCTAGATGCTGCGCTTCTATCGTGCACCTTCGCCAACGAGCTTGAAGCGCCACACAGATCCATACCCCTTGCGGCCACCAAAGCCCATGGTGGACGTCACGTCGAGGAAGTCGATCCAGAGAAGTTGCCCGGGAGTCGTGTTGCTGGAGGCGTCGTAAAAGAGCATGCGGAAAGTAGATGGAACTTTGGGAGACACCTGGAAGACCGGTTCTGCGATTGCTCCTGGGTATGTCAGCGGAGATTCTCGGCTTGGACACATGATTTGGTAAGAGGAATGGTATCGCCAAGTGCGTCTTCGTCCAAGTGAGCACCAAGGAATTAGGAATTGTGAATCTCTAACGAACCGCCGCCGCCACCATGGAAAGTTAGAGTGCCAAGGAAATTTTTCAAATTTTAATTCAGCGCATTAATTTCAATGTCATTCCAATCGTAGAGGCACAGTTATGTGACGTCTGATAGGCGACTGTTTATGTTTGACTCCTTTCATCACGCTTCGTAGATCTATCCAGTACGTGTCTGCAATTAGTCTTGACCTCTCCCTCGTCTCTAGTCTCACGGCAATCACATCACTTGCCTCAATCAAACAATATGGCCGACCCTCCAAAGGCTGGAATTACCAGGCTCAGCTGCAATGTTTGCAGAAATGCGTCCTGGTCCTGAATCGGTTCACTAAAACTTCAGTAAAACCATATACAAGCTCGTATTACAATTCTGGAACAATCCCCCTAGCCCCGAGTGCCGACGGAAGCCAAACGCCAGCTATCTGGTGGAGCGCTGCGTGTTGGTAGACGTAAGCGCGACTTGCCTTCGAGCGATGCTGGCCAGCGGGAATATGAAACAGCAAAAGCCGGTAGCAAACAGAAGAGAGGAATGATGAGGCAGGAGTCTACGTGAGTATCTCTACTATTCTTTCATTGAAGCAAGATTTCCTGATAACTTTCCAAACACACCAAGACTGCGGGTAACATCCTGGGAGCCTGAGATTGAAGGCTTCCCAGCATTACAACATGATACCTTCAAGACTCCCACAAATTTTGGGACGTCCTTCCGGAATATGTCGACAGGCTTAGTAGGGTCCGGGCTGAACTCAAATTATTGAACATCTCATTCATGCACTTGTACTCGCCGTTCATTAGAATACATCAACATGACGATTTTGACCAAACATTAGCTAATCACTGAAGTAGAAAAGAATACAGACCGGAAGTCCAACCACAACAATCCTATGACTCGGAAATTCTCATGTTTTTCTGAAGCTTGGCATAGTTGAGCAGGGGCTATAGATTCCGTATGGGACAGCACTTCGGAATATTATACAATGGTGAAGGACTTGAACTGGGCTTCTGTAGAAGCTGTTTCCAACAAATATTTATTATTATTAAATACGCCGTAGGCTCGAAGCCCCCGGTACCTCTGCTAGTACTCCCGTATGTCAAACCGTGCCCTAATGGCTGGACTAAATACATTCGCTGCGTCGTCGGTTCGCCCTATTGGCGACTGCGTTGCGTCCACTACCATACTACGTTGGTTCTCAACCTACCAACAAAGTCCCCCCTGAGAAGATCGATGCTATCTGGGCCTTGAAGCTGTCCGACCCGTCCCTAGCAGCCACCTTACAATAGTCCCACTAACTACTGGTTCTCCTGTTGCCATCCAACAAATATGCCGGGCCGCCGTTGTGTTCTTCAACAGCAAGTAATTGCAGATGCCAGATCTGGAAGCCCCATACGAAACCAACATCGACAAGGGCCGTTGCGACTCCCGTTTGTTTCGGCCAGGCGGACTCGGCCAAGTCCCAAAATATGTTATGTATTTGACGTTTGGTACCGGTAGATAGGCTTGCGATAAGCTTGAGTTGACATTATGAAGAACTGGGGAGATCAAGAATTGCACGGTTGGAAGGTTGCATGGAGACGACCACAGCAAAGCCCTATCTGTAGCCGCCGCTTAGCAGCCTCCCAATATGATGATGATGGTAGTAAGTACTAGGCCCAACCGAATTGAATTATTATCGAAGGTAACATAATGAAGTCCTCACAACTCTACAACTGCAGCTCCAGCACCACCGTCGCACCTTCGAGACTTTCGGAGGCGGCTTCAACAGTAACTGTTCCTGAGCCACCAGCAACGGCACGAATAATGGCCAAGGCAAGACCGCTGAAGACCTTGCGCTCAGTGGAATGAAACACAGTAAAGTCCGCTGGATCGCCGTTATCCGTAGCTGCAACCTCTCCATCGCCATCAACAACCGAAAACCGTATCGTGTTGTTCGCGCGCGGCACCACATTGCCATCCCCGTCAACAACTTCAACAGTGATGTATGCTAAATCGTATCCATCATTTTGGATTTGCGTCCGATCCGCCGTGATACGCAATGCCGTCGCATCGCCAGCCGTTCTCGCCGTGGCATTAGCCAGCTCTTCACCATCCTTGTACGTAACCACCCGCAGCTCCCCAGGTACATAGACGACCTCATCCCAGCGAAACCGGTACTCCGCCTCTCCCCTTTCCTTCCGGCCTAACGACTCCCCATTGAGAAACAACTCGGCCTCGTCCGCCGCTGAAAATACATGCACCGGCGTCACCAAACCCTCCCTCTCAGGCCACGTCCAATGCGGCACGATATGCGCCGTCCGCAAGTTCGGCCTCCACCTTGCCTGGTACAGGAAGAACCTGTCCTTCTTGAGCCCGGCCAGATCCACAATGCCCGAGTAACTGCTACGCGCGGTATAATACGGCGTCGGCTCGCCGATGTAATCGAACCCCGTCCAGACGAACTCGCCCGCTACAAAGGGGCTCGCATCCTGCGTGCCGAAGACCTTGTCGGGCGAGGAGCCGAAATTCGCGCTGTACAGCTCGTAGGCGCTGACTTGCATGTCTGCTTCGGAGCTACCCGAGGTTTCATTGACGGGGGCACTGGTCGCGTTCACGACGGGGAAGATGAAAGTGCCCCGCGTGCTAAGGGTAGATGCCGTCTCGGAACTGAAGATGAGCTTCTCGGGGAACGCGGCGTGATACGCGGGGTATTGCGGCTCGGTGCGGATACCGACTTGGTTGGAGTACGCAGGCGTGTCGCGGATGCCGTTGCCGCGATAGTTGAGGTTGATTATATCCGGGACGGCGGAAAAGGGCAAGTCGGGGCCGGCGTAGTTCATTGATATGGAGGCCGGGCGGGTGGGGTCCTCTTCATGTAAAATGTCGAGCAGCATCTGCGATACAGCGGCGCCGGCCTTGCCGTCGTATTGCTCGCCCACCTCGTTACCGTAGCTCCATGAAACAATGGAGGCGTGATTGCGGTCGCGGCGGATAAAGGCTCGCAGGTCCGGCTCGTGCCAGTCGTCGAAGATGAGGTGGAAGTCGTTCGCCGTTTTGTTGTGTTGCCATGTGTCGAATACCTCGTCCAGCACCATTATGCCCATCCGGTCCGTCAGGTCCAGCAACTCGGGCGCCGGTGGGTTGTGTGACATGCGAATTGCGTTCACGCCCATCTCTTGCATGATTTCCAATTGCCGCTCTGCCGCGCGAACATTGAAAGCCGCCCCTAAAGCCCCCAGGTCGTGATGGTTGTTCACGCCCTGGATGTGAATCAACTCGCCATTGACCAGCAGCCCCTGGTTGGCATCATACGTCAAAGATCGGATGCCGAAGCGAGTTTGATAGCTGTCAATCGTTTGGTTGTGGGTATACAGCCGCGTGATAGCGACATAGAGATAGGGTTTCTGCACCGGTGCCGGTCCCCACAACCGAGGGTTTGCTACCGTGACAGAGCCATCCAATACCTGTTTCTCTCCTGCTGCAAGCGTCACGGATGAACGTTCGAACTCGGCTACCTTGGCCCTGGCCACTCCCCTCACCGGGTCGAACACGTGCACATCAGTCGCGACCTCGATCTGCCGACTAGTCGCCCCCTTGTTCTCGACTCGGACAGACAAGTCCACCGTTGCCGATGAACTGGATACGTCCCTCGTCATGATGAATGTGCCGTACTGTGCCACATGGGTCGAGTCCACCTTGGTGATCCAAATATTCCGGTAGAGACCACCCCCAGGATACCAGCGCGCGGAGTCATTGGGGTTGTCCAACCGAATGGCCAGCTGGTTATCATCACCCACGTTCAAGTACGGTGTGATGTCCAGCCGAAACGAGTTGTACGGATATGGCCACCCGCCGACCAGGTTTCCGTTGAGCCAGACCATGGCGTACGACATGGCCCCGTCGATGTCAAGGTAGATCGTTCTACCCTCGTCGGTTTTGTTCTTGCTGAGCTTTCGCCGGTACCAGCCCACCCCATGTGAGGGTAGCCGACCCATGCCGCCCCCAACGACGGGCGAGTCGCCCGTGTAAAAGGGGCCTTTGATAGCCCAGTCGTGCGGCAGCTTCACCGCCTCCCATTCCGAGTCGTCAAATGACATTTGCACGAATGAGACATTTCCCCCGGGATTGCCTGCCGGGCGCACATTTTGATTGGCTTCGTTGGCAATGAAGTCGTTGGCTGAAGGGAGGATCCATGGCTTCAGCACTTGCACCGACCCCTCGGAGCGCTGGTCGTAGATCAATCCATCTGGATTTGTCTCAGAACGCCAGAATCGCCAGTCCGCGTTGATGCTGATACGCTCACGAACAGGCGCTGAAGATACTGCCCTATCAATTACGTGTGCCTCGGTTGGCTGGTAGAGGAGCAGCAGCAACAGGCTCAGTATAGTGGGCCCGTAGGCATTAAGAACCCTGAATCGAGATGACATGAGGAGCAACTGTGTCTTCTCGAACCCATGACTGAGAATCTAGATCTGTGTACATTTTCATTCGCATAGGCAGTTATGTATATCTCTCCCCGAAGAAATAGCTCCATTACCACCCATGAGATAACTTGCGTCTCCGAGATCGTGAACCATATAAACATCCCGGTCTTCTAGCCCTTTCCGGATAGAAGCGCGGGGTTGAGAGCATTGGTATTGGAGAAAATGGAGCCAGCGGTTCCCAAACCCCGGTTTCCTGCTATAGCCTAAATGTAACGTCCGCTACCCAGTAGTTTGAGTGGATTCAGGGCAAGTGGGTTGATATCGGGTTAATTCCCGCCGAATAAGGAGAATTAATCTGGTTGCCATCACCAGAAACCCGGAACCCAATTTCGGGTTTCCATAGTGTGAACAATTTTCTACCATCCCAAATCAGTCAATTGGAGATAATGAGCTTGAAGTAAGCAATTGGTAGGTTTATTTCGGCAACTGCCTAAGCATATGTGAAGCCGCCTGACGTTAGAGCTCCGTTGCCTATTTGAGAGGGCAAGGACAAAGCATGCTATTCAGGCAGGATCTAGATCTATAGTGTCAGCCGTCATATATATATTTTGTGATTGTGAGACCTACAAGTAATCAACTGTTGATATGTGTCTTAAAGTATTGGTAGCTGAAGATTGCATGTCACGTCGTGTATGCTCACGCAAGGAAATGAGTCTAGATATGCAGCTAATCAAACCCGATATAATTTCAAGGAAGCCCCAACGGCTATAATATGGGAATGCTCTCTTATGCAGTTTCAAGTATCACCCTTGATTTCGTAGGTATGTATTTTATCAAAGTCCAAAATATTATGTTAGATCACTACATATTGCTCCGAATCACGGGCTGATGCATGAAGATGCATCATCCATCTCTTTGCCAGGCCACCCAATTCCTCGGTAGTAGAACTCCACGAATATTGATTTCACTCATAAAGGGCGATGCCCGCCTTTCTCGACAACACCCCGATGTTGCTCTCTGTGAAACCGTAATGAGGCATTATTTCGCTCTTCCCTTTCTACGCCCTGAAGCCGGCCCAGCTGGGGAAATTTGGTGATGAGGTCCACTTGGCGGTAACGCATATTTTCGGACAACCTATGTCCCGTTGGCCTGATTTCTCGTATAGTGCACTACGGTTTCGTGGTCGGTGTCATGCCGGAGGAAAGGTAAAATTCCTGAGTGGTCCAAAAGCCATCAATCAGTAGCAGTTTTAATTTTTCCCAGATACCGGGACGTCCAATTGTTAGGCAGAGTGTGTCTGCAGAGTCATATTAGCGATGTGGGCTGGCGTCGACATGGAAGAAGTCGGTTGATACTATGTTAAACTTGAAAACTTCGTGCCATGGCCACAAATCCTCGTAACGCTTTGGGTCAATCTTAAGACATAAGGGCTCGGCGGTATCAGGGTTGTTATTATTGATGTCGGGATCCCTGCCAAATACAGATCAGTAAGATTTCGGTTTAGAACCGAGCTTGGAAGACCAGCTTGGTCAACTCGTCATGAGATTTCGTGGACAATTGCAGTCAACCGGTATGAGATGCCATGTTGACGCCAAATGAACCCCTGGGCGCCTTCTCTATACAGCTGTGGCACACGGACGTCGAGAATTCCCAGCAGCCAATAAGCGTGATCCTCAACTTGACTTGTGGGCGTTGAGCAGCCCCGGACGAACGCCTGGCTGCCAAGAAATTCGAATGCCAGTAACTTCAGCAAGTAATTTGCTCCAGTCTTCTCTGGCTCCCTTGAAGTTCCAACCACTAGCGTAGAAAAAGAGCAACATTGGTACAATCAGTTTCTAAAGTATCCTATCTCAAACAAGCCATCGGCAAGATAGAAATACCTCTTCGAAATCATGCATTAGAAGTAGGTCGGTAACATAAGAAAAATAGGTGTGAGATCGCTGGTATATTTTGAATAAGTTTCTGCCAGTTTGGCCAAAGAGCTCTTATCGACGCAGCAAGTGTTGACCCATGCCTCAGTCGATGCCCAACTCTAGACTTTTCACATGTTTTCTCGACCTTCACAAACCGGCTTTCTGTCTCGTAGTATCGACATCTTTCATGTCGAAAGGGCAACGTCGTCTTGATTCCAGGTATGGCACAAAATGGCACAAAATGGCATACAGTGGAGGGTCGATGAACTTCTGGAGTTCTGAGCTTGTGGTATCGATGAGGCGCGTGGTGGGTCAATGACCGAGCGACTCTGCCACATAGGATATACGGCAAATGAATCACCAAGCGGCCCAAGAAGCACCCAGTAGCCAAAATGAAGCTCAGCTGGGAGAGAAAATTAGCGAGGTCGCCGCGAAGCCAGATGAGCCATTCAACCGGCATCGCTCAATGGGTTATGGGTAACCACCAACACCGCCACATTCATGGAGGGCGCAGTGCATATCGAATACGTCCAATCAAGGTCCGGCAAGAGTGTGCGCCACGCAGAGACGTGACGAGATGGCTATATAAGACCGGTAAAAGCTGTGTTAGTCGTCGCCAGCCGTGTAATGATGAAGGCAAGACAACTGGACGAACGTAGTGGAGTTAAACCAGAAACTCGAGCAAGCATCCCGAGGTCGAAACCGACTTCAAATTCGCATTGTGATGGCCAGTGGCGGCGGCCAGGTCTGCTCCGAGCTCTACTGACGAAAGCCACAACGCTGTCAGCTGCCAAAGCTCAGCTCCACGCCCCACTTCCTTCTATGTTTATGACGACAACCCCGGCAGTGCAGCTTCACTGCGGCGACCCTTGAGCCAGGTGCATGAATTGAAAGCTCCAAAACCAGGTAATTCCCCCGAAATAACAAGGCTCTATGATCTACAAATAGACCAACTCCATCTCCGTCCTTCGTTCCTGCGCATTACCATCAATCTCCATCTCTCCATCCCACGCACGCCCGATCTTATTCCTACTACTGTAGACCACGATCGCATTGTCAGCCACCCTACCTTGTAAGTCCCAGCTCCGTACATAGCCGCTCGCGACGCAATTGCCAAAACATGGACCGCTGACCGCCACCAGCATACACCATTGCATCTACCTTCATCAAAAATCACCTGAAATGGCCTGCGGCTCCTCCCACTCTACGCTCGTCAACCGCAACGGCCCCGGCAGTGCGGCCTCGTCCACAATCGAGAGCTTCGTTAAGCCGGCCGCGGCGACGGGCGGCAAAACCAAGTGCATCGAGTGCGACGGCTACGAATGCTGCTGCATTCCGATTCCATGTACCGTCATGTAAACAAGGGACGACGAAACAAGACCAACTTAGCGAAATATATACGCACGGCAGGGGAGATGGAGCTAGATATAACTGCTTTGGGGGGGCCACGGTGTATAGGACTCTGCTTTCTTCTGGGTGCATAGGCAAAGATGGGAGCATCCGCGGATGCGTTGTGAATAGCTTCACTTGATTTGCAGCGAATCTAAGGGTATCATAACTACATTGCCCGTCTGGCTTTCCCTGCAACGCCTTGTAATGCATATGTATCAATATGGTGATGGCGGTCACTGTCATTCTCAATGCGGCGACACAAGCTTTTGGCCGTCTGCATGATTTCTGTCTCGTTCAGCCCTCGTCACGGACACTCCTCCATGAGGGCCTCCCAGGTCTCTGCCTCAGCAGCCCACGGGTCCGCCTTCTCCCCCAACCCATCAAGAGCCTCATAGTCCATCTTCAAGCTCCCCAACCCCTCCAATATGCGCTCGACCTTCTCCTTTACGTCACGAATCGCATTCGTCTCGGCGCGCGTTCGATCGAGCTGGGACTGCATCAAGGAAATGAGGGACTCGCGGGCCTGGTGGGGACGGTACTCGTTGATGAGATGATGGAAGTTGATAAAGAGGTCGCGGATATCCGTGATTTTGGGCGAGGCCTGCGGTTTGGGGAGCGTGGTTAGAATACCCTTCTTGGTCTTCTCAATGAATGCAACAGTGGCTTTATCCTCAAGTTCGGCGTAAGAGCCGTTTCGACCGTCTTGGTCGATGCAGGGAGAAGAACAAGCAAGGGACGGCCGTAATACATACAGCGCCAGGGTTAATACTCATGATGCCGACCAGCTCTAAGAAATTCAACAGCAGGCTCTTGGCGAGCCGCTTTAGGATCGTCGCCCGGTCGAAGTGCTTGCCGTCTTGGTCGCGCTCCTCCTCCGGGGGGAAGAGGCGTTGGAAGTGTTCGCTGTCTAGTGGGGGCAGTGGATTCGCGAGGGTATACGTCTCGCCGAAGACGCGCCATGTGCCGTCTGCGGGTTCGAGGGGCGGTTGGAGGTTGCGCAGGTTGCGGGGGAGGCTTTCGAGGCGGATTGCGGATGCATCTTGTATGCCTTCGCTGTCGGCTTGCTCTTGCTTCAGGTCCTTGAGGCGGGCGAGGTTGTCGGGTGTGAAGTCCTGCCAGAACGGCGGTGGGGGTGGGTAGGTCGAGGCGTTCGCGGTTTGGGAGGGGTCTGGGTCTGCCATTGTAAAAGCCGGCTTGATTCGCTGTTCGGGAATGCCTGCGATGCCTCGAAGTGTGTTGCCATCCCAGATAATCCTGAATGGTCACAGGAGCTTGAAAGAGGAAGGCGGGCGCCGATGCGACATGGATTTAGAGATCCAAGGGACCCTTGTGGCTTGACTCGGTAAAGCTCGGTAGGTTCTTAGCGCGTGGCCAATAAATCCAAGAATCCAATTGACTTTGCCAGCTGGCAGTGGACTGACCGTCTTGCGGCTGACCCGCGGGATCCTGAGCTCGAGCTCGACTGACCTGCAACATATATCGTCAGTTGTTCAATCTTTATTTATGCAACAGACTTCTGTCATTGACCTCTAAAACCTGTCATCCGAGGTCTCTGACATTCCCAACATGTCAGACGCCCGCTCCCTCCTCCGCGCCCACCGGGCCGCAAACCGCATCGTGCATCCCCACGCGGCCTACAGCGACTCAGGCAAGCTTCTCTGCAAGCTTTGCCACGAAGCCATCAAGTCCGAGTCCCTTTGGGAACCGCATACCCGCAGTACCGGGCATAGGACCAAAGCGGCAGTCCTCTCCCAAGCCCAATCCACCACCCTCCCGGCCGCAGACAACAACCACAAGCGGAAACACGACGACGTTGACGAGGCCATGTCCGACGCCGAAGCCGAGGAAACGGACGCTATCCGCAAGAAGAGAAGCAGGACCGATACGGGCGGGTCTGTTTCGACATCTCCGGCCAATGGTACTGGCGCAGGCCATGCCCTCGAAAAGCAAAGGATGTCAACACCGCCTACACATCCGCCGCGGCGCGCGTCAAACACACCCGTCCACGGCGTTGAGATTGCTATTCCGTCGCGACCAGCTACACCGCTCGTGAGCGAGAACTCAGCAACTCCGACACCGCAACCCATGTCGCACAGCCGCTCGCCCCTGATGGGTAGTTCGGGCTTGGAATACGCCTCTGCGCCTGGCACGCAGGAGGTTGCTGGCTTCGTGGGCCACCACTTGCCTATATCGACCGAGACTGTTGGCGTGCCGCCTCAATACCAATCGGTGACCTCGGCACCATCAGCTGCGGCTATGACAGGTACAATAACCAAACCGTCCGCAGCAGCAGCATCGGTAGACGAAGCCGAATGGGCTGCCTTTGAAGCTGAAATCGCTGCTGCCGACGCAGCACAACCCCTAAAACCTTCCACAATCGCCAATACCAACGACCCCTTCTCAGACGCCACCATCTCCGCGCCGGCCCTGACGGCCGACCAGCTAGCCGCCAAATCCCTCGAGGAGGAAATCGAGCGCAAAAAGCACCTGGTCGACATGGAGATGGCGGACGAGAAAGAAGATGCGGCACGAGCCATGGAGGCCGAGTTCGAGGAGATGGAAGAGCTCGAGGTCCGGGTGCGCAGACTTAAGGAGAGGCGGGAGGAGCTGCGACGGGGCAGCGTAGCGAATTCGAGGGGGGGGGCAGCGACGACGAGTAATGGTTCTGGATCAGGGGAAGGGACAGGAACAGCCGCCGGTAAGGAGAACGTCTCTGCTGCTGGTGCCACAGGAGACGCTGAGGCAGAGGGGGAGAGTGACGACGACGAGGAAGACGATGAGTGGGATGATGGGTTCCGATTTCGGGCTTAGAGAGGCCATGGTTCCCAAGTCATCGGAGTGATTGATCTGAATTCCATGCTCCGTAGTTTGAAACTCCAAGGGGGTGAGGGTAATCAGTCAGTAGATGGCATGGCACGGCGCCCGGTTTGTCTGGACGAAGGCAGCACAGCATAAGCATGGTGAAGCATAAAGCAAGGCGTTGGTATCATCTAGTCTGGCTCCGGCCTGGTTTGGTCAGGCTTTCATTTTTCAAGGAGCGGCATTCAACATGGGAGGTCGGCTGGATTATTACATTGTACAACACCCTTACATTGCAGCCAGCCAATCCAGAGATCCTGTCCTGGTATGTGAGACCCCTAGACGCCACTGAACTCCCAGCAATCTTGCGTTTCTCGTTTTCCATAGGCCGTTCATCGTCATTCTACTGGGTATTGTGAGTTTTCCAGCTCATACCCAAGATTTCGTGTTTCATGAGATTCATGCTTGCTTCATCGTACACCCTTTCCATCCGCTTTTCCAATATGTTCCCAAAACCGCCGCAATTTCCACACTCGGCCAACCCCCGCCCGTTCTTCCCGTTGCTTGACGCCCTCGCTGCGTTCATTGACCTCACCCCTCCACACGGCGCCAACCCACCGCCTCAACCCGTCCTTCAGCCGCTCCCGCTCCACGGCACGCTTCTTGGCCACTAGACCCGGCGCTACACTGCCTTCGACACACTCGGATGGGAGGACGCCACGGTTCACCAGGGTTTCCGCCGACGGGCGCAAGGGTAGCCGACGGGAGAGCCGGATGGCGACCAAGTTGCGCGCTAGCCGCCGTGAGACTTGGGTCGTGTGGGTGAGGAAGATACGGTTTGCTATCAGATCGCGGAGGGTCGGGCGAGAAGGGGAGGAGAGGAGGGGTGGGAGTGAGAGGCGGGCGCGGCGAAGGCGTAGGTTGTGGATGAAGGGGTGAAGACAGAGGGTGCGGAAGTGATGGTTCGTCTGTCAATAGGTTAGTGTTTGGTTGGACCGGGCATTCGATTTCAACTTGGAACGCAAGTTGCTAGTGCAGTGGGATTCAAGACATCCGTGGCCACGATGTAAACAACGGCGTGAGAATGCCGCGGGCGAAATGAGAATGACATGTAGGAGCGAATATCGGACAGGCACAGGTAGCGGGAGCTCGTGAAGAGGGAGGGAGGAGGGTGAGAGAGGAGTGACTCGACCGGTGTAACAGAGAGGGAGACACTGGACTCCCCGTAATTTCCGTCGCAGAGTCGAAAAACCACGTGCAATCCCACGTCACACGAGATGCCGATGCAGAGAGGAAAACTTGAACCAACATACCCTCGACACATCCAGCAGCTCGCACACTTCGAGATAGCTCAGGATATGCATGAGTACCTCGTTTGGCAGCTCATCCAGGCTCGGATCGCCGTCAAGGCTCCTGCCCCATCCCACCACGAGCGTTTCGACCGAAGATCTCCTTGTGAAGACGCCCTCGTCCATCGCTGCTGGATACGAAACGGTTGGGCATCCCTCCGCATCTCGTGGCAGTAATGACGTTGCGGTCAATGCTGTCAACTTTGCAGCGGGTTGGCCCGCGTGCGCCCGCGTCACCCGATCCTGAGCTTCGCACTGATCGAAGATAGTTGCCTCTTCCATCGTCAGACCCGCTTCTACCGTCGTTCCATCGCCCCTGTCACGCATCATGCCTGGTTGGATATCGCCAGAAGTAGGAGGACTGTGATCTTTCGCCCGGAGACTAGAACGGCCATTGGGTTGGGCATCAGCGGCCGGCAAGCGTCCTCGCGGGGTGGCATCGCCATGCTCGGCAGAATGCGACGCGGATGGCGATGAACAAGGAAGTGAAGCAGGTGAAATCAAGGTGGGTGAAGATGAGGCAGCCGATGCAGTAGTGGAACTCGGCCCTGGCAAGGTGACCCAGGCCAGATGGGTGACGATGGGCTGCGCACCTGCGTCGGGGGCCTGGCCCCCTTCTAGATTCGGCGTTCTGCTTTGACTCATGGTGAAAAGCGAGGTGGTATTGTGCTGAAGTGGCAACTTAGAGTTCCGCTGTTGCGTGGGGATTGTCGACTAACCGCCGCTGACAGCAGGTGGTGCCGCCGGAAGAAGGGCGAGATGAGGGCAAAGCCGCCGTCAGACACTTGACTGATCGGGGGTAGTGAGCCGTTCGTGCAAATGTGTATCCCGCCGGATTAGGGCAATGGGTGGTGGTGTTGTCGGGGTCGAACCACCGTCCTCTGACGCGGCTGGGCCTGGGGCATCACAATATGGCAGGCATACGACGCACCGGGATGGTACCTCGGTGAAGAACCCGTCGCCTAATTTTGAAATGGAAGAGACCGCGGGATCAGAGACAGCTCGGGAAGGTGTCGAGCAGGTGAGGGCAAGGCTCTTGTGCTTGTGTGCCAGCGCAGCTTGACTTGCTCGCAGCGCCAGCTGGCGAATGTGATGTGATGAGATGCGCGCGGGCGGCACAATGAGGGAAAAGATCGAAGCCGAGACAAAACAGTGGCCTCGTGAGAAGCGGCCACGGCGGGACCGAGGTTGACGTCGTCACTTGCACGATAAAACGCTGGTGCCTTGTATGTAGTAGGCGCAAACCTTGAGGTGTGGTGGATGGAGGGGAGGCGAGCGGCTGGGGCCTTGCTGTAGATAGCCCGAAGCAGAAGTGGAAGCGCTCCGCTGGCGGATGAATTGGCGCACGATGCCTGCTCTTAAGACGACGCGGTTAATCATACAGGTTTCTTAGGGACTAGGGGTCGTCAAGCATCTAGAGGTCGTGTAAAAAAAAATCGGATGCGCTCCTACGGCGGTTAAAGAAGGGTGGAGGGGCAGAGAGGGGATGCAGTCAAGTTGGAGATGCGAAGGTCTCGACGTCGAGGTTGCCGGAGACGGACCAATCGTCGCAGGGACTGGGCATCTATCTCGTCAGCATGGTCATGCACTGTGCGTGCGGGGCATTTCTGGTGTAAGCTGGTCGTGGCAAGGACAGTGCGACGACCGACACGCGCCCTGTATTCTCGCGCCGTGATGACGACAACCAACAGCTCGAGGTTGTTGAAATGTGACCGTGTTGCGAAGTTAGATTTGTTCAGGTGGCCGTATCAAAGTCCAACTGTGAAGCTTCCATCTTGAAATGAAGGCCCCGTATTCTTCTTTTTCGGGGCCGCAACTAGTATCCAAGCGCACGTAGCTAGCTGCCTGCTTCAGCGCCAGAGAGGGCAAGCGCGGGTGATCCAAGCTCAACGGCGACACTGAGGAAGCTGGGGAGGGAGGGGGCCAATCTGCCCCCAAAATGCTAGACGCGTTCCATGCATTTGCCGCCGCTCGCTAAGTTCAGGGAGAGGCCAAGCCTATAGGGTTGACCGGACTTTGGTTCGGCTGATTGCGTGTCTCGGGTAAGGCAGAACCATTCCAAGCAAGTACCTAGGTATGCAAGCGCGCCACCTGATTCCTCTGTTATATGTCTGCCCAGACTTGGGACGAGGGTTTCCTTGCATCCACCTGCTGCATGCATGCTTGCGGGATGGCGAATTGATGCGCTGTCAATCCCATTTGATTCGTTCGTCTTTGTCACCTTGTCACCCCGTCTTAGCCGGAAAAGCCAAGCGTGGTCCGAGTTCTCGTCTGATGCATATACTTGGGTTTCTATCGGCATGAACAGCTGCAAGGCCTGCAACTCCACGGAAACGCTGCTATATGTCCTGTCATCGCCGCACTGGGTTTCGAATCTCTGTTTCTGGTGTTTTGGCAGCAAATTTGTAGCTCGTGGAATGGTACTCAAGACTAGATTGATCGGCCGGCCGGCCGTTGGCTGCTGCTAACCCCCCATAAAGCTTGGCGCTATAAACGTAGATTGCAGAGACATTCCGTATGCACGATGTCGCAGAACTACTCGTCACATATGGAAGCAAGCGGCATGTAGTCGGTTGTATGTACCTGACATAACGGTAACGTGACGCTGTAGGTTCATGTACCTGGGACATGGAGTTTGGCCTTATTTGTGTGTGTCGGTTGGTTTGAAGACGCGGGGGAAGGCCGCGATAATGGGCTAGTAGTAACGGATATTACGCACATTACGCACAAGTGACCCGGCCACTCCATTTATTTTCTTTTTTCTTGCTTGCGGATGACTGTTGGCGCCTAATGAATCGACTTCCATATTCGCCTTAGTGGTCAATTGGGCTTCAACTGGAATTGGCTCGGCTTGCGGCTCTCAAGGGTTGTCGTGTATGGTTACCTTGACGAGGGTCAGGGGTTTGCGGGACAAGATGGCAGAACGGAAGGTCGTTTTGGACTAGGGACAGTTGGTGATGCACAGAAACATGTACCTCGATATCTCCTCGCACCGATGTGCAGTGAACAGTGGAGCATGTGTGGGATGTCCTTCTGCGTGGAATATCCCAGTTAGGCAACCCTGGAAAGTCGGGAATAGACGGCGCTCTGTGCCAACTCAGAGCACCTTCATCCGGGACGAAGATGATCGAGTCATCAGCAGTTCGCCAAAGCGGGTTGAGATGTGGTGTCCGAAGAGACGGTGTGGGACGACAGACAGCTGCGGCTTATGCGCGTGGGAGAAAAGAAAAAGAAAGTGCAGGACAGTCGTTGGCATTGGCGAATAGGGGTTGGTTCATAGATATAGGGAGGTCACACGGCAGCGCAGAAACAATCGTGACTTCTTTGATCCTTTCGGCTCGAGGCCGTCATCTGGGGCAACCCGGCATCGCGTCGTCGTTCGCCTCATCACGAGATTTTCTCTGTGTGAAAGTGATGTTGTTGTGGTGTGGTTAGTGGCCATTTCTGTGGCCGGGAGGCACGACCCGTAGGCCGCGGCCATTCTTGTCTCGTGGTGCCCAACCAATAGCCTGCCCAATCTGCTCACCATGAGGCTGTGAATCAAACACGTCCTTGCCAACGGCCATCGACCTACCTTAGCCTACTATAGTGCATGGCTCAGGCATGGATGTAGGGTTTAGGGTGAAGGCGGTCGAACACACACACACACACACTCTCTCTCTCTCTCTGTCTCTTTCTCTCTCTCTCTCACTCACTGACACCCTCATCCACAAGGCCACACACCATGCATGCCTCTCTTGTGCTTCCCACCATCTCGGATGATCCACTCCTGACATACGTTGGCATCGTGCAACAGGGAAGACACCGTTTCGATTCCCCCCTGCTGCCATTGGGCAGACAGAAATACGACCCTCTCGTCAGCTTGAACTATGGGAAAACGCATGCTTTCTTAGCCACATGATTTACAAGAGTTCAGAGAAGTTGGGGGCTTCCCGCAACAACCACAGCTATGGCGTTTTTCATTTCAACTACCCGATTGGTTGAGTGTGATGAACTGCCACTAGCATTTTCAACCTTAAAACAAGTTACCTGCTTACTTTCCTCTTCCCGCATCGTGAAATCGGGTTCTTTGCGTCCAGATTCATCCCTAAAGATGGAGACTCGGTGATGATGACGCAAAGCTGGAGAGTCTTTCTCTGGAGGCGGAGAACGGAACGGCCCGTGTAAACACGACCGATTTGGGCCACAGTGCCAAATGGGTACGTACAAGGAAGGAATCACAACACGCCTGGCCGCTGGGGACGGTCGTGTAAACAACCATGACCGGTATCAACCTTTAAGAACACAAACCCAGAAATACGACCCCCGCTCGGACAGCAGCATCTGTTCGTGTAAACTGCAAAGCGCGTTCCAACATGCGCTAACTCGGGGGTGGACATCCGACCCCAGCCGGATCAATGTTATAAACACGAACGGGCACGATATCAAAGTACTTGGTCCTCCTCGTCGATGCAAACTCATGCCATCAGCCGCACACTGGACAAGCCTTGCCGTATACAAGGCTGACCTAATGCACACCAGCCTCTCTTCCGCCCAATGGCCGGGATCGTGGCCGGAGACGCCTTGACACGACATATGTCGTGTCATACCACCGGCTACTATACTCCGAGACAATCAAAATGTACCTTGTGCAGATGCTGAGTTTTCACCTATGCCCGCCGCTCCGTATTCCCATTCACTGTGGTCGTTGGTGGTGACTATAAGCCCCTACGTAAGTGGACCGGATTCAGTGGACGTGCTGGGAAACGAGGCACCCGCGTCGTGGTGGATTCCTCTTGTTCCAAAACTAGTCCTGCAAGTATTAACTCGTATTTCATCATCCTTGGCCCTATATTTCCCCCTCCCGGTCAGTTCCTTAAAGGATGATAGTACCTATCCCGGAAAATCGGTTCTTCATCCTTGCACTGCTGGCCACTATAGTGGCAAGTGTCACCATAGCAGAGTCACGACAGCGAACATTTGTAATATGACAAAATGCAAGAGAATGGATTGCCCAAAAGACTCCCTGTCCCCCTTAGACGTACAACTTCTACAAAATTCCGAGCAACAAGATGCGGGTGGGCCTGGCCGGCCCCCCCCTCCCCCCCCCCCCAGAGAGGCAATGCCACGTTGTCCCCAACCACCGTCGTCGATCATCCTTGGTATTGACCATGGCTAACCGACACAAACGGGGTGCCCTGTGCATGAACATGGTGTCATTCATGTGAGTCGCAGGTACTGCGGTATCCTGCAGTATTTGGCAGCGCCGTCTCAGACCTTATCTCACCTGGCCCTGGATACATGGGCGGTGGGGACCCAGGCCGTGTCAGGGGTGTGACACCATGGCAAGAGTTTTCCATAACGGTACAAGCACCCAATGTCAACGTTGTGCGTTGGCGTCGTATAGGAACACCCACCCGGTCGAGGGACCGACTCCCGTGGAGGCTCGTGTCAGGGCTATGTCGGGTGGGCAAAGCCATCTCGATGTGTTGTGACATATGTTGGCTGCAAGTCGAGCCCTCTTGCATCTGAACAATATCGTTGCTTCCCGATGGTGGCTTGCTGAGTTGGACAACTCAGAAGCATCGGTCTGGCGAGAACCCCAATCAGAGGAAACAATATGGAAGAATGGGTAGGTGGCAAAAGCATCCAACCCTGTTGTTATCCTGCGAACCATGTAATATACTTTGGACAGCCCAAGGGCCAATGTCAACTCTCCCGAAGCTGCAGATGCAGATGCAGACAGAATAGAAGAAGCCAATCTTGCAGGGGGACAACCGAGATGAAGCCCCCAGTGAGGATGGTAGTCTGGTCTCGGATGTGGCAAAAATGCTAAACGTGAGCCCTGTGTTCCAGTGATTTGAGCCCTCTGCTTGTCCTGGAAAATATACTGAATTGGAGCGGCCCTTGTTTCGAGACAGGGCAAGGACCGAACCGCGACTAGCCAAATGGGTCTGCAGAAATAGTAGGTGGGCACTAGGGGGGCGGCCCCCGGCCGCAGACGGAAAGATCAAAATTCTGCGTCGTCGAGCGGGAGGCATAACTAGGGTCTGCGTCTGCGTCGAGACGAGAGCGTGCATATGTAGTAGACATATGTGGACTATCCTGTAGACGTCAGGGTTGGTATGCCGTCCAATGAAAGGGTGGATAGAAATGGGGCTTCTCACTACCACTACCCTCTTCAGGTGTTCATCGTCGGTCGACCAGTCCAGGTACTTGCAAGCCAGGTGGGGAAGTTGAGCCGGTGCAAATTGAACCATCGTCGACGTGGCATCTGGACAGCGTGTGGACGATTGTGTTGGGCGGAATGAAGTCCATTCGCATGCAACCCAATTGCCAGATAGCCTGAGTGGTACTCCACCAATCCTGGAGAAACGTCGTCGGGTAGAAAGACTGAACCGGCAGCAAAGGAGGCTTCTGCCAACGCATGTCGAAGACTGCACAGGTGAAAAAATTGACCGATGCTGCAAACAAACATCGAACCAACGACATCTTAGGGGATGATGTCTAGATGAGGCAAGTATAAGTATCATGTCGATTCCGGCAAGTGTTGCTGATGGTGTGTGTGTTGTTGACACAAAAGGTCCAAGAAGATCAAGAAGAGAAAGTAACTCGAACAAGCGCTTCAAGTCGTCCCGCCAAGTCGAAGAAAAGATTGACCTTGGGTTTGTAAGTCCATCAAAAAGGGCAGTGGTTGCCTGCAGCCTCATGTCTCGTTGACCCGAGGAATCAACACCGATTCAAGCAAAAACTGACTGGCTGTAGCCACGAGAGACAGCCAACCAATCAACCAAAACAAAGCCCAACAACCTACCAAGCATGTGCTACTTTGAACAAACACGATGGATCTGTGGCTACTGGCGCTGGGGGCACTTTCGTCAACAATGCAATAAGGAGTACCGGACGGGCGAGACGTGCGGGTTGAAACTCGTCTACAACACAAACAATGAGCCAGACAAATGCAAGATCTGCAAGGATATCGACAAAAAGCAACGCAAATACATGAAGCTGCAAAGCGATATATACCGGTGGCAACGCGAGGGCAACCGAAATGCGACGATCGAGAAGGCCGAGCGAGACAAGAGCGAGGTCGAGGACGCCATCAGCAGCATGCAGATGCAGCACCACAACAGGCAATACTCGATGAGTTAGGCATGCCGGCGGAAAGACACGGCGCGGGAAAAAGGCTGGGACGGGTTCAGGGAACGTCTGCTTTCCATCAGTGGAGCTGGTGTGGCAACAAGGTACACCACGCCAGCAGTGACAACAACAGGGTAGCCTAAGGAGGCAAGGGAATTGGGTCTTGATATTCTGGGTCGGGGTTTCTATTGGGCTTCTTCGTGCTGGAATTGCCGGTCCTTTGTATTGGTAGTGCAACGGTTGATTCGAATCAATGGATTTGGAGTCAGCTCTTTTGACTTCATGACAAGACGCTTGTAACCGCTCGATCGGTCCTGTTGGCTGTGACAAAAATCTCCCAAATCTGAGTTCTCGAGACGACGGTGCGCTTGTCGTGGTTTTCCGTCGGCGTAGGTATTATTCCCTCAGCAGTAATTTCGTCCGGCGGTTGGTCTGACAAAGCGGGGAAGAGGTTTGTAAAAACTGAACTGGATGGAAAGGCGTGCTGCCTGCAAAACAATGGACTGTGGGAAAGGGGTCGAGGCCGCAACAGTGCGATGTACACACCTGTTAGGGCAGCAACTTCGAGAAGCGCCTGGGTAAAGGTAAATGACTCAGTAGTACGCGAGGGAGGAATAGAGGGGTAACAGCCCCGTGTCGATTCTGCGTGAGACTTGCCTGCAGACCGTCTGTTTCCAGCGAGTCACAGGAGAAGCATATGCTGTGGAAACAGCGGCTAAGTGGCCAAGAAGGGAACAGGGGCTGCGGGTATCCCGCCAGATACTACCGTCTGAGTGGCTAGTCTGACCCGCATAGTTTGTCGCACAACCCTGAGAACTAGGGGCACTGTTTTCGATATAAAAGGGTATCGGTCCAGACTCCGTGTAGACCTCATTCTGGAGTGCACCGAAGCCGGAGAAATTTGGGTTTAAGTGATGACATTTTGACAGATAAACCGCGCTAGCCTGCGGGCCTCCTTTATATATCTCCACAGCCGAGCAGAGGAGTAATCGAGGACGTGGCCGTGGCCCTATGGTCATTGTGCTCGTGAAGGATCCAGCGGCACGTGCTAATTGGCTGTTCAAGAGCCAGTGAGAAGAGAGCATTCCGACAAAGGAACGAGTTGATTGACTCGAATATTCTGCAGTACAGGGAATATGTCCCCATCATCAACTCTGATATCCAAGCGTGAGGCTGCATAGGACCCGCAAGACTGCGGTATTGAGCTTGGCTGAGCCGTTGCAGAATCCACACGAACCCCGCCGGGATCCGAGCCTACTGCCGCATCTTGCATGACAGGTTCCCCCAGATCATCTCACGTCAGAATCGAGAGTGTCGCCGCCGTCATTAGTAATCCGTGATATAGTTCATGCCACTGCGGTTGCTGCATCGGCAAATGTCCCCACAAGAGGCTCTCCTCCTTCCTTGATCCCGGGCATACCGCCCTGCACCTCCGTTATGTCGTCGTCACTGAGCCAGTCCACGTGTCCCTGTACCGAGGTCATATCGTCACTAGCCAACAATTTAGAGATTATGTTTTGGTATTTGTCCAAGCAGACATTCTGGCCCGAAAACATGGTCGGATGGGTGCGCTGTGACTCCTGCGGTGTGATCTCGAAGATATCGACCAAATTACTGGTACACGTCAGCCGCCCAACATCCCGTAGCAAATGCATGTGGCCTTACTTGGACGTGCGCGCCACCACCTTCTGCAGAGCCTCCGTCTCCCGTTGTGATTCTTGGGGGTCGGCCTGAGGATTGATGTTCTGATCGCTGAAGCTGCCGTACTGGAAGTTGTTTGGGTCATCTAGAAGTAGTCGCGAGACATCATCCTGACCGACACGTTAGACTCGCAGCAAAAGGCCATGGCCAAAGCATCCAGAACCCACCTCGTCGAAGGGATCGTCGCCGCGCCGGCCAAGGCAGGATGCGCAGGCTCCCATTGCGAATGCGACCGTCGAAGGATGTAATCGAAGGATGTCATCAAATGAGGATTGGATAGGGTAGGATGGGGTAGCTATGGACTGGGAACGAGAGTCCCAATCGACAACCTAGTGCTGCAAAGTCATAAGGATTGAATAATCTGCCTGGCTTCGTTACCGGCGAGAGTTAGAAGCCGCGTCAGTGCACAGAAGCAGTCGGTCGATGCTCCCGCGTTGCGACAGATTGGATGTTTTTTGCTGGTATGGTTGCACCAATCCAGATCGCCTGCGCTGCACGTCATGCGGGCCGCCCCGGAACTTTTGATGTTCCGCTGAAGAGTCCCACTTTTGCCCCGGCCAAGTTACCTTGATCGGCAGCGGCATTGGTCAAGAATTAACGACAGTGGCACTTTCCATGTTGGATGCCGATTTGACGTCGCAGACATGCTGGCAAGTCAACGTGTCCTGAGACAAGCCATTACCAAGTCATCACATCACCAAGTCATCACATCACCAAGTCATATATACGCTTCGTCGCGGTCATGTTGGACTTGAAAATGCATTGACGCGGTTTACGCTTCTTTCTCACTTCTAGCTAAGCCTCAAAGTCTCAAGTCCAGCGTGTCGCACGCCGTGATCAGGAACACTTGTTCTTTGCATCAAATGGAGATGCTACCTTCTCACAGCAGCTTGATGTAGCTTGCCAGGACTTGAACTAGAGGGTCCTGTTTTTTCCAAGGTGGAGTCTCGTTTCTGTCTCGCTGTCCCGCGGATTCGGTAGTATGCCTTAGTCTGGTCTACCGCCTGAAGCAGAGAAGCTTGCGAGAGCTGCGAGAGGTTGGCTTCAGTGGAGTCGTGCCTGGCATTTTCAGACGCTCCTTTCCTCTTCGAGATGTCCGCAGAAGTCGAGCATGGCTAGGATAAGGAATTAGTTATTCCTTCATGGTCTAAACTCGACAAGGTTTCCCTGCTTCCCGCCCTCACACCCCACCACGGTGACAAGGTTAATGGCATCCTTGTATTCATCCCAACATATTCGCAATCCCTGTTCCCGCTATAGTCCATCGTACCTTAATCAGACGTCGTGAGGGGCCCCTATAGCCTACGTGTAACGAAAGTAGCTATATGCCGCCTCAGGCCGCTGCCAAGTACGACACACTATTTTCAAGGCAGAAGAAACATCTTGTGAGCACATCCACCGTGGTTATGGGGATTCGTTTCCGTTCCTGCTAGGAATTGGGTGGAATCAGCTTGTGGAAGCATGCTTGCGGTATTGCTTGTGCTCAATGGCTGGCCAACTTTCAAGAGCCCGGTAAAATGCACTCGAAAGGTGCTGGACCTGGGGTTTTGTTGGTCACTTGAGAACTGGACTAGAGTTGTGGGCGTTGCTATCGTGTTTTGCCATCTAGCAACTGAGCTAAGGGACAGTTGGTGTCCCTGCCTGAAGCAATATCACTGACCTACTTTCAAACAGGAAAAGACCACTTGGGGATTGAGATAATTAGATAGCATCCATGCGTAGTACTTAGTGTCTTCACAGAAGACCACGGTCCAGCTATGCAATATCAGGGTAGATAATTTAGCTATTGTAAAATAGAATTAGCAAGTTGTGTTAGCTGCTGCGTGTTACTTTGTCTAAAAGCTAGATAGGGTCCTCAAATTAATGTATGTTGATTTTGTTTTGAATAATAACAGAGGACTAGTGGCACATAGTCCACTGGCGGAGCCCTAGTTACTCCGTAACAATGTATACTAGTTAGATAGGTAACATTCTACCGTTACACCTGACGGAGGTTAACCTAGCTCAATAAACATCACAATCCTCCATGAAATAATGTTGATGCGCCTAGATTAGAAGGGACGAATGAAAAACTCGATGCAATATCAAGCGGGAAATCGCCACTCTTAAGCAGGACTCTTAACGCTAATTTGTAACACAACTTTGAGCTGAGATATCTTGATCCCAGGTGTACCAGATAGGTGTTTGCAGTCCCAAAGAAGTGGTGCTAGAACAAAAAAGCCTCTAATAGTTGGCGATTTAACATAAAAATAAAGGTGGAAAATTATAAGGCTGGTGCTTTTGCCCTAGATGAAGTGCTATCTTGGTAGCAAAGTTTTCATTCGACTAAGTAGGCCTCCCTTAACTACCATGGCGACCAACGACAAAGCGTACCACTGTCTGTAAAATATTCTCCAGAGTAGTGCAACGAACACTATTTGGGGTCTAGCTGCTAAACCACTAAAGAGTGCTGTAAGGTTGAGGCTAGCAAGTTGAGTAATATTAACGAAGCACGTAATCCTCTTTTGCGGGCTGTTGGAAGGACCGAGGGAACGATTACGGGCCGCTATCGCACCACGGCCACTATACTCTCGCAGAGACCTCGCAACAGCAACAGGAGAACCAGTAGTTAGTGGGACTATTGTAAGGTGGCTGCTAGGGACGGGTCGGACAGCTTCAAGGCCCAGATAGCATCGATCTTCTCAGGGGGAACTTAGTTGGTAGGTTGAGAACCAACGTAGTATGGTAGTGAACGCAACGCAGCGTATGTATTTAGTCCAGCCATTAGGGCACGGTTTGACATACGGGAGTACTGGTAGAGGTACTGGGGGCTTCGAGCCTACGGCGTATTTAATAATAATAATATTAACGGGATCTTGATCAATGCAATGGATACGTATAAAACTGAACTAGTAGTATATCAGTGTTAGAGTCGTCAAGGCTTAGTAGGCATTACCTATTGGTTAAAGGACTGTCTACTATTAAAGTCTAAGAACCTCTATCACTTATATAGCGATTTCCTTTTTCACTAATTCCTTAGATCGTTACTAAGCCTGCAAGGTTTAGTCAGGTAACCTTTATCCTCATACCTGCTTCTTTCTTGAAGGGTTCTTCCGTTCCGTGTTCCTGGTCCCATTTCTTCTTGCGGGGCTGCCTAGCCTGCAATCAGGCTTGTGAAGTTAGTTAGAACCAACGATTCGTAATATTAAGGCCCAGAGAGATTGTAGTTGATTATTTCAAGCCTGTTTCCGTCAACCTGATCAAAGCACTACGGTTCTTATATGCTGCTGTTATCCGCCTGGACTGCAGATCTTGTTGAATATTTCTTATTTATCTCTACCTTCTTCCCCTTACAAATTGCGGCCTTCCCACCCGACATTACCATGCCATTATTTTAGCCCGCTTAAATAAATAACGTTAGGAGTTTGTAATATAACGTAGTTTCGGGACTGTCGTGATTCGTCGTATGATTATCCGCCAGGCACGGGATGGAGTTCGCTCCGGACAAGAGTGAGCTGATGCACTTCACTTGAACCCGAGACCCCTCCCCGCAAAGTATCCGTCTTGGAAACGCTACAGTAACGCCGAAGGTCTCGGCAAGGTTCCTAGGGGTCTAGTTTGACCGCAAATTAACGTGGCACGCCCATACCGAACGGGTTAAATAAAAAATGGCGACTCAGAAGCTAGCCCTAACAAAGCTAGTGAACATGGCGTGGGGCTGCGATCTCATACGGGCGAGACTACTGTACACGTCGGTTATTCGCAGCGCGATCGCCTTCGGGGCGGCTGCGTGGCACACTATAAGTGAGGAACCAGCGGGACCAGCTAAGAGCCTAGTCGGGATACAGAATGAGTGCCTCCGAATAGTCTGTTGCGCCTACAAAGCGACACCGGTCCGATACCTAGAAATAGAGGCAGCTATCCCGCCACTAGACCTATATCTCAGTGCCCGGGCGGCGAAATTTGAAGAACGGCTACGGAATAACGGCAAAAGGAGCCTGCTTCGGAGCGCGAGCGCGAGAGCGTCACACATACTCCGACAGGACACGCCGGCGAGACGGAAGCGGGCGTCACAATCGCTCAGACCAGCGGGGTACACGATAGAGAAGGAGGCTAGGGGCTCCGAGTGGATAGGCAAGGCGAAGGAAATCCCGGCTGCCCTCCTAGACCACTGGGAGAAGAGATGGCTCTCCGGGGCAGCACAACACGACCGCCAGCGACGCGCTATCGCCGAGGAGCAGGAGGGGCCCTCGATGCGAATGCCGAAACAGGGCAAGTACTCAGACCTAAACCGACAGGGGCGTCTACCCTATGCCAAATCAGGACCGGAAAAATAGGACTATCAGCTTTCTTATTTAAGATAGGAGCCTTCGGTGTGTACTCGCAGTTATGCCGCTGTGGAGAGGCCCCCGAGACGGCAGAGCACGTAATTGTCACGACCTGGGTTGCATCGCATTGGTATAGACCTCGATTAGGTGCTATCGACGAAGATTCTACTCTAAGGAGCGAAGGAAAGAAGATGACAACTTAGGTTTGAGGGAGCGCGACTAAGTCATCCACGCTTGGCGGGGCTCCTACAAGGGTTATGATTGGCTTCCCACCTGGCACTGCCATGGCAGGTGTTCCAGCTGTACGTCACCTGGTTGTAGTGAGTCTGCGAGGGTTGACCTTCACAGTAATCCTCTTTTGCGGCCTGCTGGAAGAATCGAGAGAGCGCCTACGGGCCACTATCGCACCATGGCCGCTGCATACACGTAAAGACCTGGCAACGGCGACGGGGAAACCAGTAGTCAGCGGGACTATCACAAGGTGGCTACTCAGGACTGGCCGGATAGCGCTTAGGCCCGGATAATATCGATCTTCTCAGGGGGACTTTGTTAGTAGGGTGAGAACTAACATAGTATTGTGGTGGACGTAACGCAGTCGCTAATAGAGCGAACCTACGTAGCAGCGTATGTGTTTAGTCCAGCCATTAGGGCACGGTTTGACATACGGGAGCACTTGTAGAGGTACCGAGGGCTTCGAGCCTACGGCGTATTTAATAATAATATAACGTAGTCCACAAGCGAACGGGTCACGCCGATAGCAAAAAATAGAACTGAACTTCCTAACTTTACCACGCAACTAATTCTCGATGGATTCTTCTCAAAAACAATCTCAATTACTCCTTGCAACTCAGGCTATCAGAAATGACTCAACACTTAGTATCTGACGTGCTGCAACAATCTACAAAGTCTCGAATACTACTCTCCAGGCGCGTCTTCAAAAACGTCAATCACGTCGCAATATCGAAGCTAACGGTCGTAATTTAACAAAACTAGAAGAAAATACGATTATTCAAAGGATAATTGAGCTAGATTCGCAAGCATTCCCTCCCCGGCTAAGTTCTGTTGAAGATATGGCAAACCGACTGCTACGCGACCGCGACGCGTTACGCGTCGGCAAGAACTGGGCCTCCAACTTCGTTAAGCGACAACCACAGCTCAAGACGGTATTCAGCCGTAAATACGACTATTCTCGTGCCTTATGCGAAGATCCAGAGCTTATTAAAGGCTGGTTTGACCTTGTGCGCAATACAATTGCGAAATATGGGATCGCCGATGCCGACATCTACAATTTCGACGAGACCGGCTTTATGATAGGTCAGATTACCGCATTGATGGTTGTTACGAGCTCTGAAAGGAAAGGCAAGCCTAAGCTAGCCCAGCCTGGCAATCGGGAATGGGCTACGGTGATCCAGGGCGTCAATTCCCAAGGCTGGACGGTCCCGCCATACATCATTGTCAAGGGCCAATACCACCTCTCTTCCTGGTACGAAAACGACGCGTTGCCGAAGGACTGGAGGATCGCCGTGAGCCCAAATGGTTGGAATACGAACGAATTGACCGCAGATTAGCTAAAACACTTTGACAAATACACCAAAGGCCGGAAATCGGGTGTATATCGCCTTCTTATCCTGGACGGCCACGAAAGCCACCATTCCGACGCCTTTGAGCAATATTGCAAAGAGAACAATATTATTACACTTTGTATGCCTGCCCACTCTTCTCATATCCTCCAGCCCCTAGATGTGGCATGTTTTGCGCCGTTAAAAAAGGCCTACGGCTCGCAAATTGAAAAGCTCGTCCGAGCCCGGATTTCGCATATCACAAAGGAGGACTTTCTTCCGGCATTTTGCGACGCGTTCAAGAAGAGCCTGACCGAAAGAAATATTCGTGCAGGCTTTCAAGGGGCTGGGCTTGTATCTTTAAGCCCAGATATTGTTATTGAGAAGCTGGATGTGAAATTACAGACTCCAACGTCCTCCCGGCCCCCTACGCGGGAAACCCTTCCTTAGGCTTCTCGGACGCCAAACAACCCAACCGAGGCTACTTCGCAATCCGAATTTATTAAATCTCGAATTTCTAGGCATCAAAATAGCTCCCCGACGTCAATTTACGATGCTATCGATCAGTTTTCGAAAGGAGCGCGGAGTATTATGCATAAGATGGCTTTACTCCAAGCTGAGGTCGCCGAACTTCGAGAGGCAAATGCTCTAATTAGCAAGCGGCGCAGGGCCAAAAAACACGAGTACGGCTTGGAGGATCACTTAATTCACAAGACGTACAAGATCTTCAAGATCAAAAGGACGTTGTGCAGCAAGTACAGCAGGAAATGCGTGGAAATAGCGCTGGATCAAATCGTGGCCAGCCACGGCAACGGCGCTGTGGCGTATGCGGGAAGACCGGGCATAATGCGCGAACCTGTCAGGTAGAGATAGAATCATCTGGGCAAGAGTATTCTGAGTAGTTTTAATTGATTTACGGCGTTGTGGTTGCGAAATCGTGTTGAATTCCATGTTTTGCTAGTTGGCGTGACCCGTTCGGTTGGGTGACCCGTTCGCTTGTGGACTACGTTATTCCTTTTACCTATTATCTAATTGTTATCCGTCTCTTGTCTTCAGCACCTCAACCTGCGGGTATTTTTGCTCGTCGTTAATATCCATGTCTTTTATAACCTGCTTCGCAATTATATGCTGTATTAACTAAAAGTACTCCTTGATTACTTTCAAAACATAATGATATACGAATATAATCAAGCTCGATAACCAGCGCTATCTGCTGGGTAGCGCGCCTTTGTTCCGATTTAGTTAGCTTGATGTTTAATATCGGTGAGCTTCAAGGAAAATATTGACGACGGGTAGGAATGCCCGCAAGTTAAGATTATGAAGATGGAGACGGAAAACAGTATCCTCAGTAATGCCTTCTGTCCGGGCGGATAACAACAAGAAAGATCGAGAGGCTTGTCGCTCTGACCAGATCAAAAGCAAAGCCTCAACAGGTCCTTGAAACGGAATCATCTCAAAATGTGCAGCCAAGAGGCACAACTTCCTTTACTTCAGGTTCTTATGACTACCTTCATTCCTTTTGACTAGAAGAGATAAAGAAACATCCAATCCTATGCTTTGTTATAGCTTGCAGTAAGTCCCGCAGATATACTACGCATTCATATATTCCTCCAAATAGGCAAGATATCTTAAATTAGGCACATAATTATACTATGATGATTAGCTGCTTATCTAATATTCTAGTATAGACTATATGTACTTTCAGGTACCTCTTAAGTCCAAGTAGCGTGTTAGCGACTTGATTTGTACCTTCGAAGATTCATCCTAGTTCAATAACTCTTTGTCTCATGATAGGTTTAGGACAATAAAAGACCCCGCCTGTGCTATAAATTAGCTGTAAAGAGGGCTGCCAAGTAAAATGTCACTGAACTGATATTCAATTATCTCTTAAATGTGAATTTATCAAATTGTATGTACAAAGATCAACCGCAAAAAGACAATCGACCTCGAACATCCCTCTTCCCACCTTTCCAGCACACACTTGTAGTTATAGACACTGCGAATAATACTCATTCTGCACCGTACAAGTATAAGGTGCCAAGCAAACCGTTGGCCCGGTATATCCCGTGCCACCACACTGCGCATAATGCTGGGCAACAGCCGTTGACGTCGAGCTCGGACCGGTGCTTGTAGTCGTGCTCGTACTCGCCTTCACCGTCGATGTCGTGCTAGTCTTCAAAGTCGAGCTAGTGGTCGAAACGTTGCTAGTTGTGCTTTTCCCTGTTGTGGCAGTTGACGATGTGCCCTCGGTAGTCGTGATCGATGACGCTCCTGTTGTGGTACCAGATCCACTCCCGCCACTGACACTCCCCTGCGCCCAAAATACGCCCCTCCCATTGGTCCCGACGTACACCTGTCCCGCTGTACTCGCGCTCCCAGCCAGAATACAGCTATCGATAGCACCGAACCCCTGAGAACTGCCCTGGATACTAGTCCAGCTCGCGCCATTATCAGCACTAGCGTAGAGCATCGCACCCGCTGAGCCCGTGCCAAAGGCATACACGTTCCAGTTCGTGCTAGAACCGACACCGAGAGCAATGGCATACGTATTGCTGAGGCTGGTCGAGGTCTGCGTGAACGAAGCACCGTAATTAGTTGAGTAGAAAACCCCCACATCAGTCGAGATCCAGACCGTTCCTGCGGTGGTGGGATGCGCAGCAATATCTCTAATCGCAGTCGCGCTCCCCAAAGCCCCACTGGCCGTGAATGTGCTGCCTGTATCTCTGCTCACGTAGAACTTGGCCCCAGAACCGGCGTAAAAGACAGTCCCGTTCTTCTTATCAGACGCAATAACAGCACCTGAAGCCAAACTAGCCACCACAGCGAAGCTCCCCTGGTTTAGCGACCGCTGCACGCCATTGGAAGCCGTAGACCACAGAATAGTGTCCGAGTCTGCAGAGTACGCCACCGTACCGCCGTACATGGTTGTCCCGGCCCCCGAGTGGGCGTACCAAGACGCTCCGCCCGTATTAGACAGCGCAACCTGCGCCGTCCCGGCCACATTACCCACGCGGACGACGTTGGACACTGAATTCCCGGCGTAATCCACGCCTGTGGACGATGACCACTCGGGATCCATCCAATTCTTGCTAGGCGATGTGGTCAAGGAACTTTTGCTCGCAAAGGTGAAGCCGTTTTCGTCGTACATAGCGACTAGTAATTCGCTGCCACCGGGGACAGAGGCCAAGCCCTGGATGGCGAATTCCTCGATTCCGTCCGCGAGGGACTGGATCGAGACGTTGTGGTTGCTATCCCAGTTCGTTAGATCATGGCCGCCGTAGATGGTTAGACCCGTGCCGTAGAGCCAGTGGTCGCTGTCGTGCGGGTTGATCTCGAGGGATTCGATCATCCAGCCTAGACGCTCAGCGTCGGCGAGGTCGTTGAAGCTTGTGGTGATCCAGGGGGCTTTAGGGGTCTTTGCACGAAGATGGGTTAAAAACGTATCTCTTGGGTGGGATAGAAATGCCATGTACTTACTGTCATCGAATAGTAGTACGTCATGCTTGGGTAGCTAGCCCATTCCCAAATCTTGCTCCATGTGGCGCCCGAATCTGTCGACCGGAAGATCTGCGCATCGGGCCACCACGAATTCAAACTAGCCACCATTATCGTCCCGGACGCAAGTATGTCCACGCCGAGGCCACCAAAACCAAAGTACAGGTCCGACCCAGAAACGGGAGTGATGTTCGTCCAAGTATTGGCTGTAATATCGTACTTGTACACTGCTCCAGATGTGCCGTCGTACGGCCCTGTGCCATCGCTGTACGTAAGATACAGCATCTTCTCGCTGGGCTGCAGCTTGCACTTATGCGGGAAGTAGGTCCCAGGCTGTCCGGCAACCGTAGTCCACGTCGCGCCCGCATCATTGGTCACATACACCGAAGCAGTGATGTTGTCAGCGGTGCCAACGAAGATGCGCGAGGTTGCGCCTCCGGTTGTGCCCGAGGTACTGTCGAAGGTCACCCATAGGAGACCCTGCTTGTCGTTGTTGTAATTATTGGTGTCCGAAGGGTCTGGGGCAAAGGTGCCCACGGCCGTGAAGGAGGAGACCTTGGTGAAGGTGACACCGCCATCGGTGGACTTCCAAAGACCATTGCCGGAGCGCGCGCCAAAGTAGATGATATTGCTGTCAGCAGGATCAACCGCTAGACGCTCTCCGTTTCCACGTCCTGGCATGTTACCACCCACTTTGAAAGAAAGGTTAGTGAAACTCCAAGTCGCGCCGCGGTCAGAAGAACGGATTATGGCTCCATTGTTGGGATCCCAATCGTTGGTGTACATGCCCACGGCGGCGTAGACCTTCTTGTCATCCTGAGGATCGAGGGCAAGGGCGTCGATTCCCCAGTTGTGCCAGCCGGTGTTGTCGGCTATGCTGTCCGTCACCGCTGTCCATGAGTCGTCCGAGTTGAGGCGGTAGAGTCCGCCGATGTCAGTTCGCGCATAGGCGACGCCAGCCGTCTTGGGGTGGAAAACGATGCCGGGGACGAAACCGCCTCCGCCTCCGATCTTGACATTCTGCCAGGTGAAGGCAGCTTGGATCGGCGCAGCTATTGCTGCAAGGAGCAGCGAGATTGGCGTTGAGAACTTCATCGCCAAGACTGTTCGTTGCGGATCTGCAGACTGAGCGACTGGAGAGCCTCACTCACTCGAGTCTAGATGCTGGTTCTCGCATGGATACGCCATGGTTGCTGCTTTTATACATGGCCAACGGTGGTAGTATGATTCCAGACTTCTGTCCAGGCCCAGCCTTCATTTCTGCATGTTGACTTGTGTACCGGCCGTTACCCCTCTTCAGGTACCCGGGATGGTAGCCACCGTCCGGACGAACTCTCTGGATGTGACTCTTAGGTTGTTACAGTGTCATTGCGGAAGTGGAATCGAAATAAAATTAGCTATTGAAGACATCGCCATGGTTTTCCCGCGAATAACGTAGCCCTGTCCTGGGAAGGCTGCCGAACCAACCGGTCGGGCTAGGCTGTTTTGACACCAAGGAAGGAAACTCTCCGTTTCTCAGGGGTACAGATGTGTTTCCTGCGGAGAAAGTCATTTAGCTGCCAGAATCTACAGTCCAGACTCAGCGGATCGGAAACTCGATGTTCGATGGCACTGCTCTTGACGACGCTCCATATGAAGAACCCAAGACCTAAAGTGAGGAGAAGGCGGTGTTAATGTGATAATGGTGCGGAAAAAGGAAAGCGCGAGGTATGAGACGTGAGGCGGCCTACTCTAGAGCTGAAGGTGGGGCCCAAGCAGGCACCCCAACCACGCGCTCCATCGCCCATGACTTTTCTCAACTTCACGGGTCATCGAACGCGAACGTAACGATAAATAATTGCAAGATCATCTCTCCACGGGGTCAAGAATCCACTATGTGTGAATATTGCGGACGCATTTGCAACGTTCGGCTTAAGTCAATTAACCATCAATTCAGGGCTTAGTAAAACTCTTCAACTTTTCCCACGTCTCGTCGTCTCACTGCATCAGTTGATGCTCCGTAGCTGAACACTAGGCTCGTTCCACCTCTCATTTCCTAATTCAAATGGTATCTCTAATGATTCGCGTTGTTTCAGCACCTCTTGCATTCAAATGACGACACCGCGAAGCTCTGCTGCTGCTGCTCAGTGGCAGTACCCACTAGCCAGTGATGCGGCGAAGTAACCCGCAGCTTTCGCCGTCCGATCCTTAACCTCATCCAAGAAACCCTCAACGGCTTTCTTGTCCATCACCGCCGTCGAAGACGATTCATCATGCTGTTGCACCGCTGTTGTGGCAGCAACTATACGGGTCGGCGACACATCTCTAGACCGTCTCGGCGGAGTGCGACCCTGACCGTTTGATGGGCCGACACCTCTGCAGGCTAATTGCTCCTGTAGTGCGTTTGCCATGAACTTCGCCTTCTGTTCCGCCAGTATGGTCGCGCGCTGTTGCCTTATCTCTGCCAGCGGGATATTCTCCTTGTCCACTTCGTCTTCGGACCGCCACTCATGGCTATGATCCAGCGCGTCTCCCTGCCGCAATTCATTCCACAGCAGCGTTCCTATCTCGTCGCTGATGACAGGGGCATTGAACAGCCGGCGACATTCCCTGATTCCCTTGGCCGCCTCTTCGTTGCCAATCATTTTGATATCCTCAAGCGTCAGTGTACTCTGGATGCGAATATGATCAAGGTGTTCTGGGAAATGGTGGTGCAGGAAGTCCTCCAAGAAAGCCACTCCGTCTTGAACCGACAGGCGCCGCCGGAACTCGCATTCTTGCTCGAGTTGTTCCGCCGCTTGTCGTTGTTCATCTGCGAAGCGCACGGGACTGCTTTTCCTTCGCGAGTGTTTTCGGCAGTACCGCGATAGGCGACGGATGTCTTTTTGGATCTCCTTGCCTTGCTTCTTGAATTCCTCCGAGTCCTGTTCCAGTGCCGGGCTCGGTCCCTTGAGAGATATGCGGATATTCGTGGTGACTCTGGTCACTCTCTGGTCGTCAGTCTCCTCTGGTGTTCGTGGTTTGACCCAGAAATCGTCATGTTCGGGACCTTCTCCAGAATTGGACTCTAGCTGTGGTATCTCTCCCTTTGATTTGACTGATTGGCATGGTGATATGGAGTTTGAGAGAGTCATTTTTCCAAGGTCGATGTTCTGGAGTGCGACCCGAGGAGCTTTCACTTGATAGTTCACGACGAGCTTCGTAGTAAACATCTTGGTTGCGGGTCAGTACTTGCAAAATGGGAGATGAGAGGTGGTTCGCATTAAACCCCCTCTGCAGTGAACAACCGGTCCAGCGGCGATGATTTAGCAAGAATAGCAGAAGCCTGCTGCGGGAGGGAAGGCACACTTTGTGAAAGGGGGTGTCGCAGAAATATTAAAGCTTTGAGCAATGCTTCTGACCTTTAGGTGTAAACCAAAGATGCTTTCCTTTGGAGGTCTGTTTCGTGCTTGCGCGGTTTATGCAAGCCGCTGGCTCCAAGTTGTTGTGGTGGTGGCTTGCAGTTCCGCCGGTGGTGTACCGATGGTGTAGGGCTGGCAGGTTTACGGTCGGACAATGAGAAGGATACAAGGAGAAGGCAACAGGAATGCAGCTGACAAGGCTGATGGTTAATCTGCAAACTTATCAAGTGACAAAGTGGAGGATTCGGTCTCTAAGATGAAAGTCCTGCCTGAGGAGACTGTTCTGTCAGGCAATACTTTTGCGGTGTTCGAGTACATCTGCATATCAAAGAAGGCTGTTTTACACTTCTGTCAAGTGTCAACACAACCTATCAAGGAAGCTTGATGCAGCCATACTGCTCCACATGTCTCCACTCACACTGTGAACAGTTGCAATTACAGTTAGTTCCTATTTCAAAAGGTTGCCTCAGCCTGGAAGTCTGGGGAGATCCGGGTATGTGGCAGGCGTCAAAGGCTGGTCAAAGAAACCTGGGGTTAGTTAAATCTGCCGGAATGCCCGAGCCGCTGCCAGATGAACACTGAAAAAGCCACACCGAGAACACAAAGTGATGGGTGCGGGAAAGTCCACAATTGCACCGAGTCCAAACATCTGAAGTACGTTTCTGCCGGTCTCGCCTGGGCCGAAACTGAAATGTCTGCAGAAAAAAAGAACGTGGGTCCGATTCATCATCGCTTGTGGCTTCTTAACTTTCGCATCGACTGGCGGTGGAGTCGTTGGTGTAGCGAGCCACTGGTGTAGCGAAACATCATGAGAGCTGATACATGTCTCTTGGGGAGGTTTCCTGTTTGTCGAATGAGCCGGGGGAGCTGAAAGAACGGCGTGAGGAAGTTTGCGATTGGGCTCCTTGCGGTATTGTCTCTGTCTTTTGGGGTTGCTTCAGTGCTTGGGGATGTTGCTTGGCTGACGCTTCGACTTACCCCCACTGACCCAGATGGACTGGAGCCGACAGTTCGACCTAATAATTTAGTGGGGGGTTTTTAGTGCAGATGTGTTGGTTTATTATGAAGCTCGTTGGGAAAGACAACATTGTTTTGACATATGGACTCTCCAACGCCGGCCCAGTAGGGGGTTTACACCGCAACAGGTCACAAATTATTCTTACTGCATCTAAGTATTTATCGGAAATCTGCCACCATTTTTATTATGACCTTGCCTTGTATTCTGCGACACTGATGGTTTCAGGGATTATCTCTCTACCATACTTATACCAAACACTATGGTCATTCAGAATTTCCTTGAATGTAGCCTCTGTTCATTAGACTGGTTCCATGATGCTAGCTCTAGCTAAATTTTCTCACAAGTTTACAGGTCCAATTATGCAGTCCATTGCACGCAATCAATCTTGGCTTTACCATCTAGTTAAGACTGGTATACCTTAATAACCTTATCGACACCAGAACTAATATTGATCATTGACTACTTCGGTAAGAATACTGGAAATTAGAAATGACCTGTTATCAATTAGTAAACCATATGTCTGGTAGGTATTCTTTTAGGCTTTGCCAAAGTGGAAATTAATGCCGTATCGTCAAAGGTGTTTGTTCAATGCGACCCAGAATAAATGTTTGTTCACCAGTACTGACACAAATCATACATAGTTACGCGATAGGTAACTTATCTACTATCACTTGCCCTGTTAATTTTTCTAACATCCGGGGCTGTGATCTAAGTATAAGATAGGGGTGATAGGTGGAAGACCCTTGTAACGATAGGCAGATGTTGCTTACTGCAAGTTACGATATATCTGTCTTCCCCTACTTGGAGAGTATGGTATGTAAAATTGTTTTATCTTCTTAGCTTCAAAAGAACGATATTGAACTGTATGTTTGATATCATAGCCTGTAGGACAGAATAGTTCCCCCGATTAGTGCGGGTACATTTTGTGCACAGCTCTTGAGCTAGCTAACTGACATAAGTCATCTGTCATCTGAACCAAATATATCCCAATGACAATTGATCTTCTCACATTCAGTGTGTGAATGGCTGTTGGCTATGTGGGCAGATGGCCATGTACCTGCTTACTCAGGAAGAGTACTAGCAGTCAGATACAAAATAAATGAATGCTATTCACTATATTTTGCGAGGTGCCTGTCTCCAATTATCTCCTGACCATTACCTTTTATAGCTGAATGTAATTCTTTCGGCATGTTCTATTAAGACTGCTGGCTTGTTTTGTAAGGAAAGAGCCGTTGTGGCGGGCCGGTCTCAGCTGACAAGCCGAGTCGGGAGGGATTCGCCCCCCGATCCGGTAGAACCCCGGAACCGCCCAGCTTAAGAGGAGAACTCGAGACGCTCGCACCTAGTTTAGATTCTTCAAGAATCAGTCTTGCGATATACGCACCCATACACTGGCCTACTTCTAGCTACCCTTTGCACTACCTGACTATTATATTGTGAGACGTGTGGTATCCTCGTTACATGTTTGATAAGTGTACATGTGTTATCTCATCTAACGTGAGGAGGAATAGAAAAACTGGTGTTCGAACCTAAGGCGAGGTGTGTATCACGTCTGTTGTTTTGCAGGCGTCTTTCTACTTGTTTTATACTCTAGCTCCTTTGTCGCTTAGTCTACTTGATATATCAGTGGCTTCCCAACACATGTGAATAATACCTTGAAATCGCCATTCACCATTATCTAGAATCTGCTACCTTTGCTAGATTCTAGGAGTTACTGCTTAATTCTGATGTATTTAGTTGAAAATACCGTGAATACTTTCAACTTTGCTTATTGTGTCTGTTATTGATCATCCCTTTATTGTGCTAAAATTGGCAGCTCGCTAAGGGGTATGGGTGTGGATCCTGGTCGATCTACCGCACTGGACTCATGTCACGAATGTCAAGTTCATTGAATTCGTGCCAAGTCAGCTGTGTGGTCAGATCTGTTGATTCGTGGATTGATTGATGATAAGTCTAGGTTTCTATGTAACGCGGTAACAGCGTTGGCTTTATTTCCACTTTTGTGGGGCCTAGGGCCACACTCAGATCCACATGGGTATGGCCCACTTATAAGTGGGTTGGTCACCTTAGACTGATGCACAGTTCGCCTACGGATTTCGCCTACGCAATTGGAATAATTTCTACATGCATGTGGCGTAGCCCCTGGTCTCTGGTCTAACCGCATTGACCACCTTTTTGCATGCACCCCCATTTTGCAGGGAAATTCTACGTCCCAACAACATGACGTCTCTCAATTTACCTCCCAATTGCTCCCTAGCTACGTACAAAATGGCTGATCCAGTGGAGAATAGTCCGGACGATTTTGAGCAGCGAATCGAATGCGCTAAAGAGCTTGTCCGTCAGAGCTCTTCCCAGGCCGTAGCAGCTCATCGGTACGGTATCAAGGGGACTACATTGTCCTACCGCATTTGTCACGGTAATTCGCATCGCGACGCGGCCTCCGGGCAACAAAATTTGACTCTAGAGCAAAAGGAGGTCATCGTGAACTGGATCCTACACGAAGAACTATGCGGATGGGCTCCTAGCAAGCGTTATGTGGCCGACTTTGCTACCGAAATCCTCCTTGCTCAAGGGGATAACAATATACTCGGCTAATACTAGGTGGATCACTTCGTTAGCCGCTATCCACAGATACGTACTAAAATTAGGCGCGTCGTAGATGCTAGCCGAGTCAAAGCGTCCGATTCGAATAAGATTCGAGACTTCTACACCCTCCTCGAACGCTTACGTACGAAGTACCGTATCAAACCCGATAACGAGTATAATATGGATAAGACAGGTGTCCAAGAGGGGGAATCTAGGCATAGTACGGTTATTAGGACGTCTAATTCACAATGGACTCATTGAATGCCACTGGACTGGCTGGCAATGTTATCGTCTTCATTAATTTTGCTCTGGAATTAGTAGGCAGAGGATCTGAATGACCAGCTTGGCTTCAGAGGCAACAGATCACACTGTGTAATTTGTAAAGGCAATAAATGTCACTTCATATATTCACTTCCAGCCTACAGTTAAAGGATGGGTATCAGAGCTCGACCACTGATATTGCTAAGAGCGATGGAACTCTTACAGGAGTTTCAGGAAGTGCGAGCCACATGAGATTCCATGTGACGACTTTATAAGAAGTTGCTGGTGATTGCAATACTGTGTAACGAAACCTCTAATAGTCTAGCTGCGTAAACCACTAAAGAGTCTGTAAGGGTTTGTGCTAGTAAGTAAGTCCTGCTGCGGAGTCCTCAAGCAATAATATCGGGGTTTGACGTATGGAGTATAGGGCTCTGGGTAACTGAAGTATTCAAGTAGGGTAACTGGGAATAGAGTCGTCAAGGCAGTTTGTGTCACGACCTGGGTTGCATCGCATTGGTATAGACCTCGATTAGGTGCTATCGACGAAGATTCTACTCTAAGGAGCGAAGGAAAGAAGATGACAACTTAGGTTTGAGGGAGCGCGACTAAGTCATCCACGCTTGGCGGGGCTCCTACAAGGGTTATGATTGGCTTCCCATCTGACACTGCCACGGCAGGTGTTCCAGCTGTAAGTCACCTGGTTGTAGTGAGTCTGCGAGGGTTGACCTTCACAGTTTGCCTCACCAATGGGTTAGATTGATGCTTAGATTGACCACTGAAGTAGAGACTGTCTATCTATGAAATGCCTGGGAGTCCTGTCCCTTATATACCCATCTCTCCTTCACTGATCCCCACTTGGATATGTTGGTTGTCCAACATATCCAACATATCCATTCCTTCCTATCCTTCTTGGATCGCTTGGATTGGGGAGTTCTGACGCCCAACAGAAGGCTATAATTAAGAGCTCACAGGGCCGTAGTTGGACTACCTTTATTGAAGCCACTACAGCCGATGGCCGCCTTCTAGAGCCAGGTATAGTGTTTAAGGGTAAAGAGCTCCAAAAACAGTGGTTCATTGACCAATTCCGAGAGATCTGTCCCCACTGGCGCTATATAACGTCACCAAATGGCTGGACAGACAACCATATAGGCCATCAGTGGCTTATTGACGTATACTTGCCTCAGACGCAGCCAGCAGACCCCTCTGATGCTAGGCTAATTATACTAGATGGCCATGGATCCCACGCCTCTGTAAGTCTTCTAGTTATTGCAGTATAACTGTACTAACTGGGCTATATAGGATGAGTGGATGACTACGTGCTTTATGTACAATGTATACTGTTGTTACTTACCGGCACACACTTCCCATGGCTTACAGCCAAATGAAAATGGCACCTTTAACGTATTGAAGTCGGCCTATAGGGCAGAAGTCAGTAAATTGGATAGAATGACGGATGCGGCGCCAGTTGATAAAGTCAACTTTATCCGGTGTTATAGTACTGCACGCAAGGCTATAACCGATAAGGTCATTAAGTCTGGCTGGAGAACTACTGGAAATTAGCCAATTCAAGGGCCAAGGCACTACGGCATCCAGAAATCCAGGTAGATGTTGATAAAAGGGCACTCCACCGCCGCCACAAGCCCCTGGACTTGACAGTGATTCTACACCCCGTACGAGCCGTCAAATCCGCAACTTTGCGAACAAGTCAAGCCCACATAGCCGCTATAGGCTACAGAAGGTTGCCAAGGGAGTTGAGGCCTTAGAGGCAGAGTTGGTAGCCGAACGCACTAAGGCTACGGCATTACAGAAGGAACTAGACCGCTTGAAAAGGGGTAAAAAGCGCAAGTCACTGCCAAATCCGAATCGCCGTTTTATAACAGTATCAGAAGCACTAGCTGCAGGGGATCCTATACCCCCTAATAACCGTCAAGAACCAGCCAATAATGAGAAAGTTGTGGAAGTTGAGGATGAAGGGGTTGATTCATCAGAGTCAGAGGCTACGGCCGATGATTTACCGGCCGCTGTAGTCACACGAGGTGGTCGTACAGTCAAGAGGTGGCAATATTCTTAAACTCCATAACAATAGCTACATAATGGTGTAACTACGGTATAAATAGCTTCAATATGTACGGAATTATGTGTAAGTAAAAATGTAGCGTTTTTGCAGTATTGTGTTCAATTAACATTACCGGTGGGGTGGTGGGAGATGGTAGTACAGATGAGTCTAGCGAGTCTGAAAACCCTAGTAACGGTGAAAGCTATATTGTAGTCGCATCAGAATAAGTGTAAAAAAAGGTTGAAGTCAATGGTTATAATATACAGCATCATTTTAGGGCGTCCCACATGTGGGGGTGTGACGGGCTCACTGCGAAACTATACAGCTCAACATGGCCAAATACTGTTAATTATCTAACTGAGGAGGAAAGTAAAATGAGCGAGTTTTCCGAGAACACAAACCATGTTTTTATATGCCCTCGATGGTTCCTTTGTTGGATCCGGACGCAAGGTTCTTGCAGCTCCGGATCCCGTTTCAGGCACAGCCTGTCACAGGGGGTGTCCCGGATGTGGGTGTGGGACGTTATAGAGAGCTGTACTAGAAGAGTAGCTGCGAGAGCCAATATTATCTATGCTACTACGCTGCGAAGACGTTATTAAAGCCGGTGGTTGTTACACAAAGTAGTAGACTTCGAGAGATAGTCCTTATACTGCCGTTTTAGGATTAGCTTAAGGATGGGGGATGTGGGCAGTACCGACAGCCTATTTAATATTATCTTTCAGACTAAGTAACTGCCGACAGATTCGAACCGACTTGTGCTCATCGCCGAGTCATACATCAGTCTATGTTATAGCGGCTTATGCACCAGCCAAGCTTAGGACCACTAAATGCCTCACATAATTTTGTGGAAAGTACGACATTCAATATCATCACCAAATTCAGCACTTGAGAACTTGGTTGTCAACAACTAGCATCTGCGGATTATCGAGATCAAATATCGACTTAACCTCAGGAAAATGCTATGTACAGACAGAGGTGCTTCTCCTGCATCGTCAAATCAACTGAAATAGCACGCATTGTGAAACAAAGAATGCATCACTCAAAAAGAAGCGAATTCTGGCCCTCTTCCATCCTTGGAAGAATCCATTTCAATACCATGAAAAAGCCAAGCTTGCCCTGCCTCAGAGCTCAAAATAACAAAGCCAAGAGTGAACGCCGCACTCAATGTCCTTCGGTGGTTCCCTAAACACAAAACGCCCAACAGTGATCAGGAAGGCACACTGGCATACCAGTGTGAAGTTGCGTTAGATTTGCAGCCAGTGGGTAGGGATGAAGCTGTGATCCATCAGCCGCCAATGCGGAGCAAAGCCTTGCGCAAAACTTTGTCACGTGGCATGGGAACCGAATAAGGGTCTGGCTCAGTTCCATCAAGGAAATAAACATCGTCATCACTCTCCGCCAGAATATGGACCATGTCATGTTCATGGTCTGGTTGCTTCTGCAGCCATCTGCCCCCAAGCCACTGGCGAATACATGTATCTAAAGGCTTTCGTTGCTTGGACTCAAAGGGCACCAGCTTGAAGTGATTGATGTCGAAATTGTTCGTGGTGCACCCACATCGCAGTCCGGGAATGCCACGCTGGCGCTCAATGTCTCGAGTCAAGCTGTTCAAATGTTGACGAGCCTTTTTGATGTCGTCATTGATCTCAGCAGCTTGAACATCCATGGGATCTGCCTCAGGGCCAATAGGCAACCTCGATGTGTGAGGCGGGCAATTCTCGCAGATGCTGTGTGCGTACCCGATGTTACGGAAATACCATACACGACGCTTTGGTACAAACATACTAATGCTCAGCGTATGCACAGGTGCATCGCCATAGCGTTCATAATAGAAACCGCCAGCCTGATCAAGGTGTCTGAAGTATGCCTGATGCTCCTTTCCTCGGAAATACTTGAGGGACCCAATCTCGAAGTTCGAGTAGAATTGGCAGTTGTTGTATTCTCCCTCATCATCGGAGTCCCGTGTCGATTCATATTGCGGAGAACGGACGAGTCCATCTTGTCGTGGGTGGAGGAGCCAAGTCATGTCGGATTCTGGATGAAGCATGTCACGATGATACTTGCGAAATTTGCTGGTGCGCTCCCACAGAGATGGGAAGGATCGAGCATCATCCAGGATGACCATGTTGAAGCCATAGACCATGTCGTTGTCTTGCATAAAGCGGAAAACATCATAGTTGATGTCGCACGTGAACTTGACCTGCCATGCAATTATGTTAGAGAACAACCGGTTTGATACAAAGGTTGGAAGCGTACATAAAATGGAGGGTTTAAATAATTGTATCGTGTTGCGATCCAAGAAGTGTGGTGGCGTGAAATGGATATAATTGCGAGGAATGCAAAAAGTAGGTAAGGTGAAGAAATTAGAAGACACTGTGCAGAGGAAGGACTGGCAGACTAAGGATGCGTTGATGAATGAATAAATGGATGAGGAACACCAGGCAAAGGTCTGAGTAGAAACGAGACCAAGGTAGAATACAACTAGTATTGTGAAGTGGAAGAGGGTTATTTAAATAGAACAATGTTGAACTTACACCAGGCTCGACTCGCCAAAACCAATCATAGTTCTTCAGACGATCCTCAAGGGCGAAGAGACCTGCATTCCAGCGATACATGTGATGGTAGCTTTCAAGCCATGCCTTGCCGACACCAATCCCCCCGATAAACTGGCGACCGGCATCAAAGCGAGATTCGTCAATCCAGTCGGGAATGGACCAATGCTTCTCCGGGATGGTCTCAAAGTAGCATCGAGCACTCGTGGTGTTGCTAACAAATGATTTGAATTCCTCGGTGAATTCCTCGTTGTTGAAGAAGATCCAGTCATAGCCGTGTAAGTTGCGTCCGTTGAAGCGAGCTTCCAGCTGGGTCATACTGTACACCATACCCTCAAACTCCGAGTTGCGGACGAGGGTGATAAATGCAGCCTTAGGACGAGTTGATCCCAGAGCTTGCAGCTGTTGGATAGTGGGCAAGTACGAGTGGTCGATATGGGTATTCTCGCGAAGCCATTCTCTGGGCGTCATACCATGTTCAGCTTCAGCAGGTACCAGGGGAATCCAGATGTCTAAGAAGGGACTGCTGAACACATGGTCAAGGGCGAAGCTGGTAGCAGTATGCCGAAAGACAACAAGCATGGACACTGCGATCACACCAGCAAGAACAAGCCATCTGTACCAGCGGTATGGGAGATGGGATAACCTATTACCAGACAGGTGCCATTAATAAGGGCTTGACTTGGAGATTTGAAGGTATAACGTACCAGAGGATGATGACGGCAACGAGTTTCAAGGCCAAGAAAATCATTCTGAGGAGGCCCTTGACGAAGAGGCTTGTGGCAGAGAGGATCATGGTGCAGAGGCGCTGGGCGAAGAGGCTCTTGTCGGAGTCGACGGTATGGCTGCTTTCTGGTTTCTTCCGTAAGTGATTGTCTCTCAACATAATAGTCTTTTCAGCAACTTCTCGGTCAACTGGATCTATGCGAATGGTATCCCAAGCTGCTGTAACTGGCTCAGCACCGTCTCCAGCATCGATAAAACCAATCGTGGTAGCCTCGGGGGCTACATCGTCGTGGTCAGCAATAGCCCCCATGTTCACAATACCAGGACCATCATTGGGATCGTCGTTTTCATTTTCTGTATCATCAGTACCAGCGGTGGTAGCTTTGCTAAGGTTGCCGACCATGAAGTCTTTGGAAACATCACGGTCGGGTCTTCCACCCGGGATGACGTCGTGAAAGGGCAGAGCAGTCGTTTCCATCTTGGAAAGGAAGTTGATTGATGATGAATTGACGGGGGCAAGGTGACCAAAGCCAGTCAAAAATTGAAGTGCTTGATTTCGTAAGCACAAACGGGACGTGGGAAGAGGTATGTGCTTGGTGGAGTTTATGGATTATAGAATGAACAGAGTGTACGTATTGTGTGAGGTAAAACCAAAGAAACGGCAGGTGCCACAGAAACAGGTTGAGATTCCTGAAGTCTTTAGAATTTTGCCTGGCGAGATGCCAGACGTTGATAACAAACCTGAACGGACTGAGGAATTAGCAGGATAGTCTATCGAATCGAGATGGTCGTTTCGGAAATGAGTGTGTGCTTGGGCAAGCGAGAGCTGCTTCAAGTTGGTAGAAGGAGTATATACAGACAATGTCCCAAAGTAAAAAAATGTAGAGATTGTAGTGCAACAACTGAAGGGGCGTTAAAGAGTGACGACTGAAAAGGTTTCAAGAAAGTGACTGACGAACTTGCAGAGTGACGACTTAAGATGTTCCAGAACACCGGCTGAAGACGCCAAAAGAGTGTGCAGAATTTGTTGCGTGAAACTGAGTGGAAGAACGAGTGTGAAGTAATTGTCGATGCCAGCTGAACACCTCAGGTTGACTAGGGTGGAAGACAGTAGAATTCAAGTCGGCAAAGGGGCAGTTTCAGAGTCAGCACCAAAGACGCGTCTCGGAGGAGTAATCCGGGGAAGCGACTTTTATTCACGGCAGGGAAATTATTCATGGAAGCGACGTTAGGTCTCTCTCCTGCGGGACTACATTTACAATTAGCCGACATCGCAACTGCCTCCCTTTGTTGGGCCATCTCAAACCTCGCCGCCATGAGGCAGTCGCGTTCCCGGGATGAATATTCCGCTCTGCCGAAGTTCTCCCACTCATGACTGCCAGAGACTCACTGGCAGCATAAGCATGCCCTGGAGACACTAAGGGCAAGTTGAAGGACCGACCATGGTTCTGAGCAATTGTGACTTCCGTCAACAAGAAACATGCCATCAGGGAACACATCAAACAGCAGGAACAGCCAATGCCGGATAGTCTCCTCGGGTGACAGAAAAGCAAAACCCCCCCTGAAAATACTCATATCAACGCGAGGTAATCCAACCAACAAGACTAGCCGGTTCAAGTTCTCCAAGGGCGACGGAAAGGCAACAAGTGAAGGAGAATGGAAACTGAAAGGCAGCCACGACTGAATAACAATGACCGGGAGGTAACAACGACTGAAAGGCACCAGTGACCAAGTAACTCTAACGATTGAGCAGCACTGACAACTAACGGGCAACAATGCCGTTGAAGTTCGCCAACTACTCTATGTTCCATCATCGAAGAAGTAACACCCATTCACAGCAGATGACTTGATTGCTAGCACATCCCTTCAGCATCACCAGTAACACCCACTCCTACTAGACATAGAACATATAAGCCTCAATTTCATCAAGGCCATACCATGCCCTCCACAGCACAAGCCAACATGTCATTACCAGCACAACACACCACAATCAAAGTGATGAGATTAGACAAACACAAGTCATACATCTCCCATTCGTGAATTATACCTATCGAGGTGGGCAATCATCTGATCGATCGAACTAGAGACCTCGGATATACAGCTATGATACAGGTGAGCTAGTCAAGAGCTAATCCTCGGGGCAAGGTACTGCCTGCCATTTATTCCCTTTTACCAACCCAAACCACAACGCCGTGCGAAACCCTGTTTGTCATACAAACCGGACGGCAACACAGTAGTTTTAAATCATATTTCCACCACCATGGCGTCTCCAGTCTCATCGTCCTCAAGTGTAAGGTCAAGGACGCGTGCGTATTGTACAGTGAGACGCTGAAGTTCCCTGAATTTGCCTGTGGTTGTGCCTGTTAGCTTCTTTGCGTCATTGGGAGGGGCGGGCAAAAGGAAAGGGAATGCAGGGTCAATGGGAACTTACCAAGGATCATGACCACTCCTTTCAGCAGCTCCTTCCTGTCCCACTCGCAAATCACATCGTCTTTGCTGAACCACCCCTTTCCTTGTTCATTATCACCGGCTTTCTTGTCCTGTAGAATTCCACCCAGGAGACTATTAAGGAGCTCTTCCACCTTCCCTCGCAGACCCTCTGCACCGATTCGCTTGGCATACATAAAGAGGTAAAGCCGAAACTCCTCCTTGGAACCCAGTTGGAGAGCCCCGGCAATGCGGTTCTCCAGATGGGCAATGCTGACACTCGACTCAAACGACTCAAGCCCATCTCTGGAGAGTAAATTTTTGATCAGTCTTTGGAGTGTATATGCCCTTCCCTTCAGTAGGAACTCGTTGGTCGTGTGCCTTTCCAGGAAGGGGATGATGCCAGCCGATACAGATGCTTCTTCACTCTTGCCGTCTTTAGCGGTTATCGAGCCCACAGCTGTAGACTGCAACGAGCTGATGGAAGAGTCGTTGCTGTTCCAGTACTGACTACCGACCGCCCACCAGGCTTCCGAAAGCCGTTGCCACGAATACAGACTTGGAGAGTAGTAATAACCATCTCCATTTGTGAGTGTGACGATAATGTGGCCGTTGGAGTTTAGATGAGCTGACGTCACACCGGGAGCAGGCATGGCTGCATGTGGTTGCAGCGAGTGGATGGCAATTTCGAGGACGGGGGCAAGAGAGCATGGGGGATGAGGGGAAGAAAGGGTCTTGATATTCCAGACGTGACACATACCTACGGCTGTAATGCAAAGGAGCCACCAGCCGCGGCATTCCAGGATAACCGGCTGAGCCTCCAGTACTAGGGCGTTGATTAACCGGCGGCCAGCGGGCGTCCATGTATATAGACTACCATCTTCGCAAGCCGCTGCCCAGAAGCTTTTGTTGCCTGTCACGAGCACGATTGCTCGGGGGAGGAAGTCCTGCCACAAAACGCCCCCCCGCTTGGATGCAGTAATGTGCGATGGGTCTCTAATCGACACCGGATTCTTTGCTTCCAATACGATGTTCTCGGGCACTTTCGATGCTTCCTCAAGTGTTGTGTCCTCAAGCAGAGTGCCTCTTTCCAGAGGCCGAAGAATATGCGACCTTACCTTGGGCACTGCAAGGCGGACTTGGGAGATGGCAATCGAAGGGTTGAGAATAGCAGGTCGAAGATATTCTGGTGTGGGTACCAACCCATGCTTGGGAGGTTCCAAAACGGCGGGCTCAAGTCCATCCGCTCCGTTCCTCATAATAGTTCTTGGTGTGGTGACCGGCCGCTTGCTTGCGTGCTCGTCATCGTCGTCATCGGTAGCGATAGATTTCCGCTTGTTTCCCAGAAGCATCGACGCGAGACCGCCTTCAGGAAGTCCGTCGTAGGGTTTTGACAGATCAAGAATAGTCTGCGGCGCATCGTTTTGTGTAGCTTTGGTAGAGCTGGATCCCACCAGTTGAGTTTGGGGTAGTGACGATTGCCCGGTTCCAGATGATGAGATGAGCATAGGCGCGACCCTTTTCTTTCCATCTTTTCCGATCGTCACTCGCGACTTGAGCTCGTTCACCCTTTGGGTCGCCTTATCAGCGGCCTCTTGAGCTGTAGCACACGTCTCCTTTTCTGTCTCTTTCGAGGCGTCAGCTTCTAGCTGTCCATTAGGTGTCGGCGCATTATTCGGCGTCGCTGTACCCGTTTTCGCCCCGTTCGTAGTTGCTGCTGTTGCTGCTGCTGCTGCATCCTTGGAAAGTGGAATGTCGCCCATCAGGGCACCCATTCTAGACTCGGCGCCACGTCGCTCCCCTTCTTTGCTGTGATTCTCGAGCAAAAGGCCGTCAACATCCTCGGCGATACCCATGGCCTTCCTAGACGCACCATACTTGGACAACGCCTTGTCCGTCTCCTCGAGGTTAGCGACCCAACCTAGCTCGCCTGTTTCGAATTGCACTGCAACGATGCCGCCATCTAGACTTGCGGCAAACAATGTCTGCCCATCTGGCGTCCAGGCCAGATCTGATATTGACTTTGCGGCTAAGTCCTGAAGAATGACTACTGGCCTGCTAGTGTTCGTATTCCATATGCTCAAGGTCTTGTCCTGGCCTGCCGATGCGATAACAGTCACGAGTGCTCCAGGGGCATGGCCATTAGTTGCCCCGTTTTCCAACGGCTTCGTAGTGTGAAAAAGTCGAGGCGAGAACATGCAGACTTCGGTTGGACCCTCGTGACCGATGAGGTTGATCTCGCTATCCCATCTTGAGCGCTCAATAATTGCCACCGAGCTGACGGGTCCGTTGACGGCATTCGCGGCAGCGATGTGGTTACCATCCGGAGACCACGAGCATCTCCGGAAGTATGTCGTCAATGGGGAAGACTTGAAAGGGGCAGTGATGGTGGTCTCGAGCTGGAAGTTGTTGATCATGTCATGTTGCGTCGCATTTGGCGCAGGGGATGTAAAGCGGAAGATCCTGATAGTCCTATCATCGCCGGCCGTTGCGAAGAACTTGTTGGCAGGGTCGAAGGTGATGCCCTTGACATGGCTCTGGTGAATAGTAAGCACCTTGAGCTTCTCGAACGTGTGCCCCGACCAGACGACAATCTTAGAATCAAGTCCGGCCGAGACCAAAACAGAGCCATCATACGACCACGCCAGGTCCTGCACATCGTTCTCGTGGCCAACCAGTCGGCGCGACGTCTTCCAGTTCTCGACGGGGGGTGGTTCGTTGGTGCCAAAAGTTGCGACCGTCGGAGGGCCGCTCTCGAGTTGATATATGCATATTATCTTGTCGTCGGCGCCCGATGCGAGAAAGCGACCGTTGGGAGAAAAGCGCACCGAGTGGATCGTACCCAGATGATGGCTCATGTGACATAGCTGTCGGGGTTTTGTATATGTCCTGTCGTCGGCATTGTAAATGGACTCGGTCGACCACACACGAACGTGGCCATCTGGATACACAGAGGACTTAGTTACGCAGTCGGACCGATACTGAATGATGGTAATCAACACTTACCTCCACCTGCTGTCGCCAACCTCTTGCCGTCGGGGGAAACATGACAGCTGTAGACCTCAAAGTCCTTGTGTTCACCTGGGCGCAAGGGTGTCAGCCAACTGGCCGCTGAATTGGAGTAGGAGAAGCTGTAGCTCAATTACCTTGATGGCTTAGCCATGACGGCTTAATGATACGCATGGTAGTTTGACGACTTGATGCGATTGTCGCATCTCGACATCAGTTTTCTCTAGTCCCTTCGTCTGCCAAAACGCGTGCGTCAGTGTCGCGACGCGGCCCCATTCATTAAAATCCGAAGTGGGCCGGCACCGAGCTATCGGAATACGGTAAAAATGATTAGCCGATACATTGGGCCATTAATACATGGTGCAGGCAGTCCTCACATTTTTGGAAGCCTGTGTCGTGCTCGAGGCTGCCGTTTTTGATTCCCCCAACTCGCCCCACCTGAACCGCCCGCCGTTCCAATCAGAACCCTGCCTCTGCCGAGGCCTTGGGTACCAGCCTGCTCAACAGTGAGGTCGACAGTGCCAGATAAGTACTTCTTCAATCCTTACTGCTCTCGCTCACATTATTTCCCCCTCTTCCTCTCATTTCCGTCAGCATCTTACTCCAGTCAATCGCAAAAATGCCGCTCGCCAGCTCAGGCGGCTATGGTTCGATTCGATAATTAGGGAAGCCCAAGACGGCAAACTCACTTCGCCCCTTTTCCACGGGATCGCTCCACGGAACAACAGGAATAGGAGCACTGGGATGCGTGCACTCCAGGAATAATCAACTAGGCTCTCACAGGCGTGCAGCACCGCTCAAGACTATCCTCAGCATTATTACTCACCGGCTCCTCGGCGGAACATCTGGTGAGAAGATCGCATGGGAAGCCTAACGTCCCACACCCACATCCGGGACACCCCCACATGTGGGACACCCAAAAATGCCTCATCAACACCGCTAGCCTCTAACTTCAACCTCTTTTTTCTTTACCAATATCGATTCAATCGTTACGAAATTTTACGTACGTCTTCTTTACTCTAATATGAGTCAATATACCGAAGATGATATTTATCGAGCTATTCAAGCAATAGCTACCAGTCAAAGCCTCCGAAAAGCATCATATGAGCATGGTGTCCCAAGGTCTACTCTTTCACGACGGATTCAGGGAACCTAGTCAAGAGATATAGCCTTCGCTGACTACCAGAGGCTCTCTCCAGCCCAGGAATCTCATCTGGCTGAATGGGTTCGAATCCAGGCTGCCCTAGGCCTCCCACCAACCCATCAACAGCTCAAAGACTTCGCCGAGCGTATCCTACAGATCCACGGAGACACCGAACCACTTGGAAAGAACCGGGTCCAGGCTTTTACCAAGAGGAACCCTTCAGTCAAGGTCCAGAGAAGCAGAGCTATCGATTCCCAACGTATTAATGGAGCCTCAGCTAATGTGATCAGGCAATGGTTCAAATACCTCGCTATCCCTGAGATCAAAGCTATTAAGGCCTCGAATCGATACAATATGGATGAGACAGGTATTCTAGAAGGTAGAGGATCAAATGGTCTTGTTCTAGGATCATCTGAGACTCGTTCTATACGGAAGAAACAGCCTGGATCTCGAGCTTGGACATCTCTTATAGAGTGTATCTCTGTGACTGGTACTGCACTACCCCCACCTGTGATATACAAGGGGAAGTCTGTCCAGCAGCAGTGGTTTCCTCTGGACTTGACTCCATACGAAGCCTGGAGGTTTACAGCAACAGAGAATGGGTGGATGTCAGACTCTACGGCTATTGAGTGGCTACAAAAGATCTTTATTCCTTTGACTCAACCAGAGGACCCTGAAGAGACTAGGTTACTTATCCTAGATGGGCATAGTAGCCACGAAACGACAGAGTTTATATACCTCTGCTTCATAAACAAGATACACTTGCTTTTCTTGCCGCCACACACATCCCACGTTCTCCAGCCTCTCGATCAGTCAGTCTTTGGACCCGTCAAGGCAGCCTATAAGAAGGAGCTTGGTTACCTTGACCGATGGGATACTACTACTGTCGTAGGGAAGAGAAACTTTCTCCTCTGCTATAGAAAGGCACGTCTAGCAGCATTGACCGCTAAGAACATTATCAGTGGATGGAAATATACTGGTCTCTGGCCTTCGAGCATAGCTAGACCCCTTATGAGCCCCCTGCTCCTTGAGAATACGTCAGCACCAATCAGACAGCCTAGTCAGACTTGCAAAGGGTACTCTGATAGTAAGGGTAGTCAGGACTGGGCGTTAGAGACATCAGCAGTAGCCTGGTCAACGCCTAAGAGGAGAGATGAGCTCCAAGATCAACTCAGCTTATTCAGCAAGCTTGATAGTGATCCAAATACCCAGCGGCTACTCTTTCGGAAAGTTCAAAAGGGTTTTGATGAGAAGGACTACCAATTGGCTGTAGCACAGCGAAAGATTGAGGCAGTAGAGGCAGAGCTTGAGGCCAGTAGGGCTAGGAAGCGGAGGAAGGTCAAGATGAGCCCAAATTCGAAGTTTACTAATATCAAGGCTATTCGGAAGGCTCAAATCGAGGCTGGTGAAATCGAGGATAGTATAGATGAGTCTAGCGAGTCGGAAAACCCTAGTGACGGTGAAAGCTGCATTGTACTCGCATTAGAATAAGTGTAAAAAAAGGTTGAAGTTAATGGTTATAATATACAGTGTCATTTTTAGGGTGTCCCACATGTGAGGGTGTCCCGGATGTAGGTGTGGGACGTTATTGGAGACGTATGTGGTCCATTGCGGTCCAATTGGTTTTCGAGGGACATGCATTCCTGGCAAGTTCGTCCTATTTTCTTCAGTTGTCGCTCGTTCTTGAAGTAGACCGAGATGTTTCATCATCTATTTCATTTCTTTAGTGGAGTTGATGAAGCAGCTACATGCATTTAAAAGTAAGGTCTACTTGCCCGTGCAACGCCGACTCAGGTACTCCCGGAGGCTCAAGAGCACCTTTTCTGTCATTTACTTTTCCGGTGGGTCGTTAACGGTAGCAGGCCATTTACGGAAGTAGAGGATGCGAATCTGCGTGCCATCTGTGAGTACGTATCCCTATCGGTCCGTATCCAAGGTGGCTATCTGTCATCGCCATCCGTACGTCAGAAGATCGAGCCGGAGTGCAACAAGTACTGTGAGATGGTGAAGGCCGTTACGGCAGAGCTCTAGCGCCATTCACGTCGCGTTTGATAGCTGGACCTCCCGTAACGATCTGGCTGTATACAGAATCGCCGCTTTCTTTAGAGATGAGATGAACCGGTCGAAGAAGGCGGTCTTCGGATTGCTAGGAGTTAAGACGCGTCATACCGGTCAGGAAATCGGCGCTCAAGTGATTCAGGTCATCAACTTATACGGAATCCAGCACAAGATTGTCTACTTTACACAAGATAACGCAGAAAACAACGACACAGCGGTCAAATGGCTTGGCCACCAGCTCGGATTTGATGGCCAGCGCCTTTAATAAGCCAGCTAGATACTCTGCTTGGGGCCCTGACGGCTGATACTTCTATGGAAAATAACTGGCTGGATGAACCGGACGAGGCTACAGAGGAGGCTATAGCCAACTCCGCCAGCATATTCCCGGGGGACCGCGCCGGCGAGGTTGGTGATTCATCTCTTGGTACTAAAACCAATCAAAAAGTCACCAACCAACCAAAGGGGCATGGTGAGGTTGATGAGGTTGGTGCGACCCTTGTATGTATGGGCTGTCCGGCACTGTATTTCTGCTCATCCGCCTGATGAATTTGCTTCAAAACATGCGGTAGGATCGCGAAGAGACTGCTCATGTCGCGGATGATGGTCTGGAGGAGGAAAGTGAAGGGAATAGGCTTTGGAACATGACCAATTTTAGACAGGAGAGGTCCAATATGTGTTCTAAGGAGAATGGTCGAAATGAGCATCTATGTAGACCTTCCTCCCTTGGCTGTGATTCCTAATGTAGCTTCGTAGGCCAGTGGTAGCTTGGGCTGGGACAGAGCCTGACTGTGTTTAAACCTGTATTTTTGTGTTTAGCATCTCGGTGTCGAGAATACTTTTTCAATGGCTTGGCAGGCTTAAAAATTCGTCGGCTTTTGGCAATTTGCATGTCAGAAACACATCCACGCGCTTCTGTCTTTGTCGGTTGAGATACACACTACTCAAATATGTAGTCTATGTACCCGTAACGTCAAAAAGCGTACGTGACTTATTTTCGTAACTTTGATCCGATCACAATGAGATGCAAGGTAGTAAGCAATCCGTTTCATCCAAATAATTACCCATTCATATATTCCCGTAGCTTAAGAATAAAATCAAACCATGCCATCAAAAACTCCTTCACATCCTCATCAGTGAAGTCCGGCTGCCTATCCTGACCATCCAGCAAGCCCATATGCCAAGAAATATCCCTGCCATCCGTCTCCCGTTTCGCAAAACCGTTGCCCATACAACGGAAGCGGTTGGCCCCTCCCTCTCTCTACAACTTGTAATGCTCCCACCGCGGCTGGGCCATGATCTCGAAGAAGTGGATGCAGCTGCCGGGCCACATCATGATCTCGCCTCGGTAGTTCCCTGCTTGCAACAGCTGCGGCACGGGGCGTTCCATGCCGTTCGGGACAGGAAGGCCCAACGGCGCTCGGCAAAGTTGCGCATTGGAGTCCTCGGTCGGCTCAAACGAGGTGAGTTGTTCGTCATTCATCTTTTCCAGCATTTGGTCGAAGTAGCACGATAGGACTTCGGTGGTACCTAGCTAGGACCCGTGGCTGTAGGGACCGAAGGGGCCGTTGAAGACTGCGATGGCGCGTTAGTTGCCTAAATGAATGAAGGGTAGAAATAATGGTAAAATTAGAAAATAAAACGAATAAACTCACTCGAATAGTTGGGAAAATGTGGGACAGTGATTGAGAGATATGTAGACGGCGTTTCCTTCCGCTCCTCGGCCAGACTCCGCCCTCCGCGTCCAATAGTCGGGTAATGCGGAAGAAAGTAATAAATAACACAGAGAGCTGTCGCTTACACGTACCCCCGATATCTGGACTCTTGCCATAGCACACAAGATCCAGATTCAATGGGCTGATGGAAGAGTGCCCTTCCCTCGTTTAAAGGTGCTTCATTCACTTGGTATACACCGGCGGACTGAGATGACATATTTGCAGGCATTGCGACTTCGGAAACTGTTGCAATGGGTAATTTGGAGGTTTCGAGAGGTAGCTCATATGCGACGGCCGGAGGAGCCATGATGATACCCGATGAAAGATTCAACGCAACATGGGAAATATTGGGATATTCAAGGTTTCTGCTGTATGATGTTGTGAAGTGAAATTGACTTTGCAGTGGCGTTATATGTTGTATCACTGTGGCGACGTTTTACCACATGCACTGCCGCACATGGTCAGATCTCCGCCGCTATTAAATGTTTTTTTCGAACGGTTCTAAGGCGGCTGGCAGCACCGCATTTACCTGGTGACTGGAGGTTCTCATGGAGAGACCGAAAGGGTGCCTCGTTTGTAAAATGGAGCCGCCACTCCGCATCATTAAGGGGGAGGGATTGCCTTGGGGGAGCTTCACAAGACTTTGGCAAGTGCACTTACTATGCATTTATTGGCATAAGCCAATAAACTCAATCTCCTACAAGGGCTATGACTTACTTCCAGACGAGGTTGAATAGTATGAGACTGGTAACATCCAAGTAAGCGCCAAGCCAGTCAAGTTCACCCTTGGGATCAACAGAGTCATCAGCGGGCGCGATAATGATAGCCGTGCCATAGATAGTGAATCCCAGAAGACCTAAGAAAGGACCTAAGAAAGGAACAACCACTTCAAATGCGTCAGTTGGATGATAACAGCGGACACAAGTGAGCCTCAAGCCGCTCCAACCGGTGCCATGACGCCGAACAGGGTGGTGCCGATCAAAGCCACGATCTTAGGGAGGATGAGACCGCCCTCCATTCCGCAGAGCACTTACATGTAACAAATGGCGATTAGGTTGTTGGAGAAACTACTACATGAATCCGGCGGTGAATACCTTATTGTGGCCGTAAATCGAGCCGAGACGGCCCTAGGGGGAAAACGCATGATTATACTTATCAATCAGAATGAATGAACCTTGTGTCAGGGAGTACGTGGACACAATCCAGATGGTCCCGAAGCCAGAGCCACTAAGGGCGTCTGTGATAGTCAGGCCGGAGTTGATACCGACACCCAGGGAGATTATCGGGACTAGCTGCGTTAAGATGAAGATCATGAATAGATTTTGCCTGCCCGTAGCCCCTGCAACTCAAATAGTACCATTACAGAGTCTATCTGCAGCCGAGTGCTCTTGCTGGAGTCAATGACAAACTCTGTTATTTCTCCACCACAGCTAGGTCGCTCAAGTCCAGTGGCATCATCAAACATCATGTATATCGCTGGAGGGTGTACCTGGCGGGCCCAGCCGGGTGTTTCAGCGATAAGTAAGAGCGGTTGCCAATCGTCTTCAGCAACTCAGCGTGCAGACTTTTCAGTTCTCTCTCGTACCGTAGGCAGTAAAAGCCAAGTTAATCCCACAATTTCTGCAGCTTCTGTACACGATCCCAAGTTTTCAGATGATCACAAGCTCAGAGCTGGAGAGATTGACGAATTCGTGTCTGAGTGATCTTGCTTATGAGGAAAGCTTATACTAGAAGTACAAAATGATCATCGCATGGAATCTATAAGACATGGTACTTGTTTCACTACATAACTCCGAGGATTCCAAGAATCATTTTATTGCTACCGTCTTTTGATGGTAGCTTTAGCCGAAGTTCTATCTCCACCGTATTACGTTCCACAACAGTCGAATGTTCGCAAAAGAAAATGTGGTCTTGTCTCAAGCAGTTCTGCCCAAATTCTTACTAGAAAGTGAAGTTTTCCAATTCCATGGACATCAGATGCCATTTAGGGGATTATAAATTCCGAGATTTCTTTTAAATGATTGACTAGGAGAAGACTGAGTATTACGAAACCTCGCTTTTCAATGGCAGATACGGCGGTCTATCCAAACGGACTAGGGATCTAAACTTGAACTTGAATGTTCTTTGCAAAGTTAGGATTCTATGTGGACTAGATAGAAATAGGGTGGAAGATAGACGTTGGTGTGTCCATATCTCATGTATATTACTATGCTGTCGTATAACAGATAACATATATTATGAACCTGCTTACAAACAGTTAGGATTCTTCGAGATAAGTTTCTAAATTAACTATAAAAGCTCCTTAAAACAGATCAAACTGTTTTCGCATAAAAATAAGGAAGTAGTTAAACTTGATGAATTACATCCTTTAAGCGTGCTAATGCTTTTCATTTCTACATATGAGCTGTGCGTTTTCGTAAACAACGCTATAGTTCGTTGTGTGGCAAACGCAAATATAAGTAACTTTATCTCCTGAAGAGATAATAGTTAGAGCGTGTGTCTACTAAAAACAGTAGGATCAAAGTGCTGAAGAGGACAAGATAGAATTTACTTCGTCTATTATCTATTAGTTAAAGAAACGACCCGAGGTGCCCATCGTCCAATAACATTATCCCGCTCACTTTACACAGATGTATCGGAACAGAGAAACATATGTAGCACAGAGGGAAGGACTGGATGATTCATGGAAAATACCCAACTATGTCTACGGATGAAATGATATGATCAATATTGAAAGAACAACTTAGTGTAAAATATTAAACCAAGTGGCCAAGACTAAGTTGTAGGCCAAGCGGGGAGGGATACGACGTTCTCAAACTGAGTCACTTTGTTTCACCGTTATCTACACTCGCACACTGACCATAGGCCCTCTAATTCTTGAAGATAAGCACACGACTGTTGTGATAGAAATGCTGGAATGTTCAGAATGAATAGAATCTGCAAATTCCTGCCAATCTAGACCCATCGATCCGTCAGGGGACGGGCGTAATGATAGTATAAGCTATCGAGATCACAGCATTCGTACAACGCCGCCTTCAAAAATGCGATGATGGATGTCGGTGAGCAACATCATTCTCACTATCCAGGCTCAAATAAGTCGCCTTGACATTTTCTTCGTCGCGAGGTTGGAACGAATCCCTGTTGCAAAAACTGCGACTTGTCGCCCACCTAAGTTTCAATTCAAGACCAATATAGATAGTAACTACGCTAACATGTCCAACAAGGTGAAAAAGGCTCTGTGGTCTAGTGGTACGATTCTCGCTTTGGGTGTGAGAGGCCCCGGGTTCGAACCCCGGCAGAGCCCCTTATTGTACTCACTAGTAGTACTTTTTGCATCCTTTCGTGATATTTCGTTTCCTGGACTTATTTTTTTCTTCTTTCTAAGTGCATAACACCAGCGGTCCAGTCCATGGAGGTGTGGGTCCACATGCTCGTCCTTCGTTCACTTTAAGTTGTAGAGTATTTACTGCCGCAGTTAGACACCAGGGGTAGTAGGACAGGCACGGCCGAAGTTTCACCGCACATAAATCGCTATAGTGAACATAACCAACTATAGCCATAATAAGGTGCTATATAGCTGTGATTCAACTACAATTTAACAACTTTTTATATAACGTACCCCACAAGCAAGCTGGCCACACAAGCAAGTTGGCCACTTTTTCTTGGCACCGTACGAACAACCTTTTAATTAACATCTTTACACATACCAATATGGGATCGAATTGGAAAGAAAGCAACATAATTCTAGCGTGTCAGGCGCTTCAATCGAAACCCGAATTAAGTGTCACGACCTGGGTTGCATCGCATTGGTATAGACCTCGATTAGGTGCTATCGACGAAGATTCTACTCTAAGGAGCGAAGGAAAGAAGATGACAACTTAGGTTTAAGGGAGCGCGACTAAGTCATCCACGCTTGGCGGGGCTCCTACAAGGGTTATGATTGGCTTCCCATCTCACACTGCCACGGCAGGTGTTCCAGCTGTAAGTCACCTGGTTGTAGTGAGTCTGCGAGGGTTGACCGTCACATTAAGCATCCGACGCGCTGCCCAACTCTACAATGTCCCTCGTACAACTCTAGCTAACCGAAAACGCGGACTACTATCTCGACGCGATACTCGACAATCTAGTCAAGAAATTGAAGACCTAATACGGGCGCATATAACCCATATCTCGAAGGAGGATTTCTTTTCGGCATTCTATAGGGCGTATCGTACGACTATAACTAAGTCGAATATCCAGGCAGGTTTCAGGGTGACAGGACTTATTCCGTACGACCCGGAATATGTGATTTCACAGCTGGATATTAAGCAGTCTCAACGGGATATTGAACAGCAGCTACAGGATGATATACGTGTAAGTCGTCGTCGTACGAGACCGGCCGAACCACGCCGACGGCGCTGTAGGATCTGCGGAGAGCCCGGACATAATGCTCGTACTTGTGAGAATGATAAAGATACGTACGAGGAAGAGGATTCCGATTAATTTGAATTATTATTTTTTAGTTTAGTTATGTTATTGAAGTTATTCATACGGTGCCAAGAAAAAGTGGCCAACTTGCTTGTGTCACGCCGTGCTAGGGGTTGCAATCCTTGCCACTACGCCACCGTACCAGATGTCTTTACCAAAAGAGACCAATACCAAAGTCCCTGACTTTGATATCTGCAACCACTTATCAATCTGTTCAGACCAGTGTAGGTGTCAGATAGGACACCTGGTTCCTAGGTGCAGAAATAATATGGCACTAGAGAAGACTAGTGTCACTTGAAGTTCAGACGGCGAAATGAACCCCTCTTCCCGAAAGTAACTCCGAAGTTCGGGGTCAGACACCTGAACAATGCACCTCCGACATTTCCGAAAGAATCTATAAAGGGCAGAGCAACGGGAGTTCGCGAGAATAGAACACAGACAACAATACACCTCATTCATAATACAATCTTATGCACTTCTGACTACTCGATTGGACACACGTCATATTCGACAGTAGGTCAATCACGTGACAACCGTCACAGCTTGTGGGGTACGTTATATAACCTAATAGAAATCTCTCTTAGTTAGGGCATAGTTATTACTTGTCGGAATCCAAGTACCAGGGGCTGTATTGGTACTATGAAGGTGGTGCGTAAGTGATACGTGCACCTAGGGGGGAGGATGCTATAATGCAGTAGTGCGCAACGTTATAGTATCTAATTGAATGGGATTCACCTAACCAGTGGGTCCCCCTACCTTTTCGTATCAGTAAGGGACCAATCCCAAGCTGGCCCTGAGGGATCCCTCAATACTGCAACGCCTGCCTGCCTGCCTCGTACCCCTCACCAGAGGCCACAACTTCCTACATTACTTAGTTTAATAGGCTTGGTAGTGTTTTCACGTATCGCAGAGGCGGTTTTGTAGGGTAGAAGGAGCAACGCCGTACGATCTGGCCGCTTTCGTACGTAATTACCTGATTCTACTGCTTCCTTCGCCTCCTTAAGGCGGTCTCCCTATCACGATTCATCATACGAAAAGCCGAATGCGAACAGCTTCAAACGTAACGAATACGATTCATTAGCGCAGCGTAGGGTGCGATTCGGAGGGGAGATTATTTTGGTGAGGATTAGGAAGTGGGGCTGTCCCACTACCCTGGTGTCTGACTTCAGCAAGAAACACTCACTCTAGTGCTAATTTCACGGTCTGTTCTGTTTGAAGGTAAGACAAGGCAATACCGATTGGGTATCTTTTGTTCCTACTTATACGTGATTTGCATCATGACTAACCTAATCGCTGGAGAAGTCCTATTCCTGTCTCACCTCCCCGCCGCATATGAGCAAAAGAAAGTATGTACTCGAATTCATCTTGAGTTCCAATAACACACGAAAAGTGCGAACTCAAAGGACCGCGAAGCTAAGTCTTAGGTTGAGCTTGAGGGGCGCCAGGTGGCACATTTGCAGTGGCAGCAGCGAGCGTTGACTGAGCCACGCTAGGCGATGCCGTAGCTGCATGTCCTTGATGCTGAGCGCTCTGTCCATTTCCGTTCCCATTCTGCCTTGCGCTGTTACCTTCCTCCGTCAGCAGCTTACTGAGAAGCGGTAAGTCTTCTCTTGCTCTGGGGTCTCGTTCCAGGCATCGTCGTACAGCATTCCACTCGCCTTCCTTCATCCTACTCGCGTGGGGAAGGAGGAATGTGACGGTTGGGCTGGTGAACAAGGGACCAAGTACTTGCCGGGCTTTCACCTCGCCCTCAGCCTGCGCCCTACGAAGAGCCTCGACATCCTGGCCCTGTTGCAGAGGGGCAGGTGCTGATGCCGGTGCTGGTGTCGGTGTCTGACGAATCGATGCGGCTGGTTGACCAGGGATGACTGGAGGTGGAATGGGGGTGTGGCTCTGATGAGAAGGCGGAGGATTTGGAAATCCCCCCTGCTGCGGTGTAGCAGGCGACCAAGTTGGTGCCGCCACCGATTGCTTCCGGTCTGTCATAGGAGTCGGAGCCTGAGCAGCTGAGGGGTTCAGTTGGTTCAGTTGCGCTACCTGCTGCTCAGGAGGAACCGGCTCCCGCTGGTCGTCGCGGACCACAAATACCATGAGAAGCATGGGTTCGGATCGGTTCTGAGGGATAAGATGATCGCCTATGTTCTGCATCGGCTCGGGAATTGGGCCATCGCCCTCCGAGACCGGGACGAGATATGTATCCCTGACGTTCCCCAATTTCCTTTCGCCAACGACACCATACCGCTGTTTAGATCGAAAGTAGTCAATAACGGCTGAGAACTGAGCACGAGAAGCAGGGTCCAGAGAATTTGCCGGAGACAGGCTGGTGATCACCAGGTCAATTTGATCGTTATATCTCAGACCGCAAAGGTAAGGTACGGCCTTCTCCTCGGGGATGCGGCCAGCAACGGTGAGCAGTGGTGGAATCAAGCTCTTCCAGGGGATGTCTTTCAGCTTGCTCAAATCGGCTCCTCCGACATGCTTTGCAATGACGGGTAGATCCGCCACATTCGTCATCATAAGATGACCCTGCCAAACCACATCCGGGTCGAGATTCTCGGTTGGTGAGTATGGAGGTGAATCTGTACCATCGTCTTGCAGTAGTCGATCTACCTCGGGATCAACACCTGGCCCAGCTGGACGTGTGGGAGCAGATGGCCGGCGTTGATGTGATGTAGAGGGTGATCGGACGCTGGAGAAAACCTTGTCTATATCCACCCCTTGTCTAGCCTGTTGTTGAGTACCTTGAGTGTCGACACGAAGAGGACCGCGTCCGGTATCAGCAGGCAACTCGACTCGGTCTGCGGACGAGCTTCGGCGATGAGTTGGCTTTTCGTTCTCCCCCGAGGCTTCTCGAATGCTTTCGCGACGAAGAGCCGACGGTACATCGTCTGTGGTAGCCGTGAATCTGTCGTTCTCAACTATTTCCTCCCCTTTGTGAGTCTTTCTCATACGAGGTCCATCATCGTTAATAAGTATGGACTGCTTGTCAGCCCTAGCTTTCATCTCGGCGGTTTCACGTTGGAGCTCTTGTGTTGCCATGTCATCACTGCTCATCGTGGCCAAAGCGGTTGGCGCCAACGTCCGATTGAAGACTCGGGTTGCGAGCTCGACATTGCGCTTCAAGTTAAAGATCAGACTCCTAGCATGTGACGCTGCCGCACTGCCAGGGTTCGCATCATGATTGGCCCGTTCAATCTCGACGGCATGGCGCTCAGTGATGGTCTTCTTTTGGGAGCCTGCGGGTATTTTGAATAGCCCGCCTTTGACCGCAAGATCCAGAGCTGCATCCAGAGACTTCTTGAGTCCGCTGGCAGTGGCCTTTCGTGGTCCTGAAAGCTTTTCGATGGTTTCGGCAAGATCGACTGGAGGTGTGTACTCTGCTTCGGCCGGGACATCTGGGACATCTGGGACAGTAGGAATAGCAGGAGCAGCAGGAACCGTTGGGACCACCTTGGTCTCGGAGACCTTGCGCATCTTAGCCTGCGGCCCCTGAGCGTGATCGTGAGACTTGCGCTTCCCCTTGGTTGATGACTCGGGCACGTCTTCCTCCTTTTTGACCGATGGGGCCGGCGATGCCTTTGCCTTAGTACTCGAAACGGCGGGTGAAGACCGCTCCTTTGGGTCACTGGCCCTCTTTCCCTTGCCCTTTTTACCCTTCTTGCCCTTTTTCTTCTCGTCTTCATACTTCTGACGGCGTGTCTCCCAGATCTTCTCCCCCCTGGCTATTGCGTCCAGTAACTCCTTGTGCTGTTCGGGCTTGCATTGCTCGCAGAAGTACTTATTAGGTATATCTTCATCGTAAATGGGTATGCCCATGCAAACGTTGTGTTGCCAGACTCCACACTCATCTTCGTCGCAAGCGATCCAAGGCTCGTTGGCGTCGTCGTCATCTTGGGAGACTGCACCACACACGCAGCGAATGACTTCATCGACATCTGCTTTCTGCTCTTGTTCCGGTTCTTGGCTACTATGCGCAACCTTCTTGCCCTTCTTGGTACTTGCTTGTCGTCGCTTCGGGGGTTCGGGGCCATTCTCGAGTGCCTCAAAAGCTTTGGTGTGTTGGCCTTTGGTGGCGCGAATGGACCGTCGCGGCTCTTGTTCACCTGTAATTGTGGGCGTTCTTGTTAGATTGTCTGACGAGCTTCTTGTTTCGCGAGTAAGTGCGGACGCCGGAACGGTAGAGCGAGTTGAGCACGCGTCTCCAACACTCTCAATCAACTTATGGTATGAAGTCGGCGAGGGTGCCGGTGGTGGCGGCGACAATCTTGCCGTCCCGGAGCTGCTGCGGGTGACGCGCTGCTTACCAGACATGTTGTTGACCCGCCAGGGTGACTATACGCGATCTGGTACGGCGCGTATTGAGTTTGGCGGTACCAGGTTTGTATGATATCGTCTGGTTGGATCGATACTTTGAGGTGGTATGGGGTTTAACTACTGTGGGATTGGATGGCCAGGGCAGGAACGGCAATCTTCAGGCAGTCATGAGTATCTACGCAGCAGGATTGGACTATGATCTGACGGCAGAGTGAAGGTAGAATGTAGCTCGTCAAGAGAAGAGAGGCGCAGAAGCTATTCCTGCATCAAATGCGACCCAGTCCTAATCCAGACCACGTCTTGGAGGTTTTAGACCTCAATGTGACCGCAATACTAGACAAGGGCGCAAAGCAGAGACAAACTCGGTCGCCCTGGGCTGCCTTTTTCAGTTGTTGAAGGCCTCAGCAGAGAGACCGAAGCTTTGCGACGGATGCGATCGCGTATGCGAGGACTGAGGGCGTGACGTGGGTCTTAGAAAAGACGATATAGCAACTGCGGATCGCGACGCAGAAGTTAAAAGTCGGCGTCGCCGTGCTGGGCGACTGTCGAAAAGATAGTCGAGAATGAGGGAGCAGCTCTGATGGCAGAGCTAGCGTTGGGGGAATGGGTGGTTGAGACGTAGAAAAGTGGGAGAATGGAAAGCGGAGATGCTGGACTAGAGGGTGGAGGTGACAGGATTTGATGACCGGCGGTCGGGAGATTTCAAAGCTCGCTTGATTCAGGATAGCGCGGTTTAGAGCGTTGCGACCGAAAAGGCAACGACTGAGTACAGGCAAGAATATTTCGTGGCTTGATCTTGATAAGAAGTTGTGGCGGCAATCAGTGGCTAAATAGGTCTCGCAGCAATCAAATCGTGAAGGCTTGGAAGCTGTAGTGGAGGTAAAAGCTGATTGGCCTGCCTGGCAGCTACGCGTCTAGGTCTTGCCTAGCTGAGCTGGTCCGAACTGCATGTCGCCGGACCCTCTCAGCCTTCTTACCATCCCGTCATTCTGCTCCATCAAACTAACAATTCTGCCCGCCGCATCAGGATAATTCATCAAGGGCACTTTGGCACACCATAGTTCGACTCTACCCACTACGTCACATTCCGCCTTGAGACCACGACACCATGTCTCGCCGCTACGATTCCCGAGTAAGCTCCCAAGATATGGAGCTACGGCAGCTGCTCAAAAATAGCTAACATTCTCGCAGACAACCATCTTCTCTCCCGAAGGTCGGCTCTACCAAGTCGAGTATGCCTTAGAAGCCATTTCCCACGCCGGTACGGCCATCGGAATCTTGGCCAAGGATGGCATTGTCCTGGCGGCAGAGCGAAAGGTGACGTCGAAGCTGTTGGAGCAGGACACATCGGCAGAGAAGCTGTACATTCTCAATGAGTAAGCCCAGCTCTCTTGCCACGGTCAACTGGATGCATTGGCGTGCTGATGTAACCTAGCAACATGATTTGCGCCGTTGCAGGCATGACAGCCGATGCGAACATCCTCATCAACTACGCTCGACAAGCTGCACAACGGTACCTCCTCACATACAACGAAGATATCCCCTGCGAGCAGTTGGTACGAAGATTATGCGATCTGAAGCAGGGTTACACCCAACATGGTGGTCTGCGGCCTTTTGGTGTGTCCTTCATCTACGCCGGATGGGATCCCCAGCGACAATTCCAACTATACCTCAGCAACCCGTCTGGCAACTACGGAGGATGGAAGGCAACGAGTGCGGGCGCCAACAATGCTAGTGCATCCAGTCTGTTGAAGCAGGACTACAAAGAGGACTGCACGCTGAAGGAGGCGTGTGGCCAAGCAGTCAAGGTGTTGAGCAAGACGATGGACTCGACCAAGTTGAGCAGCGAGAAGAGTAAGTGCCATCGGCCCATTTAATCTCTGATCCAACTAACCCTGTATTCTAGTCGAATTTGCAACCGTGGGACAGACTGAGGATGGCAAGATCTACCACCGTCTTTGGAGTGCAGATGAGATTACAGCGCTGTTGAAGGAGCATGATCTGGCAAAGGATGAGAGCTCCGAGGACAAATAAAAGTAGTCAGCCTGTTGGGGTGAAAACATAGACCTTGTACTAATAGACCAAATGATGAGGAATTGGGACATCCATGAATCTGACGCATCTGCACTGTCTGGTAATCTCAAACTTTCACTTAGCAATGGGTGATCCTAATGACCTCATTGGCCGTATCCTAGGCGCATTTCCAATGACATCCGAACATCAATCAGACAGTGGTATTCTATGTATAGTATTGCAACATCTGCTTTTCAAGGATTCGCAACCACCTGTAAACTCGATGGTTGAGAGTCTGGTATCATTGGAACGCCACCCCTTCCTCGGCAAATGGTTATTCCGAGGTTACCCCTCTGCTGCCAGGAAATTGCAACTTGCAGTTTGAGCTGCGCTACCCCTGTCACTGTTACCCCAAAGTAAACTGCAGTGAGCTCGCTTTGACCTCAAGTATTTCTAGGGGACAGGATTGCGATCGCTGACAACAATAAACATCCGTTCTTTGTGAAGGGAAAAATACGTCCTGCCAGCTTGGAATACAATCGTACACATTTCCCAGCAACATCACTCCAAATCAGCAACATGAGTCTCCAAATTCCTCTGCGGGAAAAGGCCAATGGTGCTGGCAAGGACACTAAGGCCGTCATCCTGGTGGGCATCCCACAATTGCATAGCGCCCCACGCAAGCTCGACCAAACTGAACTGACAGTATATTCAACTACTAGGTCGGTGGCCCTTCTAGAGGCACACGCTTTCGACCACTTTCCCTCGATGTCCCCAAGGTTAGTACTTTCTACTGTCACAACATGCTAGCTTTATCTGACTGCAGCAGCCCCTCTTCGATGTCGCGGGCCACCCCATCATCTGGCACTGCCTGACCGCCATTGCGAAAGTGCCTTCGATTCAGGAGGTGGTTATGATAGGATACTACGACGAGTCTGTCTTCAGGGATTTCATTCGAGAGTCGGCCCACGAATTCCCCAACTTGCCCATAAAGTACCTGCGCGAGTATCAGGCACTGGGTACCGCCGGTGGGCTGTACCACTTCCGCGATGCGATCCTCAAAGGGCGCCCCGAGCGCATCTTCGTGCTCAATAGCGACGTCTGCTGCTCTTTCCCCCTCAATGAGATGGCCAAGCTCTTCGACGACAAGGATGCCGAGGCTGTCATTCTGGGCACAAGGGTCAGTGAGGACGCTGCCACCAACTTTGGGTGCATCGTTAGCGACGCGCACTCCCGCCGTGTGCTCCACTACGTCGAGAAACCTGAGAGTCGTATCAGCAACCTGATCAACTGCGGCGTGTACCTTTTCAGCGTCGAGGCCATCTTTCCCAGCATCAAGACCGCCATTAAGCGTCGCAGCGAACGACCGCGTCTGCTCAGCTACCCGTCGTCGGAGAACCTTGAGAACAGCTTCATGGCCGATGACGACGAGGATCGCAGTAAACAGGTTCTGCGCCTCGAGCAGGATGTCCTTAGTGACCTTGCCGACAGCAAGCAGTTCTTCGTGTACGAGACTAAGGATTTCTGGCGCCAGATCAAGACGGCCGGCTCTGCTGTGCCCGCCAATGCCCTCTACCTTCAGAAGGCACATCAGAGTGGCTCTACTGAACTGGCCAAGCCCTCGGCCAACATCATTCCCCCAGTCTTCATTCACCCCACGGCGACTGTCGACCCTACAGCCAAGCTAGGCCCAAACGTTTCAGTTGGTCCTCGTGTTGTCATTGGTGCTGGTGTCCGTGTCAAGGAGACCATTGTACTGGAGGACAGCGAGATCAAGCACGACGCTTGCGTCCTGTACAGCATCATCGGATGGAACAGTCGGGTCGGTGCTTGGGCCCGTGTTGAAGGCACGCCGACGCCAGTCACCAGCCACACAACCAGTATCGTGAAGAACGGCGTCAAGGTGCAAAGCATCACGATTCTGGGCAAGGAGTGTGGTGTTGGCGACGAGGTTCGCGTGCAGAACTGTGTTTGCTTGCCTTTCAAGGAGTTGAAGAGGGATGTCACGAACGAGGTCATCATGTAAGTAGTTGAGGGAGGGGACCGAGGGGGTTTGATTTACTCAAGACCGCTCCACCCGGCGTCTTCAGCAACATAATTATGAACAGCGATTTGCATCATGGACAACGAAAATCGGAGAGAAGTTTTTGTCCAAGTTATGTTTAGATACCTATGTAGGTGAATAGAGAACGTCATGGGAGATATGCTACAGAATTTCTTGTGTGATACAGCTGGGTAGATGAGGAAATCTTGGCGGGCGTCGCTGTGCCTCCCTAATGCGAAAAGGGCCAGCTGGATTAAAAAAAGCTAAGGGTCCAGTTAGTGACACAGGCGTACACTCTGGACTTCCCACCTGATGATCGTTTCTTCTGCTGCTCTGCTCAGCTGAAGCAAATGGGTTATTCACATTTCTTCTCTCAGTAACACACAGTGAACATGATGTGGAAGCTCTGCTACATACCAGGTCGTTTGATAGCCATATGGTCTCAATGGAAGAACCAGGTATTTAAATGTGAGATAGGCACGTTACTCGCTAGAGTGTGATAACAACCTTGCCTAAGAATGGGACTGTTTCAGGCAGACAAACAGGAAGCAATGTCCAGATTACGAGATATCACCCTTCTAAAGTTATTTCAGTCGAAATCTCGCCTTAAAACAATAGGCAGGAGTGTGTCTTCTGGCCTTGAGTTGTAGTTTCGCTCAGATTCAGAGATCTTCCTGAGGTAGTCGATCGCTACTGTTAATTGGGCGCATTTTGAACTCGCTCATACCTTCCTCCTAGAATAATACCTTTTGGTAAACACAGTTGACCGTGCTACGCGCACTTCCAATTTTTATTTGTTCAATTGACCATTTATGACCTGGTTTTCTTCTTCCTTCGAATCCCAGGGTTTCTGATCAATCTACACTGCGTGGCTGGTGCTCAACTACCCATCCTTAGGATAACCAGACCGGAAGAAATATTCCCTTGTCCCAGGTTTACCAATACATCTCAACTTTGGACTTGAGCCTCACTTCCCGATCAAATCGCCGCCGTCAATGCTCAGTATTGGATCATTGGTTATTTCTAGAGATACTTAACATTCTTGAATGAGTCCGATCGCTAAAGACAAGTAGCGTGCCTAAAATGAAGCGCAGCCCCAGATTCAGACAGCGATCCATGAGTTTCATTCGGCACACGGCATTAACAAAGACGAATTGAGAACTTGGCCAAAGGCCGCATGGACAGAAAAGTCCCAGCCCCAATAGACTACAGTGGAATACAAGTGGCAGTTGTGAACTTTGATATTGAGATCAAGAGTGAATCGGACCATAGTGAAAGCGGGTAATTGGACGACGTCAAGATTTCCTAGTTGAGAGGAACTCACCAGCCAGGCCCAGGTAGAAGCTGTGTTTCATATTGAGGCTGAGAGCTATTTCAAGAGATACTTGGTGTAATATAGACACTTATCTATGATTCAAATCAATAGAATGGTCTTTGTTAAAGTGAGTGTAGAGCATAGCAGGGTAGCTAGCTGGCATTGTTCTTACGAAACCGTCATGCTCTATTAGAAAAAAATATAAATCTGATCGAGTCAATTTCGTGGAGGAAGCTCGCTTCTTAACTGACCTGTTTTGGACCCATTTGGGTCAAATACTTTCAAATGCCACCACTACGATAGGGCTGTCTGCCATCGAAAGAAGAGACGCAAAACATAACCAAAGTGATCTCTCATATTTCAGTTGAAGGATTCGAAATAGGGCTTTGGGACTCTATACTCAAGCTGACTGGGTATTAGTAGTCGAACAGTTTTGCCCAATCTACTTGTTAGTAACCAGTATACAGGCTTCATCAAGTAATAAGAATGTGACTAAGTGTTAGTACCATAATAGTCCGCCCGATTGGAGTTTTAAGCAACAAGCGCATATAGACTTCATCAGATAGTACAGTCTAATAGTACCATAAGCTAAGATGTGTGAGTCTAACGTAAATAAGCTTAATACTAGCTCGTTGTCATTGGGAATAGCTATAATTAATCGTCTTTGGGCTTTGGCGAACGTCTTCTGATAATAAATTCATTCGACTTATTTGTAGACTTCTTCAGTCGAGAAATTTACTGAACCAGGACTTTTCTGATCAGCAACCTACTACGCACACTTCTGCTCCTGAAGAGCACTCCCAGAAACAACAGTTCAAACAATCAACCGCAGCCTTCACTTGCCCAATCTACAAAGACGACTGTGAAACCAAGTTGGTCACAGTCCTATATCAACATGCATTTCATCACGAGTGCATTCCGAAATTGACCTCAAGCTTCCAACAACAGAGACTGCCCTATGTGTCACCGCAGTTTCACATATTCCTGTGGCCTCCCCTTAGACTTGTCACCTTTCGAACCTGGTGCCATCATCACACAAGAAATGCTTGACAACGGATTCAAGCTCGCTTGTAATCCTCATCGGCAACTTGCTAGGTTTTCCTTCACACTTCCTCCTCGACCTGTACCGTGGCAGGCAACTGGATGACTCATTTGAGCCCGTCATACCGTATATTGAAGGAGAGATTTGGAGCCGTTCAATTTGGAACCCGGTTCAACGAGTTTGACATGCAGATTCTGGATGAGAAGGATGATTATCTTCATGAAGGTGATTTGGAGGACGTGATTTAGGAGGAATAGAAGGGGAAGAGGAGAGAGAACTAATTGCATTGTAAGTGACTTTGGGTATTATGGATCATATGGAAGCAAGCGAAATTCATCGATATGACTATGCTAACCTCAAAATCTACTATATTCATAACTATGAGTATATTGACCGATACTGTATCTGTAACATTGGTCATGCTCGAATGCAGCTCGACAGCAAGTTTTGGTCGGATACCTTCAAGTCACAGACCCAGTCATATCCATAAACCCCAGCCGCACCCGGAGCCGTTGCAGGTCGAATTGCATTTTGTGTAAAGACCACATGCCATGTTTCTTTGGACGTTCTACCGACAGGCCAACATGGATTTCCTCAGGACACAGCAGAAAATTATTTTATGGGGCAATGTCGACCGCACGCTAGAGTAGTTGTTAACGACCATGATACATGAGCTGTGTCATATCTACCTGCTTCTGTTCTCGGACCAGACATGGGATCTGTGGGAAAATCTTGTCCAGGCAAATTTGGGGCACGGTCCACGATTCCATGACCTTTGTCGGCTTATGATGGGCAGGTTGATCGGTTGAAATTTTTGCTAGAAGGGACGAGCTGCAGAGCTACATGGTTTTAGGATTGGGTGGATCAGATAGGTAGGTAGATACGTGTGGGCATGTTTCGCCACAATGGTAGCAAATAGGTTCCTATGGGTACAGATCAAATGAATAATTTCTTGGTGACTATAGGTACGATGGTCAAACCTAAATATCAGTTCTCCGAGAAAACGTTGAAGCATTAGTCTCCTTCACTATATCAGTTACTTGACCCTTCGTCTTACCACGCAGGTTCTGGAAGTATCCAAAGCGCCCATCCCCGAACCATTCCTTCTCGGGAAATGCACATTCAGAAGTCCGCCGAGATCCAACGCTTCGGCGTCATCGAAAGAAATCGGAATGGCCGGTGCGTCCCCCATAAAGTCCAATTCTCCAACCATATCCATCGTAGATTTCGAGCCATGGTGTTCGCTAACGGCGCCGGAAGAAGTGCCACTGCACGTAGTCTCAAGGGCCGTATCAACGCTGAAGACATAGACGGGCGGCAGGTCCGAACAACCACCTTTGTAGATGCCGAAACACTTGTCCTCCCATATGGGCGTGAGCCATACCTTCAACGTCAGGGGTTCGGGGTTATGCAGTTGGTAACCCCTCGGCACAGCCATATGAACCCGGAAGAAGTACGTCGGGACTTTGGATAAGCGAAACATTTTGCTGCACCGTTTTACAAATGTCAAGCCCGTGTCTGCGTTTTTGGGGAGAAGCCTTCGAGACCTGATCTGACAAGGGTGCTGGTTTGACGTGAAGTTGAAGTCCGTGATGGGTTCCCCGGGAAACTGCGGGCTGACGGTCAGGGAATGCGTGGCATTCCCAGCAGTTGAAGTGACTTCAAGCCAGTATTCCACGAAAGCCTCCAAGTTCAGCGTATGCTTCATCGTGAAAACGCTGTCGGCCGCGAAATAGAAAGAACCGGGGAAGTTGTCTTGCATTTGAGACGTCGCCATCGGGGCTTTGGTATCGGCATGCGAAAAGTCCACGCCGTCGCTCCTTCGTCTGATAGACTCGTTTCAGCTGTGTTGTGGTCTAGCTTCTGATGCAGGCTCAGAAAATTTTCGCCTCCTCGTTGCATGTTGTTGCTGTGACTCGGTAGCTCCATGAACTTGACTTTGGTGCGTCCGCAGAGCAGCAGATCCAGACATACCACATGGTTCTTTCGTGATGGCTTTATTACGACTATACCGTCGATAGTATCACTGAGGTGCCAGTTCGGTTTAGGGAGGTGGATGGTCACCGATCTTCTGCTGCTGGTGCTGTGGCTTGGCATGGTGATGAAGCATGCTAAGCGTTCCATTTCTGCTGAGTATTGACTCTGAGAAAGATTGATGCAAAAAGGCGGGCCGTTCTGGGTTAATATATCTTTGTTAAGTGATGCCTAAAATCATTGGAATATATGCCAATGATAGACTAAGCTTACTGTGGAACTGCCACCACAACCTCATGGTCAAATGTCAAATGATCTAACTCGAAGCAAAATAGGACGATGAAATATGTAAATGCGGCGAAGCAACAACATTATATCTACGAGCCGTGCTAGCCGGGTCTGTGACGGATCTTATGGCTATCAACTAGGACAGGACAATACAACCTAGACTGACTGCCCAGTAAATAGGCGAAATCCATCCTGTGACACTGACTTCCATCTTCTTCAAGATCGGATAATGCCGGCCATCAGCCTTGGTATCGCTCATCAACATAAGAGCGAGATGTTTTCGTGTTTACCTAAGTAAGGTACTTATAGTATCTAGACTTACACAGGAAAGCTTTGATAGCATGAATCTAGGCACTAAACACTGCAAATAACGGATACTATTCTACTCCGGCGAAATACCCAATAGCATCATAGCCAGATGTCCCGCTCCCCTCGCATATCATAGTAGACCATGGACAATATTCGTTGCGACGGCCCCATAATACGCATGAATAAAATACCGCTTGTGACGTCCGCTCTGCTTCTCCTGCGATGCGACAGGCCAGTCTGTGGAATAGTTGCATTCCCCGGAGTGGACTTCTATCAAATTAGAGTGTTTGAAAACAAGAGGTAGCATGTTTCCAAGAGCTATAGACGTGGTGACACGTCTCAAAAGTTGCGCGAGTTTGATATAGTCACTGAATATTTACTACTTACATGTGAGTCTTAGTAGCCATGTCCTTAGAATCCGGGCGTAACTCCAGCGTCAGATTCTTATAAACCTTACTAAGACTGTATTTTGGTAAAGCAGGTCCACTCACCTTTCGGCGGGAAAATAGCGACAAAGTGGTTCAATATTCAGCTCCAAACAAACCAAACCGACTGTAATTACCACCAAAGGCTCGAAAAACTGTCATCTACATCCAACAATCAATACCTATTCTTCACAACCTCGACCTTTGGCCGCGCATCAGTAATCCGAAGACCCACGCCCCGCCGCCGCAAGCTGCATCCCGTAGAAATACGTCGGCTTAGCCCCGTCCCCTATCTCCACCCTACTGCCCGAAGCACTGTGGGACGCGCATATGTTCTTCCCATCTCTCGGTGTTTTCACGTACAGCACCACCAGGATGATGAGGATCCAAATCGCCGAGCCCATGGCGAAGCCCATGAGGATGTGGTAGAACCAGAGCACCCAGCTGCAAGGGGATTGGGGTGCATCAGGGACTGCCGAAAAATTTCCAGCTACGTTCCGTAATTCCTCAGATATGTCGTCCTCTTTCTTCTCATCGAAGAATACCATGGGCTCGCTTTCCTCGCTGGTGATGGACTGCGCATCTTCGGGATGCTGCTCCCCATCTGGCTTGGGTCTCTCTTCTGAATGGCTTCCTTCTTTTTTCTCAAAATGCGCCAGTACCGACATCTCCAGCCCATCCAGGTAAACTTTTAGCCTACCTGCACGCTCTTTAATCAAATCCGCCGTCGTGTCAGCATCGCTTTCATCTGATTCATTAGAGCCCTTCAGAATGTTTTGTTTTAACACTTGATGGTGTTGCGAGGCATCATTTCTCGATACAGCACTATGGTGTGACATAGAACTGTCCCAGCTGCCCTTACGTGGCTTTCTCAGTGTTCCCGCGAAGCCATCTGACCCACCTTGCAATGGCTGATTTCCATTCCCCTCGATGTCTGAGTCTGCATCGTTCTCTGAACTCCCTTCTTCAGTTCCGAATTCCACATTGGCGAGTTCATCGGCTAGGGTAAGAAAACCCCCGTTATCTGAATCTGAGTCCTCTTCGTTCTTGGGAACAATCTTGGAACGTTCCGTTGAACTGTCATCTTCGGGCTCGGGCCCCGCACCTAGAAGTTCATCTTCTAGGTTAATACTCTCTTGACGTTCGCCATCTTGATTGGTGGGGCTCGAGGCAACAAAGTAGGAATTCACCTTCATGGGATTGAACATAGTAGATATTGAAGAAGCCATAGAGCTGGAATTGTCCGATTTTACGGAACTGGCGAGAAGAGTTGATGTAGGACTCCGAGTTTCGTCTTTTTCTGAAGAACTTACAGACTCTGGGCTATCGTTCTTTGGTAACTTAGAGGAGGCATTGTAATGTTGAGCAGGTGTTGTTGCTGGTCTACTGATGGGCTTGGCTGATACCGTGGAAGGGAACTCATCCTTGAGACTTGCTTTTAAAGCCTCAGGCTCTATGGAAAAATTCGCAGAATCTTCTAATAGAACCTCATCGTCTTGGGCCACCTTCGAATTTTTAGAGCTGTCACTTGGATCAACGAATTCAAAAGAAGGTAGCTCATCCGTTAGACTAACTTCCGGAACCGCCGGCAGACTTTCGGATGGGATAAAGGGGAGTTCATCAGGAAGCTGAGCAAAAGTGATTTGTAAAGGAGCGTTAAGGCCTGCCGCTGCATTCGGGGGTAGGTCACTAAATCCCAGAGCAGCTAGGAGAGCTTCTGACATGGGTTCATCATCGTTCGTGGCTGTTGTTGGCTCTCTGGGGCGTGTAGCATGCGAGGTACTGACTGTCTCTGGCGTGTTGCAGGATTCCTCATTCTCGATTCCAGATTTGTCATCGTCAGCCAGTGTTACGCGACTCAGGGCTTTCTGCCTGTTAACCTTAAGATTAGGTTTACATGCTTTCAAATACCATTTCCTCAGATCACGCCAGCGGTGCGCCATCAACTTAGCTTCCCGGATCGAAGACTCATCCCATCTCGTCAACTGACAGAGCGCTAGCGCCTTTCGGGTAATAATGGATTTCCGATTCGCCAGGTCTAGAACCACGCCGCGGAAGGGCGCGTGCAATTTCCCATCTTGGTTCAGGTTCAACATGTCGGGCGCGTTCCGTTCCTCAGGGTCAAATGGCGCAACCATGACCACCTCTTCGATAGATAGATCGTCGGGGTCCAACCTGATCCGATCCCATGGAAACAAATCGTTTTCTCCCACGATGTAGTCCATTTTGGGCTCATTTTCTGAGTATGTGTCATTACCCAAGGGTTGAATGAAGGCTTCTGGTTTCTCGGATAGGACCAGCGATTCAGGGGGTTTATCAAACTGTGGATCAGTCACCCTCAGCTGTACGGAGGAAGGACGCGTGAGTTCCCAGAGCTTGTAAATCTGGCCCAGTTCTTTCGCAAAGGAAAGTTTTCGATCCACGCTGAGCTTGGCCCAATCACCGTGCTTGAAGGCGTAGTCACGAGTAATGCCGCGCAACCATTCAATCACAGCGTACGGAGCCTCCAGAGTATTCTTCTCGGTGTTGTCGTGGAAGATGAGCTCGAGAGCTTGAAGGCTAGTCTCCTTCTTGATCCATTGCAACATACCCGCCGCGGGAAGAACCGGGTTATCTACGCCCGAAGCCGTAAGTGTGCCCCTAGGCGTAATACTTGAGCCATCACGGAAGGGTTCCCGGAGTAGGTATTCAGCAGCTGCTGTGTCCTTATTCATGCAAGAGCCACTCGGAAAATAGCCAAAGAGACCTTTGTGGATCGATTCTATAGCGGCTCTATGATGCTGGGTTGATGGCCACAAATCTTGAGAAAGGGTGAGTGCTTTGGAAATCAATCCCTCTGCTAATGAGCAGTAGAGCTCAGCTGCCATCATATCAGAGCCTGCAGGCTTGGTATCCGTGTCGGAGATAATTTCCGTGTCAGGCGTAGTGTCTATGTCAGGTATGGTATCTCTGTCAGACATCTTGATTGCGAGTATTTCTTGGATAAGGAGAGTTTGGGTGTATTCCAAGTTCAGGCCAAAGTAAAGCTCATCAGTTGACAAGATTTCCTAAAATAAAGCTCGAGACAATAAAAGATCCAGGAGTTGATTCAAGCATGAGATTCGGGCGTTGCTGTGAAGGTTTTAACAGCCATATATGAGACAAAGGAGAAACCATCAACTGAATGCGGAAACTTCAACAAGACGACACCACGGAATCTTTGTTTCAGCACTTGAAAGCACCAGACGCCTTACTCGAACACCGCATATCCTTTCACGATTAGGAGGTGGGAAATCCACAGATTTTCGAGTGAGGACAAATAGATTTGATAGAGAACGATGATGAGGTGATGGGCAATTCAAACTGGCGGCTCTAGAACTATAATGTCGTCTTGATAATGGCTTTGACCCATATTAGCAAGGCCATCTTCTTTCCGCATTGAAAAGTAACTACTCGATGCCCACAGCTAGACAATTCCGGTAATGCAATGCTGTATTAGCTCATCATAGAGTATGAGTTTTCGAAATTTGATGAATGTTTGGAGACTAGAATCAAATGTGAGTTACGTGGGTTGCACTGCATTAAAGGTAGTCTTCCCGGACGCCACGCTCCCGAGAATCAAAACAGCGACATGACATACCTTCCGTAAAGAGATGGCAGTGCGTCACTGCCGTTGTAGCATTCGCCTGCTGCTATCGGAAGTCGCAGCCGGCACTGGCCGTGATCGGACCTGGCAAAATGAAGCAAGTACAGGCGAGAAGCCGAAAATGTGGGGTGTCTTCCAGCACTTCAAGTACTTCCATTCTGCTTGCAGCTTAAACAATTTGCACGTCAGTGTAACGCAGTTTATCTGATCGATCTGATAAGCAACCAAGCATCTAGTCGATTCTCATATTTCGCATCTCATATGGCAGTTTCTCCAGCTTTGTTGTACAACGGGCGGGTTTTCCAGAGCAGCGGCACAGATGCGAAGACGCACTCTTTCGCGGAGTGCATCCTGACCGATGCCGAGGGTAAAATCGTCCACGTCGGGTTCGTGAGCGACCCGAAAGTTGTTGCAGCCGAGGCAGCCAGGGTGACTCGGCATGATATGAAAGGACGCATTGTTCTTCCGAGCTTCGTCGATGGTCATATGCACTTGTTGCGGCTGGGCCAGTCTCTCCTCAATGTCCCGCTGGAAAACTGCAAGAACTTGGATGATATCCGGGCTGCAATCAAGGAGTATGCTGTTGCGAACCCATCCCTCTCTAGAATTACCTGCAAGAACTGGATGTTTTCGATGACGGATGGCAAGGCAACCGCTAGCATGCTCGACGACTTGGATCCGCGGCCCATCTTCATTGACGAGAAGAGTCTCCATTCGACCTGGTGCAACACGGCCGCATTGGAAGAAATGGGTGTGCAGGACATGGAGGACCCAGAAGGCGGAAAGATATACCGTGACGAGAATGGGAAGGTAACGGGGTTGATGACAGAGACGGTGATTATGCGGATCGTGTGGCCGCATCTTGCAAAGGCGGCATCGATGGAGGAGAAGGTCGAGGCTATGAAAGGAGCAGTCGATGCTTACAGTGCAGTGGGGTACACCGGGGCCGTCGAAATGGCCATGGATGAGAATGGACTTGAGGCGCTGCGACATTTGCGACAGACTCACAAGGTTCCAGTCCGATTCGCAGCTCATTGGGTCATCACTCCACGAAAGACGGAAGCAGAAAACCTGGCGCAAGTTGACCGAGCCATCGAGCTGTGGAAGGAGTTGAATGCGGAAACAAGCCCAGACTTCCGCATTGCGGGCATCAAAGTCGTCTGCGATGGCATCATAGATGGGTGCACAGCAGCGCTCACCGAGCCGTACTCGACGAATGGGGCCAACGTTGAGTCCTTATGGTCCTTGGAAGAACTGGCACCAGTCATCAAAAAAGCAGACGGGGCGGGTATGCAAATCGCCTTGCATGCCATTGGGGATGCTGCCATCAAGATTGCGATAGACGCACTGGAGAAGCATGCGACGCCTGGTCGCAGGCACCGAATAGAGCATCTAGAGCTGGCCATGCCAGAAGATGCCGCCCGCCTTGGAAAGCTGGGAATTACTGCCTCTATCCAAGCCGTTCATGCTGACCCTGCCATACTGAGAGCTTGGCCAAAACTGCTTGGCGAGCACCGTTGCAAGCGTGCCTTTGCATACAAGGACTTTGCGGATGGCGGAGCCGTGCTAGCCCTTGGGTCAGATGCGCCGACTGCTCCCATCGAGCCGCTGAAGAATATTTACACAGCAACAACTCGTCGTTCAGCCAGAGAGCCCGATTACAAAGAAACGGTCAATCCCGAATTTGCACTCGAGCTGGCTGCCGCCGTTTCGGCTGCCACAGCAGGATCGGCGTATAGTTGCTTTGCAGACAAATGGACTGGTAAGCTGGAACCTGGATTGTCGGCTGACTTTGCTGTTGTCGAGATGGATTGGGATGCCGACAAATTGCTGGAATCAAATATTGTCGAGACCTGGTTCAAGGGCGAGAAGGTTTATGATGCCCAGGCAGCTTGAAACTGTGCATTCGTGGCCTGTGACGATGAATTTTGAATCTGTGAACAGAATGATATGAAAGCAGATGGCAATACCAGCATTGCACATCAGATCAAGTAAGAAGTAGTCTCCCAATTATTGTGACTGAGGTTTGGCTCGTGGGCAACTCTACATGTTGCGCCCCAAATAACGGGGGCAGAGTCCAATCGCATGACGACTACTAGTGATGCGGGACTTGTATCAAAGGAATTGATCAACATTCCACCAGCCATTGAGGTTGAGCTTTACGCTTTTCATGATGTGAGACGGACCACCCAAAATCAAAAACGGCGTATTTGGTCTACGACCTTCGCATTGGACGTGGCTAGCGTTCACGTCGCTCGTGAATCTACCCCCGCAGCCACCAGCGGTCCGGTGCCGTCCAACGACCAACATGCCGTTTGTGGAAAGAGGGCAGGACATGAGTCTGGACTTCCAGTATTTCTGGGATGGCTGCAAGCGAGCATATGCATGTATCTTTATGGTCCATGCCCCTCTTTCTTATCATGATGCATGTTGGGTCACATTTGGCATGCAAAGATGTGGAAAGCCAATTGACGTGGGCTCGGTTACGGTCCGGGGAGCAGGTCACATGGGCGGGGTGGGGAAGACTGAAGGTTTCGTTTACATTCGCACCCAGGCTCAGTGATTCGCTTGATTATAGTGATTGGAGCTAAGGCCGTCGCCATGTTCCAGGTCACCGTCAGGGAAGAACGACGGTCTCAGCTGAACTCCATCCGTACTTGTGAGACTAAAATCAAGAAACGTTCAAAACCAAGTCGGGATGAGCCAGCCGATGCTGTCGGCCAAGAAATGGTGGGCAAACGGGCTGCGCTGAGCCACCATAGGCATTGGCGCGACTGACCGCCTAGTGCTTGGCTTTCCGTATTAGAAGAGGCGTAAGAGGGTTCGCGTCTTGGTGCTGTCACGATGCAACAAGACTGATAAGGCAAGTGGAGTTGATGAGTTGGTTGGCTTACAGTGATCGTTCTCAATTGCATCTGGGTTACCAAACAGCTTACAACAGGTGTGACGGAGGTGGGAAGTTACGACCAATCTTGTGAAACCCCACACTCAATGCACGCAATGATAGTTGTTCCACGAACTAACCAAACACTGGAATAATCACTACCCAGTGGGATGCTTTGGAATAACCGGCAAAGTGGCATTTCTCTGTCACTTGTCCAGGTGGTGGTCGGGTGGGAATTCTATTTGGGTTTGGTCGCCTCACCAGGCCTATGGATTCGTGCCCCTTGGCGTATGCAGCTCTCACTCGCGCAATCCTTGCTGGTCACCAGGAAACCCAATGAAGACCGCCCTTTCGCCTCGATTGCGTGCGGCATCTTGGCGAAATCATTGGCGCCCCCAGGTACACGATGGAGGCAGTCTATGGTATATCAGCCGACCCCCCGCGCCGTTGGACTTGCAATCACACAACAACAACCCAAGTCCTTCGAAAGATAGACATCCCACCCACAAGCTTGCTGACTTACGTGAATGGGTATAGAGAACGATCTGACCGTCGAGGAGTCGACTGAACCTCCTATATGTGACTTAACCAATGCCACATCACCTCCTACTGGCTACGGAAACCACCGGCTGACTCCGCACGAGCCCGTCGCCGCCCCCACGCTTGACTGTAGCGACGAGGAGAGCATCCATCCCCATACCGTCCCGCTCCAACAACTAGAGCACGTGTTCAAGACAGACTTCAACCATGGCCTCACCAGTGCCGAAGCTGCGCATCGCCTTGAGCAGGATGGGCTCAACAAGGTTGAGGGAGCTAAAGGGTTATCCGTATGGCAGATTCTCTTGAGGCAGGTGTCCAACAGCTTGACGGTGGTCCTCTTCATGGTCATGGCGCTGTCGTTCGCCATTAATGATTTCATTGAAGGCGGTGTCATTGCGGCTGTCATTTTGCTCAATATCGTCGTCGGGTAAGCGAATTATCTATCAACATCATAGCCGAAACTATGACTGACCACCCACAGACTGGTACAAGATTATCGTGCAGAGGCGACCATACAGTCTCTCTATGCGCTTTCAGCACCTACTTGCAAAGTCACCCGTCACAAGAAAATCGAGACAATCAAAGCCGAGGCTCTTGTCAAAGGCGACATTGTTTCGCTCAATGTGGGCGACATTGTTCCAGCCGACCTTCGCCTCATCGACGGGCTGAACCTGTCATCGGACGAGGCACTTCTGACTGGAGAATCGCTCCCTACCAGCAAACACCCGGAAGCCACTCTGGGTGAGCCAGACGTTCCACTCGGGGATCGAGTCAACATGTTGTATTCTGCTAGCACGATTACCCGCGGCCGCGGAACCGGAGTCGTCGTGGCCACGGGTATGAGAACAGAAGTTGGCAAAATCGCCGATATGCTCAGAGCCAATCCAATTGCGGGCGAGAACGTGACTCGGATGACCCTGTACTGGATAGGGTTCAAAAGGAGTGTTCGCAGCATTCTTGGCCTCGACGGTACACCACTCCAGGTGAAGCTTAGCAAGTTCGCCTTGTTTCTCTTTGCGCTCGCTATCCTCTTGGCCATCATCGTTTTCTCGACCGCCAAATGGCAGATAGGTGATGAGGTCCTCATCTACGGCATCTGCGTTGGTGTCGCGGTTATTCCCGAGTCACTCATTGCCGTCCTCACTATCACTATGGCTGTTGGTACGAAGGCGATGGCCAAAGGCAACGTTGTTGTGCGAAAGCTCTCGGCATTAGAGGCCGTCGGTGGCGTGACCAACATCTGCTCCGACAAGACGGGAACTTTGACCCAAGGCAAGATGATTACCAGGAAAGTCTGGCTTCGCGACGGTTCAATGGCAACAGTCCAAGGTTGCACCCATCCCTTTGATCCATCGAGCGGTAAGGTCACTTGGGGGTCCCATAAGGACGAGTTGCCTGGTGATCTTAAGTTGATCTCTCAGTTGCCGGAAAATGCCAAGTCATTCGTGGAATGCGTCTCTCTTTGTAACAATTCCACTGTTACGGATGGTAAGCCTCCAGTCGCAGATGCGGAAACTGGAACCATTTCGACTTCAACGACTTCATCCAATGACTGGTCCGCCGTCGGAGAGCCGACGGAAATCGCTCTTCATGTCTTCGCAATGCGTTTCGGACTGAACAAGGCCACAATCACACATTCCAAGGGCAGCCGCATGCTCGCGGAGTTCCCTTTCGACTCTTCTTGCAAACGCATGACTGTCGTCTACGGACAACGGTTTGCCACAACTTGTGATGTTTACACCAAGGGCGCTTTGGAGTCTACACTTCCTCTACTGAACGCCTCTGATGAGCTCAAGTGTGAAATGACTGCCAAAGCAGAATCCTTAGCTGCGGAAGGCCTCCGAGTTTTGTGCATCGCCCATAAGGTGGTTGATTTCAGTGACGGCATCATCAATACTCGCGAGGTTGCTGAAAGCAATTTAAATCCCCTTGGTCTGGCCGGGCTATACGATCCTCCCCGGTCTGAAACTGCCGACGCTGTCAAAAGATGCAGGAAGGCCGGCATCTCAGTCCACATGCTCACTGGAGACCATATCAAAACAGCGACGGCGATTGCTCATGAAGTTGGCATCCTGAGTAACGACCTTGCGGTTGCCCAAGCTACTAATGCTACCATGCCAGCCGCCGCGTTCGATGCCCTCAGCGACGAGCAGATTGATCAACTAGACCAGCTACCACTTGTCATCGCCCGCTGCAGCCCCGCAACCAAGGTTCGCATGGTCGAGGCCATGCATCGTCGTGGTGCTTTCTGCGTCATGACTGGTGATGGAGTGAATGATTCCCCGGCCTTAAAAAAGTCCGACGTTGGCATTGCCATGGGTCTGAATGGCAGTGATGTAGCCAAGGAAGCTGCAGACATGGTGCTCACAGACGACAACTTCGCTTCCATTGTAACCGCTGTGAAAGAAGGCCGGAGGCTTTTTGACAACATTCAGAAGTTCTTACTTCACCTGTTGGTGAGCAATATCGCCCAAGTAATTCTGCTTCTCGTTGGTCTTGCGTTCAAGGACATCCACGGCGATTCTATATTCCCCCTGTCTCCGTTGGAGATCCTCTGGGTCAATCTCATTACCTCTTCGTTCCTGGCTCTTGGCCTTGGTCTTGAGGAGGCGCAGCCCGACATAATGGTTCGCCCACCTCACAGTCTTCGCGTGGGTGTTTTCACTTGGGAAATCATCATCGACAAGTTTGCGTATGGTTTCTTCATGGGTTCCCTGTGCCTCGCCTCCTTCGCCAGTGTTGCCTATCGTTACTCGAGAGACCCTTCTATCTTAGGTGGCGAAGACGACAACTGCAACGCGGAATACTCCCACGGCTGCCAGACAGTGTTTAGAGCTCGAGCCACCACCTATGCTACACTAAGCTTCCTGTTGCTCGTCACGGCTTGGGAGGTGAAGCACTTTACTCGTTCGCTGTTCAATATGCACCCGGAGTTATACTGCGGCCCAGCCTCCATGTTCAAGACTATCTACAGAAACAAGTTCCTCTTTGGCGCCGTCGTTGCAGGCTTCCTGATTACGTTCCCTGTTGTCTACCTCCCAGTAGTCGACAAGATTGTGTTCAAGCATCAGGGCATAACCTGGGAATGGGGTATCGTGATGGCTTGTGTTGTTGTCTACATCGCCCTGATTGAGATTTGGAAAGCAGGGAAAAGACGCTTAGGGATTGGTGCTGTTATTAGGGCAGACATCTTGGAATAGTTTTATTTCAGATGCCATTCCTAAATTGCATTGGAATAAATGGACTGCTTTAGTGGTTGGGATTATGGGCTACATCAGAGTGACTGGTGCAGAGCTGATGGGTGCAATAGGAGCACCGCACGGGTCGGAGGATTATGTTGGACACTGGCGGAACGATTTAGAGAAGGGTGGTTGATTTGATTCGGTACATTCGCTCAGGGGCACGAATTACGAATGGCTGACATACATACGTAGGCAATATCAATTAAATGTAGTCTTTCTTTGACAAGTTATGTCTGACGCAGCCACGCGTTGATATATTTCTCTCTTGAAAAGGAGGGATAGAGAAGCATGAGGATCAATTCGGAATATGCGAATAGAGTATGGGCTAAAACTTTGCACTGTAACAAAGAAGTGCCCGACACGAGTAGCTGAAAGAGAGAAATAATCCAATACGGCTCAAAAGGTGTCTAGGAGTGTGAATATAATGCTTGACAAAGAATGGGAGCTTTCGCTCTCATGCAAAACGTAGATTGGACGCAGGACTCTTCAGCTTTGCTCAGGATCAGCATTCATTATATGCAGGCGACACACTATATCACAACGTAAAACGGTGTCTGGTCAGGAGCACAAAGATTTGCACGTATGAATTTATTATACATGCTTTGGCACTTCAGCGATTGACACCATGTTGCATCGTATGACGTAAGGTATCTTGAAATTGTATGACTAAACGGAAGTGACAAATGTTGCAACCTTACAGCTATCTCAGAATGCGCATTACTTCCAGCACTCGAAAATTTGGTGTTTAAGCTCCTACTTGCGGGTTAATTAACTGAACCACACATACATACTCCCCTTACGCAATTGTCCGAGAATTAATACTCTGACGCCTCAAGATAAAAGATCAAAGGATGCTGACATACTTGGAGATGCAATGGACGCCATCGCCTGTGCGGTTACTATCTGTGTTTTCTATCTTACATTGTTGCTCATCGTTCTCTGTAGTTGGATTTTCATTAGAAATGGCAATAACCCAGCGCCTGCGGGCTCCTTGGGGCAATATTTCGTGGTGTAATCAAAGTTTGGTATAGCAAGGATTGGAAAGCAAATGTCTATCTGTTTCTCAGACTCAGGGAACCGATGGTGTATGTACTGCCCCAATAGGAAACCAGGTGTACTGTAAGGGGACCTCCCACCGCTAAAATCATGTTATTATCGTACCCATCATGGCCTATGACTTAATGTCATTAACGGAGGCATTACTTTTTTTCCTTCGTCTTTCTTTGCTATCTTCCACCTCACCCTCATCTGAAGCAATCCTTCCATACCCACCCGGACCACTTCCGCTTCCCCTCTCGGCCTCAACGTTGTCAGAATATTCGCCCTTGCATCCGTCCTACTTGTTGCAGGCGGCGTAAGCACATCACAGCTTCCCTGTCTCTTATACGAAGGCGTGAAGCTATCGCGCATAGCGAGGTCGGCGGGTATCGCAGCCCCAGTCCATTGGTTACGGTATTCATGCGTATCATCGGTGGGATTGACGTTGTTAGGGGCTTGGTAGCTGTACTGGGAGGAGATATAGTCTTCGTTGGGGCTGTGTATTGATTGCCTTGTCTTGAAGCGTTCGTGGTCGGAGGTGGAAATAAATGCTGTTGGTGTTGTTGAGTTGGGTTGAGGTGGTGGACCAGGTGGGGCTGCGCTTGTAGGTGCGCTTGTAGATGCATTTGCGACATAGGAGAGGATATTATTGACGGTCATGAATTGATCGTGCTGGCCTCATCATGCTGCTTGTAGTAATGCGAATGGCCGCTGCTCGTTGTTGATATGCCCCCACTGGACTGGTTGTTCACGATCTTATCCACGTTGACTCCTTTGAACAAGTTGTATGTTTCCTTGTCGACAGGAGTCGCGATGAGAGGTAGGTATGTCCGCGGCTTTTTCTTTCGGAAAGAAGGCACATATTATCGGCCTTCTTGTGCCTTTGACTCTGAGGCAGCAGCCACGATCCGTAGTTTGAAAATAAGCCTTGCAGGGTGTGTATAAGAAGAGTACAAATCCGATAGCAATAAGTTCGCCAGATCGAGTGCTGAGATATTTCAAGACCTTGGCATGCCAAATGGGCGACCTGTCAAGTCAAATAGATGGCAGTCATCCTCAATAGTAGCCCCTTACATCCGAAAAAAATATATGGGCATGGAAATACTGTTTCTCTTGAGCCACGGTCATAGCCCGCTATACTAGTTAGTTGCAAAAAGCAGCAGCGACACTTAAAATAACATGTCTTGGTTTGAATATAATATAGTTTCTTAGCTACTAGAGGTCCTATCCAGGTGTGGCCCCTAGTCTACATGCCTAGCTCTGAATCCGTATCTGCGCCCGTCCCATTCTGATGAGCCTTCATATATTGATCAAGCATAGCTGTCCTTTTCCGGGTCTTCGGGCTCGCATTTGTGGCCTCGATCATCATGCCACACCTTGCAGTCGCCACACTGCTGGATGTCTCTTTCACCCAAGCCATTCATATTGGAGCTCATATCGGTGCAAGCAGATGAGGTCGAGGAGTAACGTCCCACATCTACATCCGGGACACCCCCACATGTGGGACGCCCTAAAAATGATGCTGTATATTATAACCATTAACTTCAACCTTTTTTACACTTGTTCTAATGCGACTACAATACAGCTTTCACCGTCACTAGGGTTTTCAGACTCGCTAGACTCATCTGTACTATCCTCAATTTCACCAGCCTCGATTTGAGCCTTCCGAATAGCCTTGATAATAGTAAACTTCGAATTTGGGCTCATCTTGACCTTCCTCCGCTTCCTAGCCCTACTAGCCTCAAGCTCTGCCTCTATTGCCTCAATCTTTCGCTGTGCGACAGCCAATTGGTAGTCCTTCTCATCAAAACCCTTTTGAACTTTCCGAAAGAGTAGCCGCTGGGTATTTGGATCACTATCAAGCTTGCTGAATAAGCTGAGTTGATCTTGGAGCTCATCTCTCCTCTTAGGCGTTGACCAGGCTATTGCTGATGTCTCTAACGCCCAGTCCTGACTACCCTTACTATCAGAGTACCCTTTGCAAGTCTGACTAGGCTGTCTGATTAGTGCTGACGTATTTTCAAGGAGCAGGGGGCTCATAAGGGGTCTAGCTATGCTCGAAGGCCAGAGACCAGTATATTTCCATCCACTGATAATGTTCTTAGCGGTCAATGCTGCTAGACGTGCCTTTCTATAGCAGAGGAGAAAGTTTCTCTTCCCTACGACAGTAGTAGTATCCCATCGGTCAAGGTAACCAAGCTCCTTCTTATAGGCTGCCTTGACGGGTCCAAAGACTGACTGATCGAGAGGCTGGAGAACGTGGGATGTGTGTGGCGGCAAGAAAAGCAAGTGTATCTTGTTTATGAAGCAGAGGTATATAAACTCTGTCGTTTCGTGGCTACTATGCCCATCTAGGATAAGTAACCTAGTCTCTTCAGGGTCCTCTGGTTGAGTCAAAGGAATAAAGATCTTTTGTAGCCACTCAATAGCCGTAGAGTCTGACATCCACCCATTCTCTGTTGCTGTAAACCTCCAGGCTTCGTATGGAGTCAAGTCCAGAGGAAACCACTGCTGCTGGACAGACTTCCCCTTGTATATCACAGGTGGGGGTAGTGCAGTACCAGTCACAGAGATACACTCTATAAGAGATGTCCAAGCTCGAGATCCAGGCTGTTTCTTCCGTATAGAACGAGTCTCAGATGATCCTAGAACAAGACCATTTGATCCTCTACCTTCTAGAATACCTGTCTCATCCATATTGTATCGATTCGAGGCCTTAATAGCTTTGATCTCAGGGATAGCGAGGTATTTGAACCATTGCCTGATCACATTAGCTGAGGCTCCATTAATACGTTGGGAATCGATAGCTCTGCTTCTCTGGACCTTGACTGAAGGGTTCCTCTTGATAAAAGCCTGGACCCAGTTCTTTCCAAGTGGTTCGGTGTCTCCGTGGATCTGTAGGATACGCTCGGCGAAGTCTTTGAGCTGTTGATGGGTTGGTGGGAGGCCTAGGGCAGCCTGGATTCGAACCCATTCAGCCAGATGAGATTCCTGGGCTGGAGAGAGCCTCTGGTAGTCAGCGAAGGCTATATCTCTTGACTAGGCTCCCTGAATCCGTCGTGAAAGAGTAGACCTTGGGACACCATGCTCATATGCTGCTTTTCGGAGGCTTTGACCGGTAGCTATTGCTTGAAGAGCTCGATAAATATCATCTTCGGTATATTGACTCATATTAGTGTAAAGAAGGCGTACGTAAAATTCCGTAACGATTGAATCGATATTGGTAAAGAAAAAAGAGGTTGAAGTTAGAGGCTAGCGGTGTTGAGGCATTTTTGGGTGTCCCACATGTGGGGGTGGGACGTTAGTCGGAATCAGATATCGTTGAATGAACAGGGTGTAGATAAGAGTGTTCTCGATGTAGATGAATGTTTCGGTTTGAGAAGCGTTCTTGATGGTTGTTCGTGTTATCGGACTTATTGTAAGCAATAACAAAGCGTGGAGTTTGATTTTTCCCTGATCTCTCCAAGTCCAATAGAGTGAAGGTGGCCATGAGGGCCTTAAGTACAGAAAGGGGGTTTATTGACTGCACACCTGAGTCAGTTGCTGTTACACCAGAGGTTTCGATCCTGAAGTTCTAACAATTGGCTGTTGCCAAGAGTTCGGTTCTTAGGGTCCATCCATCATCAGTCAACTGGCTATAGTAGCAGTAATACGGAAAAGAGATATCAGATCTTGTAACTACCAAAATACCTCATTTTAATACAAGTGGGTCCCTCGTCTTTGGACGGTTATTTGGTCCAACAAGAAAGTCTTTGGATGTCCAAGGCTAGTGCGATCCGACATGTGTTTTGGAGAAAGGAAAGGCAGAGAACTTGCTGCAGTGGGCGAATTTATACACATTCTGGCCGATGAAAATCATTGCCTGGAATTAACTACTGTCACGGGCATTCGACTTGTGAGTTAAGTTGTTCATGGTTGGTTTGTGGTTAACACACAAATTTTAAGTGATTCAAAGTCATGAATTATCAGATCGTGTCACACCATATTAACAGAGCAACACAACCATTACAAAATTTATTGGTAGAGCTATCTAAAATTGTTCTTATCACTAAAGAAGTGTTATTTAGTGATTGGGGTACTGGACGATTTCAACTTATGTGCGAGTAAAGCTCTTAAAAATTCAACATACCTTTTGATCGGTGATAGATTTTTGTTTACAATGATATAAAAGCCTAAGGTATCAAGTTCCCCAGAGACATATCGTGCTTATTTGTACTTGGGTATGTACAAGGTGGGCCCTGCCAGGTTACCACGTAAGGTATATACTGGAGGGTACATCTATCCTGTCAGATTCCGTTGCGAGCAGCTTCAAACGCAAAGAATGTACCTGCTAGCAGTTGTTGCATTCTGTATTTCATTTCTGATGCCCTTTTAATGGTGTGCCATGGTCATTATGCTTCAAATATCAACTTTTTTTGGTTCGGAATACATTTGCCAGGGGTAGTTATACGTGATCGATTTAACTCTGTCATGCGGGATTCAACCCTCAGATGATGACTCTGTACAGATCCTGTATTGGTTACGATGCTCGATGCGCAGTGTGATGTGTGTATTGACTGCTCGGAGTCCTATGTAAGAAGTTATATCTAAGGTAGGTAGGCAGGTGCCGACCTTTTTATCTACACAAGCGATTTCACTGCCTTAGGCACCACCTCAGGCACCACCTCAGGCACACATGTGGCGCTCAATTCCACATGTCACACAGATGTGAGATGGTCTTTTGACCTGTGACAGCCAGTGAGAGCCAAAAGAAGTTATGGGAAAATGAAAGAGACTCGAATATGTCAGATGCGTTGTGACATCATAGTATGACGTGCTTAATGTCCTGATTGGTAGATTAGCAAACCGAAGTAAAGCCCGAAGCTGCAACGAGTTGTAGATATCTGGGTTCCATTTTGCCCAACTTCTTCCACCCTCGGTCAGCCCAGCCGCTCCCTTCCAAGCATTACAGGTCTCTTTTCCAGAGAGATCTGCGAGGAGAGGCAATCGGCATAAACGTCCCTACACCATGTCTTTTATACACCCACTGACGCTCTGCTGACAGATGAATCGCCTGATTCAGAGTTTCTACGGGAATTGGAGAACTGATCAACATCAGCGGTTTCAATGGCAACCCTAGACGCCAGTTGATTCATTTTTACCTATCCGTCTTACTGGCAAGTGGGAGGTCGCCCACATCATCTTTACCAACGCCATCTCTGGCGGATCAATCATCCAAATCTTGTCCGAGAGAGCCCAGCCAAAAACATGGTGATTCGAAGTCATTATTGCCAAAGGCGCAGGCGCTTTGACCCATAACACTCGCAACAACATGATTTCTGTCGACAACGGAGAAAATGCTTGGACCATGGCAGCAACGACCACGAGCGCTTCCAACAAGGAACGTTACCTTGGAAAATCTCCAGTCATGCTGCGCCACTATTACATAGTACATTGCCAGTCAATGATGCTGAATCAGATGGCACTGTATTGGAAACCGCGGTGGCGAACGCCAAGAATTTGATTCTTTATCATCGCTCTACCAAGCCCAGTTGCAAATCAACTGACAGATAGGTACCAAAGTAGATGACTTGCGACAGCTTTCGAGTTGTGCAAGGTCTGTTTCAAACTCAAACCAGGCCTAACGTGTTGGAAGCCTTGGTTCCTAAGCAAAGCTCCGTCGGGCACTACATGTCGACCAGCACTAATTGGAACCTCATTCAATCTGAATCCAATTCTACTGGGCCAGCGTGCGTGTACATCCCAAACCCCTCGACCCCAGTCCAGGCTCGAGTCATCATTCAGAGGAACTCAGAGAATCCACTTTGACCACACGGAAGCTTTCTCGCAATTGCTATGGCGACTGGGTCTGTCTGGGCTTCGGAGCTAAAACACAAAATCGCAAATGAGTTGCCTGCCGCTTCAATGTGCTTATACTGGAATTCCATCATCGTCCTAAGCAGACTAATCCGATCTCTTTTTCGTCGCCCAATCTCCATTTGTTGAACACAGAAGCTCTGGTGTTCTATCCAGGCGGCAGTGGATGGCAAGCCTCTCGGAGGATTTTGCAGTGGAACTTTTTGCATGAAGTGGGAGACTGAGTTGTTTCAAGGGTCGTCTAACCTCATGCCAATGGAATGCCACTTTGAATGGACATGAGTTAGACCTTGGAAATAGAGCGGGAGCTGAAGATGATGAGAAGGTTTTGAATACTAGTGCTGTATCAAAGGTGTCTGCTACAAGTGCATATTTATTTACTAAACGAGACAACACAATTCTCTCCAACGGTTTACTCGTGAGGTTGCACTCGGTCCTAGAAACTGTGAGTATACATGGTACTATAAGCATATTACTACAGACCTATAAGACGCACGCACTACTCCTTTTACGCAGGTAACAAAAATGAATATGTATGACTATGTCATCCCTTAGAAGTTCTACTCAATGCGGGACTGATTGGTACAGCATATTAAACCCCATGTCGTAAATTACTTACTAGTTAGATATATATTGGCAGTATTCCGAGTTTAATTGGCCACGGAGCTTTACTCTACGGATCGCAATCAATGAGAAAGGCGCTGAAACTTCCCAGAATGAATGCCGCAGAAAGTGCGAGCGGAAGTGCGGATACAATCGGCGCGTCTGCCCCGCGTCTTCCTACTTGAACCTCGGATTCTTTGGACCATTCAGCTTGCAGGACACATGTTGGCCATAATTCGACGCTCTTTCAATATTCCAAGAGTCAGGTTCCTCAGAATGGCTTCAACTTGGGTTCCCGGCGTTACGGGCGACAGTCCGTTCTCACTTGCCAACATCCCGTTCGGCATCATCACGACGCAATTTGACCCCGCGCCGCGAGCTGCAATAGCCATCGGCTCTTATGCGCTCGACCTGAAGGCCCTATCAGACTCCAAGGATCTCACCAAGTTGGCCAGTAGCTTGAAAGGCCATGATTCTGTGTTTTCACAGCCGACGTTGAATGCATTCGCTGCTTTGGGCAGACCAGTGCATCGGGAAGTGCGCAAGGTCATCCAGGAGATTTTGTCAGCGGAGACATCCCACCCAGATGTACTGAAGAACGACAAAGAATTGCAGGAGAAGGCATTGATACCCCAGGGCAAGTTCAAGACGCACCTGCCAATGAGTATTGGGGATTACACGGACTTCTATGCTGGATATCATCACGCATACGCGGTGGGTGTTATGTTCCGCGGCCCGGCAAATGCGTTGCAGCCAAACTACACCCATCTGCCAGTCGGCTACCACGGCCGTTCATCAAGTATCGTGGTTTCAGGGACGCCAATCCGGCGACCGGTGGGCCAGATTCTACTAGACTCCACGGCCGAGCCGAAACAGCCCTCCACGGCGCCGTCGCGCCGGTTGGACATTGAACTTGAGTTGGGTTGCTTCATCGCGAAGCCGAATGAGCTTGGTACCTCCATCAGCATTGAAGATGCTGAGGAACATATCTTTGGATACGTAATGCTGAACGACTGGAGTGCCCGTGACATCCAGACATGGGAGTATGTACCCCTCGGCCCATTCAACGGCAAGAACTTTGCCTCGACCATCAGTCCCTGGGTCGTTCTTGCGGATGCATTGGAGCCGTTCCGGACGAAGGGCATTGAGAACAAGACGCCATTGCAGGACTACCTGAAGGAAAGCAAGGCCGACACGGCTTTCGACATTGAGCTAGAGATTGACCTGACCAGTGAGCATCTCCAATATCTTGTTAGACGAAGATTACAAACTGATTTTGCTAGCATCGGAGGGAGATACAACTACCATTTCCACGACTAGCTCAAAGAACTTGATGTGGTCATTCCCGCAGATGATCGCGCATCATTCACTCGGTGGCTGTCCGATGAGAACGGGTGACCTACTGGGCTCCGGTACCATCAGCGGGACAGGCGCCCGCGAGAGGGGCAGTCTGTTGGAGATGAGCGAGGGCGGGAAGAAGGATATCATGTTGCATGGCATGGACGTCCGGCGGTTCTTGAAAGATGGTGATACGGTCGGTATCAGGGGTGTCTGCGGCAAACCTGGTGAGAGGGTTGGCTTTGGTGATTGTGTTGGTCGCATTTACAGCGCGGTTCAGAACTAGACTTCGAGGTCGAACTTGCTCAATTGCCAACTCATGGTTGATACGATTGAGCCGTAGCTCTTGACAATACTATAACAAAAAAAAAGTAAACAAGTCGATGACTTGCATTGTTCGTTCGAGAAACCAGCGGCGACCTGCACAGGGTGATCGATTGACTTTAAAATTGCCGTCTACGCTGATGCAGGACCGAAGCGAGCTGAAAAGGAGTCACTGTTGATGTGATTTGCAGGATTGATCTGAAATACAAAACTCTCATCGTATGAAAATGAGCGACATCGTCGATTCACAAGGGAGCCTCATCTAAAATACTTTGATGGTGATAAGAGCACTATATTACGAGAATGTACCGAAGAAGCAACAACCGTCGAATTGATTGGAAACTGAGACGAAAGCGGATCGCAATGGCCCAAAACGAGGGTAAAAGTAATCTGTACTGAAGATGTAGACCGCAAGGGTTATTTTCTAGGATTACGCCCTCCGCGCACTTATACATAGGTAATCTGGAAGGGGACCGGTACAGTTAGTCTGCTTCCGTCTGTTTGCCCGAATCGCGGTTAACCTGAATAAAGTCACGTGGAAGATGGATATGAGGCCCTTCCTCATCTTAGTGCCTCCCGATATAGAGTTGGGGCGGATGCCGAGAATATCCTGGATAAGCCTCTTTTGGTCACTCCAGGATCGACTCTTTTAATCTTGTCGCAAGAGTATGGGTGTATGACTTGTCATTGACAGCTAATGGGGCTGCAATGGAGAGCCTCGAGAGCCAAGTCAGCGAATTCCGGTATTTGACTCAGAATGCACCGCTTGGAGACACATCTCAAACCTACAGCTCCCCTGATTCCGCGGCTGGAAACAATTCCGCGCAGCGACATGCCTCTTTGTCCTCGGGACCAGCGGACCATGGTACTGCCAACGCAAAACGAAAGAGTGACGACGACGCGGCCCAGAAGCAGCAGCGCAGTAAGCGGAATCGGTACATTTCCATAGCTTGGTAAGTCTTGTTCCAACAAGTATAAAGTACTTCGTACTCTTTCCGTCAGCCGGCTTCCGCGTTTCTGTCACAGAGCGCACGTCTTCCGTCCTCGTTGCGACTTGATGTTACAACCTACACATTGTTGGCACCGTTACAGACACTTGCTTGTAGCACTTCCTGTCTCGCTCAACGTTCCAGTCTTCCAATTACTTCAATCCAAAAAGCAACAACTGAAGCTGACCTCTTGCGCCCTTCAGCAACGAATGCAAACGACGCAAGATCAAGTGCAATGGCGAAACGCCGTGCCAAAGATGCGGCAACCTCAACCTACAATGTCTCTACGCGCCCAATTGCTGCTCCAACAGCGTCAAGGACTCGGAAGAGTTCAAGCAGATGAGCAACAAGGTCACCCGTCTGCAAGAGCAGGTCGAGACTCTGTTTAGTAACATGAATGCTCTTCGATCCGAGACGCTGCGACTGGTGCCCACACTAGACCGAGCACTCCCATTGCCATCGGCCGCGAGCTCGGGAACACCCTCGTCGTCGGTCTCCATTCCATCGACCCAACGACCCGACCTAGCCCCTCTCCGTCAGCCTGGCTTTCGAGGACCGACTAGCACTCACTTCACCCTTGACGTTGCCAAGAACACTCTGCACAAGATGGGCTACAGCAATATCAATGATGCGTTCGAGGAGAACGTTGGTACACCAGATGACCGTCCTGCTCTATCCCCGATGTTCGATCCACAGGTCGCCGACTACCGACAGAGGCAACCTCGGGACCCGATCTGGGAGTTCGATAAGGACGAAATGATTCGTCTCTGCCGGCTGCATGAAGAGGAAATCGGCATCATGTATCCGGTTGTTCATATTGAGAGTGTGGTAAACCATGCCAAAACTCTCGGCTCGTGGTTGGAGGCAGCCAAGAAAAACTTGCTGAATGGGCAAGGCCCAGCGTTTGATCAGGACGGTGGCATAACAGACACGAAGACCTTGCTTCTCAAGACGGTCATGAGCTGTGCTTTGGTGATTGAGGAACATGGTCACAGCGACAGGGCTACTGGACTCATGGAAAGTGTGCTGCAAACAACCGGCAAGATGCTGATGAATGACGAGCCTGATGTAGCTAATATGCCTCTACTGGCTCTTGTGGTATGCATCCATTCCGGCTGCGCTTAACCGCAATGACAGGGACAACTGGATAGTTCAGTGCTGACTTATGCATACAGGCAGGTTACCGATTCTTGTGCAGCGACGAAATCTTGGCTTGGCGACTTATGGGTCAGGTCGCTCGCCAGTGTATCGAGCTTGGTCTTCACCGACGTAATACCATTATGCAAATAGCAGATGAAGAGGAGCGGAGAAATGCAATTGTTACGTTCTGGAGTGCCTATGTCATTGACAGGCGATGGTCTTTTGCCACGGGTCTACCATATGTTGTGCCAGACGGAGAGGTGGACCCCGACCTACCGTACCCCGTACGTGATATCTGACTACCCCCGGGCCAGTCTTTGGTCCACACCAGCTGACATAATTAGGACTCGCTTCCTTATTTGGTCGCAATGATCAGCTTCTCTCAGTTATGCGCAAAGGTTTGGCGACTAATCAGACGATTTGAGCCCAACGCGGCGATGGACCTGCAAGCAAACGACATCGAGGATGTTGATCAACAGATCAAGCAATGGTATACCGCGATGCCAGCAGATAATCAACTTGAGCTCGCGGATTGGGACTCGATGCCGGAATACCTCGTTCCCAGCCCGCACTCGCAAAAAGAATATGACATCCACAGGTTACAGATCTGGACGTATCTGCGAATAAATCAGATACGCATTTGGCTCCACACTCCTATTTTGCACACACACAGCAGCATCATGGAGAACCTGCCCCAAGCAGAACGAGTGGTGAAGCTTGCTCGGAACACCATCAAGTACCTTCGACATCTGAACAATACAACGAACATTTACCGGAAAAGCCAAGTGTTCTACCATCAGTTCTTGACATCTGCCATCGCCGTCCTGTTCCTGGCGTCTTGCCATGCCCCGGTTAACTTCAGTTCGTCTTGTCGTGACGAATTTTATATGGCGCTTGAGCTTGTCAAGGACCTGTCGTCCAAGTCATGGGTTTCGCAGCGTCTTTGGCGCACCATCAAGTCACTCAAGGAAGTCGCGCCACGTCTGGGCCTTGCCGAGGACCCTCACTCAAACGCTGCATTGACGATGGCGGGTTTGGCGACGGGACACATGGGTCCGACCCCGACGCCTCCTCCCGGCCCCCCTAGCTTCAGTCGGCCCCCTCGGTCTGTTGCCGGTACCCCAGTCCAGCCAGGTGACGGGGCGCGTAATGGTCTACAGATCTCGACAGAGATGTCGAAGATTTTTGAAGGTTACGTGGGCCTGAATGGGTTTGACGACATGACGCCTGCGACTATGCAGACTATGGATGATTATGTGGCTGTCGGTTCGGGGAGTGTGTATCAGCACTTTACGGAGATGTTCTGAGTGCGACGAACATATCCATCTATGTATATACGCATGAGTGATGAGGCTTGGAAATAACCATCGCTGAGAGCTTCAACCGACGGTGGCTACTGACACTGACGAAATAATACTCTTTTCAATTTTGGACATCTCTAGCAAGTTGCGCTGAACCCGCGGATCGAGTCCATCATCCATACCATAGCTGCATGGGAAGGAGGCCTTGGAATTATGATCCAACTTCAGCCATAATATTGTATTTAGCCTATCACTGATTACCACGTCTTTATTTTCAAGCAGCAAAAAAGGAGAGAAATCCAATAGAGCATCTACCGCCTTGCTCACCCGTCTCCCGATACCCATTGCAGCTCGCATGCAACCATTTGGGCGCTGCGTCCCTCCCTATTCATTTCTTGGCGTAAGCCAAGATCTGCTTCTCGATGATCCCCAGGCTGTCCAGATCCTTATTCTCCTGCTGCAGCCGCACCGCCTTGAGTTTATATGCCTTGTTCTTGAAGATTTTCTCCGCGCCTTTGTAGATGGCCTCGCTGCCAGGAGTCTGTGAACACAAGTTGACAGCAAAGCCAGCGTACTCGCATCGAGCCGACATCTCGGCCTTGTCCTGGGACACCCCAGCTACGATCATGGGCACGCCGTTGTTCACGGAATGAATCACACCGCCATAGCCGCCGTTGTTGATGAAGAGGTCCGCGTACGGCAGGATGGCGTCGTAGGGCAGGTAGTCGATCACGTGGGCGTTGGCTGGCGTTTCTACGTCTTTCGGAAGAGTGGCGCCCTTTGTGCCGAGGATGGAGACCACGATTACGTCCTCCCGGTTCGCAAAGGCGCGGATGGTCGGAACGACGAGCTCGCTGAGGTCAATAGACACCGTGCCCTGCGAGACGACAATGACTTTTTTCCTGTCCTTCCCTTGGAGAGCAGCGTTGGCCGTGATCTCAGACCACCAAGACGGTAAAGGGAAATCTGGGTTAAGGCCCCGGAGAGGTAACGCTCCGGCGTAACGGATAGATGGGTGCAGGTCGGAGCGCGGGTACTCCATGCTCGGACTGCAGAGCTGCAGGGTACAGTCATACGAGGACATCCACGTGTCCATAAAGTAGCCTATCGGGGACGAACTACACCCGCATTCGGAGAGCACTTTGGCTAGGTGGTCGTTAAGGTGCCTCATGGGCCCGGCGAACATCATTTCGTTGAGGAGCTTGTTCCTTGCGCGGCCGGACGAGGTGGAGTCCGGAGGAAGGGCCGGGCCGAAGGGTGCGGTATCGATGCTGGTTACTGTTAGGGGGACGAGGTTGACGTTTATCACTTTCTGTTTGGATTTAGCATGCACAGGTTACACCAGACGCGAAAGTTTCAAGAGTGATCATACCGGGAACTCGCTGTACCCCTTTGGCAACGGCGCACCGTACTTAAATGGCAAAATGGCCATCGAGCAAGTCTCGTTCACAATAACCACGTCCCGGTCCGCATCCCTGTCGCGCACCTTCTCCAAAAGTGCTCTCATGCCGTCCGACCGCGAAGGGGTAGCATCCAGGAAGAACTTCTCCAGTTCCAATATCGTCTTCTCCAACCCCGGGGGTAATCTCTGGAGTTCTTCCAGGCTGCCCGGGAAGGACAAACACTCCCACCATTCTGCCCCTATCTTCTCGATCTGTTCTTTGTATTCCTGGGAGGACATAAAGATCACCTCGAAGCCGCGCTCTACCATGGCTTGGGCGATTTGCATCACAGGGGCACAATGTCCCGTTATAGGGGCGGAGGCAAGTACTACCAGTGGTAGACGCTTGGTGTCGGTCGATGAAACTGGCATGCTGAGGGCCGTTTCGTTTTGAGAAGTTTCGGCAGTCATTTTAGGCTGAATGAGTACTGGAACCGATCTTGATTTTGTTTTTGGTTGTAGAGGTTGACTCGAGACGATTGGATCTTATACTAGGCCAGAAGACGGTTAAGACGACTAGTAGATCACGACTCTTAGACCTAACCGTGGAGAGAAGAAAACCCAAGAAGATCTGGGGGGTTTCAACGTCCTCGCATTATGCGGCTGTTATTCTGCTAGCAGATTTGTCGTCCAATACGTGTCACCAATTATCAGCAAATCCTCCCAAGCCCCTAGGTCGATAGGTCGAGTACACAGTCCGTGTAAGCAGCCACGCAGGTGGACCGGGGCAATGGTTTCTCCTTGCAATCCATAATCACATTTCTAATGCGGGAAATACGCACTAGATGCACGAGTTCAGTCTCACGGGTGAACTGTCACCATTTGGTTGGAAGATCTTCCAACTAGCAAACATCACGCTTACGGTTGGAGCGCGTCCTATCGCGGGCGGGATGATGATGACCCGAGTAACACATGTCAGCTGTCTCGCTTAGGTAAATATGGCAGTTCCAAGCGGCGCTAAGTCGGGTATGCGAAGAGCTGTATGGAGCCGAAAGAGCGAGTTGCATCCTGGTTTGGGCTTGGGCTTGGGCTTTTGTTTTGATTGGCTGCTAAGATCCAATCATGGTTCTGGCCGACTACAGCCTTTCTCACGTCTTGAGAATGTATGAAGCTCGTCAACGGAATCATGCTTATGAACCGGGGGACTCAGTAGGGGAGATGGGCATATCGGCTCACAAGATACCACGTAACGGTTCTGTGTGGCTTACCATCTGATCTTTGGCAGTTTACGGTCAGAAAAACAGATATTTTCTGTTTTTGGGAATATATAACTACGCAGGTGTGGTGCCGTGCTATAATCGCTGCATCACCATACAATTCCTTCGTATTTCCTAAATCCACGTGTCATCCACCTTGGAAGTTACAGTTTCCACGGGTGTGACAAGAGTAGACATGCTATAGTGAGACTTAGCATCATCTGGTACGTCCAACCGCTCCTTCTGAGAAACCTCACCATCAAGTTCTTCATCCTCAACTGCAATCGATCTCTTCGGGACCCCGAGGTACCCAACGCTAGGTTGATGCGCGACGAGAGTGGCAGTTGACGAGTTTGGGGCGCAGTTCTCGTCCCTCATCGTCTCAACATGCGTGGCGTTTTCCCTAATTCTTGATCTTGAATGATTCGGACGTTCCCGCTCAGGAAAGTATTTCAAGTCGGGTTCTTTGAATCCAATTTTGATGATACCAAATTTCGCATCGTCATCGATCTCTGAGCCCGGGTTTTCTGGAGCATCACCGCAGTATGTGGGCGCGAATGAGACTGTTTCCGACAAATGATGGCTCTTGGGGGTGCATTCCGAGCGCAAAGCCCTATTTTTGGATGGAACTACTCTGTCCCAAGTATTTGTAGGCGAGGCATTCGAAAACATTTTCCTTTTCCCTTGTAGATGCGGTGGCGCTTCTTCCCTGAGGGGTCTAGTCTGAGTCGAGTCCGAGGAGCTTGTGGGCGTGGTGTTATCCTTGTGCCCGATAATGTCGGTTTGTGCTGATATCATGTTCTCGGGCTTTTGAAGCGGTTTTTGACGTGACGGAGAACGGTGATAGTGGTAGTGCCTTCGCCATTGTACCCCTATTAAGATGGCTAAGCCTACGATTCTAATTACGGTTGCTATTGCGACAGACAACACAATGACCCTTAGGATTTCCGACCCCTTTGTAGCACTGGCGTTGTTCATGATGATGCGGATGTCAAGGCCAGGTTACTATCAACTGATATAAATCGAATGTGGATTTAATCGAAAGGGTGTAAGGTGATGCTAGAGACGAAGTAAAGACTTATATCCGAACACTACCAAGCGACGTTCTACCTTGGATCGGACGTAGAGTAAAAAGATTGTATCTTTCAAGTCTCATGATCAATGCAGGAGGTGTATGTTATTGCCTGTAGATATTATCGTGAGGCTGACCAATGTCAGCTGTATCACATCCATCACAAATCTGCTGAATAGAGAACAAAGAACGTCGAGAGCATGGCACAACCAACTGAATAGCAAATATCCCTGTGATTGAGAACCGGACAAAGGGACTCTAATTAGAATCTAATTACCCGATCCCATAAGATACAATGTCTTGTTTAAAACAAGGATAATCATCCAGATCTTACACGTGCCGAATGTCCATGGATAGGAACTAGTGATGAATATTTGGCGACAACAGCCTAGAATTCGTGATCTAGGTTACTCTAAACTCCATGATCATAACTGGTTTTATCTCCATGACGAATAGCCTTGACTTGCTGCATATCACATCTCATATTTCCTAACAAAGTCCTAAATTCTTTCCTTTCAAGCCGATATCGCGATGAACAAATCAGCCAGATGATAGTTAACTTGTCCGACATAACCGCAATAGTAAAGAGGAATTCTCCTATCTACCATCCTTTATACTCCCACTTCAGTGCGTTTCCCATTGATTGCCCCCCTGCTGCCATATAATACCCTCGACGTCCAATCGGATTTGGCTGCCGGTTATCCACCGCAGAGCCTCTAGTTGGCAATTTTTGGGGACGACTGGTTCTCCTGGAGGTTGAGAATGGCTTGAGCTGGATGTCAAATACATAATGTGGTAATTATACTCAAATGTTTTCAAAAGGGCACGTGAGGTGTAAGCAAATGCTGAACCTTTGCTCAAAAGTATTCTTCGGGATGGGAGGAGCTGGAAGGGTTGGCTTTCAATATTATCAAGAAAACAAGAAATTGCGAGGGCCAATCATGTACTCCTTTTTCTCAAAGAAAGAAACGTGCTGCACGGTGCACTAAGTAAGTACTAATCAATATATCGCATCTCTTCCATGTGGTCTGAGTATGTAAAAAATAAAGATACACTCGGACGATCGTTTTTCTTCCATTGTGAAGAAGTACTGCTGCGTAAACCAATACTCTTCCAACTGGACCCCCTGGTTTCTGCGGCAGCCTTCTGAATTCATTGTGAATGGTCCGCATCAGCAGCAAGCTGACCACAACGGCCGAGTTATTCTTCCTATCATATTGTTCTTGGTCCATATACTAGACCTCTCTAAATCATTGCTTTCGTGAACCTGGAACCTCTGCTGGTTTCGTTCCAACAAAGTAGCTCCTACATTTTTCCGCTCGCCACATGGGACTTGCACGAACCAGCATGCAACCAATGGCCACATAACACTCCCTTACCATCATGTTACTCCTCTGGGAAGGTCAATCAATGCTATCATGCTCTGGTCTCCTCTTGAATTTGATCTCACTAGCGGCAGTTTCTTGAGTAGAATATAACAGTTTACACCCGGTGTCTTCCTTCACGCTCGGTGATCAAGTTAACCCAACACTTTATCGGCCTTTTCATCGTCTGTATACGTACTTTCTCAACGTGTTTTACTAAAGAACCTAGCGACATTAGGCCTACGACCTCAAATTGTTTGACAGAACTTGAATGACTCACTCCATGTCTCATATTAGGGTTTGTTTTGGGGTTTTGTTTCTTCAGTGTTGTAACCCCTGGAAATACTGGTGGTGAACTTTGGGGTACTTTTGGTATCAGATCGCACAGATTTCCCTTGTTACAATTAGCGGGCGCCTGAAATTTTGGAAGGTCTCCCGAAGTAAAGATCCTGAGGTATCGTTGGCCTCATAATTATAATTTTCAAGGCGGCATTTGTTCGAAGACGTGCTGTTCTCGAGTCCTTTCTGCTACTTCGCCGCATGTAATTCAACCACCCTGCAAGGCCTAAATGTATTCCAACCACTATATGTGTTAGAGTGTGATTTTCCGCGAGTCCGACCGTTCTAAGTCAAGCTGATGGGCCAACATAGCTGTACTCAGGCCCACGACTGTGATAAAAGGACGACGTCATCCCAGCGTCTTGAAAGCGTGGGTTAATAAAAGGACAGATTTGGCTCAGGGAGCGCGGGCGAAAATTCTAGTTTGTTTAATATTTTCAACGGCCCAGGGAATTCAGTTGGCTTGTAGGTGAGGGGATTTAGGGGTGCTATGGATCAACGTCTTCAGTACAATTGGGAAGGAAAGGCATGGACTAGACATGGTTTCTCAGCGGATTCGGGCTATATTATAGTTATCAAATGCTAATCATTCTGGTGATATGACGAATACTAACCTGTTAATGTGGTATTGGTTATCCACAACCAAGAACTTGATGCGATTGCGATTTAGGTACGAGTCCCCATGAACGAACAGGAACACAGATGACTTTCGAGCTCAAGGACAAAGAACGGACACTTTGACCGTCAATTATGCCTAAATTGGCCGACAGGGGATGATTACATCTCTTTTTGTGGGAGGACGCTGAATTGATTCCATGAACTGAATATGAGTGTTGCGCTTTTGCGGGTTTGGCGCAACGTAGTCCACAAGCGAACGGGTCACCCAACCGAACGGGTCACGCCAACTAGCAAAACATGGAATTCAACACGATTTCGCAACCACAACGCCGTAAATCAATTAAAACTACTCAGAATACTCTTGCCCAGATGATTCTATCTCTACCTGACAGGTTCGCGCATTATGCCCGGTCTTCCCGCATACGCCACAGCGCCGTTGCCGTGGCTGGCCACGATTTGATCCAGCGCTATTTCCACGCATTTCCTGCTGTACTTGCTGCGCAACGTCCTTTTGATCTTGAAGATCTTGTACGTCTTGTGAATTAAGTGATCCTCCAAGCCCTACTCGTGTTTTTTTGGCCCTGCGCCGCTTGCTAATTAGAGCATTTGCCTCTCGAAGTTCGGCGACCTCAGCTTGGAGTAAAGCCATCTTATGAATAATACTCCGCGCTCCTTTCGAAAACTGATCGATAGCATCGTAAATTGACATCGGGGAGCTATTTTGATGCCTGGAAATTCGAGATTTAATAAATTCGGATTGCGAAGTAACCTCGGTTGGGTTGTTTGGCGTCCGAGAAGCCTAAGGAAGGGTTTCCCGCGTAGGGGGCCGGGAGGATGTTGGAGTCTGTAATTTCACATCCAGCTTCTCAATAACAATATCTGGGCTTAAAGATACAAGCCCAGCCCCTTGAAAGCCTGCACGAATATTGCTTTCGGTCAGGCTCTTCTTGAACGTGTCGCAAAATGCCGGAAGAAAGTCCTCCTTTGTGATATGCGAGTCGCGTAGCAGTCGGTTTGCCATATCTTCAACAGCACTTAGCCGGGGAGGAAATGCTTGCTAATATAGCTCAATTATCCTTTGAATAATCGTATTTTCTTCTATTTTTGATAAATTCCGACCGTTGGCTTCGATATTGCGACGTGATTGACGTTTTTGAAGACGCGCCTGGAGAGTAGTATTCGAGACTTTGTAGATTGTTGCAGCACGTCGGATACTAAGTGTTGAGTCATTTCTGATAGCCTGAGTTGCAAGGAGTAATTGAGATTCTTTTTGAGCAGAATACATCGAGAATTAATTGCGTGGTAAAGTTAGGAAGTTCAGTTCTATTTTTTGCTATGGGCGTGACCCGTTCGCTTGTGGACTACGTTATATCAACGCCATCATAATAAAAGTTATATTTCCGGTGCTTAGGAGTTCGCCAGCAGAATTATGAATATCTTATCGATATTTAATTACCGAATCACTAAACATATGCATTAGACTAACTCTACGCCGACCATGTTCTCCCAGGCACTGCTCATTATACCCCTATTCTATTAGAACACTTATACTAACACGATCCAAGGCTCAGACTGTCACTGCCAGTATTCTAAATATCCACGCTTTTCTGAATATAGCCAAAACCAATTAAGGACTTACGTGGTGCCACCGAATCCGCAGTTTTCCTTCTGTCCGATAACGGACTGACTGCACGCGGTGGCGAAGTCGGTGATGATGGTGGTGATACGCTTATATCTGACTCCCTCATATCCGGCGTCTCATCATGGCGTGTAATGGTGGCAAAATGACTCGTTCTAATGTTGATGTTATCTTTCGGAGGTGAGTGGGGTGTCTTTCGCCCATGCTTCTTGCCTGAAAGGTTGGACAGCACTATGGGTGGTGGATAGCGGAAAACGCCCTTCTTAGAAGATGACTGATTATACCATTGGAGATCTTCTTCTTGATTCTGATACTGGCTCCACGATGTTTTTGGCTTCTTCAAGTGTCTTTCGTCTGATAATGCAGTTTGGGTTGTTCCTGATGCTGCGAATATGACTTCGCTGGATGCCTCCGTCGAAGAAATTCTCTTGCTACGTGCAAGCGGTGTCAGCGACCCTCTCTGCGATCCCTTTTCCCGGTTCCATATACCCTCGTCAGATTCACTGTATGCAAGGCTGGCGTGTCCTGTCCATTTGTCTTGACGTTTACGTTTCGGTGAGCGGTGCTTGCCCTTCGGATTATTTTTCCTTTTACAGCGAAAATGGCACAGAAGAATGATCCCAATTAACAAGAAGAGTCCACCAAGTGCTCCCCCGAGAGCAGCCAAGGAGTATCGGCTACGGAAACCCTCCATCAGTGATCGGAATTTGCGGGGTGGACAAGCCCAAGATGGTGCATGAAACCGTGTGGAGACAGAAGAAGGATTATGGTAATAGTTCTAAAGTCGTGTTCCGATTTTATCTTGAGATTTAGGAAATTTAAAGGGGTCCCAGATGGTTGAGAACATGAAATGGCGAGTAAAGTCCTTTAATTCATCCATTTATGAGGGGACAGTGTTCGTATGCCATCTCCCGGTTCATGTGGTGATTGCAGGACTGTTCGTATCGACCAACTGCTATGCTGATTTCCGAGGACAAAGGACCAGAGGAACCGTACTACACCATCCAGACCCAACCAAAATAATCGTATGCTGTTAAATTTATCCCTTTTTCGCATTTCTCGCTAGGATGTCATGACCAGTGGAATCGGCTAGTTACCCCGGGTCAGATCGAGGCTGCGTGAAAGGGGCGGTGTGCCTGAACAAAGAAAGGGTTGGCTCTCTGGCATACACCACTCCCGAACCCAACCAACACACGGCTACGCTGGTTTGGGGCCAATTAAAGCATTTCTTGTGTGGTTGTATGGATCTCTCAAAAAATCCTCAGGTCTTCCAAAATTTGTGCTGAGTCATGCCTTTACACATACATGAAGCTGTACTATATAGTCACCACTGTCTAAAGCTTGTGATATTTAATTAATTTTGGTGACCTACTCTAACTAACAAATATCCAAAAGCCAGACTTTCCCCCATATACCAGAGCCAATTATCCATTGAATGACCCTGTACCTCTAGCATAAGTGTGTGAGAGTGGCAGAGGGTGGCTTGTCTTTTTAGGTCGAGGGATCGGCTGAACTGTTGGTTGACCCGTTGCTCCGTGCTGTTGTGCCGCTTTCACTCTGCCTTAGCCCTCTCCTTGTTATTAAGTTACTCAACCTATGAATTTTATATAACATTGAATGACTGATAAGATACAAAGCCCCGGAATGTACCTAATGAGCTATCATATGATCACACAGTCTGGGTATTAACTTTGCGAGAGTCTGGCCAATAAACCAGTGGGGCGTTTGGTAAATTAAGGACCGCTTTATCGGTAGCTCAATGGCTTCCATTTCTGATATAAGTATCGTCCAAGAGGATGCATTTTGACTCGAGAAGATAAGCTTATAACGAGAAAAGAGTTGCGTTTCCGTTGTTTTGACCTTGCAAATAAACAGCGAGCAAAACCCAGTACAGAATATTTGCTCGTCATATTACAATCTTGCTTCCCAGGACTCATAGGCCAACGGGCTTTCCCTTGCCTTTTCGCCAACCATTCTTTAGGCCTCCTAAAGGCAGAAGACTCACATGACCGATAGGAGTTTCTAGGCTCTGGCTCTCCAGAGTACTCACTGATCTATGCCGCATGTTGCCCGAAGCTTTGCTTTGCTTGTCACGCATGCTTGCTTCTGACACTTTGTTACGCTCCTGCGATGGCTCTGTATCCCGTGGTGTTTGCTTTCCGGGTCTCCATTCCCATAACCGCTCCAAATGTATTCACTGTTATAGGGAGCTTGCTTATAGTACTCCTGCCAATAAACCGATGTCTCGTCGGATTCTTCTCCAGAAACTTCGTTAATATACCCTTGCTGCTTTTCGCTCCTGCTTTCGTTGTCTTCGAGAGGTTTAAAGGTCTTGGGGTTGCGTCTCTCCGTTTCGTTTGCCCTGCCCCATACGATAGACATGCAAGACATAGCGAGCAGGAAGCAAATGGCCAGGGGGATACCAACGTACAGCGCTATATCTCTCGTGGGGTTTATCGCCGGAAGATCTATCTTCGTAATGCCTAATTTCTTTGGAAAGGTGGCCATCGTACAAAGGCAGATTTGCTTTCAAGGTGTTCTTGATGATGTGATTGATTCTTGAAAATATAAAGATTGTCGAGAATACCATGAATAATGTCACTAATAGTGGCTAGACGTTAGGGAGAATTAAAGCACTTCTAGTTAGTTAGCTGTAGCGACGTGGTATGAGTGTTTTTTAATACACCATGTAACCGCATCTAGCAAGCAGAGACTACTTTTGGAACAGCATAGTGCGTGGGCAGATGATTCTAATAGCCAAGCATATACCAGGTTGTTACTACACTTCTCATGTTATCATCTGACTGGATCGCACACGTCCGTCTATTGACAAAGGAAGTAGGAGATCATACTTGATCTTCTGACGAAGGTGCTTGCCCTTCCATATGTAATCATGATCTAGATGAAAACAGGCATTTTCAAAAGATCGCATGACCTTGGGATACACGTGGGCAATGGTAGAAACAGATGGGTCATTTGGAAGTCGAAGTTTAGAAATCATAGATCTGTTTGCCAAATACTATACACTGGTCCGTTGGCTTGCACCAACGGTCGTCTCAGATTCTACAATGATTATCTCTTGAATGCCGAAACGAAGGGGACCAACCAACATCTGAGCCAACAGAGTCGGATACCTCTATTACGCATCCGGCGAACTATGAACTTTTGGCTGAGTGAAAATTCCAAAGTGGCATTCATTTCTCGCCCCCAAGGTATCCCATGACTAACACAATTCCCAACCAACATTCCCCCACCCATACCCATCAAGGCAACTTCGAAATCCAAACAAGATCCTCCATGTCGAGCTCTTCGATATTCTCGACGCCCGAATTGCTGCTTCCCCAAGAGATGCGATCCTTGGCGTAGTCCACCGTCAAGGGTTTTCGAAACTGGTAGACGAAGAAGGTCATCAGGGCGAACCAACAGATGGCTAAAAGCCCAATGAAGACGCATAATATCTTAACCTGTACGTAGACGGGAGGTCCATCAATCGTGGTAACTCCAGTCTCAGGTTTGGTGCTCGGAATTGCGGCCATTTTTGTTTCCCGTATTATGTGGGTGGGAGATGACGTTTCTCCCATGGTAAATTTGTGACTTCCTGTGAGAGGGTTTCAAGATGTGGAATAATGTGTGCTTGGTTTCTGGTGGTACGACGTCCGACTTAGAGAAGTTTGGGGAGAACCAGCGTGTGATAAGTTTGATGATGATAATGAGAGCGCAGGATATGGGTAACTCTGTTGGTGAGCAGTTCCTGGTAATGCTCAGCATAATTCACTCCCTCATCTACTTCATCACGCGACTCTAAAATAATGAAGTTGAATTCGCTTCGAGTCACACGCGGCTGTTGGTAATCAGGTGAATCTTGTCGAGGCGAGATGCGTGACAGGAGAATATATCTGCGAAATTAACAAGGAACAACAAAATGTCAACCAACAACGGACAGAGGTTTCGGTTCGGGTGCTTGCTCTTCATTCCGTCTCTCTGGACAATTGCAAGAACATGTTCGCTCAGTTCGCTCAATCTCCTTTTTCTTTTCTTTTCTTTTCACGCCCAATCCCGTTTTTCTCTTTCTTTCACTCAGTGATCCATTCAAACCGGCTGTGATGGTGATTCATGCATATTTGCATATTTAGCCGCCACCTCCAGTCTGCAAGACAACTTGCCGCATAGCATAAATAGATTACATCTCATTGAATATTCGACGCCGTGTGATCACTTTTCTTCGGCAGACCGGAAAGCAACGTCAGATCAATGGTGAAGGTCCCTAATCCAACAATCCAGCAACGGGTTTCGCCATCCATTGCGCAACACAACACAAGAAAAAGCGAATTCTCTGGAAGTGCTCTCCGGCAGTGATACGATCGACGGCTTCTCTGATATTCTGTATCTTATTGGAGGCTCGATATTGTTACGCAAAGACGGTTGATCACTCTTGACCTTACTGTCAAAGCCACCTCAGTACGAAAACTCTGCCTGAGGCTTGGTCTCTTACAGTCAAGCGATTAATTATTGCCTTCCGATAGATTACTCGAGAGCCTAGGCCCTGATTCTTCTTTTTCGTTGCCGAGATAGATGCATCGGTCGTCAGCTGATTTCTGCCAGTATAAAGTGCACACATGATTTGCATGTCGGCACCCCAGAGTTACACCTTCGCCTAAGCGTTTAATGAGATATTTTGTGCGAGGATTGACTGCCGGTAGGACCTAGAACTGCATCGGCCCGAAAAGTAAGGTCGTCATACTTTTAGTAGTGCATGGTGTCGTCGGTCGTGCTGCACTGCGGTGCCCCCCTTGACGACGACTCGTAAGTCGGTATAGGTGAGACTACTTGATACTGCATACTACTTAATTATTGTTGCGTGCCCCCAGAAACGCCAGTTTAGTACTGGATGTGGCGCTTGGGCCAACTACCTAAGATAGAATTAGTCCCATCATGATCATCGCTAATACAGGTCTATCGGTGGTATTGCCCACACCTATTGAAGGGGGGGTGCGTTGGCTGTCTGATCGTGACGGCCTGCTGATGATAAATTAGTATTTGGCTTATCTCGTCTGCCTCCATTCCATACTATCGAATATCTAGTGACTAAACAATTTTCAGTGTACATTCGATGCAAACTGTTCAATGAATAAGTTCATGAAGTCCAGATTTACTATATAATCTAGTGATGTTATAATCTACCAAGAAATTCTAGCTGACATTTTCCGCGCCCGGACTTACGTTCACATTCTTCACAGAAAACAATATGGGGCGAGATCAAATTCTTATTCAACTGTCAGAATAGATGTAGCCCAGTGTAGCCTAAAGTATGGAGGGTACCAAGGCAGGCACGCACGGGTTTTGGTATTTAGGGGGCCCCTGGGGCCAATTTGGGATCGGTTCCTACGCACCTCCATACTTCCAACACTCGGGATCCGAGAATGGGTTGACCATTTATCGCACTACAATTAAGGCGCACCATGGCAAAACTAAGCAGACGCCTCTATTGTCGGCTGGGGCAATGTACTCAAATCTTCACCAATCCTACCAACGTTAATCAGGTGGGTCATCTGACTATTGAGTGTTGTTGAGTTTCCAAGCAATCCCTCCAGCTCAAATGTAGCAAATACAGTGGCCTTCGACAAACTGATACTGCTAGGAGGCGTACAAACTCCAATTATTACATATTGAAATATAGGCATTTGGTGGCTAAAGGTACCCGAGATTCATCCGGCTCGTCCGTGTTAAGTCCGATGCGTTAAGTTGGTCGTCCTTGCTCTGAGTTGCTCAAATTCTTGGTGGTGCTAAACCCTGCAACCGGCAAACCACTTCTTCAAAACATCCGCTCCATGGTCGACATCGACCAGAAGGTACAACACTTCCAAAATGCCAAATCGCAAAAGTGATCAATCTAGCGACGAGGACCTTGAGCCTCTGGTGGATACGACCGAGGCGCTGACGGTCCATTCCAAGCGCACCCAGCGCGCCCAGAAGAGGAGAGCAAAGGCCCAAAAGTCCAAACAACAACATCGCGGCCTCCTGGATTTGCCCTGTGAGCTAATCTTAGAAATTCTGACTCTGCTTACACCCAAGGATGTCTTTGCTCTCCTGCGCGTCAACGCGGGCCTAAGAACTTTCATTCTCGAGGACGAACACAAGATCGCTAAGGAAATAATGGCGTGGCGATATGCCTGCCTCACAAAGTGTTTTCGCCTCCCTGTTCTTATAGAGGATGTCGACCCGGAGGTGCGACCCTGTCTTCAGAGCGATGAGCGCCAGCAGTTGATTGGCATCCACAAGAAATTTCAACATATGAAACCCTGGGACCCGGCGCTGATATGCACTTGCATGACGTGCGTCTTTCGCTGGAATGCTCTCTGCCTGGTCGTGGACTTTGCACACTGGCAGGACAACCTGGACAAGGGCGAGCCCATTCCCATGGTACCGCGAGGCAGAAATCCCAAGTGGCATCAAAAGATCATTAACCGCAACGCCGCCGTCGTGGAGAAGGCGCTGTCCAGTCCCTTGTGGCACGCCCGTATCCTAGAAGCGCATCTGATAGCAACGATGAGGGCTATTCGTCGCCACGCTGCCAACAAGGGTAACAAGCGCACACGGTTCCGGATGACCCATCAGGATATCGAGTCGGGGACGGACGCTTATTTATCGAGGAGTGGACCACCGACGCTGGACATTCCGTTTCATCGGGACCAGTACTATATGCTCGAGTCTTACTTGCCGAATAGGGGATGGAACGGAGAGAAAAACGAATGGGTATATATGCCGGCGCAGCAGCATGACACCGACGTTCAGCATGTGGTCAAGTGGGTCGAGTGGAAGACTCGAACGAATGAGCAGAGCGACCCTCGATTAGTGCCTTGAGAAGCCAGGGAAGACAAAAGCTCTCGATGATTGAATTGCTTAACGGAACGATGCGAAAGAACTTGGCAAGGTTACCCACTCAGCATCCTACCCTGCAACACATGCATCAAGATCAATGATTGTCGAGGGCGTGCTTGTCCGCGTTGACGTTAGCAAACACTCAACTATACCACAAGACAGAGGCTACGATTCTGGCATCCTTCACCTCCGGAAGGAAAAATCTCTCGAATGATATTAAGCCCTGGCAAGTATTAAACAAAGCAACGATGCTATATTTAGTCTCCCATTTGAATACGACACAGAAAGAATACTGAATAATGCCCATTTGCAATCCTCCCAGCAAAATACCCCTTTTATTTTAGCTTCACGTTGTGAAAACTGCAGCCTGCCTTCTACTGCGCAAGCGGATCCGTCGCACGACGCCTCTCCGCCTCCTTCCGAACCAACTCTGTTCTCTTCTTGTTTCGCGGCTTGATGTCCGATGGGAACGGAAGCGGTTTCGGATTTGGGGTCGGCTCGTAGCGGATGTTGAGCGGCATCTCTTTCTTGGTCGCCGGGTCAATTCTTTTCTTGATATCACATGCCCAGGCGATGCGCGCAGTCATGATGGTCAGGGTACGCTCGGTGAAATTAGGCCCGGGGCACACGCGGCGACCGTAGCCGAAGGAGGTGAAGTTCAACAGATTGGGATAGACGATCAGGGGTTCCCTGTATGTCGGGTATGCTGGGTTGAGCCAGCGGTCCGGGTTGAAGACCGCACCGTCCGGATATAAGTCTGGATCTGATAGTATGGCGCTGAATCACTGCCGTCAGCTAGTACTCGCGAGAGGATCTGCCAAAGGGTCCACTTAACTGTAGTTGGCGTAAACCATAGTGCCCTTCGGAATGAAGAAGCCCTCATAAAAGTCGTCCTCATCCAGAAGATGCGGTACGCCAATCTCAGCAACAATGGAGCGCCACCTGATCCCCTCCTTAATGACGGCACGAAAGACAGGCAGGTTTGGCAAATCATCGAATGCTGGAAGCCGCTCCGCGCCAACGACACGGTCAACCTCATCCTGCACCTTTTTCTGCCACTCCGGGTACTCCATCATAATGGTGATAACAGTTAACAACACATTGTACGGTGACCTCGTTCCGGCTGCCATCAGGCCTTCAAACATCTACCGCGCCTCCTCTAGTTCAAGCCCGTACTCGTCCCGATTCTCCAGATAATAACGCATCCAGGAGTCCGGGCCCGTGCCATCCCCCACGCCTTTCCTAACGCGGTTCTCGTGCCTCAACACGTCGGCTTTCATTCGCTGTTGCACTTCGGCCAGCTTCCCATTCGACGGGACCAGCCAACTAGGCGCGCGGATCAAGATAGGGATCAGATTGGCGATGTACTTTTCGGGGCGGAAAGTGGCCAGGATCTCGTCGGTGAGCGCGCTCGACTCCCGCAGCACGTCGTCGTGGACGTTGGTGATGCTCTTGCCCAGGCCCAGACTGAACACGATGGCGTAGGCGTACCTCTCGACGTGGTTTTCGAAGGCTTCTGGCGTTTGTAGTAGGTCGCGCAGGGAGTACGTCGACTCAAGCTCGATGAAGGGTTCGTACTTGGTGGCTACGGTGCTCGCTAATAAGGTGTGGAGCAACTTGCGTTGACGCCGCCATTTCTCTGGACGCCTGTTAGTTACTTATTTTTGGGCTGACAAATAAGACACCTACCTGTCTTCTGCATCATAAAGGTGACCAAGCCTTGAGACATGAAAAGCGCGGCAGGCGGCGTACCCCGACCGGAATATATATTCCCTCGCTTCACGAGGAGGTCGTTGGCCGCTTTATCGGTCCCTAGGACTACCTGCTTCGTACCGAGCACGTCGGCAGCCATGATGGATCCGTACGTACGGTTCCATCGGTTGAAGAGGGGGATGAGGTTGGGGGCCTGTCATATGAGTTTAGCGGTCGATTATCCACCCAGGGGCTTGTATCCCTTGACGTAACTACATTTTGGTCCTGGGATGGGCTTTGCCCCTTTCATGCGCCGACAGTACGAACTGGTATTGGAGGCGTACACAGCCCTACGCCGATGAGGGCAATTAAGATGATGCTCTGAAGGTAGATCATATTTGCGCGTTTGCCTGAAGAAATACGCCGAGAATGTACAATAAAGAAGTGGCGATTGAGCACACATATCATCATGAAATTTCTCATGTAAATACCCAAATCATCAACAAATCATCTGCTCAACGCTTACGATGCTCAGGAGGAGCAGCCACAGGCATGGCATAGTGTTGGATTTGTCACAGAAATAGCGCTCTCTGCCCAATCAGTTCAAGATACTTCAGCTTTAATGTTGTTAGCGCTATCAATGTCGAATGGTGTCGTGGTGTTGTCAGCACTTGCCATGAGAAGTCTCCGAGCAGTGCCATCAAATCCCTGAGATCATGAAGTATTATACGACAGACGTAATTTTACTGGTAAGTGTGAGGTGCAGATTTACTTAGTAAAAGAACGACTTGAGGTCCAGTCCAGTCTAATCTGGTGTGGTGAGACGGACGTCCCATGAACCTGTGGCATTGGGGTCCTTGCAATTTTCACATTGCCAACCCGATTTAACGGAGCAATTCGAGGCATATATGAGGGAGGCCGACCATGACTTAACGCATAGAATATTGCGAGTATGAGTTGTAATTTCGGAATAATGGAAACGATCGGCATCTTAACTGGTGTAGCTTTGACACACCTGCTGGTTCCTAGGCGCATGTAAGTGTACTCAATGATGCCGGGCGATTGGAAGCCATTTAATCGCAACCTTTGGGAAAGTAATTTTATTGGAACAAGGGCCTATAGAAGATCGATTACCCAACCGGAAAGGCATCTACAAACTCGGAAGCCCTGTAAGACAGCAAAAGTGCGGAAATTCCGAGGGTCCAAGTGGTGATGCAAGTAAGAAAGTGTAAGTGTCAGCCCCACTTCCACTTCCCCGCATAGCCGCGGCTAGGAATGGAAAGCGTAGAGAGCGGAATACGGAAAGTTCACACCCACGCAATGCTGGGGAATCATGTCAATGAAATCAAAATGCTCTTCGGGATTGCTTTTTTATTTTATTTATTTTCTCAAGACTCGTATGGCATAACGCGCAACCCCAATGTTTGACACGAAACACCTCGGTCGAGACACACCAAAGCCGTCATCATGCCTGTAACCGATTTTGAGTTCAAGGAGAAGTACAGATACAAAAATGGCTTTGGGTCATACGTCGAGTAGGTATTTCATTTTTTCATATAAGCCACGAATTCTCATCATCCCAGAACAGAGGCAGTGCCTGGCGCATTGCCCGTCGGCTACAACTCACCACAACAGCCACCACATGGCCTGTACGCGGAGAAGCTGTCCGGCACCGCTTTCACGGCGCCCCGGCATGAGAACCAGCAGACGTGGTGTTACCGCGTTCTGCCCTCTTGCACCCATCCCCCGTTTGAAGAGGACTTAGAAGGCCCCTTCAACTTGACCAAGCCGTACAGTCCTGCTAGCCTGCGAATCATCCCCAACCAGCTGCGATGGGACCCCTTCGACCATGACGACCAAACCGACTTCGTCACCGGTTTGCGCTTAATCGCCGGGGCAGGGGATCCCACATTGAAACAGGGCATCGGCATGTACATCTATGCCGCCGGAAAATCAATGAACTCGCATTCAGCCTTCTACTCAGCCGATGGTGACCTCCTCATCGTTGCCCAAGACGGCGTCCTCGATATTCGCACCGAGCTAGGCTGGCTTCTCGTCCGCCCCATGGAAATCTGTGTCATCCCCCGCGGCATCAAATACCAAGTCCATCTCCCCTCGGGCCCGGTCCGCGGATACGCCCTCGAAATCTACCAGGGGCACTTCACGCTTCCCGAGCTCGGCCCTATCGGGTCCAACTGCCTCGCCAACGCGCGCGACTTCCAAGCTCCCCTCGCCTGCTTCAGCGAGGACTTTGGCGCCACGGCCGCTTCGGGGCCGAATAGCTACTCTATCACCGCCAAGTTCAACAACGGTCTTTTTGTCACCAAGCAAAACCACACGCCTTTCGACGTGGTGGCTTGGCATGGGAATTACTACCCGTACAAGTACGACCTCGGCCGCTTCAACACCATCGGGACTATTTCCTTCGACCACCCCGACCCGTCTATCTTCACCGTCTTATCCGCATTTTCGGATCACCCTGGCACCGCCGTCGCCGATTTCGTCATTTTCCCGCCCCGCTGGCTCGTCGCTGAGGATACATTCCGCCCGCCTTGGTACCACCGCAACACCATGTCCGAGTTCATGGGTTTGATCGAGGGCGTGTACGATGCTAAGAAGGGCGGATCGGGGGGGTTCATGCCGGGAGGGGCTAGTTTGCATAATGTGATGAGTGGGCATGGGCCGGACGCGGAGAGCTGCGAGGGCGCGAGGAATGCGGAGTTGAAGCCGATGCTCGTGGGCAAGGGGAGCTGTGCTTTCATGTTTGAGAGTTATTTGATGGTTGGCGTTACGGAGTGGGGTCTTAAGACGTGTCGGAAAGTGCAGAGTGCATACAATGAGCATAGCTGGAATGGGGTCAAGGTCCATTGGAAGAGGCCCGAGGGTGCAAGCACTGATGGGCATTTGCTGAAGTGAATTGAGAGTGGTATTTTAGTCACGAATAGTAGTAAGTGGGACTCATTGAAAAACAGCATTACATATCCAGACACAAGTAAGAACATCAACCAATGCCCACCCAAAACAAACGGAATAACTTCCTCTTCCCCAGTTCTCAGGAATCCAACTTCAACTCCGGGTACTCAGGAACTACAAGTCCCCCCTTGTTCTCGGGCAACAACTGATTCAGCAACCTATCAATCCCCAACCAAGCTATAAGTGCCATCACAATATGCAAGACCCGAATGCCCCATGCTGTCTGCATGTGGGCCAACCGAGGGAAACCAGGCATCAACTTCTGCCACTCCTGCACAAACGGCCGCATCACCCTATCATATCCCTTGAGCGCCGCCTCGACATCGCTCCCGTGTCTTGCCAACTCGCCCGCGAGAACATACGACCCCGTCAGCGCGGCCGTGGTGCCCATACCCGTCACGGCGCTTGGACAGTATCCCGCGTCTCCCAATAGAACGACCCTACCTTTGGACCAGCTGTCCATTTTAACCTGGCCAATCTTGGTCACGTAGAAATCGTCCGTTTCTTTGAGTCCCCTCAGCATGCGCTCCTTGTCGAAACTCTCGACGTCGTTGAATATCCTCAACCATGTTTCCTTCTGCGCATCCACGCCTTTTTTCATCGACTCTTCCAGCTCCAGGTCGTCTCCCATGAAGGCCAATATAGCTTGCGTAACCCGTCTATTGCCCGATCGCAGAAAAGCGATCCGCGAACCGGGAATGTGATAAATCCGCGCCGTGGCGTCGTCCGTCTTTTCCCGGGGTATGCTGTAGAAGGCATAATAAGGCCCCAGGGGGTGGAACGCCGCCTCTCCCGCCTTGGCGCCGAACAACATGCGCCGTGTGCGCGACCCCTGTCCATCCGCCCCGACAACCATATCGAATTTCTCCGTCTTCCCATCCGAAAACGTCACCGTGACCCCATCGCCCTCCTGCTCAATTCCCTGGGCATACTTCCCAAATTCATACCTGACCCCCTTTCCTCCTTGATCTTTAGCCTTCTTACTCTCTTCCAAACTCGCTTCATAAAGCACATGCACAAAGTCCCCCCGCATAATCTCATACTCGCTCGTGAACCCCTGCTGGCCCTTGCCCGAATTATTAACGCCAAATACGGCCTTCTGTCTGCCCGCCGAGTCCATAAACGCCATGCCGCTCTCGGCCACGCAGACGGCTTTGATGGGTTCCAAGAGCCCCAATTTGCGCATGATGGAAATGCCCTGGGCGCGCAGGTCGATCTGCTGTCCGCCGTCGCGGAGCGAGGGCGAGCGCTCCACGATGAGGATATCGTGGTGAGGGTTGGAGCGGAGGAGGAGGGTGGCTAGGGCGGGGCCGCCGATGCCGCCGCCGTTGATGAGAACTTTCATGGGCATCTTGGTTTGAAGGTCGGTATGCTGGATGGGGCTTTGTCACAATGAAGCTCTTAGGTCTGAGATAAAGATGCCGCTCGATGAGCGCTTGAGGGTGAATGGATAGGGTAGGTCGTATTCTTTTATTTCTTTGCAAGCTATATCGTGGGGAATCGTCTTAACTATATACCAGTCTCTCAAGGTGTCGTCGAGCAGGCCCGAGTGTTCAGTCTACACTACAGGCCGTTCGGCTCACACACACGTACCCCGCTGCAAGATAATAAACACTACTGAGCAACTTGACGTCCGAGCCGAGTCGTGTAGCTTCAATAGACACGGCTCATGCCGTGCGCGGGAAATAGATTATTTCCGACTTGACGAGGCGCGAAGATCTGCCTTACAGGAGTAGAGTTGTAGTACGCAAAACATATAGCAGTCGTCGACGTCATTGGTCGTCTAGCCACATCGCTCGCGCACGTCGGCTCTCATGGATGTAAGACGGCATCATAGTGCCGAGACCATGTCGAAACAATCGGTAGGTCGGCATCACGACTTGGTGTTACTGCTACGGCGGCACAGACGCGCTACTGAACTACGTCGTGCATAGCGGAGTTGAAAATCGGTGTCGGCATGCCATAATTTCCTGAACGTCGGTCTTCTCATAACCCGAGCGAGCGTCACCTAACCGTGTCACCGTCCACTGTCGTTTTTTCAAATCAGCTAGTTGCCCAATGGGCGCGCTTGGTGCGTGCAAGTGCAGTACCCATGTGTGCTTCATTTCCGATTCCCACGACAATACAACCAGAACACAGCACGCGACGCCACAACCACAAAAGCATCGAGGAACACACCGCCGGCCCATCCTGGCCTGGCGTCCTGAGCTAAATCGGTTGCTTGCTTGAACAGCAGGATCCATCCACTATCGCCTTTGCTTAGTATGACACCGTCGCACCAGCAGTTGTTGAGAAAGCCAATAAGCTCTTGAAGAGATATCAGCATAAGCCATACAGTTTGACCACCATTAGCATGCGTTCCAGTAACTTGTGTGATAACCGCCAGTACATGGAACGTTTTAGGGTGCGGCGGCGACGACGGAGCTATATTGCCACTGTCGCCGATTGGGTCGTGTAGCTTGCTAAGCTGGATTTGCTCGTGTCTAAGTATGGCGGCATGCGAGAAGAAGGTCGATGAAAATAGCAGAATGAATGATAGTGTGCCGATGCCGCCATGTAACACATAGCTGCCAGAGCGACAGCCAAGCCCTCGCGCCTCAGTCAAGTAGGATATTGTAATTGCGGCACCCGTTGTTCCCCACTACACGAAACCGGCCATAAGGATTGCAATGATAATTCGATGGTAGAACGACGTGTCAAGCTGGTCCCACTGTCGATATTCGTTGACATGGCGAGGAACGATTCTCGTCCCACAGTTTTCAGCGAGACCAGCGAGACCGCAGTATTGCGACACAATCAGAACATCACCTTTGACTCCGAGCTCCTCGTACTTCAAGTCGGCGCTCCCGATCCGCTCCTGGTCGAGATTCGCCACCGTCTTCTCAAATGCATCATGGATAACATTCGCAACATGCCACCATGTAAAGAGTCGCGCGTAATTAAAGGTTGGACCTTCCTGCTTTTCATCACTGGCGATACTGAAGCCAAGGCAGCTCGGTACGCGCACTGTGTCTTGTTCCAGAGGGAAACTGTCATGCGCTGTCTCTGACCTCGTCAGGGGCTTCATAAGGCGTTGCGAATGGACCATTTGTAAGGCCTTCTGTTTCCGCATAGTAGCACGAGAAGTACTCTCGCGGCTCTTCGTGGTTTCTTCCCCCCTTATTCCTCCACGTGGCACTACATGTGCAACGGCATTATGTCTAGCTAGTCTCGGCATTCGCTGACGGCGTGGATGTTTCAGACAAACTCGGCCGTGGGAACTACTTCCTCGTTGAGTTGACCGCTGGCTAGCTCCCACGATGGTAGCATCATCCCGGCTCAACACACGTACGAGCATTCTTCATCGTGCTATGGATCTGGATGTCTGAGTTGTTCTCCAGGTTTCTGAATTTCGTACGAACCCAATGCTGGTTAAGTACGGTAATCATCAATGAGTAGGTGATGAGCATTGGGCTTCCCAATGTCATGCAAAAGCTTAGGGTACTAGCTACCACATCGTGCTTGCCCGTCTCAAACGGAAGCTGGGCTGTGAGAGCTAACCACGACAGCAAGTGGTTGCTTGCACCTGAAGAGAAAATTTGAAAGCTAAAGACCTAAAAACCCGTTTGATATTTGAACAGACAGCAATGATGGAACTCAGCGACAAAACCCTTTTGAATTTGATCCCATCCACAGTACTGTTGGCAAACTTTGACATTGATACCCCATACACTCTGGATATCGCTTGTATTGGCAGTGTTCCCGTTCCGATTAACCAGTCCATCGATGATGCCCCCAGCTGCCCAACTCTTGAACACCTTGTTGTTTCCAATCTCCATTTTCCTCAAATTGGTTGAGGGCGAGACTGCGCCAAAGCTCCGCAGAGCTCATTCTGAAAGCCCTCGTTGGGTGTTAACGGATTTTCAGTGCTTCTGAAAGATGATATTGACGCGGAAGCAAAAGCGGCAACATACGTTTGGCCGTAAATGTTACGCCACGAAACTGACCCAGCAATTCAGTTCAGAGGCAAAATTTCAGGCCCCACGATGCGGCTGTGTAGACTTGAGTGTCAAGGAATTGCGATGTGATGATGGTCCGGTGGAGAATTGATGGTATTCGCGGTCCCGCTGACTCGGGATGACTTTGGCTGACGCCCGGGCCCCCGACACACATACGGGGATATCCACGTCGTCCCCCTAGTTAGGGGAACGTGGATATTCGTTTATCTCCTTCCACCATACATGGCGGCTGACGGCCCCGCTGGCGACCGCCTAGCTTATTGGCTACAGGCCCCCTGCCCCCTGAACCGCTAGGCCTCTACAAGGCCAAGTGCCGCTGACTGGCGCCCTAAGACCCCTCCGACCCCACCCCCCCTCCCCTCTCCCCTGGCCGGCTGCGATACAGCGCTTCGTCCAGTGTTTAGAGCCGCTGGAACGATAGGCCTAATACTGCTAACCTGACCGAATACAAATACAGGGGCGGCACAAGACGATGTACGATGTAAGTTGCCCCGCGCTCTCCCCTTTCCCTCCTCTCCCCCCGGCGCCTCACCGCTCTCCTACCGGCTATCCGGCCTCGCTACTTATTTGTCTGTCTGTCTGTCTGTCTGTCTGTCTGTATATGGCGAGGACGAAGGAGACGGGGCGCGTTGCGCGTCTCGGAACCGATGCCGTTAATAGAGCTGAGTTACGGGCTAACACACAGAGGATCCTATCGCTTATCGACCAGTCCAGGCCGAAGAACACTGTTATAGCGTACAAGCCGAAGCAGAAGGAGTTCCAGGTATGTTGTTCGCTTACCTATCGGCCCCGTAGGTTGCCCGGTACGTAGCTAACGTCTTTATATATAGGAGTTCTGCCGGCGGAAGCAGTATGAGGATGCCGATACGGTTACGGAGGACAAGCTCCTCCTCTTTCTTGTTGAGGTCGTTACCGACCGGCCCCTGAGAGCCTGGAGCCGGAAGGCCGACCAGGGCGTCCCGCAGGAGGAGACGCGGCTCGGGTGGCGCTCCGTACGGAGCTATATTACAGCTATTACCGACCTCTATCGGACCCAGAGGACTTTAGGGATGAACACGCACCCCTCCCCGCGGGAAGACCACGTACGTGAGTACGTCCGGTCTCTCCAGCGGCGGGATGCGCAACGGGAGAAGGATCTATACGCGGATAAGGGCCGGGAGACCATCTTGGACGGCTATACCGAGGAGCAGTTCGAGCGGATCTGCTACGAGCTTTGGGCACATAGCAGCTCCTCGCCCGAATGTCACTTTCGGACACTCGTTGACCTCCTTCTCGGCCATTATATGCTTACTCGTGGCGGCGATCGGAGGGCGGCCGAAATCTCGGACCTGTTTACGTTTGAGCTGCAGGGCGAGGGCTCGACCCCTTGTATGCCGGTTATCCTAACTACCCGTGCGGGGAAGCAAAATCAGCATGGACGACTTGAGACCGCAGGGGCACTCCGCAATAGAAAACCGCTTATCTGTATGCTAGGTGGCCTTGCTTTTTACCTGCTGTACCGCTGGGATCTAACCGACGAGCCCTTCCCGGACCTGAGCCGGCGGTCGGCCTGGTACGATATCCGGCTGATCAAGGGGAGCGGGGCGGATCGTACAACAGCCTTCTCGTATAACGCGCAGCGGGACTGGGTTACTAAGGCCTTCCAGTACGCCGGGGTAACGTCACAGAAGAAAACGCATATCGGCCGCAGCGCTGGGGCTAAAACAGCTGAGTTGAAAGGCGTAAGCGAGGAACAGATACGACGAGCGGGCCGGTGGAACCAGGAGCAGATGGTCGGGTGTTATCTCAGCTCGTTACCCCGGAAGTTTATGCGTGTAATGGCCGGGCATCCGCCGCAGATGGGATGCTTCGAGGTCCGGCGGGCTACTACCACGCCCCCGGAGGCCCTGCTTAGGGAGATCTGGCCTGAGCTTGACAGCTGGAGGGATAGGTTCGGCCCTAGCCAGGACCAAGTTAGTGACCTAGCAGCTATGGGTCTAGTCGAATTACTCTTCCACCTCCGGAAGGTTATCCTACAGGACTCGGCCCTGCTACAGGAACAGTTCCCTAATAGCCCTATATGGGATCACCGGGTCTTTCAGCATAAGGCTTACGCGCTATTCGCCCGGCAGGTCCGAACTACAGCCCAGGAGGAGGAGCGCCCTAGCCAGCTAGCTCTCCTGACTCAGGCTATGCCGACGCTAGCTGACTACCTGAGGTCGATCGACGTACGCCACGAGGCAAGGATAGCTGAGCTTCAGCAGCAGACGGCGAAGCTTCAGCAGTCTCTCGATCAGCTCGTACACTCAGACCGTACCCAGTCTACGCAGCTCCAGAAACTCACGGCCGGCGGCCTTACCTTTCGCCTTGAGGCTACTCCAGTAACAGCACCTGTACCTTTACCTACAGAGGTAACAGTAGTAACAACAGTACCGACAACAGCATTAGCACCGGCCATAGCAGAGGGGCAGATACCAGTATTACGTAGTAATCCCTCTAACCGGTCGAACCTAGCACCTACCGGGCGACCTACTGAGCGTAGTTCCCTAAGTCCGCAGCCGTGTATCTGGGCAGGAAATCCAGCGCCCCCGAAGCACAGTATGTGCCGTACGACGCGTACAGTGGAGGGGCTATGGAGGGAGTGGACGATCGGGATCCATGGCCAGCCGTCGGTTACCGAGTTAGACAGGCGTTGGGGCAGCCGGTGGAGATCTGGCCGCCGGAGCGAGGTACAGTGGTACTCTTTACGGGGCGAGGTTATCGTTGAGATTAGGAGGCAAGCACAAGCAAGGCGATGTAGCGAGGAGTCGGCGATGTGGATACTTAATTTGCAACAGCAGCAGATAGGCTGTTCTATAGACCAGCTATGTAAACGGTTACGGGCCGGGAGGAAGGCTCGCCTAGTATAGTAGGACCTACCCTAGCGGCCGGCCTTAGCCTACCAATAATACGTATATATTACGGGTACGAAACGGGAATCGACGCCTTACCTAGCTTTGTATTATATCTTTTACCCCCCGGAGCATCTCTCCTACCTGCTAGTTTGGTATCCGGACGTCGCCGAGCGGCCGGCCGTTAGGCCGGCCATCCGATGTGGTGATATTTGGGGCTTTCACCACTCGAGCAGAGATCCTCCGTCGTTGTGAGGCAGCCTAGTAGGGCGTGATGCGGCTGGCATGTTAGAAGACGTGGGTGTTGACCAATCCTCGGTCGGTACGCGCTGTAGGTGTTGCATATGGTTATCAACGCGCAGCAAATAATGGGATGCTTACACCATGTTCTCCTTCGGGCGACTCATGAAGCGAGCGAAACTGCGTCTAGGCGGTCGAGCACCGAGAATCATCAGGCAACCTTGCTAACGACACAGTATCGCGAAGCTAATATCCGGAAGGCAGCCAGACTGCTGCAACCAGATGGCTAGTGCGCGCCGCAGTTATCTCCAGAGCAGGCTGCTGGCGCAGAAGAGCACAATGTGCGGAGGCGCGCATCGATTCCGATATTATGTCTCCTGCGTGGAAGACCGAAATGAACGGTTTCTAACACTCAAGCTTCATCAGAATGGGAACCATTTCACGCCAACACGAAAATTCTCGCAAACCTCTGCGATCAAGACGATGTCACAGGGCTGTTTGCGTGGCTGATCACTCGATGACTCCGCAACTGTTCTCAGCGCCCTAAATATCACAGTTCGAGGATGATATCTGTCGGATCCCGAGTATTGGGGGAACCAATCCCAGATTGGCCTCTAGCAGGTCCCTAGATACTACAATCTGTGCCTGTCTGCCTTCTACCCCGCTGTCGGTGACAGGGCAACTACAGGTTGTTGCAATGCTATGGAGCGGGCACAGTAAGTCCCAACCACTCCCGGAAGTGCGGGGTATATACGGCTTTCGGATCGGGCACAGTCAGGACTGTCACTTCTGATTCGTTCTCTCCAAGTGCCTTTTACAGTTTGTGACGGGTTTGGAGCGACAGCTACAACAAATCATATAACTGCCAAAGAGTCGACATGGATGAAGAACCATTGCGAATACGAGCCGCTCGCCAGACTCGCCCGAAACCGTTTTACGAGTTCGCGAATCCATGCACAGGTTGAGAGCAGTCGATGCTGCAACCAGCTTTCTCTGGTCACACATCATAAGTGGCGCGAGCCAGTCGACGCTACTCTTCGTCCGCATTGGGTAACACAGCAATTTGGAGACTTTGTCCGACACGAGACTTGGCGTAGTGAGAACAAGTGGTTCAATTCATGCTGAAAATCAACAAGTGGAGTCGGAGTTGACGTTCATAGCAACACATGCATAATACAGTTTCAGAACCACCCTGTGAAATGCGATGTCGCCAACTACAGCTGCCCACCTCTGGCACGTATTGGAAATCACAATTGATGTGTCTACTCCGTAATTTTGTTCACTGTCTCGAGTATCTCGGTCTGAGCAGATGGTCTCTGCAAGTGTTGGGCTTGGTAGGTTAAGTTCGTCGTCGTGGAGGCTCTAGGACGAGACAGTATCTTGAAAGTGTGTAAAAAGGAGGTTTCAAACGTAGTCTTATATCTACAAACTTTGCTTTTGGCTGTTTTATACCGATAGAGTAATTGAACGTGCTCTGAACGTAAATATCCTGCTTCGAATTGACCATCCAGGCCATCGAAGTGGCGGTTGACAACTCCTCTATCATTGAGTCTGTGGCTGGACTAGCATGGTTACTACACTTATCCATTGACCAGTCAAGAGAATTTACACATTGTAAACAACCATTGATGACATCAGAGACCCAAATTCTCATCGAAAGGTTGATAAATCATCAACTTCGTCTGCGCTGAGGTGAAAAAGGCTGGTTTTACAAAATCCTAATCTACAATCACAGAGAGAACCGAGTCAAAGAAACCGTAGGCACGCCTATGATTTTACCTACCATGGATAAATAACACTTGGGTTGGTATATTTGGGTGTAATTCAATACCATGTGCACCAACAACAGCTGAAAGACAGAGTTCAATCCGAACTCCAATTCACCACCTGTAAAATGGAAGTTTATGTCGTCGAACTGGACTCAATACAACCATATCACCACAAGTTTGACCGTACAACTTGCAACGAGATGCTGGCTGATTGCGTGGTGCGTTGATAGATCTCACCAATAGGATAATGTCACTTCATCGTCTTGTTTTCTCGTCAAGCAGCGTGCAGTCTCATTGGAGAATATCTATCTCGACAAACTGGCGCCACAAATGTTGGTAAACAATTGAGAGAATGGAGTGAATCGAATCAGCCGTACCACGCCGGGTACCCTTGGTCCACCATTGAAAGCAATGCTATCCAGGCTATCTACGACACAATATCCCGGGCGCCCGTACAGTAGTTTGACATGGAAGACAAGGAAGTATTGGACAAGATGCGGATGCAGTTGAAGATGGGGCTTCATTACTCGTCACCGTGCTTGTTCTTCTTCTTCTTGCCGCTGGTGGGTGCGACACCGGGCTCTTTTTGCAGGTGCACAATCAACCGCGTCCATGACTCTTCCTTGTCCCACTCGAAGCCGGCCAGATAGGGTTGGTCAAGCTCGTCGTCCGCCTGGAGAGCATTAGTTAATTGCGATGAAGCTTGATGTCGTTGATATTCGACGGAGGATGGCCAAATAACGATGTATCGTCCGTATACATGGAAAAGACTCACTCTTTTCTTGTATGCCTTGTGGATGGCATCCATTGCATCCTTGATAGTGACTCCCTTCAGATTCCGTGCCGTTACCTCCATGCCGAGCTTGAAGTGTAGGTCAATCTTCTTAACTGGTGGTGTTGTGAGGTGCTTCTTCAGTATGTCCTTGTCCTCGACTGTTGCGGGAGACGAGTTTATCTTCCTATTGAGGAGCATGCCAGTCAGCGGTTAAGTTGAGTGCGGGGTAATGGCAGCCCATGGATTCTCTACAAACAGGGTAGATATAACCAAAGCTCTGGGACAGAAATCAGGGGCAGTCAGACGTACCAGCCTGTCTTTTGCGTCTCCTTCGCTATTTGAAGCTCTATGCCATCCTTCTCTGCAATCGGAAAGTTGGTTAGCTGGGTCCCGGTTGATCCGATCGTGTGTAAGTAGATGCTGGGCTGATACGCTTACCTAGGTCATTGATGTTCATTACTCCCGCCGCGCTAGAGCTTGCTCTCCGGTGTCCCTTCTCCTTGGGTGGTGATGATGAGAGACCTCCGACGGCAGAGTCTACCTTGGTGAGAGGTTCCGACATGATGGTGGTTTTGTGTTGTGTGAGTGGTGCAAGTGGAAAAGCTAAGAGTACTGCAGAGGACGTCGTCCTTGTGTCAATGGAGGAAATAGGAAGGATATTGGATGGTTCTTTAGCTACCTTGACCAGATATCTGGTTTGATGAATGGAGATTGCTGTTTGTTGCAGGAACAAAGTGAGATTAAAGGCTGATGTCTGTAGAACGACAGGTGTTGAGGGAGAAGAGGGGTGGAAGGAGGGGCGCATATGAGGAGAATGTATTTAGCTGGCTGGAGCTTCAAAGGGGGCACACGGCTTGGATTGCATCAATGGGAACGCCCGGCGGCATGATCGGCGACTTTGACGAGCTCAGGTGATGCATTCAATCAGCGTCGCCGCTGCCCCAGGTCTGCCCAGATTAATCCCATTACGGTTTCGCCAGGCGGGGTAAAGCTCTCTCGTCAAGCCGACGAAGCAAATCGAACGATTGAGTGGTGCAACTGCATCGTGCCTGATCGCGTGACTTGGGTGCGTAGCTCTTGCCTGAGCGTCAGCTGTTGGTGGTTTGACTCGCGCATTACACTTGCCCAAACAGGTTGGTACTTGATTCCCCGGATTACGTATTTCTGGGGTACTTGCGTAGCTCCGCTGATGACCCACTTAGTTCCTGCTGAGATCTTTATCACGTTGCACAGCTCCTGGGATGAAAATGATTAAAGCCAGTGTAGGAAGAGGACACTGGCCGTATGAAGATAAATGAGGGTTATTTGGTTTCATGGAATAATGACTCAATTTCGTAGGTTTGGAACGGCTCCAGGTACCTCTGGGCAGCAACTAGAAACATGTCCATGTCGTTTGTTTCATTTGATCGTTTGATCGCAGCTGCAGACCAAGCAAACTAATGAAGCCCAGCTCTTCCAAATGCCCTTCTTATCAACAATTGAGTTTCGGCATGAGAAGCAGCCCGGCTCTAGTCGAAAAGGGATGTGGTAAAGGTAAGGAGGCTTTCTCCACCGGACTGGAAGATTCAATAGCCGTTGCCAAAAGCCTGCTACTATGTGCGACCTGACAGCGTCTGACAGCGACAAACTTCAGAAGTGTGCGCCCAGTAGGGCTGTCACTTCGACCTCATGACCTACTTCCAAGACTCATTGACAGATGTATCAAGCGTTGCGTCAGAACTTTGGCCAATATACTCGAGCTCGACGATCTTCACATGGGAAGCGGAAGGGCGTGTCGCAATCTGACCTCGAAACTCCTCCACACCCCGCTGCCCCGCAATCAGACCCCATCACCATGGCTGAAAAGGAGAAGACACATGTGGACAAGAAGTGCGCATCCAATAAAGAGTATAAACGACCCAAAATAGTCGTTGTGTACAACAAACAGAAACATGCGAACCTAAAGAAAGAGACGAAACACCATCACCACCGCACAGTAAGACTCTGCGATTGCGACTGTATGTGGTGTGCCAAGTGCATTTGCCGATAGTCGCATTTGGACAGTGCAGATACAGTGCCGGTTTTCGGCTCAGCTCGGAACGATTCCGAAATGGTTGAGGCTCGACGGCGGGTTTACTCATTTTCATCGTGGCGCGGAGACCTTTCGAGACCAGCACTGGGATATTAACCGTCTCAATATGGACTCGGTCTACCAGGTTCTGGTTCACCGAGGTCGTCTGGCGGTGGCTTGTCGTATGATGATGCTTCAGGGGAATGCAACTGGCTAGGGCACGAGAGAGTCATTCGGGCTCAGAGGGTATGGGGGCTCAGAATACGCCAATCATTACCGATGCGGGTTGCGGAGTCGTCGTACAGGATAGCGCCTTGCCAGAGTGCTTGCCTATCTCGTGGGTTATTATTAGGAAACACCCCAGAAGACATGGGAACGGGGTGTCCATGGGCTGGTAAATACGGGGAGGACCCGCTTACGGGATGGCATGTTGCGGCTGATAGGCGTGTTAATATGGGGATTGCTTAGTGGAGAACCCCTCAAAGCCGAGCATCGAATGTTGGTTAGTGACAGTGGGCAGTTGCCACGTCTAACCGCCTGCCCCCATTGCTCCAATAGTTCGGGGTGTTCAATGGTGATGTTGTTGAAATTACTTCATCAGTTTCTTGCGAAATCAAAGCACTTGCAGTTATAGTGACAATTTTATTCTAAGTATATGCCTCAATGTCCTAAGCTCAAGACGGAAAGACACCAAGCAATGGTAGAATTCAGAGCTTACAACAATGCGTTAGTCATCGCTCAGGCAAAGAAACGAAACACAAGAATCATCAGGTGGCTCGGATGAGAGCTACCTTGTTGTGAACAAAAATAAATAACTGAGCAATTGCAGACAAGGATTGGAGAAACATATTCCTCAGGCGCTGGAAAGAAGTGAGAAACCAAAAGAATCGAAAGGTTAAAAGACATATAACGTAGTCCACGGTCCAATTGCACACTTTGGCAGACCTTATACGACAATGTATAAGTTAATTCAACCACAACGCCTATCATCAATTGAAACTACTCAGAATCGTTATCTTCAGACGTCTCTACATAATTTCCACAAGTGCGCGCATTATGTCCGGGCTCGCCGCAGATTCTACAGCGCCGTACACACGCAATTCGCCGCCTCGTACGACCACCAATTTGACGAAATTCGTCATGTAACTGCCCATCAACCTCTCTTTGAGACTGTAGGTCCTGTCCAGCTTGTATACGAAGTGACCCTCCACTCTGTAGCTGTTTTTTCTTCGCACGGCGACGTCGACTTAAGGTCTCATTTGCCTTTCGAAGTCATTCGACCTCGCCTTCTAAAAGGGCAAGCCGATGCATAACCTTCGTTGTACCTCGCGCAATCTGATCTATTCCAGCAAAAATTGACGTTGGTGAACTATTTTGATGTCGTACAATCCTATTTTTCACATAATCGGTTTGTGATTGGGCTTCGGTTGGGTTGTTCCGAGTCTTTGATTCCCAAGGGACGGGGAGACCAGCCGAGCTACCCGGAGGTGTTGGCGTATGTAATTTCACATCGAGCTGTGATATGACATAATCTGCATCGTACGGAACTATTCCTACCCCTCGGAAACCTCCTTGGATATTTGAAACCGTGAAAGTTGCGTTGTACGCGTTTAAAAACGCCGGTAAAAAGTCTTCTTTCGAGATATGACTTATATGTGCTCGCATGAGATCTTCGATTTCTTTTCCGTACGCTCTTTTTAACCCGCGAAAACAACCAATATCAAGAGGCTGGAGCTTATGCGACGAATGAAGAGGCATACAAAGCGTGACGATATTGTTAGCTTTGCAATATACCTCGAAATCGGTCGAGTGATGGCTTTCGTGACCGTCGAGGATCAATAGGCGATGAGTACCTTTCGTACGAGACTTGGTGTGATGATCGAAGTGTTTAATCCAATCTTCACCTCTCTCGTTCGTAGTCCAGCCATTTTTAGTAACTGCTATAACCCAATCAGGCGGTAATGGGCTGTTTTCGTACCATGACGAGAGGTGGGTTTTGCCGGCGAAAATGATGTACGGAGGGAGGGCATAACCGGACGACCCAACGCCTTGAATAACTGTAACCCATTCCCGATTTCCTTGCTGGGCTGCTCTAGGCCTTCCGCGCCGATTAGAAGTCGTCACGACCATTTCGGACGAGATTTGGTCCATCACAAAACCGGTCTCGTCGAAGTTGTAGATATCCTCCTCCTGGATCGCGTATTTCGCAATTGTATTCCGTACCAGGTCAAACCACGCGCTATACGCGTCGGGGTCTTCGCAGAGGACTCTCTGATAGTCGATCCTTCGATTTAAACGCGTCCGGAGGTCTGGTTGTCGTCTTACGAAGCTCGAGGCCCAGTTGACGCCGACGCGTCCCGCGTCACGACTTCGAAGTAATCGGTTGGCCATATCTTCAACACCACTCAATCGGGGAGGAAATGCTCGCGAATCTAGGTCGGTTATATGTCGTACGACTGCCTCTTCTTCGGAAGGAGTCAACTTTTGCGTTGGCGATCGCGTAATCGCTCGAGCGGTTTTACCGTCGCGTCGATACGCAAGGGTTCTAAAAGGTACGTTATAGATCTGACCAGCGCGACGTACGCTTAATTTTGGATCAGATTGAAGCGCATGTAATGCTAGAATCATATCACTTTCATTCCAAGAACCAACCATAGTTATGTGGTGAAAAACCGCAGGTCAAAGTGGTAGCGTACGAAAATCTGCCGGAGTGTGCAATTGGACCGTGGACTACGTTACCCCTGAGACCGAAAAAAGACGATACGTTCAACAGCAGCGGTGCACGAGGCCGGGCTGTGCATCAGACAGAAGCTTCGATCTCGATCTGAAGACAGCAGTTGGAACGAGAGTGCAACCTCGGGTCTGGAAGGCTAAACAACCACATGAGGATGGAGACCAGTATCCCTATATGATACAACTGCACGATGTGGCCCAGTATGATGATTGACCGACATTGGGTGGATAAGAGTAGCCGTGGAGGCACGTTCGGCTCCTGCTTCGTGCTGACAACAGGACTGGAGGCATCCTCCAACTCTTGAACTCTGGGCTATCTGAATGGGAGGACAAATGGCCAAACTATGAGGGCGAGTTGCCGAGCAAAGCGAGGGATCATGGGCAGGTCCTATAAGCATCGACTTCTGCAGCCGGATGTTTTTTGCGAAAACAAGGAATGCCCACGCCAGAGCGCGCAGCATGTGGCAGTGGAGGAGAAGAACGCTGCCGTGGCGCCGCACAGTTGCCCACACTGCAAAAAGCTTATCGTCGACGTACGGCAGCAGCTTGCGAATCATAAGTCATAGGCATTTCAGCTCTTCCCATACCAATGGTTGGGTAATCCTATGGAAAGACACTGGGTTCGCATTCACCAATGCGATGCAGGCAAGACAGGGTGGTTGTGCAAATTTCCCATATCTTACTTAAACGGACGAGGCCCAGTCATCCCCAAAATCGCTGGAATTCAGCCATGGTGAATAAGGTCGACGATCCTTGCTATCGAATCGTAGCGATGGTTGCCGTGGACTTTGGTTGTAGCACTGGATAAACAATAGCCTATTTCGAACAGTGGAAACCAGCAGGTAAGCTAATTCACAACGAGTATTACCCTTCATACTTCTGCTTCAGAAGAAGGAGAAAACTTCTTATGTCGCTTCTCGGTCGACTTACTCCTAATTTGGGTTTGGACTCTCAACTCACTTTCGATAGAATCCGTCGCGGCATTGCTCACTGTAATGAGAAGCACCTAAGATGGATGAAGTTCGAAATTCCATGCCTAAGTGTCCACTGGAAATTTCTGGAAATGCTGAGAAGCCTAGGATGCGTAACATAAGCCTAAGTTGTTGGGAGGGGGAAGGGGACGACTAGCCATCGAAAACAGCCAACAAACGTATGAGGCCGTACGTGAGACATGTACCCACCAGCACACTTCCGCAAACAATTAGATATGTCGCCATCGTCACTATAGGGATCAGGTTGATGTACCGTGGGTAGATGTCACGTGTACTATCCAAGCCGACGACAAACTGGAGCAGATTGCTCAGATGCACCACATCTACTGCGGCCCGGCAGCGGCAATAGCAACAGCGATGGCTTTCTGTACCCACGCCAACAGTGGCGTCCAACAAGACTGTGCGCATGGCTGGAGGATAATGTTTTCGCGGACACTCTGCTCATGGCCCCGCGCTATGAACTGGTGTTGAAGGAAGACCTCCACAGCCGACCCTGTACCTTTCAAGAAACGCACCTGTTAAACGCAGATTCTGGCATACGATACCCGAGAGATGATCTGCTGTTGCCTGCAGGCTACTGTCTTCGATGGCGGGTGCGGTTCCAGAGTAGCAGCCCAAGAGTTAACCAGCGTCATGGATTCGGGCAATCCAATGTACGGCACTATGCCACATCCACTAACCTGGGTCGCTATCGCCGCCATGGCCGAGGAATATAAGCGGATCAGAGAACTCAACGGGTACTACGCGGGTCTCTCAAAGGAAGATTTTTTTCGGCAGTGTCTGTGGGAAACTAACACAAACAATGAAACCAGCTGCCCCTCAGGCACATCTGACACAGTCCTAGTCCTGGGCTTCTCCTAACGGCCGCGTAAAAGACATGGATTCTTCGGATAGATTGTATGATAACCTTGGAAACGAAAAGCAAAACTCCAAGCGTTGCCAGCCAACTTGTGTTTGCTCGCTGTTCGAACGATATTGAGTATGTCACAGAACCAGTTCGGTATGGTGACGGCGGAATTTATCAAGATTCGTGCCAAACTGAGACATATTATCAGGTTGGATATCAGACACGGAAGATCGTTTAGAGCGACGAAGCAAGACTGGCGAGTGGCTTTGGTAGCGATAATAGACACCGTTTCGATATGGGCGTTGAGAGAGAGAGTGGTCTACCCGCACGAATGTTCCAAGGTGGTGTACTGACATGCCCACGGTCAGGGGCGAATCTACAATGAAACACGGTTTACTACACGAGAGGTTGCAGGAACATGCCAACCGTAGAATACGTTTAAGCGTGAAGGGCGACGTTGTCAAGCGGATTTGAATCGCACGAGCTTACGATTGTGTGATATATATACCATTGTACGACGAACTATATAGTTCAACATGTTGGTACACGGGTTCCAATAGAGTCGCGACGCGTTGGACAAGATCTGCTCAGGTCAACAGCCACTATCACTTAGCCCACCATGTGGGCTTCATCTTCACAGTGATCAAATGTTTCAACCCCGAATGTTACAACGCATTGTTCATGATAATTTAACAAACTTCGTAGTACCAAGCAAAAGTACCGTCTCTCATTTCGTCTCTTAAACCGCTTGGTTTTTCACTGCCGCTACGACCGATATCATTAAAGAAAAACAACGTCGTCCGCTAAACTATCTCGATTGATCTTCACTGGTAATACAAGTTGTCAAAAAGTAGCCCAATATTCGCTCCTGTGAGCTGAAAGTCGAGTCACAATATTATCATCAACACAGATATAGATACCATCAGAGTCGAAGGATGTGCCTCTATTCTCAGCACAGACATCAGTAGTAAAGTATCACATCCCCAACCTGTTGGATCTGTGCTTAAGACTATGAACCACGAAACACGGGCTAACCAACACCATCCAGGTCACCAGAAAAAATAAGAAACAGGGACTCAAGTCATCCCATCTCCTGAACGGGGTAAACCATGTATTAAACCTTCAAGCTCTTTCGATGATGAATGTGTAACAAAACACCGTTTCCACGCGTAGCTCGTATCAGCCAGTAGAATGATGGACAAAAACGAGGCAGAAATGTAATTACATCGATCTGTTCAGTTCCTAACTATATTAGCATGATTCATACCACTGTAAATGTGGAAAAAAAAGTTGATCGCGGTACGGCATTCATCTTCGGCAGTGAAAAATGCATGGGATTTTCTCTCCCTTACTCCAACGCCGTCACTTTGCGCACGCCATGCGGGTTTACTCGACCAAATCAATCGAGATAGTGGCCGTTGATGGGGATTGTAGACACGAAGACACGAGGAAAGCTGACCGAGGACGGTTGGCGGCAGCAAAGAGAAACCCAAATAGCAAGTGTATGCACGAAATTGATATAATTCTTCCCAAAGAAAAGGAGAGGGATAACTCACAGCAGTGATAACTCCAAGTCACCGTGGATACGTGCCTTCAGCGTGACCTCAACCTCGAGGTTAAGGTCTAACCGCAGCCGCAACGTATCGCTTCCGCCACCACCTCCGCCGCCCTGCTGCTGCACCACACCACCGGCGACACCGCCTAGGGCGCCCGTGGCGCCGTTGACCAGGCCGCCCGCCGTCTGGCCTATATTATCAACGGGCAGCATATCCTTGACGCCGCCAAGTCCACCGCCGCCGAGTCCTCCTAGGGGACCGCCTCCGCCCTGCTTGCCGCCCTTTTGTTTTTGTTTTGTTTGCTGGCCACGGCGGCGACGCTGTGGTGGTGGGGGCACGTATTCTTCCTCGGCGCTCTCCTCCTCGTCTTCATCCGAATAGTCGTCTTGCTCCTCATCTTCTTCGGGCTGAGGTGTGGGGGGTTGCTGGCGGCGTTGTTGACGGCGGCCGCCGCCTTGCTTGGCACCAGTTGAACTCGACGACATTGTATCTGTGTATGAGTGTGTGTGCGTGTGAGTTTGGTAGAAGTTCTACGTGCGCGTATTGAGAGAGAAGAACTACGTAAGCAGTAGGTGCGTATGAATGGATTGTAAATTGTGGAAATACTTGCGGTGGCGGGTGCGTACTACCGAGCGACAAACGCTGGGCAAGTGTATTTAGATGGAATATCTGAAAGATTCAAACATGGCACTCAACCCCACGAAGGCTAAGGTCGGAATTCGGATCATGTCCCTTTCATCAGCCCAGCAGCAGCTTACTATGGTAACGTCACCGGCATTTGAGAGCCAGGGATTCGTATCCAGGAAAATCTTGTTTAGACTTTCCATCTTAGTAAACGCTTCCTACATGCGACGAGATGGACGTTTGGATCCGTATCCTGGTCATCACAAGAGGGATCAGTACAGATCATCTACGCCATTGTACGCCGATCCTCATGGTGGCCGCTAACCGAGCTTGAGATTAACCTCTAAACTTCTGACGATCACCATCGAGATGAGGTTGGCAAACTGGAATAGGTGGCTCGACTTACATCATTGAGCCGTTGGTGGGCTGCTCTCATTGCTCGATGGGCCCAGACCGAACAGGGGTGTGGGCCGAGAAGGATGGTGGCAATCTATGGACCGGCCCACCCCTACCAATTCCAGGTAACAATACAATTGAACATGACGACGATAAATGTAATATTTGAGGCGCAAACTTACTTAATCAGGTGGAAAAACCTGTTCTTTAATAATTACAACTAGTGGAACTACCCCAGATTTTATGATTTTCAACTTGTCGTTTTTTTGGTCCACGTGGATTGTGCCGAACCCTTATCATCTAACTAGTAGCCTTATTCTAGTGATGTAACCAACGCAATGTATCTACAAGTACCTGTGACTACAGATTTTCTACTGACTTTGACGGTGCACGAGTGCTGTCAGCATACCTACCCTTTCGCTCACTACCCCCAAACTCCGCACGTTGAATTACAACCCTATCCACACGGCCTAGCAAAATTTCGAAATACAACGGTCTATCCAATTAGTGGGAATACTCAACATGCAACCTATTTCCCACCGACATACGAGCTAGCCACACCGAGCTGCAGCTCACGGTGAAGCATGATATCCTCAACCACACGATTCCCAAAGTCCCTTTCCCCAGTTTTGTCAAAATGCACCTGCCAAGCCCCGTCCTCGTTTTCTACTGCCAGAAAGGCAGGCGTCCCCTCCAGAGCGACGAATTGCTCGTCTTCTGTCCAGTTCCAGGGGCCGACAATGTGCCCCGCGCTGTCGGAGCGCGACCCATGACGTAAAGCCCCCGTGTCTTTGTCGACGAAGATCCAGTGCAGGGCTGGAGGATTGTCACACGCCATTGACACCATGCCCTGTATTGGGTTTTCTCCAGGGTAGCCAAAATAGAAACCGTTAAACTTGTAGCCTGACACGGGGTGCGCTGGGTGATCTAGCCAGAGCTGAGTGTTGGAGGTGGATGAGTTTCAAATCCTGAAAGGGGTTCTTGCGACTCTCACCTTGCCCTCTTTAAATACTACGGTGGCTTGCTGTGGTGGAGACTCCCCATCTGCTGACAGTAGAGTCGTTATGTTGAACTTGATTCGATCTTTGGCCTGTTGGTTTTGCTTCTTCTGGCCATCGATGGCTTCTGCGACACCGATCACAGTAGGTATGGAGCCAATTACCAAAAGCCCCAGGCTAGCAAGAGCCATTGTATAAAAATGTAAAAAGAGGCGGAGTGGTCCTCACAAACAAAAAGTCAGATGTTTCTGTGAGTTGCGTAGATACGGCAAAAGGCGTTGCGGTTAAAGGATGGGCTGACAGGCACGTGGTAACTACAGTCAGGGAAACAGGATATGAGCCTAGGCAATCTATGTCTGATGCAAGCTGGGGTTCTGTGAATGAGCATGCAGCAGACAGGCAAGAGTGGTTGGACATCTTACTTATGATATCATCAACAGCTGTACAAGATCTAAAAGGCAATGCTTATAAATAGAAACGGTGGTATACCGGGCTATTGAAGAAAGAAAACGGAGGTATCCCGATGTCACTGAACCTTTGTTGTGGAGCGTGGAAAGACCCCGTCAGCCAGGACATGGGCTGCAGATCCTTACGGGGTAAAAGTATGCCTGTGACCTCGAAGACCCAAATTGCGTCACACCTTTGTCAAGGTTTTGCAGAAAAACAAAATATCAGGATACCCCAAGTTTTGAGTGTCAAATAAAACATATCGGCTGGCCGTTAGCGCTCGTGCATTCCCCATTCGTACTTCGCAGGACTTCTGATACTCTGATCACTGCTACACATTTGTGACTTACACCCACAATTGGATTGCATAATCTCACACAATGCCATCTACAAACGAACAGTCTCCGGCCAAGCCTGAAGAGGCCAAGGACCATCAACAGCCACCAGAATCGCGTGATAATGCTCAAGAAGCTGAATCTCATGACGATACCGTGCCACAAGATGAGCTAGCAGATCCTGAAGGCGAGCAACATGATGACTACGACGATCAAGAAGGAGATCAACAGCAAGGTGATGAAGACAACCACGACCAAGATCAAGAGCAAGGCGACGAAGAATTCGACGAACAGGAACAATCTGGCGAGCAGCAGCAGTCACCCGCTCACGTAACGGAGCAGGCAAAAGTTCCTGAGCAGAAACAGCAGCAACAAGAGACTCCACCACCCGAAGACGACGACGCCACGACCGAAGTCGCCGACCAGCGTTCTCCTTCACCCAAGAAGGAGAAAGCAAAATCTAAAAAGAAACCCGAGATGCGCGACGTGGTAACGAAAGAGAAGCCGCGCAGGCCCAGCAGACGGCGCCGCAACCAACCATCTTGGATGGACGACGAGAACAGCAACACGAATGCTGAGAAGCAGGTTGCGCCGCGTCGGCGCCGTCGCCAGAAGCAACAGGAGTTCGATGATGAGGACGACGAACAGCAGCAGTACCAGCAACAGTACCAGCAACAGCAGCAACAGATGATGATGCAACAACAGCAGCAGATGCAACAGCAACAAGTAAAAGACGCCGGCGGCAAGAATCCGCTCAAGCTCCGATTGGATCTCAACCTGGAAGTCGAAGTCACGTTAAAGGCCAGGATCCATGGTGATTTGACCTTATCGCTTTTGTACGTATCCTTCCCTCCATGTCAAACTCTTCCCGAACATTCCATCCTACCTACCCCTGCTCGCCCCTGGCACATGTGCTCCCCTCCCTCTCATTGCTGCAGTTCAGCCGTCGTTTCTCGCGTCTTCCGCTCCCCGCCAGCTACTGACAGGCTGGATGTGAAGCGGCTAGTCTGCACTGCAGATTATGGTGGTAGTGGACACGCCCTGTTCCCTTTCCGACAACTCCAACGCCACAAACTGAGTGGCACACGAACGGTTAGAAACTAATAAGTGTCGCCTTCTTTCACAGTGAGGGCTTATAAAGCCTGCCTGGATGCACACCTGCTGTAAAAAGAGAAGTGCCTGCGTGTCAGCAGCGATTACTCGCGCCTGACAATATTTCCCCCACCTGTGGGAATGTGGCTGGCCGGCTGGCTCGTATTTGACTTTGCGAATAGCCAATTACTACGGAAATTTGATTTAGAAGGACCTAATTTGTCGTCAGCGTGATGTATTAGGTCTAACGGAGCGATAATTTAGTGATATAGTAATAAAGCGGGCGGCAGACTTGCATGAGTAGTAATTCCAACTGCAAATAGATCGTCGCACATTGTACCATGGCTAGTTAGCCCATTGTTTATCGGATTTATTACCTTGCTGACTTCTGTGTCATCAATGTTACCGCCCGAACTCACACTGCAACGAAAAGAAGTTTGAGACGAATGACATCAGACATGGTAGAATCGCTGTGCGCATCTTCCCCACCATGAGGTGAGATGTGTGAAAATGGCCAGCTGGTGAAACGGATGAGATTCGACGGATTTGACGGCTTCAAAGGACTGCAGTTCGAATCAACTTGTCGTTTCAAACTCTCGAGCCGCTAGTGCCAAGCTAAATCCCATGCGTCACAGCGGACATGCGGCTACAGGGACCAGCCACCAACCGCAGCGCCGGATCACAACCGGCGTGCGACCTCAAGCCACACCTTGCAGCAGCCACATACTTCATGACGGGAGTTCCATTATCGTATCTATCGCGGCAGTTGATGTCGGCGCGAAGTGCCAATGAAATGCGATCGGGAGTTTTCAATGGACGGTGGGAAGTCGCATAAAAAACATGTCTCGTTGAGAAAACTGATAGTCCTTCGAGTAGTTGAAGTTGCGGACAGCCACAGGACCGAAGGTATTTAATGAATCCCAATTGGGAAAATGCGGCGAGGTACTTCCCAAGAGCGGGGTTAAGGAGGTGCTACAATTTCTCCACCAAGCTTTCAAGTCCTTCTTGTCTTCCACTCGGTTCAATTCAGCACTGTTACAAAGGTCACACAAACACAATCAAGCGGGCCGGCCAGTCACCGCACGGATATCCGCTTGATCTTGTATGACAACTTTCCCATGTTTCCGAATCTCTGGTCTATGTTGTAGTGAAGTTCCTTTTTTTACGTTCGCGACAGAAGCGCCTCTGTGTTGGACAACGACGCCTGACAGTTTTCACCACCGTAACGCAGTCCATACTTCACAATATGGGAGGACGCCACAATGTTGAAATGGCATGAGCTCAAGGGACATCAAGGATGGGGCTTGACGATAATTATTTTACCTTCTTGTCATGGATGGACCTGCCGCTTCCCGCTAGCCAACCCGAACTTGTTTGTCTGCCCTGCCAGATTTCGCTCCGATCTCTGTCAAGCGTTGAGGGAGGTAAGGGGATCCCGGCGGCACCAACCTCCGCTGACGCAATTGACTCTTCAAGTTCTCGTTGACGATTTCGTTGACGAGAAGAGTTTTCTCCAAGTCGGCAACATCTCATGTCTGCTAACCTGAAGTCTGCGCAGCTCAACCGACGTACGCGACTGGAGATACATTTGGTTCGGCATTCAATTCCGACACCTGAAGAGTGGCGAGCTTCAGCAGAGGTTGGATCCGACGCGCCCACCGGTGAAGTCGAAGGTGCTTAATAGGGAACTCATGATCGATCATTCGAAAGGGATGGAACAGGGTACGGAGTAGAGCCATGCGCACTGTGCATGTAAAATTCCTATAAGCCACACAAGGAAGCTGTCAATGATACCCCAATGCCTTACAAGCCTCTACGCCCATCAAATCCAAGCTGCCAGGTGCCAAGTCTGGCTCACTGAGGCTAGGAGCGAGCTTATGGTGAGCTTCAGTGCAAGCACTGAACTCTACAAAGGTCGGGGGATGGCTCGCTTGGCGACAAGTCTCCGGAGTTATCTCCGTTGATAGCCAGCAAGGAGCATCCAGCATTCAGAGATCCCAGCCACACCCCGATCGCCGTCTAACTTGGCGTTTTAGCGAATGACATTCGTTGAGCACCGGCACCCTTGTCGTCCGTTCTATGTGATGGGCTTCTGAAAACCGGGATCATGATGTGGTAGGCTTGGATCGCTTACAGCTATCCCGTTGCTGCCCCGGATTCGTCGTTCCCGGTCATGACGCATACAAGTCGCTATGATCCACGAGGGCGTGAAGATGTGTTTCATCATCCACATCTCATCGCGAGCAAAAACGCTCAACGGAGTACCCTGACAGTGACACGACTGAGCGCCTCGTTCTCTGCTCGAAACTCATCGCGAACGCCCCTTTTCATTCCTGCTGCGAATTAGTGAATGTTTCTTCCGAACGTTGACCTGTTCTACCAGATTACCCTGGTCCTTTTCCTTGCTATCGTTGTCTATTTCCGCGCCTATCGCGTCCGACTGTTAGGTGGCGCGAACATGGCGGACACCGCCCGTCCGCAGACACCGACATCGAAAAAGGTGTTCAAACCTTCGAACAAGACCAAGACTCCGACAAAGTTGAGCTCTAATACCGCAACGCCCCAAAGCAGCCAGTCTGTCAAGCCTTTGGGTGACAGTGCTGCGTCCGCACCGCGAAAGCTGTTCCCAAAAAGATCTGCAACCTCGGCTGCTGAATCCACAAGGCCAATTTTCAGTGACATCAATAAAAAAACGGTATTAACACCCTTGCCCAGTGGGGCCAAAGTGAGAAAGAGGGTTGCAGGATCTGTTGCCTCGGATACCACTCATACCACTATCGATACGAGCATGCCCATTGGACTAATAGACAATGAACTTCTCACACCTACCGATACCTACAGCCGCAGCACCGATGCGCTGAGAGATCACTCGAGGAAATCATCATTGATTATGACCGCCGCGACGGGTTTTACCGGCCAAGATGAGAATAGGTCCGACGTGCTGAGTGAACCAACCGAAACCGCGACTCATGCGACGGCCAGCTTGACCGACAAAGTTTCTCAACAAGATAGTACCTTGGATCAAGCTTCCAAAGTTTCGGGTGCTACCAACGATTTCGCCTCAAAGCCAACCGGCGCCGCGAGGGACTTACAGGGCAATGTGACAAGCCATGAGGGCAGCCTTACAGCCAAACCAGCCGAACAGCATCAGCCGACCGACTTTGCGAAGTACTTTGAGGAGCAAGGAAATCCAGAGATGAGTGAGTTCGTCAAAGCTTTGACGGCTTCAGCTCCGCCGGACGAAGCGTTAGCCGCAAGCGGCATCGTAAACGGTGCCATGGGGTTCATGAAAGACGCTGCTAAAGGCATGACAGAGAAGGTCACAAGGACGACTGACGGATATCCGAGCGCACCGGATCCGATAAACGAGTTGCACAAAGACGACGGGCCGATCAACAACACGACGAGCAAAGTGGAAATTACTGCGGGCGACGCGACACCAAAGGCCTCGGACCAGAAATCGTCTGGTGAAAACAACTCAGACAGAACTACACCAAAAGTTGACTGGGTCAAGAATACAGCTAGTGGTGGGACAGGTTCTGTGACAAAGGATGAACATGGCAACACCAATGTTGGCGTGGACAATGCTGGCAAGCCAGCTCAGATCAACAGACGAGTCGAAATTCCGTTACCCCGACCACAACCGCCAACGCATTCGAATCTGAAGATTGATAACTCAGGGCCGGGCTTGCGCGGTGTTCCTGGCCTTGACACGCTCCCAAGTACAAATGATCTGCCTAATGTAGACGGCCAGGATGACCCTCCAGAAGAGTTCTTGGATCCTAACATCCACTCTCCCCAATTTGCATCTGCCAACATATCTCCTATTCCGAAGGTTGCAAAAATTGCACCCATCGGCAGCGTACCACCGCCAGACCTATTCCGACTTGCCAATGGACTGGGTGGCAAGACAGTGGACGACGTAGGCAACATTATCGACGAGACTGGCAAGGTTGTCGGCCATGCGACCGGTGACCTTCCCGCCATGATAGGAAAGAAGGTTGCCGACAATGGAGAAATCTATGGAGAAAGTGGGGAACTCATTGGTTACGTGACAGAAAACCTTACCGGACACCCTCCGCCAGAGCAACATCCGGCACATGCGATGCCATTACCTGGTGGCCTCACCGTTGATGCCGAAGGTAATATCTTCGACAGTTCGGGCAAAGCTATCGGAAAGCTCAACAATAAGCCTGCGCAAAGCGGTCTCCTGGTGTCACATAGCAAACCTACTCAAGATGCGCCCAAGACGGAGGAAAAGCCGGAGCACGATCAGGAGAAGGAGAAAGAAAACCAGGGCATTCCTGCTGACATATTTTTGGACGTCAAGTCTACTCCAGATGGGATTCAGCTGACGATTCGCATTCCGACCGTGTTCAAGCAAGAACCACGGAAACCGCAAGAGCCACAGGAGGCCTCATCTTGAAGCACTCTCTCGTATTTACAATTTGGCATTATGATCTTTTGGCGGGTATTACCTTGGCTACGGCCAAACTGGGACTTGAACTTGTTGGTGGGCTTATTTGATATCCACACGGAGTTAGTATGGCCTTGTACATGATCAATCTGCGCAGTAAAATGTGCGCTACGAGATTAAGAGAGTTTAATTTCACCCTTCATCGACCTCTCCCATTCCAGAAGGAACAGAAAAGAACTAAGCCATGTGCAATTCCGTCAATGGCCCAGCAGAGTTTATCCAAGAAACGTGGAACGAGAGGCCTTAAGGTCTCGACGTTGGAGAAGGCGGGCAAACAGCTGTTTCCATTCACGACATGCACGCCGTCACATTGCCAAATATGATGTAACATATGTCGATCCAAGCGTGAATGTGGCTGAAGGTGTAGGTCAGAAAACAGGTTGCGGCGGGATAACTGAAATGCGAGTGGGTGTGTCGGATCCGAAAGTGACGTTGGCTTCAGCCCCCCGCAAGGATGGGCTGACGAATAGGACCAGAGCTACTTTCTAGATGTGACAACCGCCGCAAGTTTATTCGGTTTTTACTCCACTATGACTTTGGCCCCCGGCGATCCGCCGCGTAAAAAAGGGAAGTCGACGAAGGGAGGTGTGGCTGATGACTCTGATGAGTGTCATTAGAAGCTAACAGCAACGGTATCCATGTAAGTCGGCAGTCCGCACGCATACGGGATGCTGCCTTGCCCATCCATTGTGGATTTACATGAGGCCGACTGCAGACATCCCATCCCATGCCAACTTAGTCGATCGAGATCCGCATACCCATCCCAAGCTTCCAGCCTACTCCATGGTGTCAGGCCGTACGGCAAGCTATGGCCATAGCTTCTTTTACTCTTTTCGAATCTTGTTTTCATCCCAGTCTACGTCGAATCGGGCCAATGAGACGAACATCTGGTCCGTCAGCTTGCCCCCCTCTCCAAAATCCACCGCGGGGTTGCATGCAAGATGCCGACCCCACGCCCTTGTTACGTCTCGACTTTATGCTTTCAACTCCATAGTTGACCGCACTTGATGTGATCTACAGCAGTTCTTGCGTATGTCTTTGTCTGGGGGCAAGGTTGGGGCCTGTAGCCTCATTTGTGGCTTGATATCATCGAAGGGACGTCGACAAGCTCAGGACATGGGCTCCCCTCCCCCATGACGTCCAATCCTATCTATCTGAACTTGGGTATGACGTTGAGAGTTCCAGGAATGTTGTCTTAACAGCAGGTATGGGGAAATCATGCCGTGCCACGGAGGTTTTCCTATTATGAAGACCTGTGTCTCGCGAGGCTTGTGACGTAAGTATGCCCAAGTCGACTGGAAAGCTTGACCTCTGCGTTGCAACTTCACTTACACACGGACGAAGACCTCCACTTCTCCATGAGCCTTAAATACCGAATTCGCTTTTCCCTCCAGCCAACTTGCTCTGATCCCCATATGATAAGTGCTGTTCAACAACACACTGTGGTCCAGACAACACCACAACAAATCATCAAGACTGATATCAGACGCGAAATCATTACTATACCCCAGTCAACTGTACAACAACTACACCAACGAGATACCCACAATACCCCACCCGGAATCATGTCGTCCGTCGTCGGAGACCGAGGCGGCGCAAACAGTCCTCTGAACGAAACGGCCAATAATCTACAAGAGGACGTCCCCTCGACAAAGGTAGCTGAGGACACTGCACACGCAGGAGTCCAAGTAGCTCAAGACACGGAAAAATCAGTACCGCGATCAATCCCGGATGTCAACGACTCGGAGTCACAACTAGATCAGTCTAATGAGGGTGACGAGGGTGAAATGGTACCCGCAGCAGGCCGCATAAACGAGAACGGTGAAGTGATTGACGACGACGGCCAAGCTATTGGCAAAGTCACCACCGGAGACGCTAAGGAATTCGTCGGCTTCGTCGTCACACAAGAAGGTGATGTTCTTGATAACGATGGCGGAGTTGTGGGCAAAGCCGAGCCATTGGAGGATGTGGCGTCCGAACTAGGCAACTATACGACCAAGTCTGGCAAGGAGGACCAAGGCGAGGATAAGACTAAGGGTGGCCCGCTCGATGGCGTCGGAAAGGCAGTTTCTGGCGTTGTTGGAGATGTCGACAAGGCGGCCCAAGGTGTAACTGGTGCGGTTGGTGACACAACTCAAGATGTTACCGATACAGTCGGTGACGCTTCCGGTACACCAAATGTAACGCATAAGGTTGGCGATACGGTGAAGGTATGGGATCGTCAAGAGCCTTCCCAATTTTGGTCTGTCCCAGGAGGGTCCTTGTTAACACGCTTTATGCAGGACGCTACCGACAAAGTAGGAGAGACCGGCAAGGGCGTTACGGACGTTACCGGTGATGCTACCAAAACTGCAACCGATACCACTGGTGAGGCTATCAAGCCTGTCGAAGATACCGCCGACAAAGCTACGAGCGGTGTCACTGAAGATATCACCGATAAGGTTGAGACGAACGGCGAGGATGTTGGTGACAAGGTCGGAGAGACGACTGAGGTCCCCGGCGATAAGGTTGAGCAGATCGGCGAGGATATTGGTGACAAGGTCGGAGAGACGACTGAGGTCCCCGGCGATGAGGTTGAGCAGATCGGCGAGGATGTTGGTGACAAGGTCGATGAGTCCAATAAGAGCGTCACGGATATTGCCGACACCACTAAGAACGTAATTCCTGAAGATATTGACGCTGAGGATGCGACCAATAAGCCTGGCGACGTGGTTGACGGAGCCAAAGACACTGCCGACGGCGGCTTCCGTGACGCTAAAGTCGATGAAGTCGAGGGCGATGTTGGTGCCAAGACAGAGGACGTTGTCGGTGATCTAGGTTCGAATGTTGACGAAGCCCAAAACGCTGCTGAGGGTGTCCCCAAGGAGGTTGATGCTAAAGTTGACGAGGTCGAGGGTGATGTCGGTACTAAGATAGACGAAGTTGATGACGAACTTGCTTCAAAGGCTGAGGGAGTCGAAGGAGAAGCTATCGAGGCGCCTGACGGAGGGGATGTTGAGGCTGGTGAGGTGGCTGAGAGAGTAGACGGGGCAGAGGGAAAAGTTGATGAGCTTGCCGAAGGCGAAGTCATCCAAATCCCAGAATTTGCCCCCTCAGTCGCCCAAAAAGTCGTCGCCATGTTCGAAGGTCCCTTTACAGTCAAGGACGATGGTCAAGTCACGGACCAAAACGGCCGCATCTTGGGCCGCCTAGCTGAGGGGCAAGATTACCAAAATCTCATTGGGAAGAACATCAAGGGTATTGACGCGCAAGGTAATTTGCTGGGCGATAATGACACAGTCCTTGGTAAGGTCGACCTCGTGCCCGAGGGAACTATTGCAGACCGCATCAAGGAAGAAATCCCCGAGGCTGGGGAGCGTCTTGACGCTCTCGCCAAACAGAAACTCCCTGATATATCTGTCCTCGAAGGTCTGAAGATAAACAAGGCCGGTAATGTTGTGGACAAGAACGGCAACCTCATGGGCCGCGTTTCGGAGGGGGACGTCAAGCGCCTCATCGGCAAGGAGATTGATGCGGAAGGCCAAGTTTGGGATGGCAAAGGCAATGTCATTGGCAAGGTAGAAGTCCTACCCGAGGCCATTGAGAATTTGTCCGCACCATTCGAGGACTTCCCCGATGCAACCGTCGACAAATATGGCAAAGTCATCTTCGAAGGTCGACAAGTCGGTGTCGTCGAGGATTTTGATCAGCAGTTTATTGGCAAAAAAGTCGACGCTGACGGAGACATACTTGATAAGAATGGCAATGTCATTGGCAGGGCCATACGGAAAGAGGCTGAGGATGAGCCAGAGCCCGAAGTTGAGCAAATAGATTATTCTGTACTCAAGGGCAAGAAGGTGAATAAGTTTGGCAACGTTGTTGACGATAAAGGTGCCGTCTGGGGTCATGTTGTCCAGGGTGTACTGAAGAATCTTGTTGGCAAAAAAATTGGTGACAACGGAGAAATTTTCAACGACGCTGGTCAGGTTATGGGCAAGGCCGAGCCCATCCCCGAAGCGGACCGTGAGGATGCGAAAGAGCCTGCACCATTCGAAGACTTCCCCGATGCTGTTGTCGCCGACAAGGGCAAGGTTATGTTCCATGGCGAACAGGTGGGTATCGTCGTTGAGGGTGATGAGAAGAAGCTTAAGGGCAAGACCGTCGACCCTGAGGGCGATATCCTCGACAAAAATGGTAATCAACTGGGTCGTGCCGAGCGGTGGGAAGCGCCCGAAGAGGAGCCTGAGCCTGAGATCGATATGTCGGCTCTTGCTGGAAAGCGCATCAACAAAGCTGGTAATGCCGTTGACAGTCACGGCGATATATATGGCCGTGTTATTGAGGGAGATCTCAAGCGCCTCATTGGCAAAATGTGTGACAAACAAGGCTTTATTCGCAATGAGGGTGGAGACGTCATCGGCAAGTGCGAATTGATCCCCGAAGCAGAACGCGATGGTATGAACGAGGGTCCTTTTACTGATCTTCCCGGCTGCACTGTCAACAAAGAAGGCCATGTTGTTACCCCTGGTGGTGACATTGTCGGCCGCCTTACCTCAGGGGATCCTAAGGTTCTATTCGGTCGCGCTATCGACGACGATGGTGACATCCTCGATAAGAATGGCAATGTGCTAGGCCATGCCGAACGCTGGGAGCCTGAGGAGACGCCCAGGGATGTGAACCCCATGTCGGGCCGCAAAGTTAATCGTGAAGGTAATGTGGTCGACGAGAACGGGGATATCATTGGCAAATTGACTTCGGGCGAGCTATCCAAGTGCGCTGGCAAGAAGATTGACGATGATGGCGATGTCGTCGACCAAAAGGGATCAATTTGCGGTCACGTCTCACTACTCGAAGACATCCCTGAGCCGGAACCTGAGCCGGAGCCGGAGGGCGAAACAGAGGAACAGAAGGAGGAGCGTCTCAAGCTGGAGCAAGACCGTAAGATTGCGGCCCAGATCTGCACTTGTATTGAACATTCACTGGACAAAATTCGGCCTATTTGCAAGATGATCACGACGCTTATCGACAAGGCGGAGCGGACGAAAGAAGAAGAACGCGATGAGGAGGAACTTGTTAAGCAAGTTCGTCCCCTTATCGAGGAAGGTGGCAAAATCCTCACCGAGGCCAATGGAGTCATACGCGGTCTCGACCCTGACGGTCGTATCTCGGCTAACGCCAAGCATAAGACTGCGGCACGGGAGGCTACCCCTGAAGAGTACCGTCTCGCAGACTTGCTAAAGGAGCTTACCGGTACGGTGACTGAGACGATTGAGAACGCTAAGCGGAAGATTGAGGACATGCCTCACGCGAAGAAGGAGCTCAACCCGCTCTGGGGACTGCTTGCCGAGCCGCTGTTCCAGATCATTGCTGCTGTCGGCTTGTTGCTCAGTGGTGTTCTGGGACTTGTCGGTAAGCTTCTTAATGGGCTTGGTTTGGGTGGGCTGGTGAATAACTTGCTGGGTGGATTGGGTATTACCAAGGTTTTGGACGGCCTAGGTCTTGGAAAGGTGCTTGCGCCGATTACGGGAGGAGGTGGTGGTGGTAAAAAGAAGTAAGTTTACTCTCCTGTCTCGGAACAAACCCGTTGGGAGAAACTCGAATTCTAACTCTTCTATCAGGTCTGGTGGTGGTCTACTTGGCGGGATTTTGTAATGGTCCTAATCACCTTTGACAAAGAAGAATTGTGTATTATGAGAATATTTAACACGTACTTGCGGATGCGGATTTTTCATGCCGTATTAGCTAGCTTGTTTTTGCATCTTCACAGCCGTTGTACTTGCGAATGGGATCTGTTATCGTCTAATTCTGGGGTAAGGATGAATAGTTTGGCAAAAGTTGAATATGATAGTTACTAGGTAGTTTCTAAGTAGTGAAGGTTGAGAAATACGTGTGTGACGATACGTGTGTGACGAATGATAATCGTGACTTCTCGTAATATAACACGGTACGCGTCTTCCACCACTCAGCACATCTATTTTCCTTAGCTCCAAATCTCATGCGAAATTCTAGGCAGTTCGCCACAACCTTTAGCTAGGCTACGATGACGGCATAGATGACGTGTTGGCCGCTCGTGATGGAGGGTGCGACCTACCCACTACCTAGACCCCAGTCTCAATGCCCATCCACAGCAGTTTCCCATCGATTGCCAAGTTTGTATTATGAAATATGGGTATGAGCTTCAGTTGCCACCGCTCGCTATTTTATATCTCTGACCTAGAGTCGTGTGATGATCGTAGTGTGCAGCCGTATTCCGCCTAGTGACTTACCTACCTGTCCTATCTACCTAATTGTCTCCGACTACTGATTCGTACATTGTGCTTTCATTAAATAACACACATTTAGAAAGGCACATCTACCTATTTACACGCACGCCTAAGATGACGAGAACATTGCTTCTCGCCTTTATTCATGGATTCAAGGCCTGTGCTCCTTTCCCCTTTCTGAAAGTACGAGCTTTTTGCTGATGATGGCATGCAGGGGAACGATGACACTTTTCAGACTTTCCCTCAGGATCTGAAGAGGGAGGTTTCGAACAAGCTGCCGGGTCACAATGTCGAGTCCGTGGTGTATCCAAAATATGAGACGAAAGGGGAGCTGGCTCAGTCATCCGAGAAATTATTATCATGGTAAGTCATCTGTCGCCCGCAAGGAAATAATGTCAGAGAAACTAAAGGTCAAAGGCTGAAGGAAAGAGTCATGGATGTGCGGAAAGCACACCTCGAGAAACCATGGCCGCCAAATGACCGAGACGTTGGCGTGGTTCTAGTAGCTCACTCAATGGGGTAAGTCGAGTTGATTCCACGGAGTCAGTGATGGTCATACTAACTCAATATCAGTGGCTTCGTCGCAGCAGACTCCCTCTTCCTCGTGCTAAACGAGAGAATCCAGGACGAAGATCAGGGCTCACCCATGTTCCCTTTAATCCAGGGCCTTTTGACCTTCGATACCCCTTACAACGGCCTGGCAAGATCTATGTTCGTGTATGGCGCATTTTCCAACTACCAAAAGGTCAGCAGCGTCTTCAACGTAATGACCGCCTTGGCTACAGCTCCGTCTGGTCTGGGAAAAATCGCCTTCAAGAGGTCGGCTGCCGCTGTACCAGCCCCAACCAGCACTTCCAAGTCGGCGTGGAAAGGCTGGCAACTGGTTGCCGTCCGCACTGGCACCGTCGGGGCCATCGCCGCGGGAGGCGTAGCGGCGTACATGCACCGGAAACAAATCATGCAGGGCATGAAGAACGTGCGCAACCTTAACAAGGATTCAGTCAAAGAAGGGTATCAGAACAGTATTGACGCACTCGGTCAGGGGCTGGCGTACATCAATCGCGGCAATGTGGGCAAGTCTTTCGAGTACCTGTCCGATCATTTCACGTTTGTTGGATCTTTAATGAAGCAACAAGAGTTGAGCAGGAGACTCGAACGCATGAGCGCGCTCAAGGGAATCGGCATCCACGACTTCTACACATCTCTAGGCGAGAACGGAGTCTGGACGGGTGGGTACTTTGTCCCCGAGCGCACGTTCTGTGCCATTCCCAACAAGGAGCATGATGCGTATTCTCTCTTCTCGAGACAAGTCATCAGGAAAACGGAGGATGAGGTTCAGGCCCATATGAGCATGTTCAAACGAGACAAAAATGAAACGTACGACAACATGACGCAAGAGGCGAGCAACTTGGTGGTGAAGTGGTTCAATGACGAGTCGGATATCGTCGATGATCCCAAGTTCGCTTTGCCTACACCCCCTGAGCCGGTGGAAGAGCCAACCGCCACGACGGAAGATGGCAAAGAAGTTCCCAGGACTGAAGACCTTCCCAAAGTAGCAGATACGCCAGAACAGGAAGACGACAGCGAACTGCTCGACGAATCACCTCTGGACATCGCAGCCGCCGCCTCCATGGTGCCGTTACCAGATGACGCTGATGAGGCGCCGGAGACCATCCAGACGAAGAACGCCGAAAAGAGCAAATACATGCGCTACCTCTTTGGTGTAGCAGAACAGGCTGGTACTGGCTTGAAGTCGTATGTTCCCAGGCAGTTGCCCGATATGCCGCAGATTCCGACGGGACCTAGCTTCAAGAGCTTCATTCCGACGCAGATGCCCGGGATGCCGAGCATGCCGTCGGTCAATGTTTTTGGGAAGAAACAGGTGAAGGAGACTTCGTTGCCCGATGATTCGACGGAGCAGAAGAGCCAAGAATCACAGGCTGATGTGCAGGCCGACGTGCCTCTTGTTGAGGAGGGTCACCCGCTTGCGTTTGGCGAAGCACCCGCCAAGGCAGGCCATCCGCTCGAGTCTGGTATAACTGTGAAGCAGGAATCGTGAGATTGACTGATTGATTGATACGGATTTCCTTCTACTAATTCGGCGTTGAATTATCTTATGCTTATGAGACGATGGTAATTATTAGGTATTATGAATGAGTAGCGACAGCAACGAGAAACAATGCCTTCAACCTTCGATGCGGCATGATCATAAATGTGACAATAGATGCCGAAAAGTCTGACGCGCGTCATCCCAGTATGGAATTCCTACAGAAGTACAACAGTGACTCGGCCAAATTAGAGAGGAAGGAGGTCGTTCCATTCCACGGATCCAAGTCGCAAGCACCTTCCAATCACTCTTCCGCATTATCCTTGCAACTGCCTCTTTAGCCCGTGGCAACACGGCGTGGCAATACGAGAACAACTTGCGGCAAACTGGCAACACCCCTGTCCTCTTACTTCATCTGTGATTTCATCGGACATTTGGACCGCCTGACGTCAGAGGCTCAGCCAACAACCACTGCCTTGCCCGCCCCCAAACCAGGACCGACATCCTGCAAGCTGACACTCTCGAGTGCTTATAAAATGGTTAACTGTTCGACCAGACGGGGCCAACGACTACGATCTTTATTCAAACAAGACCTCATCACATCTACCATAACAAACACCATAACAAACAATTCCGCCCTCGCAACCATCTACCTCTACACATCCACTTAAACACGCACACAACCACCACCATGCCTCTCGAAAACAAACACCCCGACGATATCGCCAGGGTGCAACAGCAACAAGGCAGCTCCTCAGGCGGGCAAGGCGGCGGTCTTCTAGGTGGTCTGACAGGCGGCCTCGACAATGTCCTAACAGGCGGCGAGAAAGCAGGCGGCCAGGGCGGTTTGCTTGGCGGAGTTGGTGGCGCCGTGGGCAAGACGACGGAGGGGCTTGGAGGGGCGTTGAATCAGACGGGTCAAGGAGTTGGTGAACTAGCACAAGGCACGACCGAGGGCGTAGGGAAGGTGGGTGGGGATGTTACGGGAGGGTTGGGAAACACGGTAAAGGGGGTCACGGGGACGCAGAAATGAAATCGTAGGGAAGCATGGAAAGGTGTGAGATGAGAAATAGCAAAAATTACTTGACACACAGCGTCAATGACCAAATTTTTCGGTTTGGATGATCGGTTCGTATAATACAAAGCTGGTTGGCTGGCGGGTGAGAATTGACACTGCGGAATCATTTCAAACTACTGACGGATGTTGCATTACACAACAATCTGGTTCGGAGCAGTTATTTTCATTGCAATGAAAGTGGAACTGGCTAGCAAATTTATTCGTTTCATGTTGTGCACGTAGAGAAACTTACTTAGGCTGTTCGAAACTGTTGGTCAGAAAAAGTCCATATTAGCTTCGCAGCCACTTTTATGGTGACATATTGAAACAATTAGTAACTTGGCCAACTTTCAGAGGCTGAATCTCTTCTTAGTAACAAGGCGCTGACGCCGTGGTGAGGGTTACAGGCTAAGCCGCGACAGTGACCATCAATTTCACCACAAATGAATCTTCATCTTTCTACTTATATTATGTGTCTTAGCAGTATAACTCATGTCCCTGATGGGAATTAAAGTCGTACTGGCGTCTAATGGTGATGAAAGGACTGCGTTGCTTTGATGCGATGAACCGTACCCGCATCATCAGTGTCCGTGGTGAACTACTTTTTATTTCGTTTAGTGAACATGCAGCCAGATGACTATCAATCCACATGAGAGTTCTTTCTTTTTAGTATTTCCTTCTTCTCCTCATTAGCTCAAGCAGATTTCTTCTCGCCCAGAGGATTGACGAGGTTATGGTTTTGATTTCCATACAGTTGATTACACTTGGAAATGATCTAAATACGAAGAAAAAACTAGGAAAAGAAAACTAAAAAAAACTCCTGTGTCTGTAGGACTATTAAATACCTTTGTTGAATCTAAAGAAAGGTTCATTTCCGAGTCACAAATATTTCTGTTCGTTGAGCCCAGCAGGGGGGAGGGGGGGAATAAGGTAAGAGATTCGACATCAAGTAGCCCAAGTAGACGTGGTGCAGTTATTACAACTTTTTTCGTGACTTCCCAATCTAACGTGACGGGATAATTTTCTTGTATCCATCTTATTCTTATTCTGATAGACGGGGGCCACGTCTGATCCCCTTTTCCAGTAGTCGATTGTTGCGGCCGCGGCTCAGAGAGACAAGTCGCCGAACGAGGAAGTCATTTTCGGACTCCGGCAAACTTGATAAACTTGGAAAGCTTTTTCGAAGCTATATAGAGTTAAAATTAGCTATTATTTTCTTGTAAGCTACGAGGTATGTAGATTGTTAATGGGTGGTCATTCATTAATCTGGTCATTGTTTCGTTGCTGACTACTCTAGGTTAGTGCCTTATGTATTCATACCTGCAATTCTGCAGACAAAATCTGACCTTAGTACAATTAAGTAAATAATGATTTAAGATGGATTAGCATCATGCACTTGTAAGAAACCATAGCCACCTAAAGGGCGAGTGTAATAACTGTCCCTTCGCCTCGCCCTTTTTCAAATCGGCGCTACCAAATACATGTTTCTATCAAATCACGTCACCTAAACTACTCAACTTCCCAGCCCACGATATATCTACATGTTACACAGTATCAACAGTAAGGGCCGTTGTATTACTATGTTCTTGCTTTAAAATCAACATCACAGGTATGTGGCAACATCAAAGTCAAATCACTTTGATACGGTGCGTGTCTATCTGTAGATGACATGACACAGTGGGGAAAGAACACCCATAGCAGCAAACTCCTGGTAGCGGTCTTCGTTAAGCACCATTAAAGAAAGGTTGCAGGGCCCAATATGTTCTTTTAGAATTGATCCGACGTTCTGACGAAGAACGGTAATGCAATGCCCAGAGATAACCAACCTCGGATGCACCTCGACATCATGTACGCTTGTTTTGTGAGACTTTCAAGAGGGACAGCGACTCTTTTGTCAAAAATCACTGTCCACCATAGGTGCTAATTGCCCGAGACCATCTTGACCTCCGTTGCCCAGCATCCCTCCGAGGCTCAACACATGTATATCTTCTTGAACCCCTGGCCCCGGCTTCTTCACAGCCTCGTCGGCTTCCGCGCGTAGACGATATTGTACGGGTAGTACGTATGGAAGTTAGGATTACTGAGGTCTGGCCTCACGGTAGCCAAGTAGACTTCGAGCTGGTCCGGGCTCCATCCCAGGCCCGTGGTAAAAGGTCTATAGCTGAGACCCTTCATACCCTCCATGAAGATCTCGGCCAAAAAAGTACCAACGCGGCGCAACCTCGGGTCTTGCGGCCAGCCGCCCAGCGGGCACTTATGGCTTACGATTTGCGTGTCCTTGAAGCCAGCCTTGGCCAACTCGTCCGGGATATACCGCATCGCGTTGACGCACCCCCCGAGCGCGTCGCAGCCCTGGCCGACGAGGTCGAGCCAGGTGCGCACGGCGTAGGGTTTTTCCGGCGAAATGGAGTCGTCGTCGGCCATGGCGGGTGGGTTCATGTCATGGATTTCCACGTAGCCGCCGGGTTTGAGATGTCTCGAGACCATGTCAGTAAGTCTACTTGCATTTGGATCTAGCTTCAGTTCATCTCAGGATGCTGTCCCACCTGTAGATCCTGTCCAACAACGCCTTACGGTTCTTTACGAAGCGTATCGTGAACCGAATGAAAACAAAGTCGAACTTGTTCTCTGGGTCAACCCACTCATCCTCAAAATCGTCCACGATAAATCGGACGTTTTGGGGCACACTTGACGGTTGGATGGGAGAAAAGTCGTAACCCACAACCTCGGCATCGGGATATCTGTCACCAACTATCTTGTTCAGACTTCGTTAGTAAAGGCGGACAAGTCAAGGCATGAGGAGTTATCCACACTTGGCGGATATCTATTTGCGCCGCGAAAGAACAGACATCGCATCAGGCTGCGGCTTGCTTGAAAGGCAGAGAACAACGGAATGCTTACACTCAATTGCCCATATCCCCGTGCCCGTGCCTGGTGAGAGCATGTCAGTATTCCATGTTTCCATCATTCGGAGGGTGCCCCAAGATGAAGCCAGACCGCCCCCGGGAGATGGAGATGGAGATGGACCAACCTAAATCAAGAACGTGTGCACCAGGGACCATCATATACTCAATAGGGGCGTAGTGAAATCTGCCACTGCACAGCGTGAGCGCCATCTCATGCTTCATATCCTCGCAGTTCTGAAAGTTCTCGTCGTTGGGGAAGGCATAATTTGTTTCGCTCTTGTAAGCATGGTAGCGCATGCCACCTTCATAAACATGTTCTTTGACGGAACTCGTGATGCTATCGTATGCCTCGTTCTGGCTGCTAGCATCCGTGTTGACAAGGGATGGCACCGACGTCCCGCCTGTGCTCGAAGTTGAAGGCCGTTGAGGCATTCGCGCCTCGGGAGCCGCATGCTCTGCCTGCGTGAACCACATATCTCGCTCCATGGCTGCTCATCCGTAGTCTTAAATGAGTATTTTTTCCTATCTCCCACAGCATAGAGTTGTCTGTCAACAATTTGGTAAGGTAAACTGTGATACTAATAGAATTTTGGAGGGCGACCCGATACTCTGGAACTGTGGGGGGCGCTGGGCGCAGCGATGCAAGAACAGGTGAACTTAGGGTGGTGGGACAGAATAACAATAAAACGCAAAGTGGTCGGTGAGGGGTTACGTCGGTAGGAACTGCGCTGCATAATACTGCCGAGGCCATTACTTAAACAACACACCGTAGGCAAAATTACAATTCAGAGACCAGCAGTCACTAACTGCAGAAGCCGGCATTGCAGTGTAGGCAACAGGCTTTCGTATAACCATGTAGGGTTGATAAGCTGACGACACCGCTCATCTAGAACAGCATGATGTGGGTGCGCCTCAGTGCCAGCATGTCGAAACAGGGGACTGTCACCTGGATACGAAAATGAACCGACTGCATTATTGAATGATACCTGCAGCAGGTAAGGAGTCTGGAGCTATTCAAGCGAGAACGAGACGACTGAAATCAATGGACTGACTAACTTTGGTTACTCTTTGGTGCATGCAAGCTGCCGGTTTGGGAATTAACAGCATCGATGGAGCAAGAGCATTGTGGCATCATGGCAACAGAACGCGCATTTACTAGACCGTATGCATCTTGCGAACTGGCCATGCTACGCTAGTTCTGTCAAATGGGTGGTCCAGGGAAAAGCCATCTCTGCCTTATCATTTCTAGTACAGATTTCAATGGTCCAGGGTCCCGGTGGTTGGGATTTTGCACGCTCACACCTGCAGGTAATCCCTGCATGTCGAGTATTTGAGCTGTCATTCCGACAGGAACGGGTTCGCAGCTTGGTAACTATCACTGCATCATCAATGGCTGGGACGTCATGCCACGTTGACCGTGGCATGACGTCCCAAAGTTGAAAAAGTGCCCTGAATGAAGAGATTGTGATAGGGTTAGGCCTACAACATCTAAACCAAACAGACACTCACGAGGGAATAGAGGAGCATCGGTGGATCTTGGGAGGACCAACATGGCAATCTTCAATGCCCATCCTCGTTCTAGTCTTTATTCGGGGAGAGATCATTTTCTATCATTTCTTCCAAACGACAAGTCATTTTTATTTTTGTCGAAATGTTTGGTGTTAGTCCCAATCAAGCAACCCACCACGCCGTGTGCTGTGTAAACATGGGCATGGTGCACGTTGATGGCTGCTATGTTTTCAAGAGCGAGCTAAGACCGCGCATACAACAATCTGTTCCGCAAATTGAATTTTCCCCAATAAGCTGCGACTCGTACCCGTCTTTGACATCTGAAGACGGCAGCCTACTTAAGCATACACGCCACCATGCGGCTTGGTACGTCGAACGCATATCCCGTATACCAACTCGACAACATTCGATTGAGAAGGGACACCGAATCGGTATTTAACTGCTAGAATGACTCATCACGATGCTTCTTCGGCCGTCACATGCAGGAGGCCCTGGAAAGTTGAGCCCATCCGCTTTTCGCTGATTCGGAAGGCATCAGGGAACCAACCCTTCAGCTCCGCATCGTCCCGACCGTCCATCATACAAGCCAGGGCTTTGGCACACATCCAACAAAGAACCATGCCGTGTCCTTGAAAGCTGCAAGACATCCACAAGTTCTTCTCGCCAGAAACCTCACCAACAAATGGGACGCCATCCGGACTATAGCCCATGATGCCGGTCCATTGCTTGCGAATGCGGCCATCGGGGTGATCTTCGCCCCAATTATCCCCAAAGTAACTGGGTAGGCATTCGTACAGGAATTCCTGGATGATGTTGTCTGCTTCAGTGTCGTCGGTGGTCCCGTTCTCCATCAGCCCATTCTCTGGTGCCTTAAACAGCCCCCCTCCGATGACAATGTCGCCCTCGAAGCGTGTACCTTTAGGGCGTGGGATCATGTATTCAAATCCTTTGTCGTATATGAAGCTGTATGTCGTGGCCAAACCCTCTGAAGGCATATTCTGCCCGGGCCTCTGAGCGGTGACGTGACCGCGGGTAGGGACAATCAACCCTTGGAAGCGCTTGAGAAGATGGGCGGTGTAGCCATTCGTCGCCAGCACAACCTTCGCGGCAATAATTGATCCTCGCGGCGTCTCAACTTTCCATTTGCCATCATCGGTCTTCTCGAGCGCGAGAGCAGGAGTGTTGGTCTGCAAATTCAGTCTTCTGTCAAGGCACAGCTTCAACACACCGATGCCGAGTTTGTAGCCGCTCAAACTACCAGCCTCGTAGACGATGCCGCCGCAGACACTTTCGTCGCCGCCTTTGCCGCAGTAGAACTTGTCCTGTACCTCTTCTAGGCTGTAGAGCGTGTATTCAGCAGCTGGGTGCCCAGGCATCGCGTCGCGCATAGCCTGAATTGCCCGCTGACCGTGCTCCCATTGTGCTCGGTCATATATGACATCGATGGTGTCGCAAGGATACGAGTCACAAGGGATCGAGTGCTCACGGGTGAATGCGTGGACAGCGCGGATGTTGTCCAATTCAAGACGAGCGATTTGCGCTGCTGCGTCGGTGCCATACTCTTTGGCATGATGAAGAAAAGATCGATAAGACGCTGCCTTGGTATGTCCGCCTGTATTATGGCGAGTCGTCAGAATGGGAGGAAAGCATGGGAATGGAAATGCGCTCTGAGGGGCTCACCGTTACGTCCCGTAGCCCCGGAGCACGCCTGTCGCGCCTCAAGCATCAAGATGTCATGCGTGCCATTCTGGAACAGATTCCAGGCTACAGCAGCTCCGGAGATGCCGCTTCCAATAATGACGATATCGGCTGACTGTGGTAGCGCTTCGGTGGAACGTAGGTCCGCGATGTCATCGGGAGGATCCTGCCAGTAGCTCTGGGTTGGGTCTGCCCGAGGCAGCGAGACGGGAATGGCAGCACGTTGTTCCATTATGAATGCGACGACTTCGTAAGCTCCTTCGTGTTGATGGGCAACTGAATTCAACAGAAAACTTGAAATTGATCACTTGCATCACTTGCATCACTTGAGTAGTGTCACTTGATTGTAGCATCCATGCTAAGACCGTGAGGCTTCACGACCAAAGCCGGAACCGATGGCTTGATTGCAGCGACAGGTCTTGTATCACTTATCAAATCGAGCAGTCGCAATAATACAGATGCTTCAGAACGGCTTTCCCCGCCCTATCGATAAGGCGCCTGATTTCCGGTCCTTGGTAGGTTCACGCAATTGTGCTCTCCAAAGTTGAGACTAGGCCAACGTAGAAGTCAACAAGGGAAAGATGCAAATAACGAGTGTAAATCGGTAGACTAGACTGAAAAGCTTTTTTTTTCATTAATTGCCTCAATATGTGGCGTAATCTTGTAGTTCCTTAGTCACTCCAAGTCCGGCAGCCCTGTGACTAACTTCGCAGACAAGCGATCCTAGTTTCTAGTTCATCATGACTTCAAAACACCTCAAAGGGAATTATATTTGGCGTTTCTTTGTGTTTTGTTAAGACATGAACTCATGATGAGTTCAGAAGCTGTATCAAGTCTCAGAAGTGTGCTATTTCGCAACAGCCATAACATTCCCGGCATCAGCTGTGCAGCAAACACTATTAAGAACAATCTTCACTTCGAATTCCCATTTCAAAATATTACAGAAAGTGTGCCTTTCCTATCCAGTAATTCCGACTCCTCCTTTAGATAGGTAATAAGTAATCTGCTAGCAGTAGCTTCCACTTAATTACTTACAGCACTTCGCGGTTTCCTTTTCTCGCGATACAATCATCTCTGCCTATTCGAGACCCATCCTAACGATAGTAAAAACCTGCGTTATTTACAGTCAGACCATAAATGCCCTGATATAAAATTCCTTTAAAGGATAACGAGGCGAACAGAGAGACGATGAAGGTTAGGATCTGGGAGGCGTGGTGGGCAGTCCCGCAAGCACTTATTAACCGGCTGATCGATTCAGTACCTAACCATGTACGTGGGTTCTATATACATAATCATTATTATTATTATTATTACATACGCCGTAGGCTCGAAGCCCCCGGTACCTCTACTAGTACTCCCGTATGTCAAACCGTGCCCTAATGGCTGGACTAAATACATACGCTGCGTCGTCGGTTCGCCCTATTGGCGACTGCGTTGCGTTCACTACCATACTACGTTGGTTCTCAACCTACCAACAAAGTCCCCCCTGAGAAGATCGATGCTATCTGGGCCTTGAAGCTGTCCGACCCGTCCCTAGCAGCCACCTTACAATAGTCCCACTAACTACTGGTTCTCCTGTTGCCGTTGCGAGGTCTCTGCGAGAGTATAGTGGCCGTGGTGCGATAGCGGCCCGTAATCGTTCCCTCGGTCCGTCCAACAGCCCGCAAAAGAGGATTACGTGCTCTGCCGTCTCAGGGGCGTCGCCACAGCGGCATAGCGGCGAGTACACGCCAAAAGCCCCTGTCTTGAATAAGAAGGCTGCTAGTCCTATTTTTTCCGTCCTGATCTGGCACAGCGTAGACGCCTCCAGTCGGTTCAGGCCGAAATACTTGCCCCCTTTCGGTATCTGCATCGAAGGGCCCTCCGGTTCCTCAGCGATAGCGCGTCGCTGGCGATCGTGATGCTCTGCTCCGGTGAGCCATCTCTTCCTCCAGTGGCCGAGGAGGGCCGCCGGGACCTCCTTTTCCTCACTCATCCACTCGGAGCCCCGGGCCTCCTTCTCCATAGTGTACCCTGCCGGTCGGAGTAGCTGCGACGCCTGCTTCCTCTTCGCCGGCCTATCCTGCCGGAGTATATGTGACGCTTTAGCGCTCGCGCTGCGAAGCAGGTTTCTCTTCCCGCTAAGCCATAGCCGTTCTTCAAACTTAGCAGCCCGGGCACTAAGATAGAGGTCTAGTGGCGGGATTGCTGCTTCTGCTTCCAGGTGGCGAACCGGCGTCGCTTTGTGGGCGCCACAGACTACCCGGAGGCACTCGCTCTGTATCCCCATCAGGCTCTTAGCTGGCCCTGCCGGTTCCTCACTTATGGTATGCCACGCAGTCGCCCCGAAGGCGATCGCGCTACGGATAACCACCGTATATAACAGCCTCGCCCGTATAAGATCGCAGCCCCACGACATATTGACTAGCTTTGTCAGGGCTAGCTTTTGAGTTGCCATTTTTGTTTTAACACGCTCAACATGGGCGTGCTACGTCAGTTTGCGGTCGAACCAGACTCCTAGGAACCTATACATAATTGAAGAAGAGAATCATGTTATTAAATATGCATGTGTTATTAATTAAAATTGGCTAAAAATGGACGCGCAATTAAGTTGGTAACTATGGTATTGGGTTTGCGCCAGACTTTTTGACACCGATTTTAGCAAGCACTCGATCACTCATTCAATATCGAGCAGGTACAATAAAGCTTTCTTGATATTTAATAGCATCACGGGCAATGTTTTGTGTGGAGTAATACAGAGGCCGATATGAGCACTTGTGATACCTAATTACCCAGCACACTAGATAATCACTAATATCACCGAGTACTCCCATGTAAGAAGTGGGGTCCTTTGTGGTCAAGAAATCTCGGTGGACAATACGGCGGACTATTCGTGGCTGCTATTTCCTACGTATAGACTTGACTATGCCAGGCCTCAAGGTAACACCACTCAACCGCGTTTGGAAGCTCGGTCTTTTGCGCTCACGGTAGCACGACAAGAGGGTATTAATCGTATGGGGAAGATACGAGTGAAACCCTCCATGGTCCCTGGCACAATTTAATCGCAAATCTTTCAGATGCCCGACTTTCCTCCCAGAATACGAACACACCACCAACAGTGGCTCGCTATATTGACCAACTTCCCAAGCTAACTCACTTCCGGTCAGTCAAACTGGGGTAGTACTGATCCCAAGTCGGTGAGATCTCTAAAATATACTAGTGTATTTTTTGCTTATCCTATAGGAAGTCATGTTTGATGAAGCAAATCGAGCACTCTAGCCATGTACAACGCCGTCAAAATCCTCGGATTCTGCCCTTGTCGCAACGTGAAGACTCTATCAAATTATATAACTTGAGCGGAGGGAGGTTTCTGACTTTCATCGATAACTTCTTCGAACAGCGTCAAATCATCAAACCGATTGCGGCATTCGATTCCTAACGACCGTTTACGTCGGACAATCACCTCGCATCGCACGCGAAGCGAGGACGCAAAGCGATGGTGGCGCCGATGGTGATTGACGGGGGACGGGCGGGACTCGAACAGAGTTTTCACCACCCCCAGGCCAACGAAAGTGCCCACGCACCGAACGTGGAGCGCATCAGGAGGAAGAACGCAAAGAGGATAGATATCGAAAGGGAACGAGCAAAAGTGGAACAAGAGATTGCCGACTTGGTCCCACATGAGAAGATTGAGGTCATGGGGGGTTTGATGGAGCGTTGGCTGGGGTTGAAACTGGCCGGCAGGACGCTGGAGGAGGGGGACGACAGACCCGCCACACATGCCGACGTACTGGCAGTGACTCTGGCCTTGCCGAAATTCTTGCGGCGATCCAGACGATGGTTGAGAAGACCATGCAGGATACGGTGAAGAACGTGGCCTTGCCTACAACTCGATCCTGGGCCTCAATCGCCTCAGGATCGGCCCAGGGACGGGGACCCGGTGAAGCCCCAGTGTGGCAGCAGCGGGTTGTAGTGCCCCAGCGAAGGGAGAGAGAGGTAGTGATCCGGGGGACAGAGGACCCTAATATGAAGAACAGATCGGCGGCTGAGGTCGTAAAAGCGGTGAACAATGCACGCGGCAGCACCGATGCAGTGGCGGCCCGCAGGCTGCGCAGTGGCGATACCGTAGTGACGTTTAAGCAGTCGGCCTCAGCAGCGACCACGGACAGCAGGTGGGTGCGTAGTGCCTTCGGCGATAAGGCACTTCTCAACCGCAGAGAAGTTGCAGTGATCGCGAAGGGGCTGTCTGCGAAACGGCTGCGAGAGGTCCACGACGAGAGCCAGCTACTTAAAGACCTGAAGCGGGACAATACAAAGCACCTCTCTAAGGCTAAAAGGAACCTCCCCCGGGCGCCGCAAGCACCGTATGCGGCCCTGATACTACACGTGGATAGCGTGGAGGCGGCGATGGAACTATGCTCCGAAGGGCTTATTTGGGAGGCCCAGATATTCGATTGCGAGCCGTACGACGGCAATCTTCGGGTTCGGCAGTGCTACCAGTGCTACGAATACGGCCATATCGCGAAACACTGCAAGAAGACGGCGCGTTGCGGCGTCTGCGCTGCAACGGCACACCCAGGGGGTGAAAAAGACTGCCCCGAGAAGGCACCTAGCGGCAAAAAACGTTATGTGAACTGCAAAGGGAAGCAGACGGCGTGGGACAGGGACTGCCCTACGGCAGAACAGCAGCGGCTACGCGTACGCGAGGCGTACGCTCACCGCCCCTGACAATTTGAGGTCCGCAGCTACTCGGACGGGTTATCTAGTGAGGGCAGGCTCACACCACCTAGCTCATTGACCAGCGACGGGTTTACAGTTGTACGACCCCGGGGCCGCCCCCTAGGCGGATCGCGAGTGGAGCAGGAGCGAACCGAACGGTCTGCGTCAGCAATGCGTAGCTTCCTCACTAAGGGACGTACGAACGAAGATATACCATCGACAGCTTAATGGTAGTCTCTATTCTCTACTGGAATATCGCAGATTCAAAGGCGAACACAACGCTAGCGCTGGATAAGGGGGGTGACTATGATATAATAGCGGCTCAAGAGCCATGGATCAACCGGCGGACGAAGGCGATTTATTGCCCGAAGTCGTCCAGGTACGAAGTAGTGTACAGCAGCGGCAGAGCTGCGCTATACGTCCATAAACGATACGACGTGGCTACGTTGCGACCCCGTACCGGGATGGACTGGAGCAGTATTACGTTCGGGGCAGGCCCGGACGCCCTTACAATCTGGTCTATCTATTCACCAAACCAGACCGGGAGCCGCTGAGTCAGCCCGCTCCAAGACCTCCCTAATGGGGCGCCGGAGGGGACACAGGTCCTCGTAGGGGACTTCAATACACATCACCCGCTGTGGGACGTCCACGGACGGTCGTCACGGGGCAGCGACAACGTAGTGGAGTTTGCGCGACGCTGGCGATTAGAGCTCGTTACGCCGTTCGGGGAAATCACACGGCAAAGGCACAAACAACGAGACTCAACTATCGACCTAGCCTGGGTGACGAAAGGGGCTAGGATTGATTACGATGGGGACCCGGGCCTAGAGGGCTCAGACCACAGAGCGCAAGTGATTAGGGTAATATCCAACGGGGAAGCAGTCAAGGAGGGCCGCCGCAGTGTCGAAGGGTGGAACTGGGCGATGGCGGATAAGTGGCTCATCGTAGCCGAATCAAGCCAGAGATTTATGAATTATTTGCCGGTTGAGACGATAACGGAGTTGGACCAGGCTGTTGACTGGGTTATCCGGAACCTCCAAGAGATCGCCGACGTGGCGGTCCCGAGACGCACCGTTGGCCGAGGCGCTGGGGTCCCGTGGTGGTGCCCGCAGGTTAGAAAGGCTTGCGCTGAGACGAAGAGACGACGGCGAGACTACCTCCAGGCAAGGTCGCAGACCTACTGGGACGAATATACAAGAGCCGGCCAAAAACAACGGCTCGAAATCAGCGAAGCGCAGACGCGTAGCTGGCACGAGAAGCTCGAGGGGACGGCGAAGGATCACAAAAGCCTGTGGGCACTGCAGAGGTGGGCTAGGCTACGGAGATGGGCCCCCCCTGAGGCCCACGTCTTACCAGATCTCCGGAGAGACGCCGGCGACACGCTTACGGCACGTACACATGATGAGAAGGCAAAATTACTAGCTGAGAGGTTCTTCCCAGACCCGTGTATAGATCTATCGGACCTCGATCGCGGCCTATTACAGACGAGACCAGAGCTGAACGTCCCTAGGGAGGTGACCACAATGGATATCGAGTCTATCATCAAAGGAACGGCTGCTTGGAAGGCTCCCGGCGACGACCTGATCCCCACTGGCCTGCTAAAGGCCTGCGGTAAACCCCTATAGGAGATCCTAGCGGATCTGGCAACAGCTAGCTTTAGGCTGGGGTACTACCCGGAGCGCTTCCGCTCAACGAGGGTGGTTGTTATCCCTAAGCCTAATAAAACGACAGCTCAGAAGCAGACCCCTGGCGGCTGGCGCCCCATTGCCCTGCTTAGCACGGTAGGGAAGGTAATAGAGACGGCGATGAGCCAGCGTATCACCAAAGTAGCTGAGGCGGCCGGCCTACTACCAAACGGCCAAATGGGTAACCGCGCTGGGAGGTCCACCGAACTGGCAATACGTATAGTTGAGGACGTGGTCTATACGGCGTGGAGACGCGGGGGCATCGCCTCGCTGCTACAGCTAGACATCAAGGGGGCATTTGATACGGTCAATTACAGACGGCTGATTTCCATATTAGCCCGGAAAGGCTACCCGGAGTGGGTTCAGGAGTGGGTACGCAGCTTCGTGGAGGATAGGACGGTACGACTCCGGTTCGATGGAAAGGAGTCAGAGCCAATCCCCCTACGAGCTGGCGTCCCCCAGGGGTCACCGCTATCCCCGATACTGTTTATATTATACATTTCAACGCTGTACGAGGAGCTAGCGGAGCAGCATCCACTACGTTTAGTAGTCGGGTTCGCGGACGACACGAACCTGCTAAGCGTCGGCACCGATCCAGACACGACCTGCCGCCGGTTGGAGAGCGCATGGGCTACGTGTCAGCGGTGGGCAGTGAGGCACGGGATGGAGTTCGCTCCTGACAAGAGTGAGCTAATGCACTTTACTAGGGCCCGAGAGCCCTTGCCGCAAAGTATTCGCCTTGGGGACGCCACAGTGTCGCCGGTAGTCTCAGCGAGGTTCCTAGGAGTCTGGTTCGACCGCAAACTGACGTAGCACGCCCATGTTGAGCGTGTTAAAACAAAAATGGCAACTCAAAAGCTAGCCCTGACAAAGCTAGTCAATATGTCGTGGGGCTGCGATCTTATACGGGCGAGGCTGTTATATACGGTGGTTATCCGTAGCGCGATCGCCTTCGGGGCGACTGCGTGGCATACCATAAGTGAGGAACCGGCAGGGCCAGCTAAGAGCCTGATGGGGATACAGAGCGAGTGCCTCCGGGTAGTCTGTGGCGCCCACAAAGCGACGCCGGTTCGCCACCTGGAAGCAGAAGCAGCAATCCCGCCACTAGACCTCTATCTTAGTGCCCGGGCTGCTAAGTTTGAAGAACGGCTATGGCTTAGCGGGAAGAGAAACCTGCTTCGCAGCGCGAGCGCTAAAGCGTCACATATACTCCGGCAGGATAGGCCGGCGAAGAGGAAGCAGGCGTCGCAGCTACTCCGACCGGCAGGGTACACTATGGAGAAGGAGGCCCGGGGCTCCGAGTGGATGAGTGAGGAAAAGGAGGTCCCGGCGGCCCTCCTCGGCCACTGGAGGAAGAGATGGCTCACCGGAGCAGAGCATCACGATCGCCAGCGACGCGCTATCGCTGAGGAACCGGAGGGCCCTTCGATGCAGATACCGAAAGGGGGCAAGTATTTCGGCCTGAACCGACTGGAGGCGTCTACGCTGTGCCAGATCAGGACGGAAAAAATAGGACTAGCAGCCTTCTTATTCAAGACAGGGGCTTTTGGCGTGTACTCGCCGCTATGCCGCTGTGGCGACGCCCCTGAGACGGCAGAGCACGTAATCCTCTTTTGCGGGCTGTTGGACGGACCGAGGGAACGATTACGGGCCGCTATCGCACCACGGCCACTATACTCTCGCAGAGACCTCGCAACGGCAACAGGAGAACCAGTAGTTAGTGGGACTATTGTAAGGTGGCTGCTAGGGACGGGTCGGACAGCTTCAAGGCCCAGATAGCATCGATCTTCTCAGGGGGGACTTTGTTGGTAGGTTGAGAACCAACGTAGTATGGTAGTGAACGCAACGCAGTCGCCAATAGGGCGAACCGACGACGCAGCGTATGTATTTAGTCCAGCCATTAGGGCACGGTTTGACATACGGGAGTACTAGTAGAGGTACCGGGGGCTTCGAGCCTACGGCGTATTTAATAATAATAATAATATATAACTCACTGCGCCATGTTTCAGGAGGGACTGCAAGCTGTATGCTTCCGTATATACAAGCCGTACTGGAGGGAAGAGTTAGACAAATGGATTGCTGACTCTTCCGTTCACCCATTTTAGGAACTATAAGTAGTTGTTTGGTTTGTCCCAAACTAATCAATCCGGGTTTTCAAGGCTCTCATCGAGCTTCCCTTATTCATGGTGTTTCAATTTGTAGAGGCATACCCATATGCCAAGTTCCTGCTCCTGGAGCGTCGCCAGAAAGCTGAGCTAACAGCATGATAACGTTGGTGGTTCTATTCTCGCGGGAGACCCAAACTTTCCTCGCGAATTTTTTGAAGCGATTCATTGGCGGGATGCACCGCAAGTGCGATCTCACGTACATGATTGCAAGCAGCTTTTCTAATGGGAAAGTTGACGGAAGCGGGGTCTTTAAAGCGTGTATCAGGTGGTACGAGACCCCGTGTGTTATTCATTCTCTTTCCTTTTTCGACACTGGATTTCCCTAGCTTGACGTAGAAGATACGTTCACGTGGAAATTCGACGATTTCGTAGTATCAAACTACTCAAAAGCATCATTCCCACGGAGAAACTGCATATTATCCCCCTGAAAGGACTCTCTTGGAATAATATCTGTCCGTATCTCGACGAACATTCCAGCTGCTCCTTGGCCGCCCAAACATAATGCTTAGCAATTTAAGGTAACTATGACAACTTACATGGCTCCGGTTGCTAGAAGAGCCATCTTGCGAGCTTCAGTTACTTTTGCAGTCACTGTTGCCGTTGTGGCCGGCTTAGTGAAACTCATTTGGTACGGGTCGTGATGTGTTCAACAGTGGATTTGATGTGTGGGGAAAGCAGCGAGGTGTCTGCTTGCACTACGACAACACCAAATAAGAACAATTGCAAGGAATGATCTTATTGCGAACGACAGCTCCAGGACATCCTGAATCATCAAATATAGCTTCTTCCATGATCCTAAATGAGTGCAAAACCCTGCTGGTCAACTTAAACATAGGAAGCTACAAAACAACTATGTAATATTGGGTTGTTTTTGGTTGACACCAAGAAAGTTGTTAGATTTCGTCAGTACAGTCTGATATTGTGTTCTAGACTTCGAGCACGTATATCACTCACTCACTCGACAGTTAAAAATTGAGATACGAACCCCGTCAGCATATAGATTTGCAGCACCGACTCCTGAGCTCGACAGTCCATAGAATTCTGAGGTTTAGTAACCCCAATGGCTTTGAGAAACTGAGTGCCGCCTTGTATACTCATGTAAATATGACGCAAGACTAAAGTGCCAAGGCGGCCATTACGTGGACGACTAGTCTAGCGCGGGGTAGTAAACGTCACATATCATGCAAGATCTTATAGTTTCGCTCCTCATTGATGAAACTCGAGACGTGGACGACTAGACTACTTGGAGCATTCATAAAGGCATCAGAAATGTTGGAAGTCAAAGCTAACAACTGGTACCGAGACAACTACCTAATCTCAACTGAGCCAAATTTACTACAAGTTGAAGCAGTCAATGCAGCGCTGAGTTCCGATTTAGTATGGTGGGCGAACGGGCTGCCCCTGGAGACGACGAAGAAGGCATTGCATAACTCGCTCTGCTTGGGCCTCTACGCTCTGCCACAGTCCACCTCTGAAATCGCCGGTAAGTTTACTCGCCGGCTCCCCGATCTGCTCCTCTCGGACTCACTCACTGCTATCTCAAAGGTCACAGCAGTCCCAAGCAAATCGGTCTGCTTAGAGTAGTGACAGACGATGTAACTTTTGCATACCTCACCGATGTGTATGTCCAGCCAGAGTATCAGGGGAAGGGGCTGGGGCGCTGGATGCTGGAGTGTTTGGACGAGATTATCAAGGGCTGGCCCCATCTGAGGCGGTTCATGTTTCTGACAAATGACGCTATGGATCTGTATCGAAAGACCATTGGGGCCAAAGAATGGAGCGAGGCCAAAACAGAGGGTGTCCAGGTCGGGACGGTTGAGGGGCCGGGTTGGCAGCAGCCTCAGTAGTTTGTTTGAATGGTGTTACAGTACCGAATCTCTCATTCTTTGGCTGTCGCGTTCCCGTACGCGCCTCCGGCTGCTTTTCGCAATTCTAGCGCGCGCCTGTATGGAGGTGCTGTCGGCGGTTGGATTGGGTCGAGGGATACATGGCCTGGAGGTAGTCGGTATGAAGCGTCGGAATCGAAAGCGGATAGATCACCACATGCAATAAATGGCGCGATCCATCTGACATCGTCCCTTTTCGATGGGCGATGATCCTCAATCTCAACGTCGGTGATCCCATCACCGTCCGTGATTCGCGCAAGTCGCGGTACCGCATCCCACGCACCAGTCTCTGAGTTCTGGAGCACCGTCATAGCGGTTAACGGTAATGATGTCGAGGTATCATGCGTTATGTTAGACAGGCGATAGCCTACCCCCAGCGGTTCCTCCAGACTAGCCGAAAAGTTCTTGGGCGGCTGGAAGTTAAGACAGACAATAAAAGCCTCGACGCTGCTCGCGCGCGAAGATCTTGGTTTCGCAACATGTACTTTCTCAAAGAAGATCTTGAGCTGAGCGTACAGGACGTCCACGTTCTTGCCCCTGAAGATCTTGGCGACGAATTTTCCACCCGGCTTCAGGACGCAGAGCGCCAAGTTCAAAGCAGCGAACAGCAATTGCGACTGCACGTATATGTCGAGATCATGTAGACCAGTTACATCAGGGGCACCGTCGCTGAGAACGAGATCTACCGGATGGGCCGCCTGCTGGCTTTTCGTGCTCGAGTCGTAGTCGGGATCCAAGGCTTTCAGAAGAAGGGGTACTGTAGCAGGGTGTGTAATATCTGCTCTGAGGGTGACGATACCGGCCAGAGGACTTATAGGCTGCAAGTCGATGGAAACAATCTTGACGTGCTTTCTCGGCTTCAATTCATCGGCTCCAAGTTGCAATCCTGGCTCCTGCTTTGCTTCGCTGCCATTGGGCCTAAAGACCTGGAGCATCTGCTGGCGAAATTTGGCTTCCCGATCCTGCCATGCTGCGCGACCGAATTTCTCACCCTCGATGAGAACTCGTGAGAGAACTTGGGACCAACTACCAGGGGCAGCGCATAAGTCGACCACCCTAGTCACATTGGCGAACAGATCGAATTCTGGGGTCAATTGTGAGCAACAGTGCGCAAACCAAAATTCCTGAAAGTCAACATAGCCTACCTTCATCGAGCTGCAAGAGCTTGAATGCACTTCTTGCACGCCAACCCTGCTCCTTCGCCAGCCTGTAGTAGGCATCACGTTTGTCCTTCGATGATTTACCCATCTTATTGCGTACAACAGCTCTCGATCGGCTGCAGTCCCAACACACCGAAGATTTTCAGGCGCCCGCCCTTGTAGGGCTGATTTAAGGTGCGGTCAGCGCTCCTATCATGTGGGGTTCCTCGGTGGAAGGTTTAGCCGGGTGCTGGAATTTTGGGGACTCGGCGATTTTTAGAAGATTTTACACCCTGCGAGCAGTGAAAGAGGTCTGTATTCAAGACAGTCCCTGCTTCGTGGTAGCACAGATGGACGAAATCGAAAAGAAGAGAAAGTTTGGGTCTACAGAGGCGACAAAGTTGCCCGCCAAGAAGCAGAAGACTCGCGCAGCCGTCAAAAAGCCGACCAAAGCCAAGCGCAGCGTCACCGCCGACAAGCTACAATGGCGCTCAGCGACCCTTCCCGACATGTTCAACGATGCTGAAGGCTTTTTCGGGCTTGAAGAAGTGGACGATGTCGAGGTTGTCAAGCTTGGAAACAACAACATAGAATTCGTGAGTTGGGCAACACACAGGACGGGCCAATTGTCTAATCATTACGCAGAGAGTCGCTGGTGTTTCAACAGAAGATGACGAAAGTGATGAATTCGAAGGCTTCGACGATGATCTCGCCGATAAACCAATTCCAACGCAGGTTGAAAGCGAGGAAGTAGTGGATTCGGAGAAAACACAAAAGAAGAAGCCAGAGACGAAGCAACAACAGGAGAAGCCAGAGAAGACGAAACAACCCGAGAATCCCGCCAAGACAAACCAACAGGAGAAGGCAGATGCTAAGAAAGAAAAGAAGAAAACAGCGAAGCAGGCGAAGAAAGACTCTGAGCTTGAGAGCAACGTATTTGCTGCTTTGGACGATGTGGACATGGCAGAAGATGATGTTGACCTTTCTGCTTGGGTGCGGTTAGAGCTGTCTCCGGGCATGCTTTCAGGACTAGCCAAGCTCAAGTTTACGAAACCAACGCCCATTCAAGCTGCCACGATACCGCATATTCTGGCCGGAAATGACGTGATCGGAAAGGCGTCTACTGGATCTGGAAAGACGCTGGCTTTCTCTATTCCCATCGTCGAGAAGTGGTTGGAGCGCGCAGAGGCGGACAGTAGTTCAGAGGCGTCTAAAGGACCCATTGCCCTAATCCTCTCTCCTACCAGAGAATTGGCACATCAAATCACTGACCACATTAAAGACTTGTGTGAAGGACTGCCGAACTCGCCTTTCGTCTGCTCCGTCACGGGAGGTCTTTCAGTGCACAAACAACAGCGACAGCTGCTGAAGGCGGACATCGTGGTGGCAACACCTGGCCGTTTGTGGGAAGTCATTAGCGCTAGCACTGAAGTTATGGACAAGTTCAAGACCATCAGCTTCCTGGTGATAGATGAAGCAGATAGGCTGTTGACTGACGGTCACTTTAAGGAGGCCGAGGATATATTCAATGCACTTGACCGTATCGAAACAAATGAAAACGAGAAGGATCAAGATACCGCATCTCGGCAAACGCTCGTGTTCTCTGCGACGTTCCACAAGGGTCTTCAACAGAAGCTCGCCGGCAAGGGCAAATATGGGTTGATGGAGAAGGAGGATTCGATGGAATACCTCCTGAAGCTCAACTTTCGAGAAGAGAATCCAAAGTTCGTCGACGTCAACCCGGTGTCTCAGATGGCCGCAGGGTTGAAGGAAGGTCTTGTGGAATGCGGCGCAATGGAAAAGGTAACCAAATTCATTAAAACTTGCATTGCGTTTTTACTAACCCTGTATCAGGATCTTTACCTCTACATGCTTTTGCTTCTGTACCCAAGGGCACGTACTCTTGTCTTTACCAACTCCATCAGCGCGGCTCGCCGTATTACACCCATGCTGCAAATGTTGAACCTTCCTACCAACCCGTTACATTCCCAAATGGCTCAGAAAGCGCGACTACGATCTATTGAACGATTCACAGGAGCTCCAAATGGCACCGCCTCCATTCTCATCGCCACCGATGTTGCCGCACGCGGTCTCGATATCCCTGGCGTCGACCTTATCATTCATTACCATGTGCCGCGAGCTGCAGATGCTTACGTCCATCGGTCAGGAAGAACCGCTCGAGCTGAGAAGACTGGATTGAGTATCCTTCTCTGTGGGCCAGAAGAAGTGATTCCTACTCGGAGACTCATTTCCAAGGTGCATTCTCAGAGGAAAGGCGGCGGGAAGCATTTCTTCGTCCAGACCCTCGATTTGGATCATAAACTCGCCAACCGACTCAAGCCCCGGCTCACACTCGCCAAGAAAATCTCAGATGCTAGCTTGGCAAAAGAAAAGGGGAGCAAAGAAGATGACTGGATGCGGAACGCAGCAGAAGAACTTGGCGTGGATTACGACAGCGAAGAGTTGGAAAAGGCCGGCGAGTGGGGAGGTCGCGGGCGGGGGAGAAAGGAGAAACAGAAGGAAGCGAGGGCCCTGACCAAGGCCGAGCTTGGTGCTATGCGAGCTGAGCTAAGAGAACTCCTCTCGAGGCGTGTCAATGCTGGCGTGAGTGAGAAATACATCGCTACGGGGTTGGTGGACATGGATGAGTTGCTCAGAGACACCAAGGGTGATTTCTTGGGCAGGGTGGATGGTTTGGATGTTTCGAGTCTATGATACCAAGCAATGTAAAATTGTCTTATCTCCAGTAAATATCTCAGCAGATGACGCCATCAATGGCCGCAATTCTGTGTCGTTTCTAACTTGTAACGCGACCATTCTTATATCATAGTTGCCTCCCTCGAGATAAGTACTGCAAAGCCAGTGTTGGGGATTGGGGTTTAGAGCACTGACGAGCAGTTATCTCTTATGTATCATGGTTCAGTAGAGATAAATATATGAAGTAGAATTGGGTTAGACAATTGCTACCGACCAGAATGCTTGTTTTCACAGGCTGCTGCCTCAAACTTGCCTGGACCTGACTGGGCAAGGCCTCGTGCTATTCTGTCTTTTCCAATGACGGCAGCTCTTGATGCAAATTAGCTTTCAAAAATCCCCAAAAAGATCAGAACGACTAGTTGATTGGAAAAATCCCTAGCATTTTCCTTCCAAATGCTAACATGACATCAGGACATCTTTGGTTAACCACACCAAAAACAGACCCAGATGTCAACTGACGCGTTGCCAATGTCGGTGCCTTGCTAAACATCTTCCACGCGTAAAGCCTTCCGAACTGCAACTCTGCTAACTCAATGTGATACTACATGACCACATCCCAATACGGTTCTCCCAATCAGAGCGCTCACAGCGAGTGACCACCCTCTATACAACCAGTACCATGCTAGTGTTACTTCTTGTAACACATTTTATCCTAGCCAGGCGGCTTCGGCTAGGCGACCTGGTACATATTCGGCACTTCTTGTGCGGGTGCATCAAACGAGTAAGTAAAATCATCCTCTGAATCGACTGAACTCCTGATAATATGTCTGTCCTCCTTATATATCATAGTAAACAGGCTGTGCCTATCTACTGTTTACTTGAAACTGAAAATCGAGGTGATGTCGGTAGTAGTAGACAAGGTTTATTTCTAGTTATCGTATCGGTATCTACACTACGGGGAAGCACTTCTAAAATCTCGGGAAAGGAGTCCATGATAGACAACACGGGTTAAGTGGGGAAGCTCTCCTATTTATACCTTTATGTCGGACAAAATAATTTGTCTTTGGTGGAAATTGACAACCCTGTAGGGGGTTATCTGCTCACTTATCTCCGAATTTTTGTAAGCTCTATGGCGTCAACATCGCTGCAAATTAACTGATTACAACAGTTGTGTTTCATCCCCTTGCGGATAGAGGTAGATGATTGTTACTAGATTAAGACTTTTACCGCACATTGGGCTTTGAGGGTCCGTCTTACCCGGTATTATAAATCCAGAACTCGTTTTCCAAAGCTGTTTAACAGCTATAATATGTATGTTTGCTGCCTTGGTTCTTACTTCAAAACACGCTTTAATAATCACAGGTAATCTCGATGCTTTCTCTCCGACATTCGCTCCTCAGTAGGTTTGGCCTTATGGCTGTGATAGTCATCCCGACCATGTCACAGACTCCATTAGATGTCATACAGATCGAAACAACCCCAAATGGCTTCACAGATCCGGCGAGGGGATGGAACTCCTTCGGCAGATGACGTGCTATCCACAACTACTTCCCTCAAGGAATCTGATTACGTGCATTGCAGTCTAGACTCGGGCTGGTCCGTAGGAGCCAATGGTGACGACTTTGGGCGTATCATTTACGACACGAACAACTTTGACATCCCGAGCCTAGCATACCACGTTCACGACGAGGGACTTCTGTTGGTAGTCTACTTGGTGCCCGGCGCCTTCATTGCCGACGAGGGGAAGACCATACTGGACACCAACATCATGATTGGCTCGATGTGCTCTGGAGACAATGGCATGTCTTGTGTAATTTTGATTACAGTGAGCCAGTCGTACAGCAGTGGCACCCTTCCGTCGTGGATCAATTTGCGTCTGGGTAAGTCCTTGAGGAGGACAGGTCGGGACATAACAACCGATTACTGTTCTAACTTGCCCACCAAAAAGGGGCGTCGACCTCATTAAGCTCGACTTCGTCACCCCCGGTTCTCATACCAACAACGCCAATCTACCCGCCAATTTGAGCGGCGAAGTTATCGCCTACCACAACGCCATCGCACAATCCGGCCGGTCGATCCGTCTAGACATATCTTGGAAGCTAGACCGGTCCCAAGCGTTTTTCGACATCTGGGAGTCCAGCGCCGACTCGATGCAGTCGGATCAGGATATCTACAATGCCGGGGAGTGTACCTTCGTCGCATGGGACTTTTTACAGCGTGCGATTGAAAACTACCTTTTTACCATGGTGATACAGTATAATCGCATGTTGGCGATATACCTAGACATGGATAGCTTGTTTGTTGGGAACGAGGCCGATTTCTCGGGGATGACAGTTGCTGAGCGTCAGACTATGATGAGACACTGGGTCGGTGCTGCTGCCAACCTCATTGTCGGCTCTGATCTAACGCACCTCGATGCCTTGGGTTTGGACGTGCTCACCAGGGCCGATGTCTTGGCTATTTCTGAGCTCACGGCTCGCTATCCTATGCAGCCACATAACCCCCGACCGGTGGTAACAGCGCGCAGCAAATCCAGGCGTGGGACGCTGGTCCTGACTCTTCTGTTTATGCCGTGGCGGTCTTGGCTAACTATGGTCCGGATCAGGGTCAGGGCGGGTTCGGGACAGTGTTTGAGGGTGCGCAGACTGTTACTGTGTCTTCGGACGACCTTGATATTAGTGGGATGGCTTTCGATGTTTTTGACGTGTGAGCTGGCACGGATTTAAGGTCGCCGAGCGAGGGATTTAGTATAGAACTTGAAGAGGCAGAGAGTGTTTTATACCGTTTGACTCCGGCGTAGTTTTAATTGGCGCTGCCATGTGCATGGTAGACACGGTGCTAAGACACACAACATCAAGTGAGGTATTTAGCAATTACTGTTTGTGCGGTAATCGATTAGCCGCCCAATCATCATGGTTTTGCCATATTACCAGACCCGTGGATACTGTTTCTTCAGCGGCGTCAGGCTTGTCCTTCTCCTTCCTCCAGCAGCATTCGTCGCGTATTATGGCCCGATTCCCTTCTGACTAGGCAGTCGATTTCACGAGGTACAACCCATCCTTGTTCATCGGATCGTGTTTATATATTAAACAATGCTTCAACATTTCGTAATAGTAAGTAAAAGAGCGCTCTTCAACAATGGCCTTATGTTGCTCTTCCAACATCTTAGCCAGAATTCGGCCTTGGCCATACACTGCGCTTCCATGACGATCCAAGATTGACCGTCTTTATCATGTCATGAAGTTCTGTCTTTTCCCGCTCCGTTTTGTTTTCGTATGCGCACTTATCTCATTCTAAATACCCCTTGAGAGATGCTGCATTGGTATGTTGGTCAAACTGATCGCAGTCTACATAATTATCTTGCAGTTGCCTCATTTTGCATGAAGCCGGAAACACAGGGTATCAAAGACATCGTTCTTCAGATCAGTTAGGAGAAAGAAATTGTCGCATGAAATAAGCTCCAGGCACGCTCGGTACGTCGTCAACTCGTCTTTAAACCCCTTTGCTGTGATTTAGCGAGTGTAGATCCAAGTAATCATGGCGTCCACCATGTCAAGACTGTCATTCAAAATTACTTGGTTTGCATGTGCTTCCTAGAACAATAACGTAGAACCTTATTGAATATACAGGTAAGGAGACAAGTATATACCTTAAACTTACCATATAGGGCTTTCTGGAACTATTCGGATCGCGAGACAAGAATGAGCTTGTGGACTTTCTACTCTCGATCTTGAAACTTTATCGTGACTTCTGCAAGAAATTCCGGCATAAGAAGCCTGTAAAAATAAGTCAGTCAGCGAGTGGATGATGATATTGCGGATCTGGGGGATACTCGCTCTTTGTCTAGTTTGCCGCTAGGCAACAACCAACGTATCGAATTGACCATCTCAAATGCTACAGATATGCCGAACAGGGAACTGAATCTCAAGATATTTTTTTGCGCTACCTTCTTGCGCTAATAATATCTCCTGTTTTTCGAGTGTTTCACTGCGTAGTATACAGATGTATTTGCAAAGTTAAACAGACACCGTATATGGGAAGGTACGACCAATTGTAGGGCCGAAGGCTTAAAAAATCCTGCATCAAACCAGAAGTATCCATCAGAGAAGAGAAAACCCATTTTGGGGGGGGGCCTTCACATAAATATACCGTTGGTTTCTACCATAGTAAGCTATAGGAAGCCAAAACCTTGCTGAAGATTTTACAGCATCACATCCTAGGTTTATTAATTATCGAGTGAAATTCATTCGTCTGCTGATAAGTATATTTATTTCTTCTTGTTCAAGGCCCATGGGTATGGGTCAGAGAAATCCGAGGGAGGTCTCATTTGAAGACTACGACTACTGCACCTGTTGACATAAGACATTAGTGCTGACATTAGAGCTGACTTGAAATTGCACATGTGATATAAGACATTAGTGCTGACTTGAAACTGAATAATAACAGAGGACTAGTGGCACACAGTCCACTGGCGGAGCCCTAGTTACTCCGTAACAATGTACACTAGTTAGATAGGTAACATTCTACCGTGACACCTGACGGAGGTGAACTTAGCTCAATGAACATCACAATCCTCCATGAAATAATAGAGAATACAAGGAAGATTATATATTCGCAGATTGACGGTCATTAGCCTCGGCATCGCCAAATCTGACAGGTGATTCGGCTCCACCGGCCCCGTTTGGTGTGATCAGCCGTAAGTAATTCTTGCTTAGCCCGACATGGCCGCATTGGAAAGCAAGCTGTCGTTGCAAAGTGACTCCGCCTTTTCAAGGTGCAGCATATTCGCACTAAACAAAGATCAATGGTGGCCTCTTGTCAAACTTTCAATCCACCCTCATTCGTAACTTGTTCCAATCTTCTGTGATTTCGTTCAATATGGTAGGCCTCACGGTGTCATCTTTCGGCGTTTATGGTCTCCTGGTCGTCATTGCCATCCTTTACCAGACCGAGCTACCGCGTATGGTGAAGCTTGGTCTTGGCATTGGCAGAACTCTCGAGCCCCTGGGCTCGTTTCCATACACATATCGCCGAATCCAAGAGCCTCGTCTGGAAGCATGTGAAGATATGTGGCTGTCGGAATCGACACGCCAGTTGTTTCTTGCCTGCTCCGATTCCTTGTCCCGCAAGGAGTACCTGCCAAAGTGGGTCTGCCACGAGAAACAATATGCCACGCTCAGCTTCTAACGTGCTTTCTAGTGGTGGGAAGTTCAATGTGTCTGGACGAAGCCTCCGTGATTCCATTGTTGTGATGGACCTCGAAAGGCCATCCGGAGATAGCTTTGATATGCGCACACTAGAGACTCCAGGCTTCTTTGGAACTGACGGGGATGGGCGGCTTCATTTGGTCGGATTCGCAGGCAGTGATGATGAACCTGGCGACATCCGACTGTGGGTTATCAATACGAAGCCATCGGTAGACCCAATCACGGGCGAATTCTTGGATAATTCGAAAGTGGGAGCGAACTCCACGGTTGAGCTCTTCAAGACAGGGGCAGGTGCCACTACACTGGAACACATCAAAACTTTCTTCCATTCACAGATTGCTACACCTAACAAGGTTACCGCACTCGGGGGACCCCATGACGGGTTTTACTACACGAATGATCATGGCACGGTCAAGACTGGACTGGTGAGTAACCAAACTTCATGGCTGCGACTCTAAACTAATATAAAGCCAGGGATACGCGCTATCACCATTGCTCGCCAAAGCCGATGTGTCTTTCTGCGATGACACCACCTGCCGAACTGTGGTACCAGGCCTCAAATACCCGAATGGCTTGGTAAAGGGCCATGACGGATTGATATACGTCCCCAGTGCCAGCATTGGCGGGATCGACGTCTTCGAGCCACTCCCTGACCACGGACTAAAGAAAATCGACCATATTGACGTCGACTATAGCTTGGACAACTTAAACGTCGACGCGAGCGGGGATATCTACGCAGCTGCCTTCCCCATCGCCAAGCAGATCCTAGACGGCTTCAACGATCCTCTCAACAGCTTTCCCGCTGCGACAGCCCTACGCATCAGGAAAACTCTCAGCGGCTATGAGGTGACCAAGGTTATTGAGGACAGGAACGGCGAAGTATTGCCGGCTACGACCACGGTTCTTCACGACACAAAGACAGGAAAACTGTTCATGAGCAGTAAGTCGAACTCGGTTTTGGCAACCTGCAGAAACTTTATTAACATCACAGGTGTATTTTCGCCCTTCATCTCGATTTGCGATGAGGAATAGCTGGAATAACCATTAAAAAAAGGATCTTTTAGATTTCCGCGGTTGAGCAAAGACCTTGGGGCATGATGGTGAGCACTGTATCAGCCTCACAAACCCTAATCGACTATTCCCCTCTGTATAGAGTAATGCAAATGTAGATACCAAGCTAAGCTTATTGTAACCTCATGCATCAGTTGAGTGAGACCGAGTTGATATATGTATCTACCCTTGAAGTTTCAATTGATTCAAGAGTTCCAGTGGACGAGAATACAGTGTCCAACTGAAAGTGCCAAATGGTTAGCAATTACCAATTCACTCCTGGCTCATATTTACCTCAGGAATATAGGCGACGATCCAGATTATGCTGGCACTTCAAGTCTATAACTAATTGCTGGGCAGTTGTTTAAATTTACGGCATCAGTATTGTGGTCCGTTCGCGGAAAGATCTTTGATGTATCGGCTTCTTTGTCTAACATAACCCAGGCAAAGCCATGCCGGAATAGCGCCTTGTAGAAGCAAAACATTCCTACTGGCCTCATACTCTCCGTGCCTTTTAGACTGATTAATCCCCCAAAATATCGTCATGGAGTTGCTTGCAGGCCTACCGATCCACTCAACTATCCTGTTCCCTATTATCTTGCTCAAGGGGGGCCACTGTGTACTTCCTGTTGTCACTGCTCATCCCATTGTACTAAGTCTTAACTTGTTCGTATTTTTCGACATTCGCACTTTCTAAGACGATAATTAACAGTTCCTTTCTCCATTCCGTCGACCGGACGCAAGCAACGTAGAATGGACAGGCCGCAGCCATATTCAACTTCGTCCTCATGGTCGCTATACCATTTCACATCTGGCCAGAGAAAAGATAGTTCGCTTTCAGTATCGTGATTGGACTCATTTTCTGGGAACTTAACGGGTACCTGGATGGCCGAAATTCCTGATGCTTATCCATTTAACTTACGACCTTCTTTTCCTGATTCTCAGCCGCCTTTTTCTTTTTACTAATATGAAGTAAATATAGACTCTGTAGTAATATAACGTGGATTAAGACCGATTCGCGCACTTCTTGAACTTTTCCAACCTTTTGACTTCAACACTTATTTCCTCAGCAACAACACAATATCAGTTCAAACTTAAGAAGCTAAAACTCAACCTCGCTATCGGAGCTATCCGATCGACTAAAAAATGAGCTAACGGCGAGCAGCGAAGCTATACGGTGTACCCGAGTCCTCCCTCCGCGATAGAATCCACGGTCGCACCCCACGTACCGAAACCTGGCCGAATAGCACACTAATCGCCGAGATAGAGGTAAAGAGCTATTGATCACATACTTGACCTATATGTAAGAGGGTTTTCTCCCCGGCTAGAGGGTGTGTAAGATATGGCCATTTCTCTATTCTCGCGACGTGTCAGGTTACGGCTAGGCCGAAGGCAATAGTACAGAGTGATGGGGAGTAACGGGCGTCCCTCCTATGTAGCACCGGGTGGTCACTGTCACGGTCTATGACCGGTATGTGGCCTCTGCGACGCCTTCGGCCAGAAAGACCCACAGAAGATTCTCAACAGCACTTGGACCCACAGAAATCTCCGAATAGCTTCAATTCTCGAAGATTCCTGAAATGACGAGACGGGAGGACAGAAGGATAAAAGGGAGAAGGGTTCACCACACTGAATGTATCTAATGTTTTTCTCTTCATAGATGGATAGTACTCGTAGAGTAGGCTAGGCTAATTGCATCGACATTACCCTTGACCCTTACAGTCACTGGCGGTCTCAGGTAGGGGTGCCCACGATGATGCATTGATCTCTACTCTCTCTATCTTCTTCCCGGGCCTCCGCCCCTTACATAGATAGCTAGAACCCGGCGTCGGAGCCGCGGAGCACTAGTTTCTCCGATTGTTCCGCAAACCAAGACTTCCATATCGTGTCATGACTCGCACGTCCCTACACCAGAGCCCCACCGGTGTCCCACCGGTGCTTATGGCATTCTGTTCTCTGACACGACGCGTCGGCAAGCTCTGGGCGTATCGCTTTGTAAAGCGGTCCCTAGAGTTAAAGACGCGTTTTTCTCGCTCCTATGGCTTCAAGAGGGCCCTCTGCGGGGATTAGTAAGGACTGTTCCCCGCTTATATCTCATCCGTTGGCCCCTCTTCCAGATACTAACCCTTAGGTTTTGTGAAGGTCAACCCTCGCAGACTCACTACAACCAGGTGACTTACAGCTGGAACACCTGCCATGGCAGTGCCAGATGGGAAGCCAATCATAACCCCTGTAGGAGCCCCGCCAAGCGTGGACGACTTAGTCGCGCTCCCTCAAACCTAAGTTGTCATCTTCTTTCCTTCGCTCCTTAGAGTAGAATCTTCGTCGATAGCACCTAATCGAGGTCTCTACCAATGCGATGCAACCCAGGTCGTGACAACTAATAAGTAGCTGTAGAAGATCTTTATTCCTTTAACTTAGCTAGAGGACCCTAAAGAGACTAGAGTACTTATCCTAGATAGGTATAGTAGCTACGAAATAATATAATCTATATGCCTATGCCTTATAAATAAGATATACTTACTTTTCTTACCGCTATACATATCCTACGTTCTCTAGCCTCTATATTAGTTAGCCTTTAGGCCTCTTAAGGTAGCCTATAAGAAGGAGCTTAGTTACCTTAACTAATGGGATACTAGTACTATTATAGGTAAGTGGAATTTTCTCCTCTACTATATAAAAGCACGTCTGGTAGCGTTAACTAGTAAGAATATTATTAGTAGGTAGAAATATATAGGTGTCACAAAAGTCAGGGTATGACGACGGAAAAACTTCCAGGCCCTTCAAATAGTGCTGGAGCATCAAGGGACTTAGGGCAAGTATTCTTTGTATAAATTTTATTAGTATTCGGAATTAATGATTGTGCCTAGCCTCCACTACTGCCTGAATCTGCTGTTATAATAGGCCTTTAGCCATCGAGTATAGCTAAGCCCCTTATAAGCTTGCAGCTCCTTAAGAATATATTAGTACTCGTTAAACAGCCTAGTTAGACTTTCAAAGGATACTATGATAGTAAGGGTAGTTAGGACTACGTATTTGTTAGGCAACCTTGGTGGACTTTGCTAAGACCACCAAGGTTACCACGTGACTTAGCCCTTTGGGACTAAGTCCAACCTTCGTGCTCCATAGGACTAGATAGAATGTCATGCTTTTACAACCTCACAAATCTTTGACCACCTTTGCGTGTAACAGTATTAGATAAGCTTAATAGTAACCTAAACACCTAGCAGCTACTATTTCGGAAGGTTCAGAAGGGCTTTAATAAGAAGGACTACTAGTTAGCTATTATCTAGCGAAAGATAAAGGCAATAGAGATAGAGCTTAAGGCTAGTAGGGCTAGGAGGTAGAATGTTGATGTCAGATACAAGGGGTTACTTGACAGACCAAGAGTCACGTGATTATCAGCCACTGGGACTTGGCCAGAAATCCCTCTGCAGAGCAGAGCAGAGGAGACAGACAGCACACATAACAATTAATCCATCACACTGAACGGTCAGATTACCGTAAGATTAAGGCCACAATATGGTCACATCGCAAGATACGTGAATATTCTACAGTGAAGATAAACGCTAATTCGAAGTTCACTAACATTAAGACTATTCGGAAGAATCAAATTGAGGCGGTTAAATTGAGGGTAGTCTAGATAAGTCTAGCGAGTCTGAAAACCCTAGTAACGGTGAAAACTACATTATAGTTGTGTTATAATAAGCATAAAAAGAGGTTAAAGTCAATACGTTGTAATATACAGTATCATTTTTAGGGTGTCCCACATGTAGGGGTTTCCCGGATGTATGTGCGAGACGTTACGCCAAGGACATACATACCAACACGCTGATACTCGACCAAGTCGCCAAACATGGGGTCCAATCGGCTTAGGCTAGAGAATTAGATTTTCAATCGCTGTTACTTTCTGTCGGAGCGCAGATGCGCCCATGTGCTAACGCGGGGTTCTTTCATTTTACCGTGCTAGATATATTGGTACTATCCGGCACTTGATAATGTGACGAAATCATAAAGGCTATTAATGACAGCATCCCTTCCCTGTCCTTCCCTACCTTGCCCCTGGTAACCCAAACAATAGAACGCCGCGACGCTTCTTCTTGATGAAATCTGGCTATCCACGCACCAAAAGTACTCACGATGGCGCGTCTTAGCACCCTTCTCGCCTTGAGTCCCGTTCTGCTCTACCTAGCCAGCGCGGAATGCAACCGCACCGAGCTCCTCGCCTTTGTGGATGGCTACGTCGCTGCTCAAAACATGGGCTTCTTGGGGTACCTGGAAGGCGCCGACCCCTACAACTTCTCTTACCTAGAAAACAACAAGTCACGCGAGATCACCACTGGCGTCCTCGGCAAGATCCTCCACGTCGACCGCCAATACACTGCCATCGACCTTGTCAACTGCGCCACCTTCACTGAGCTCATCATCACCGATCCGGCCCACCCCTACGTCATCGGGACCCAGATCCGGCATCAAACCGACGGCCGTGGTGTGTATCTGATTGACAGCATTGTGTCCACGACGGGGTCTTGGTTATTCAACGCTTCGCAGACGTTGAGTTACGCCACAAAGGAAAATTGGGATCCCGTCATCCCCCCCGAGCAGCGGTCTTCACGCGACGACTTGATGCACGCCGCCGACACCTACCTCGACATGTGGCAGAACGGCAGCGCCATCGCCGCGGTCCCCTGGGGCACGCCGTGTGATCGGCTCGAGGGGTCGGTGTACACGGGCAATGGCTCGCCGACCGATTCCTGCATGGTGGGGATTCCGACGAATAATACCCAGCCGCCTAACTCGGGGAGGAGATATGTGGTGGATGAGGAAGGCGGGACGATTAGTGTTTTGTGCGTTTTTGAGCACTTGAATATGGCGCCTGATAGCCACCTGTTCAGGTTGTTGAACGGGAAGTTGAGGTATATACATACGATTACTGTTACTAGCTCGAGCTAGTGTGAGGTCAGCAGAAACATAGCACTTGCAGAGGTGATATTTTATAGATACGAATGGTCAAACCCCCTTTTTTATTAAAGTGGGTATAGTCCAGACCTCCTACTTCTCCAATATGTCTCAACGCGATAGCATAATAGTTACTAAGTCCTCTTGCTATGCGGCTTTATAGGCGCTCGTCTATGTGGCTCAACTCTCAGGTCATAATCGCAGCTAGATGAGTTATGCTGGCATCTCCATCACCGGCTCGGATGTTCTCTTATAATTGAAATTTAGAAAGAGAGAATAGGTCGCCTTTGCGTGTCTGAGCAAACCATGTAATATTTGAATCCAGACTTGCACGTTGCGCAACTGGTAATACTTCCTACGGCTTCATGGGTTGCTTCAAGGCACACCCGTTGATTGCACATTTGTTCATATATGGATTTCGGCAACTGAAGTCGGCATCTTGCTTATATAAGTAGTGCTCAACAAGTCGAACGCTTGGGCTGCTACCCAACCTACACCACGCGCGACCGCCCCCAAGACCGGTGGAGAAGAGGCAACATTGAACGCGAACAGACGCTGCAATTTCGGCTTCATTCATTATGAATCACAGTCTTGTAATTAGTTGCCTGGTCAACTGATCGATGATGTATCCGTGTGTCGTAGAAGTGTACCAGCAACCCATCTCCGTCCGCATTGCTCGCTACTTTGGCAGTTTTCATCTCAAAATGTCGTCACGATGAATCAAAAACTTTGAGGCTTATCCATTGCCTCAGCCAGCCACCGCAATCCCCAAAATGGCATTCATTCTCTTCCGCGACGCTCAATGTGGTCGTCCCACCTTCAACTACGAGACCGACCTGGATCTAGGCTATTGCCTCAACATCGCAGTCGGCAGCAGCTCTCTTACCATCACCCTTTTCCCCGGCTGTCCGAACAGCGGGACTCCCCTTCTTCTCATGTCGAATGACACTGGCTGCCCCGGCTTTTCCTTCTCGCCGACTATCACTTCGCTAGGCACGGCGACACATTCACATTCAACTTCGGGGTCGCCAAGTGGTGCGGCACTGCCGTTGGATTTTGTTAACCAGCTTGGTGTTTGTCAGGGCTTGAGGCTGGGGACGAATATCGGAAGTGTGCAGTTTGCATGTCCGGCTTTGACGGCGGCGCCGGCGCCGACAGCTACATCGGGTGCAAGTCGATATGTTGCGGATTCAAGAAGAGAGAGATCCTGGATTTCGGGGTGCTGGGTGCTTCTAGGAGGATGCATGGCGTTGGGTGCAGTTGTAAGTTAGCCACATTAGTGGGCGGGAACGGGCTCGGTCGACAAGCCACGCGACCATTCAAGCTGGTTTTGAAGCGTTAGCAGAGCGGAGAGCAGCAATTCGAATTTAGGGCATGGTGGCATGCTCTTGGTGGCTTACTAAACTTGAGGACTTGTATATATATGACTGAGGTGATTCAACCAAATCCCACCGACAGAAAAATGCAAATTTTAGCATTAGTAGTTACAATATACGGGGCTACATGGTTAGAAATAAGCAGGGTTTACTGTACCTAAGCACATTCTCCACAGGTACCTTTGTTGTTGAAGAAGACCCTAACAGCAGGACTTACTTGCTAGTATAAACCCTTAGGTTAGACACTTTAGTAGTTTACACAACTAGACTATAGAGGCTTTGTTATATCGGAATTAACAGAATAAGTGTTTAATGAATTCAGTAAAGTAAAGGTTTATATAACGTACCCCACAAGCAAGTTGGCCACTTTTTCTTGGCACCGTACGAACAACCTTTTAATTAACATCTTTACACATACCAAGATGGTGATGCGTGCACCTAGGGGGGAGGATGCTATAATGCAGCAGTGCGCAACGTTATAGTATCTAATTGAATGGGATTCACCTAACCAGTGGGTCTACCTACCTTTTCGTATCAGATGGGATCGAATTGGAAAGAAAGCGACATGATTCTAGCGTGTCAGGCGCTTCAATCGAAACCCGAATTAAGCATCCAACGCGCTGCCCAACTCTACAATGTCCCTCGTACAACTCTAGCTAACCGAAAACGCGGACTACTATCTCGACGCGATACTCGACAATCTAGTCATAAGCTTACGGAATCAGAAGAGTTAGCGGTCGTACAATACATACTTGACCTAGATTCGCGATCATTTCCTCCCCGGCTCCATAGTGTTGAAGCTATGGCTAACCGACTGCTCCGTGACCGTGGCGCTGGACGCGTCGGCGTCAACTGGGCCTCGAACTTCGTACGACGACAACCAGACCTTCGTGTGAAGGTCAACCCTCGCAGACTCACTACAACCAGGTGACTTACAGCTGGAACACCTGTCATGGCAGTGCCAGATGGGAAGCCAATCATAACCCCTGCAGGAGCCCCGCCAAGCGTGGACGACTTAGTCGCGCTCCCTCAAACCTAAGTTTGTGATCTTCTTTCCTTCGCTCCTTAGAGTAGAATCTTCGTCGATAGCACCTAATCGAGGTCTCTACCAATGCGATGCAACCCAGGTCGTGACATCGGTAACTTTGGTGTTACTTTTGAGAAGAGGGGTTCCTTTCGCCTTCTGAACTTTAAGTGACAATAGTCTTCTCTAGTGCCATATTATTTCTGAACCTAGGAACCAGGTGCCCAATCTGACAGCTACTTCTGCTTGGCAAGATCCGTTTTTCATTGCGAATTTCGTGTGTCTAACTTGCGAGCCAGTTTCTCTTGCAAACTGTTAGTCTTAGGAATTACGGATTGAAAAAAGTAAAGTATTAAATCGTGTTGTGGAGGAACTGGATCTTTGCCGCAGTTGGTAACGAGGAGAGGATTGTTACGAACCGTTGGCCCTAGACCAACATTATAGGCCCGTTGGCAGGCCAGGTGGATACAGGACCCCGCATCGGAGAAAGGAAAGAACCGACCGGGTCACGTGACTTACAAGGGTGGATATGTGGATCGCTACATATCCAACATATCCAAGTGGGGATCAGTGAAGGAGAGATGGGTATATAAGGGACAGGACTCCCAGGCATTTCATAGATAGACAGTCTCTACTTCAGTGATCAATCTAAGCATTAATCTAACCCATTGGTGAGGCAAACTGCCTTGACGACTCTGTTCCCGATTATCCTACTTGAATACTTCAGTTACCCAAAGCACTCTACTCCATACGTCAAACCCCGATATTAATGCTTGAGGACTCCGCAGCAGGACTTACTTACTAGCACAAACCCTTACAGACTCTTTAGTGGTTTACGCAGCTAGACTATTAGAGGTTTCGTTACATTTAACCGGTAGCTATTACTTGAAGAGCTCGATAAATATTATCTTCGGTATATTAACTTATATTAGTATAAAGAAGACGTACGTAAAAATTCGTAACGATTAAATCGATATTAGTAAAGATAAAAATGTTAAAGTTTGAGGCTAGCGGTGTTGATAAGGTATTTTTGGGGTGTCCTACATGTGGGAGTGGGACGTTATTCCCTTCTTTTCCAAACCGTTGGACCAGTTGACCCCTTTTTCTAGCCCCAGTGATAATACATGACAATATGTCAGAGTCTTCAGTTTACTATAGCAATACTGAATCCGGAGGCACCGGTCATTCCATGATGTATTCAAGGCCCTTGTGGCCAAGTCCGCTCATTTGATAATCCGGACCCTGCAGAGATCACTGCAATTCAATGCATTATTTGTAACCAATAAGTACGACAAGAGCCTGCGGTGGGGTTCCAATTTTAAACCTCCCAAGAAAATCGATCGCGCTTACACGGTTAGAGAAATTTAACATTTGTCTCTACTGACCTTTGGCTTGCACCTGGAATAGTACTGCTGACGAATACATGGCCGCGATCAAGGAACACAAAGAAAACATGTGGGAATTGTACTGGGGGGGGCCGGGGGGGAGGGGCCTTTCGGCCAGTAGATAATAGAGGCCGGCCCCAAGTTAAGTCAGCAACTTCCGGACTTCCCGCTCCTCAGAAACCTTATACTGGGCATAACCCTAGCATGCCAAGGTATATGCAGGGTTGGACCTACATTAAAAAATGTCGCGAGTCAGCATTTCACGGATAAGCAGCAAGACCGCCTGTCGCTCTGTACTTAAGACCCTGATGACCACCATCTGTTTTCAATATTCCAAGACTGCTTTTCCTTTTGGTCCAGCTGAAGTCCAGTTACAAGTCACAAGAACCAAACCAATCCAACACAACTGTCACAGGTCATAACTCAAGACACGCTGATTGATTATTAATGCTGGTCGTTCATTATATTTACTTTGCTTTATTTACTTCTGCGCATCTCAGCCTTCAACATTAGACATCGAAAGTTTCTCATTAACTACTAATAACTTTGCCTCAACCTCCTTATAAGAGGTACTCATTAGGGATGTAAATGGGCATGGAGTCCTCCCATTGGGAGTCGACCAACATCTTCTTGTCGGACCCGTCGGGGTTCATGCTCATAATCTGGCCGTAAGGCTGGAAGGTGTCATCGTAGAGGGCGCACTCGTCGCGGAAGCCGAACTCGCCACTCGAGTAGAGAATGCGAGAGCCGTCATAGTTCCAGACGGCATGAGCCTCGTTGGAGCCGCTGGTGGTCAGGACCTGGACATCGGTGCCGTCGGCGGCCATCGTGCAGACGTCGTAGTTGCTGGCCGTCTCGGTGCAGCACGAGGTGCGGCGGGTGAAGAGGATGCGACTCGAGTTGCTGCCGGGCTGGAAGTGGGGGAGGTTGTCCCAGTCTTCGGTGAGGATGGAAATGGAGTTGTTCTTGGTCAGGTCAAGCATGCGGATGCCCAACCAGTCAAACGACGTGTTGCCCCAAGCGCGGAAGACAATCTTAGTACCGTCATCGGAGTATGAGGGGAAACCAGCGTTGTAGCTGCCGTCGGTGAGGTACTCAAACGAGCCGTTGGCAGTAGCGGAAGCGCGGGCGAGACGGGCGGTGGTAGTGGCGCGGCTCTGGAACCACGAGCCGACACCAAAGGCGACAGACTTGCCGTCAGGTGACCAGTCAGGGGCGAAGGCACCGGCAAGACCTACGCTGAGCTGGGCGGGGTCGAGTGCGACGGTAGGGTCGAAGACGACCTGCTGGTCGGAACCATCAGGGTTCATGACAACAATGCCGCTATTGCCGAGCTGCTTCTGGGTCATAGCGAAGCGCTTGGTGACGGTGGACAGGACGGGGAAGACGTCGGTGAAGCGGTACTCCCAGTCCGAGTCCCAGCTGTACAGCGGCTTCTCCATGGCGCGAATAGGGGTCCATAGTTGCCTTTCGTAGACAACCTTGGACCCATCGGGCGACCACGAGGGGTTGCGCAGGAACGAGTCGCCCTGGCCGCTGACGAAAGCGAAGGTGGAAGAATACTACAGGACAACAAGCGTCAGCCAAGTGCTTGAAGGGAACATGGTTTCAGGGGCAAAGGGAATTTGCCTTGTAGCCTCTGAAATACCAGAAACACCGGAAGGGGGAATCATGCTTACCGAAGTGTAGTTCAGTCCAGGATTGGCGTTGCCCTTGACCAGGTATCCGACGGTGTCGTTGGTCACATACTGAGGGCCTACCTTGAGGGAGCCCCCGGTGACGTGGACCTGGCGATCCAGACCAGTCTCGAAGTCAACACTGACGATGGACGACACAATGCTGTCGACGCCCTCAGGACGGTGGGAGTCCCAGGTGTTCTCGCGCGTCAGCTCGTAGAAGATGACGCGCTTGCCGTCAGGGGACCACTTGGGCGAACCCAGACAGTACTCGTCCTTCGCGGCGAGCTTGCGCATGTCGGTACCGTCGGGACGAATGACGTAGATGGACAGCTCCTGGGTGTGCTCCCAACCGGTGCCGTTTCCGTGGCCAGTCCATGCCGTTTCGCGGTCAGAGGAGAAGGCGAGCCATTGGCCGTCAGGAGACCAGCTGTTGTTGAGAAAACGATCAGTTACGGGTTTTTTTCTTACTTGTTCTGAACAAAACGCCTCGGGATTGGTGGGAAAGGTACAAATGAAACTTGATGCACGGGAAAGAGGATAGCAAAAAGGACTAACCTGGGTCGGAAGTGACCAGAGGGACTGTCGTCACGACTGATGGTGGTCTGGGTCAGAGCGGTGCTGGTGAGGTTGCGAGCCTCCTTGGTGGCAAGGTCCATGACCCAGATGTTGGCAAGGTAGCCATTGGCAGTCGAGACATAAGCGACCTGGGTGCCGTCAGGGGAAAGGACGGCGTTGTCCTCCATGGCCGAGGTGGCGATGATCTCCTCGAGGTCGGTGCCGTTGGCACGCACACGGTACAAGTCGGAGTTGCCGTCGCCATTACGCTCGCTGGTGAAGGTGATCCATTCACCATCGGCCGAGAAGGAAGGGTGGTAGTCGAGACCCGAGGTGCTGTCCAAGAGGGCCACCTCGTTGGTGCCGTCGGCATTGGCCACAAACAGGCCCGAGGACGCAGGACCGATGCGGTTGAGCAGCATCACACCCTTCTTGTCGGCCCTCGCAGGCAGGCCTCGGGCAGAGTGCATGCGCGGCAAACTGCCCGAGGACGACATGTAACCCGGCCACGCGAGGGCGGTGCCCACGACGAGGCCCATCAGACTGGTGGTGCTGGGACGCATCTTGTCTGGTCTTTGCTGCGAAGAAAGAACGTGGAAACGAGTGTGAGGAGGGGTGAGGACACCAAGAGAGGATTCACGTCATGGGAGCACGCACATAAAGGTGCTCTTATACTGGCTTACGATAACAGATTTTTCCTCTCTCTCTATTGCCCCAATTGTTACCACCGAGATTTCCGAAGATCGCGGAGATTGACAATGACTCTACAGGAAACCACACCTTGAAGTGCCGGCTCTTCATATCCAGAAACAGCACGACGGCCGGCGCATGCCCACCTGCATGTCCAGGGTGGACTTGCAGTCTAGAAGTCGATGGATGGGGAAAACGACGACTTGGATCAATCACTGGGTCGCTATTGTGAACCAGCCCTGCATGCTTCTCCACAAGCCATCGGTCCAACTCCCATCCTGGCACTCCACGCCCCTGGAAGAAGTGTCACATCGCCTCCAGTCCGGCACCTCCAATTTTAGCATGTGCACTATCCCATGATACCAAGCTTCTTCACGGACCAAACCCTTGTGCACAGCAATTCTATCTGTGTAGTTACTCGATTTCTCATATCAAGTTGTGTGTGTGTGTCGACTTGTTCCTCGACGTGGGGCATTTTCACAGGCTAGCCTTGGAGCCACCTGAAAAGGTGTAGAGGAGAAGAAAGACTTCCATAGGCCCATAATGGATGGGCGTCGTGACTGACCAACAAGTTTGGTCCACCTTGGTCTGGTTCCACACTCAACGCTGCCTCGGCTTCTGATCACCAGGCGAGCACCCAAAGCTCTGCACAAAGCAACCTATCAACCTACCATCCGCTATCATCCAGACCACAACAGCCGAGGTGCCACCTGCCATGTACGGTAGCAGGGTCTGCAGAGCGTATGCAATGCATCTTGATGCATCTTCGCCCCTCCGAGAAAACGCGTGGCCAGCACAGTGTATACTGCATTACGGGAGGCGAGGGGCAAATGGTCCCATTTGGCTGCGGCTCCATATAACTTTAAATCTCATTTGAATGTTGAAATCTCTTATGCGACCCAAGCGCACGGTGGATCGACTCGGCTCCTTGCCCGCACAAGCTACCCGTGCCACACCCCACTTATTTCGGATTCGCTTGAGCTCACCAACTTGGCCACATCACCAACTTGGCCACATCACCAACTTGGCCAGCTTTTCTACACTTTCAATTTCAACCTATCCTATCTTCGTCAATTCATTAGCTTTTTCCAATCGCAATGGAATCACAGCTACAGGAAGCCGTCCTCTACATGCAAGAGCATCCTCAAGCCAAAATTGCCAAGATTGCGCGAGAAAGCGGCGTAAAACGCGAGACCCTCCGATACCGTGTCAAGCAAGCTGGGAAGACTAAGAACCACGGAGGACTCAACAAACTACTATCTGAAGCCGAAGAAAAGGCCCTCTGTAATTACATCGACCGCCTTGATAGGATCAATCTTGCGGTTCGCGTAGAATTCGTTACCGACGCTGCAAATACGATATTACGTGAGAGAGCCCAGGTTCTACCAAACCAGCCACCACCAACAGTCGGATCAAACTGGACTACACGTTTCCTCAAGCGCCATAGCTACTTCCACGCTTCCCAGCGGAAGCTCCATTCAAACCGCCAGACTGCTGAAAACCTCGACACTATACGAGAGTATTTTACACGGCTTGAGAGAGTCCTCCGGGAAGAAGGAATCGATCCCTCTGATCTCTGGAATATGGACGAGACTGGCTTCCGGCTTGGTGTTGGTAAGGATCAGCTTATCATCACTAAGCGCAAGAGGGCCCATTACTTGGACCTACCAGAAAATAGAGAGACAGCGACAGCTATTGAAGCTATCTCTGCTGCTGGCGACGTAATACCAGCTTTCCTCATACTCACGGGGACTATCCACTCGGCTCAGTGGTACGCGCAAGACCTTCATCCAGATATGAAGCTATGGCCGGTCGATACAGGCTATTCGAATGACGAGATCTCTCTCGAGTGGCTTATGCACTTCGAACAACACTCTAAGAAAACGCAGAAAGGTCGAAAGCGACTATTGATCTTAGACGGCCACGGCAGCCACCATACGAAGCAGTTTATCCAGTACTGCAACGACCACGATATTATACCCTTCGGCTTGCCCCCCCATCTTACTCATCTCTTACAGCCACTAGATGTGGTTGCTTTTCAGCCATATAAGCACTGGCATGCGAAGTCCCTGGATCAACTAGTACGGGATGGATGTACCAATATAACCAAGCTAGAATTCCTCTCAATTATCGAAGATGTACGCAAAAAGACCTTCAAAGCGAGTATTATCCAGTCAGCCTTCAAGAAAACCGGTATATATCCATTTTACCCTCATCCAATACTACAAGAGATTGAAGAACGTATACCAAAGACGCCATCACCACCATCAACCCCTTCATCTTCGTCATATGAAGGCACACCTACTACTTTTCGACAAATTAATAAAGTAGCTAGCAAGATTACGAACTGTCTTACTGATCCAGAGCTTGGTATTAGTCCAGATCTAGCCTATCGACTTAGTCGCTTTGTTAAAGGGTCCCTCGTTAATGCGACCGAGCTTATACAGACTAAGCGCGATCTTAGCCGTACAAAGTACGCCGAACGTATATCAAAACAACGGCGCGCTACGAAGAACTATTATCTTCAATCTGGTGGAGTTTTATCCGTTGCAGAAGGTAGAGAGATGGTGAAGAGGAAGGTTGAAGATGAGGTAGCTAAAGCACAGAGAGTTCTCGCCAAGTATCATGAAGGACTACGTAGAGTAGCCAAAAAGAGCTTTTCTGATGCCGCAAAAGAAGCTAGAAGACGTCGATTGACAGGCCAATTACAGCCTACAGATGTCTTCGAGACAGGCCTTGGTTGGCGATTATTACGTAGATTCTAATTGAAGGTTGAAATCCGTCGAAAAACTGGCCAAGTTGGTGATGTGGCCAAATTGGTGGTGAGCACCAACTTAGGTTGGTGAACTCAAGCGAATCCGAAATAAGTGGGGTGTGGCACGGGTAACTAAACATACTACGTAGTATGCATAATTGCAACCGCAAGCGGTCCGAACTATAAAAGGAAGGCGGAAAAGAATTTCCTGCCAATTAAGCTTCTGGGAAGAATCAGATAAGCACACTTCCTCCGGCCCTCACCTGTCAACCTGTGAAATGCCCCACGTCGAGAACATTCGACACACGTAACATTATGCAAGAATCCAAGTAACTAAACATATATAATTTTGTGCCAGGGTTTGGGTATGTCGAGAACAGTAGCACTTGGGAGAGAAGGCTTCGTATGATGGGACAATGCACACGCTAACATCAGAGCTGCCAGAAGGGGTATCCACATCACCGCTAACTGGCGGTTGAACAAGCTCGCACAGGGGGTCAAGTACGGTTATTTGTCACTTTTGTCCGATGCTGGTCTCCGGACATCAGTGAGGTGTACAGCAAGTTATGAACGGATCTGAACAAATCGGTACAGCAGTCGATGGGACTCTACTCGGCCGACAGATCCAGCTCCTCATAGTACCGGTAAATGCCATATCCATACTTCTGTCGTCTCTCACTCGCCAGGTACGCTTTGATGCGTGGGCGCTCCTTGACCGTCTCGTACAGCTCGAAGACACGCACGTACTTGCCACCCTTCTCGGCAGCACTCATGGCCTTGGGAAACGCAAACTTTGTCCCGTCGAGACACTGCAATAGTTGTTGATCAGCACTTGTAACCCATGACCTCCGCATCATGTCGCCGTGCCGAAAGAACTCACCTGGAAGAGTACCAAGTCCGCCCAACTCAACCCGCCTCCATATAGCCACACACTTTCCCCCATTCCCGCTCTTTTTTCCTCGTTTCCCTTCAGAACCCTCTCGAAGTAGCCCAAGAACTTGGGCAGCCGATTGGCGACGAAGTCTTTGGTCTTCCGCAGCGCCTCTTCCTTCTGGTCCTCGTAGTACAGGCTTGTCGCTATAGGGTGATGGCAGTCATGCACCTCGTTGCTCAACCCATCCAGCGCCGTCAGAGCGAGCGCATTGATCTTGTACACGGCACCCAAATCCTCGTTCACCTCTTGATCGCTGCCATCGTTTCTTTTCGGCACTAGTCCCAGCCTACTCCCAAGGTACATCAATATGTTGGGCGTCTGCGAAATGGTCAAAGTGCCATGCTTCAAGATGGGCGGCGCGAGAGGCGGCACGTTGAGCTCGTCGCCCACGTTCTCGGCGTCGATCTGGGCCAACACGGAGTTCATGCCGTCCGAAATGTGGGCCGTGTCGCTGTACTCGACCCCTGCTTCTTCGAGCACGAGACGGATGTGTTCGCCACGGCCGGGGAGTCTTGGCCAGTAGATGAGTTGGTAGGGGGCATCTTCGGACGACTTTTCGCATTTGGGGGTGGGGTCTGCCAATGCCATGAGGTACTAACAAGCTTGCAGGACTGAACTCAAATAGATTGGACGATGCCTTCAACCCAGGATTGAGTGAGGATTGAGGTAGACACGGGCCCGATAGCTGAAATAAGAGCTACTTACCGGCAGAGGATACAATACGGGGTGGAGAAGCAAGGGTCATTAAGCATTAAATGACGTCAGATCCTCCCGAACAACCCCCTGCCGACATGGTACAAGGCAATTACAACAGTCTTGAAAGTCAAAGTCGCGGGTGTCAAATGCGCTGGGTGGCTCAAATGGTCCATACCTCTAATAAATCTAGCTAGCGTCCTAGTTACCTCCTGGTTCTAGTATTAAATGGCGCAAAGTCAAACTCAGCTTGCCTCATCATGGGGTACTTGAAATTCAAGTTGACCAATTTGACAAGAGTGTGTAATGCAAAAGGTATCTCTGACATGCATACAACGGTTCGCTGTCCGCGACGACGCCCAATAACAACCACGCCATCAATCCCGCGGGACACCCTTGCGGCATGTTACTCTGTGAGCTAGTGGCGGTCTCGTCACCTACTCCTCTAAGACCACAGTCTCTGCCAGGATGTTCCTGCACTCAGCCGGATCTTCAAAAACATGCCAACTGCCCCTGGGTACATCCTTGAACGCCTTTTCAAATCTCTCGGGCTCGTTCTTGGATTCGATGCCAATGGCCGCGATATCTGTGACTTTGCGAATGAGGATAAGCTTCACCCAGCCCGGGAATGCGCGATAGCTATTGCATCTGTCAGTACGGCGATTTGACCCGGAAGAATAAGGGTGCGGCGCTCACATCTCTCCATAGGCTTCGGGATCAGACTGTGTCGAATCGCCAATACAAATCATCTTCCTCTTCGGCAACCATCCGCGAATTTTCTTCATCCGGTCCACCTTGTAGCCCTCGGTGCCCATGGTTAAACTCGACAGCAGTCCGGGAATGCTACTCCAGCTCGAGTCCCGCAAGATGATGGTGCCCTGGGGATATCCAGCTTGGTTTCGGAAATCACGCAGGAACGGGTACAAATTGTATGGCGAGGCCGATAGGTAAAAGTAAGGAGGGTCCGTCTTGCGGATGAGCGAATCCATGTAGGCATAAAGCTCGGCCATTCCAGGACACGGCGTGGGCTTGTCGACGAAAGTTGAGCGGAGGATGCCAATCGGATCACTAGTCATGCTAATTTTGATCGTGTCGTCAATATCTGCTACTCATCAGCCGCCAGGTCCCGAACTTCCACGCCGAATGCAAATCGGCCTACCAGAAATAACCCCCCAGCCCTCTGGTTCCGCATAGAACGTGTTTAGCTCCAGCACACCGTCCGCGCCCAGAGGTACCTGGGCGTACGTCTTCACCAGCCCATCGCTGTCGGGACCTTTAAGCGGCTTGATATCATTGCTAATACCATTTCTGCCTCCTGGTCCCAGTTTCATCAAGTTGTGTCCATTCTCCAGTGCCTTGACTTGCGTGCCGGGCTTGATATCCTGCAAGAAGGGTAGTATGCGCTCCTTGATGGTGGAATAGTTTGGATCCTTTTCGTCGAGGTCCAGCTCCTTTGCGACCGCCGCGACGGCCTCGATCACAACGCACGAGGGGTGCTGTGCGAATACGGCCGACACGAACTCGGCCTCCCATCCTCCTCCTGTCTTTTGGTTGCGGTATGCCGTGTTGTCAAGAAGCCAGACCGTGTCGTCCTTGGCGACCTGACGCGGCATCGGGTTCCTCGAGCCCAGGTACGAGAGCATGTCGTTCAGCTTGCTGGTCGCCGTCACCTGGGGCGACATTGGCGATGTTGGCGACACATTGCCCGCGAGATCAGATAGGTCCGCCTCGGTTTGTAGAAATCTGCGCTCTTTTCGTGTTTGCAGCTGCATATCTTCGACCGGCGATTTGTTATGGTAACGGACCGCCATCTTTGCTGCTTGATCCTGTGACGGAGAATATATAGGGTCTAGGGATCGAGGTCGAGTCGAATCCGTCAAAGGGTCTGCGAGGCAATGACTCTTGTCGCGTGACGGTCTGACTCTTCAGGACGGGGCAAGTGGTGTACTGCGGTCCACGAGGCAGGCAGACGAGATGGCGAAATCGCGATAAGGTAACACAAGCAGGAATATATTTCTGTTCAGCCCTCTTCAGGACTGACATAGGAGCAGCTGAGCGCGACTGCTAAATGCCCCATGAGATCAGCTGGTGGGTGTGGTCAGCCAAAGCAAGCCACAGCACGCCGAGGCTGGGCGGCACGCTCCTGCCGGCGCACTATCTTGCACCTTCATGCCCAATGAACAATGATTGCAAACCGTTTCTGCAGTCGATGACGCCAGTCGAAGATCATGGTGCATTCGGCTCGCCCACCAGCGGCTGTGGGAGGGTGGCAGTGCCTGCGTCTGCCTGCGTCTGACTTCACGAGGGGAAAAGGTGTCCTGGGTGTGCCCAAACTGGCATGGATACGTTCACGTCGCGGCAAAGCCTTGCAGCCAAGCATTCAAGTTGGGAGATGAGGTGGAGTCGTCATGATAAACTTCTGGCGCCCATGTCAATCACAGGCATTCCTAATAATTTAAACTTGCAAGGTGCGAGTCTGGGGAAATACGAGTCCCGGCTGCATCGACAAAGTAGATCGCGCAGATAGATGCATTTGCAAGGGAACCTAACGGCCAAGGTTGGGTCTTTGCTCAGCCCTTTGGAGGATTTAGAGGATTCCGAGCAGGGTGGGGCAGCTGACCGTTCGAGTGCAAGTGGGCAACTACGGTATTTTAAAGATAGATAAGCAAGTACCTGTATGTACTATGTGCATTTGCGTTGTTTTTGGCTGTGCTGCATGCTGGAACTACTCCAAGAGCATACGTCCAAGAAGACGCGGGAGATTGACCATTGAGGACCTTGCGATACCGTGCATCGATCTCGCCGGCCTGCAGGTACCATTCTGAATCTGAAGCCATGACAGAGCCATGACAGTACGTTTACCGAAGCCGGGTGTGGTGAGTCCAATGGGAATGATGGAATTATGGGAAGCTGCGAGCGGCTGTCGGTACTGGTACTCGGCTTGGCTGGCCGCTGTCCCCAAATTCCAAGACCACGGCCCTACATAGTGGGTACCTGCCTGGCATGCATGTGCCTATGTCAACTGCCGCGATAGTGTCCGGTCCCAGTGTTCCCAATCCTTCCCGTGCCCCAATTCTGTGTCCAAGATCACCGGGCAGGTTTCGTCTGAACAGTCTGACCAAGTCAAAGTGGTGATAAAAATCTCTTCTCTTAGGGCAACGCTGCTCGGAGCAGAATGAGCAGCAATCGCCGCTCTCCCGTACCTTCCGGCCTCCTTCCAATGCCGGGCTCGCCTGCCTCGTCGTGGGCCATGTACAAGGCTCGATTCGCGTCCATCTTTCGAAACGCCGACACGTCGGTGCTGGTGGCTTTCTGGCTGTTTGGTACGTCGATTGTCGTCGACCATGTCGCTAAAGCTGCGACTCGGTCCAATAGCGAAAGCGCCTTCCTTGAGCAGTAACTGACTTGTTTCTTCCTTGCGCAGGCCTCATCAACAATGTTCTCTACGTTATCATCCTGTCCGCCGCGCAGGACCTTGTCGGCTCCGATGTGCCCAAGGGCGTTGTCCTCCTCGCCGACGTCCTGCCGTCCTTCTTCACCAAATTAATCGCCCCCTACTTTATCCACAGGGTCCCTTACTCGATCCGAATCCTCGTCTTCGTCGCTGGCTCCTCGGCTGGCATGTTCCTCATCGCCCTCACCCCGCCCGACAAGTCGGTGGGCATCAAGATGGCTGGCGTTGTCTTCGCCAGTCTGACTAGTGGGGGCGGGGAACTCAGCTTCTTGGGCTTGACACATCACTATGGACACATGAGTCTGGCGGCTTGGGGCAGTGGCACTGGTGCTGCTGGTCTCGTCGGCGCAGGACTGTACGTCGTGCTGACGACCTGGATCGGTTTCAGTGTCAAGAACAGCTTGCTCGCCTCAGCCTTCTTGCCCGTCATAATGCTGCTCAGCTTCTTCGTCATACTGCCGCGAGGGCCACTGCGCGAAGGTGCACGGGCAAAGGAATACGATATCGTACCGGAAAGAGACTTGGAGCAAGACGACGTCGAGGACATGCCGACCGACACCGCGGCGGCAAGTTTACTGGCACCAGGACCAGCTGTCGCATCCACCGCCTTCTCAGCAAGCGCTGATGATAGCGCGGCCAAATTCCGGTCTAATTTACGTCGCGCACGATCGCTGTTCTTGCCCTACATGTTGCCCCTGCTGTTGGTTTACGTCGCAGAATACACCATCAATCAGGGAGTGTCGCCGACCTTGTTGTTCCCTCTCGATGGCTCCCCCTTCACCAGGTACCGCGACTTCTACCCATTTTACGGCTTTCTGTACCAGCTCGGCGTCTTCATCTCGCGGTCGTCCATTGCCTTTATCCGCATCCGCCATCTTTATATTCCGTCCTTCTTGCAGATTGGGAATCTCGTGCTTCTAACTATGCACGCGCTGCTTTTCTTCATCCCCAGCGTGTACATCGTCTTTCTCATCATCTTCTGGGAGGGACTTCTCGGTGGGGCCGTATATGTCAACACTTTCGCAGAGATCATGGAAAACATCCCTAACTCGGAGCGCGAGTTTAGTCTCGGTGCCACTAGTGTTAGCGATAGCGCCGGTATCTGTGTAGCTGGATTTGTCGGCATGAGTATCGAACCGTGGCTCTGTAACTATCAGGTTAGCCAAGGGAGGGACTGGTGCAAGCAAATCAAGGTCGGATGAGATGCGCAACTACACACGTCATGGGCAGCAAATATGCGACGATATCTCGACGACAGCCTGCATCCAAATCAAACACTTGGACACCCTTCCTGGTTTCTCTGTGGATACCTATCCTTCTCAGAGAAATCAGGATAGACCTATAAATGGACTAGATTCTCTTTCTCGCTCCAAGAACTTGTTTGGCGTCCTTTGGTATTAACCAGCCCAGAGCCTGTCAATATCCCCCCTGATTCAGCTTTCCGTCACTGGGCTACTAAGAAATTGCGCGGATTCAGTGGTAGAGTGCACCCGCATATTGCATCGAGGCTAGTCCAACGGCGGCTCATGCCGACAACAGGCCAAACCCCTCCAACGGTCCGACGCACGCCTCAACTCGACGTAGTGCGCCACGTGGGCCGTCGAGACCATGGTCTGAGCATCGTGATCCGCTAATTCCGGCTGCTCGCGCATGGGACTTATGATGAAACTTATCAATTCGCTGCGTCGAGCCTAACGGTGTTTCTAGGCGACGAGCTAGCCAGTGGACAGGTGTACTGGACACAGGAGCGCTGTATCCACAAGAAGAAATGATAAGCCAGCAGCCCTTCAACACTATCGCGAAGCCCACCCACCGTCGACAGCTCCGAACAAAGGGCTGTCAAATACACCAATCAATTTATCCGCCCTCTTCCCTCCAAGGACCTCCCTCCACCGGTCATCTTGCCGCATAGCAACGCCGCAAACCACAATATTCACATGGAGTGACTCCAAAAGCTGCAACGCCGACAGTAGTGTCGCTCGGCTGCTCACAGCATCATCAATGACAGCGACACGTCCATGCGCCAACAGTGTTAGTTGGTGTTAATCGATCCACAGCCGCTTCTGGCCCGGTGCTGGGGACGTTGTCGAAGATACTGGAGTCGATAGTGCCGCATCATACCGGAATTTCTGGGAATATCCGAGGAACTTTGGCATTGGGTTAGAGACCGGATTAAATGTGCATTCTCCTGCTCCATGTCGTGAACGTACCATATATCTCGTGTGTCTTAGTGCCTTGGTAACACCCGGACAGAGAGCATGTGTCACAGCGCTGGCGATTACAGAGCCACATAGTGCTGTATATAGCAGTTAGTGGGACCAAATGTCAGTAACACTGACATTTCTAGATCTTTTGGTCTATTGGCTTAGGGGCTTGGTCCTCCTCTTGTGACAGCATGGCCGAGCGTGTGCAAACCGACGACGATTTCGGGTTAGTATGGCGCTATCTTTCCTGCGAGCATAATTGACAGGTATCGATGACGTGGAAAGAAGCAGTGTTGAGCAGAAAAGATGCGATGCCGTGGCGGGGGTTGGAGGCGAGTTGGCTGATGGGGAGGACCAAAGAGCGGCCGTCAGGAAGCTGGACGGGGCAGCCAAATTTTCATGGAGGATTCTTATCAACGATCCCGACCCACGATGGCTTGCCAATATGGGGTTGTTGGCTCGGTGTAGTGAGCTGTGGGCGGAATCGTGTCTCGGCGTACAAGTGTATTTTGAACATCCAATATCCGATCAGATCTTCGCGGCAAGCCGCGCAATTCAAAGAATGGGCAAGGTGCGACTAGTCAGCTCCTTGAATATGGTGATAAGCCGATAAGGGTCATATTTGGTTGTACAATGATTCATAGTTTATATTGCCATGCGCAATTGACACAAGCTTGAATCCGTTTCAAAGCCTGCAGATGTATTTGGATAACAGCAGCTGACAAAAGCCAAGATGTCACGTAATTTGTGAGTAGGGGCTACTCGACTCTCCAGTTTTAACTCGAGGCCTTCCAATTATGACATGCTCATCTTCCAATAAGGCAGTATGTATCAGTATTGAGTAAAGAACACCCCCTTGGCCTAATTTCCCTAACTGCATGCTCCATAAGCCATGCTTTGTCCAGTTGGATACACCCTAGACTGCGTTCCATTTCGGGAAACCGTCATTCATGATATGATTATGAACTGGTTCTATATCAGGTAGTCAACCCTAGTGATATCGGCTATGGAAGAGTGTCTCCCGAAATTGATGTCATGTGTGAATGATCAAGACTATCAGAGATTCACACATATAACGGGATGCCCCTACATCTGTCTCACGGGAAATATTTCAGAAAGCCGGCGCCGTCTATACTGAGTACCCTTAACTGTTGTGATCTAGGTTAGCCCCTCGATATCCGTGTCACCAATGAGGGGGTTAGCAAGATCCTCTTACAGCAGAGACCATGCCCAGGAAAGTGAGGTCAGAATGAATACGTCGATATAATCAAGGGAAAATTCGGTCGCATCGAATAAGATAGGTAGCTTGATTGCGGTCGCTTTCACACCTTCACTTACGTTGCACGTAATGAGGGAGGCTCTACGGAACAAGAAATCAGCCAGTGCTCTCAACGTTCATGCCGAGTATAGTTGATTGGACTGTATTCAAACAGGCCCCCAAAATCTTATGCACTTCCAGCCGCGTACTGCATCCCGTTCCTTCAAGAGGCAATGCATCCCATTCTGGACTTCCAATGTACATGGCTTCTAAAACTGACATTTTATATGCAGACACCTGACCTAGATACTGAGCTAGGGTACTTCGGTATTTTATATTAAAGATTGGGAAGATGGAAGCACCCAATGTGGTGGGAGCCCTGAGGTACCATGCGTAAGTGCCTTCCGAGTGACAGGATCTGAGCAGGCACCTTCCAGCAGAGCTGGGGCCACCACTTCCCGCAAACATTTATCCAGAATGGGAAGCCAATGCCTCCCGTCTCCCGTGACATATGAGTCCACTGGTGTCAAGCTACCTTTATATCGATGTTTAACTTGGTGACCTTTAATTTTGTAGCAGGCAGTAAGACTTCTAACACCTTCTCATACCCCTCCGCCTGTGATCTTTTTCTTTTCGGTCCGTTCCAGAACGGAACTCATGAACTAGCCTTCTGTGACAACATCGTCATGGTAGTCATGAGCCTAGGCCTACGTCCCGCCATTGCGATCATTACCCTTGTTTGCGTTCTTCTTATTTTCATTCCGCCTACGGCGTATTTAATAATAATAATAATAATAATATTTTCATTCCCATCATTTGTGCTTTTGTAAATGTTTCCAGCCTATTTGGCGTTTTCAAGAATCACAGTGGCATCCGCATCACCCAACTTGAGATCGCACAAGCTCACAATGCGACCCCCGTCTGAGTTACAGCCTCAGAAATTTCTCATGATACTCCACCAAATCTTTCACAACGGTTAGAATGCATCAGATACCTTGCCCGTGCACTGGGCCGCTGCTCGCCCAACATGTATCGACCCAAATCCCAGTTGGGAACGTGAGGTTCGTAACACGCACCACCCCAGTATTTCGTTGCATGACGGGAGATAAAACACAGCTCTGGTTAACCGAAAGCTCGCCCACCTTTGTCGAAGACGAGTTTCCTTGTTTCTGTCGTCGTATGACAACTACAAGTTCCCGATCTAGCGCATCGACGTCGTTCGCTCCTTTATACTCCGGCATTGACGAGGCATTTATATGGACCTCGACATTAGCTGTGCTCTGAACCCAACCCTAGTCACATACTATCCCGCCTTCACGACAGATGTCGGCCACAGCGTTCTGAGCAACAAAACCATGGGAGGTCATCCTAGACACCCCTGCTTTCACCTACTCATAGAGAGTCTGATAACGTGGAACTGGAATTAGTGCCTGTACCACATCGCCATCAGCTACAGTAGCAGCCAGTAGTTCGTGACCGCCATGTGGGAAAATACTACTGGCTGCTTACGGCGTACGGCGGTATAGTTCGAGGCATCGAAGACAGTGGCTAGGCACCCCTGCACCACATAAGCATGATGATGCGGGCTGGGGCTGATGCCTGGGTATGTTGGACGCAAGATTGCGGGGGCACATGAGATAATTTGAACCGCAACTTATTCGGCTGGATCGGCAGAAACATGGTGGCCATCGCAGCAGCTGTTGTTGTTATATTCCCAGGGTTAGTCAGTTGGTGCTTTGTCTGCTACAAGACAGACTGGTAGCAGCAGAGATTACCAGATGGTCATGTCACCGTAGGTTTTTTCATTACTATCAACTATACAGATAGCCTTGCCCAGACGACATTGCCGCTGGTCAAAGGAAAGTCCATGCTGGGAATGGCAAGTTCAGAAGGCATTATGTACTGCTGAGATGCTTGGTTTAACTAGAAATCTCCGAGAAAAGACTTGCTAGTCTTATTGCGGTTATCATCTGCGTGAACGGCCCGGACCTGTAATTTGTTCACAGGCGCCGTAATGCATGCATGGGCTGGCTGTTGGAGGTCACGCACAGGTTTCGTGTCCTGGGCACTTGGCGTCCGAGATTCCCAATTTCTTCGATTAGATGTGGTTGAACTGCAGGTTGGTGTTTCACAAGTAATAGGAAGGGGAATTATGGCCATAGAATGCGTACTCTGACTCGTTGCCAATTGACGATGATCCTAGCTTGGCAACTCATAGTCCCTTTGACTTAGACCAATCACATCGATTTAGAGCAACTGAATTGGTATGCCAAGCCCCATCGTCATTGCCAACCAGACTACTCTGTCGAATTATAACAACCTGGGACTTCTGTTTATGTGCTGGGAATTGAGACGATTGGTTCATCTGATCATGCCGCAGCTCTTGAAACTGGAAATGTAATCTCACTGCTCATGCTTTCCAAGTCTTCATATCTACGGACCACTGCCTTCTAGGGCAGTTGAGGAAGAAGCCGCTGAGATCTGCACTTTTGGCGTGTGGCCGTTGTCAACATGCAATCAGCTAATCCTGCCTCAAAACTCTGATTGGGAGACAATCCAAGTTCATTTGTAACCCTTAATCCCTTTTATCTTCCAAGATTCTTTCCGGAAGTGATTACTTGACTGACCTTCCTGAGGAGGAATATGGGTCAAGTTCATGCAGGCTCGGTTCAAGATTCTGATTCTTCTCGCTGCTGGCTGATAACAGGGAAAATAGCCTCATCGATGGATAAATACTCAGCGTGCCTCAAGAATTCTCTAGAAAGCCTGTGAACTTTTGTCTTATATTTCATATTAGATACAAGGCACTCTTTCAATCACCAGCACTCACTCATACGATTACCATTGCATCGCCAAAATGCGTACCGCATCCCTTCTTTCACTTCTGCCATTGGCACTTGCCGCTCCTTCACATACCAAAAGGGAATTACCCGCTCCTGTTCTCAGGCCCCGTAATGCGCAGCTAGTCGAGGGGAAGTACATCGTGAAGATGTACGGTGATACCAAGTCTGAGGCCATGGAGTCTGCCATTCAGGTCTTCACTGCGGACCCTGACCATGTTTACACTTCGAACAAGTTCAACGGCTTCGCCTCCTCTTTGAGTGCCGCAGAAGTTGAAGCCTTGCAGAATGACCCCAACGTGAGTGAAGCAAGGGCACGACGGATTACGGCACGAAACTCACAGACTGTCAGGTGGAATACATTGAACAGAATGCCATCATGACCATCAAGGCTACACAGCAGAATGCCGACTGGGGCCTCGCACGCCTGTCGAGCGCAAAACCCGGCGGCACCACTTACACGTATGACGAAAGTGCAGGAGAGGGGACTTGCGCCTACGTTGTCGATACTGGCATCGACACTACTCATGCGGTGTGTCGCCATGTGTCATGCTCCTTCTCTGTTCATACTAATGTTGGCTAGGAATTCGAAGGCCGAGCCAAGTGGCTAGCCAACTACGCCGACAAAGACGACACGGATGGTCAGGGCCATGGCACTCACTGCGCTGGCACCATAGGTTCCAAGACCTACGGCGTGGCCAAGAAGATCAAGCTCTTTGCCGTCAAGGTCCTGGATTCTGAAGGCTCGGGAACCAAGTATGTGCCCCCCCCCCATGATGCCGTCTATGATGTCCAAACCTACATGTGGTCAGGGCTAACCACGGGTTCAGTGCCGACGTGATCGCCGGAATGGACTTCGTCGTCAAGGACGCTCCGGGCCAAGAGTGCCCCAACGGCATCGTCGTCAACATGTCGCTAGGCGGCGAAGTGTCCACAGCCGTCAACGAGGCTGCGGCCGCTATTGTGGATGCTGGTATCTTTCTGTCAGTAGCGGCTGGGAATGAAGCCGCGGACGCAAAGACGTCGTCGCCTGCTTCGGAGCAATCCGCGTGCACAGTAGGCGCAACGACAGTCGACGATGAACTGGCCGAGTACTCCAACTTCGGCACATTGGTGGACATCCTGGCCCCTGGCACCGATATCAAGAGCACCTGGCCTGGTGGCAAGACGGTAGGTACTTTCCAATCTTCACTGACTAAAAACTCTCCAGAGACAGTGACTGAAAATTTGCAGAATACTATTTCTGGCACTTCCATGGCAAGTCCCCACATCGCCGGCCTCGCCGCTTACTTTTTGGGCCTTGGCTCTGCACCAAGGGAACCTGTTGCGCTATGCAGCTACATTGGGCGGAGCTCGGTCCAGGGTGTCATTTCGGGTGTACCCAGCGGCACCAAGAACTTGTTGGCCAACAACGGAGAGGGTAGCGGTGGTAACGGAACTTCGGTCGCGAAGAGACGCATCCCGAGGGCTGTCTCGCTGCGAGATGCTGTTGCATCACCTCCGTGAATATTCACAGTTTTGAATACCTATGTGTATAGACAATGCTCTTGGACTTGCTGGAGCTGCCCAGTGTTGGTGCTATCTGCTACACGTGGCGACAGCATGATTTACGAATAGATAAATGTTTCTGAGATCAATGGAAAACACTTGGCTACATGGAACAAATCCCGACCACTATGTTGTCTCTGGTCCTCGGTTACTCCTCTTTATCCTGGACAATCGTGACGTATGTGACGTACTAGATTCCATCTGACCGGGACCTTTTTCTCGTGGTTAGATGAGCATATTGGCCAGATTGGTCGTCCACTAACACTCATGGGCCAGGGCATGCTTTTGTGACGTGTTCGCGGCTGTGCTACTCCACGCAGTCATGATGCACATGAAGTTCTCATTCCTAAAGTGGCACCCTTGCGCACCTCAACAAGTGCTAAGGTGCCTCATTACAGTTTCCATGCTTTCTTTCCTGCTGGCCTTGCTGCATTCATTCCATCAGTTTGTATTCATTTCACCACACTGCCAAAATTCGGTTACATCGCAAGGGATGGATCCTACCGACCGTTTGTCATTCAGATCCTGACCCCAGACGCGCAAATCCGTCTCATCAGTATATATGACGCTTAACCGCAAATTCAGTCCCCGATACCCAATGACGCCTCTCCAAACGCACTGCAGGGTTGAGCTATATCACTTCGTCTACCACGTAGGAAGTCAAACCGAGGTGATGAGAATTTTTCCAAGTTCCATCCGAGACTGGACTTGACGCTTCATCAGTTCACCCTCCCTACCGAACATAGTGTTACTGGAGACCTTCTCCCCGCAGTCAACACACGTTATGAAAATATCACCGTCGATTTTCTCGTTGTTAGGCTCCGGCGCTACGCCAACTCAGACGAACTGTTTCAGCCAGTATTCTCGCGGGATAGTGGTACTATTATGACGTACGAAGGCTTTCTTGACGCGCATAACAGTAGGCTCATGTTCATTGATTCAAATAAGGCTAGCATTCCAGGTGGTCTATATTTCCTCGCAGGGTGTCAGTTTCACCGCCCGGCTGCTGTATCTAAACGAACACCAAGCCCCCATTTGTCTGTACTTGCGGGTGAAAGGAGACATGCGTCAGCTCACCTAATCTACCATATTCCATAGAACTATGCGCTAAAATATTGTCAAGATTCAAAGCACCACAGGCAGGCGCATGCTCTGGCCTGTATCCAACAATGGAAGTTCTTTCTCGGTTATGCATATCCACCTCAACCAAGAAGCCCCTGAACGGCCTGAGAATCACCGTAAAGTTCGATTATCACCTTTTTGGAGTTCACTCAAAATGAGGAAGAAGCTCAAACACGAATCTGTACGGACCTCAAACGGAAACTGCAGCCATGTCCAAACGACTCATGGACCTCGGCGCTATTATTGTTGGGAAAACTAGTTGGGCGCCTACGCAGGATAAGAGGTCCTGAGACCTCTGGGAGTATCCGGATGCCTGCCTCAGCGTCTGGTCTGTGGGGTTTGCACTCAACGTGGGAATCATGGGCGATGGATGCGATCATCCAAGCATGCCCACTTTCAACACAGTTGGCTTGCTATCACGATAACCCGAGCCAACCAGTCAGCTGCTCTCGGCCTTGCCAATAGTATCGGGAGCGGAAGAGGCCACAAGATCATTTATTCCATGGGTTGATTTCCAGTAGGTGATCAGAATCAGCAGCGGATGATTGATGCATTCATGGGTCTTCTCAAGAGCTCTGGCCCTATGCCGTAGAGAGAATTTCATTCGAAGAGTCGTGGTCAGAGACCAGTCCCGATGGTCTGAGCGGTAAGACCCTCCAGGATGTTCTGGACAAAATAAGTACAAGTACTCAAGGAGCAGCAAATTTTCCATCCTGATAGATGCTATTCGAATTTATGGCCCAACGACTGCGATGCTTTCCACCGTTATGATGCATTTAGAGACGACTTTTAAGCTAAGTTTGGATATACCTTGTGGGGGTATAGAAAAACGACACATCCTTCAGAATCGTAATAAAGGAAGCGCCGCCAGGAGGTATGAATCCACGGATGCATAAATTATCAGCCCTGCGCCTACTACGGTAGTCATCACATTTCTGCTCTACGGATCACCGCTAGCATCTCATATTCCAGCAGTCCACTCTCCTCCACAAGCTCGACAGCACGGAAGCCTGGCACTCTTTCGAAGCATTGTTTGAAGCTGGCCCAGTCTGACTTGTGCGATAGCCAGAGTGCGGCCTGTACATGGCTACCTGGCATTGCAGATGATTGCAGGTATCTGGACACCAACTCGGGGCTGCGTGGATAGACGAACATCAGCGCTGTTGCGTCGGTCGCATGTGATGATAGCTGCCATGTGCCTTTGACCGTACTGTAACAATCTTCAGGCAGATACTTGTTCACTCCTGTTCCGACCTCAACCCCCTGGATGGATAGCTTGCAGTCGCCCGAGGCCTGCCATTTTGACAGCAAAAGCGCTTCGAGGAGCCCGCTGCCGCTCCCAACCGAGAGAACGAGTCCGAGTCCGGCCCCGGTGGCATCCTTCAATGTTTGCGTCAAAGCCTCAAGGATTGTCGCCGAGATGCTGAGACAGCAGTCGGAATACTGCTTTGGGTCATCTCCTACATCTGGGAGACTCATTGGTGGAGGCGCTCTGGTTTGCAGGGCGTTGTGGCGCGTGATACCGAGTGCCTTCGATGAACAGGTGCTGGCGATGTTTTCTGCTGTTGGACCAAATACGAGAGCGTGACGACGCCCTAATTTCGGGGTCGCTTTAATCGGCCCACTCGATTGTGCATTCAGATGAGCCACCCCCGCTATTGAGTTATTGGCTGATTTGCTCGTTTAACATCGTGGGACCGCACCAGCCTCTTTTGTGCTTAAGGCCTTGGGACATGCTCAGTACTAGTACTCACGCATAATCGTTCTGCCCCTTGTATGTCGATCCCAATGTTTCTGCCTGAATATTAGAGTGCCCAAGCAAGGATCGACTGAAGAATCCATGTTTCTGGAGTGGCTAATAGCGACACCGGTGGCTTGGAGCCTGATGGGGCTGCTTTCTTTGCATTGCATCGTTATGCAAGCAGATTGATGCTGCACCCGAAGGAGCATTATCCATGAATCCGCGCCTATTTTCCGTTGGATCGTGGACTCAACCATTGACATGTGTGGCTGCTCCTGGGGCGTTGAAAATAGGTGTCTCCAAATACTGCACCCAACTCATTCAACTCCATCACTTGCATCACTATGGCACCCGAACCTGGCATTGTGCCTGTCCCTGGTGCCTTCCATGGTCCCCCGGGGCTTCGACGCAGCGATGGCTCGTCTCCTCGCAGCTGGGTTCGACCTCGGTCCGGCGCCAACTAACGCAATGTTAGGCGAGAAGCATGGCGTTATATCCCAGGACGATGCTGACCATATTCAAACCACCATGACGCCGTACATAGACAAGGGCAAGGAATTTATCATTATCGTGCACTCGTACAGAGGTACCCCAGGGGCATGCCCGGTGAAGCACCAGGCCGTCAAGGAACGTGCAGCAGCGCGAAAAGAGGGCGGAATTCGGGCCATCATCTTCATTTCATGCATCCTGATTCCCAAGAAAGGCGTTGCATCCACAGAAACAGGGTATTTCGGGCATCTGGCCACAGCGCTTGACTCACGAGCCGACGGAAGAAAAGGTGCTAGTCAACCCGATGATTGAGATTCCGATACGCTGGTAGGGTCTCCTCCTATTGCTTAAGAGTTCACGAGGACGGCGTTCTACAGTGATATGACTGATGAGTTGGTGGATTTGATCAGGGAGATCGTGGAGGACGCGGCTAGATCTGGAGCCTGAGACGAGAACTGGAGATTGTGCTGTGGATTATTTTAGGGGAGGTTTGGATGAGCATTGTTATAGTTGTACCGGTCTATTTGATGTTCCCGTGGTCGATCACCGCAAGTAGCCTTGACGAACACTGCTTCGCCGCCCCGTGTGGCACAACGTTTGCATTTTTGAGTGAAATTCGGCTTTATATCCCTAGGACGTGGTATTCATCAAGCACAGCACTTTTTCATAATGCCTCGACGTACGCTTTGAGATCCAAACCCTGCTGCTGAAACCGCTCTTGCAGCTGTCCCTTTAAGGTCCACACTCCAGGCGTAAGGATTGCCTCATAATATGTCTCATACGATATATACCTCGACATTCCATTCCCCTGATCAGTAACGATACTGGGATGCTCAGCCTTGGTGCCTACAACATCTGATCTCCACGCGGTCAACAAGCACCCGTCTGTCGCGCATCCATCCAGCACAGTCATCTCCTCGTCGCTTGTTGTGTTGATAAGAGGTAGAACGCCATAGGTATGAAGGGGCATTGGCATGCCGACATAGACATCCTCAGGCGTGACCGTCACGTTGGCAGGTAGGTCGACGTGGAACACGAAGGAGTTCCAAACGTCGTAGGACTTGAAGTCTAGAACGGCGTTGTAGACGGCCTGCGGAGATGCGTTGATGATTGTCTCAGTGCAGATCATGAACACTGCGTTGTCGCTGCCGTAATTTGGGGTTGGTAGTTTGCTCGTGCTATCAGAAGGGCAGCGAAGAGAAGCCCAGTCAACGATGTCCCTCGGGAGGGGTTGCGCATCGACGCCCCGAGCAGGAAAAGCGAGGCAGGATATCCATAGTTGTATCCAGTTTTGCAACTGCATTTCGAATTCCCATGAGCATAGACAAGCGTAAGGTTGGCATTGGCCGACTGGTAAGAGCGCGAACTCGTGCTGTCTCCTCTTTCTATGCTACAAGGCCCAACGAGGTTTATCATGCCCAGATCAACGTGTCTGTTCATTGGCAACCCTACATCAATTTAATAGCCACCAGACCAGCCAAACCATGGGTGGCGTCATCGCACGCATACCAGGGCGTTTCCGAGGCTGCTTGTAGTTGGATATCGTTTCCGATGACACGTCACATGAATTAACTGCAGTGGTTGCATTGTTTAATATATAGTTTCTGACATTGTATACGCGATTACTTATGATTACGACAAATACTCTAAGAGCAGATACCAAATGCGGATTGGCATCCAGTCGCGCAGTAATCGCTGGTAGTACCGCACCACCCCCATTGGCTGCAGCACAGTCCAGTCTGGCAAATATATCCAGTGGTTCCACCGCAGCTTCCATCCACGGTCGTCGTTCCCGTAACTGTGGAAGTTGTGGCGGTGTCGGAGCTCGGCGTCGTGGTGGAAGTGACAGTTGAGGTTGTGCCAGATCGTGCAGTCTGGTACCAATTTTCAGCGGCGTCACCGAGACACTCTCCAACAGTCACCGCCGAGAGTCCACGCGACTGAACAGCGGCGATCATGGCGGGCACCAGCGTCACGGCGGTGTTTTCGTGCACCTTGAAAGGTTCGAGTCAGTTGCAGTCCCCTGCTAAGAAACCGGACCAGGGTTAGAACAGAAGTGAACTCACATCATGCGCAAGGGTGAGACCACCGCCAGCGTCCAATCCAGCCTCAAAAATACCGACACTGGTGGTATTACCCAAAGTGTTGAATTGCCAGTCCTGCGTATCGATATCGGCGTGGATGACATGGTACCCCAGCCCACCAAGCGTCTCTAGGGTTTCGTCGGTGTAGCTGAAGTACGGTGGTCGCATGTAAGTTGGGAACTTTCCAATGATGCTGAGGAACGCCGTCTCGAGATCGGTCATCTGCGAAGTCACAGCCGCAGCATCGAGTGTCGCCAGGTCCGGGTGGGCCCAGGTATGGCTGGCGACTTGGTGACCGCCTTCAACGGCGCGTTGCACTACAGTAGTGTAGTCATAGATATTGCCCCAGTTGTTTCCGTTCATGAAGAAGGTGCCCTTCATACCGGCCGCGTCGAGCTGATCAAGAACGGATGATGTGTATGTGAAGGGACCATCGTCAAAGGTGAGCGCAACCGTGTTGGGCACAGTGCAGCTGAAGATGGCGGTGCCAACAGGTATAGTTGATTGGCGAGGCTGTATCAATGGCGAAGCAGCTGCCCCTGCTATTAAGGTTACACGAATTAAGGAAGAGAACATGGTAACGATTGTAAAAGTGATAAGAATGAGTGACAATGACGATAGCAAAGGCTAGACAAGAGCAAGTAACAATGAAGGATAACAGGAAGAGAGGATGTAGTGTCACAGCAAGCTGGCCTTTCCTATTTATATATATTGAAGTGCGCCCCCATTGCCAATGTTAGTCGTTGTTTCTTCGTTTCAGCAATCTCCCTTCATCGCAAGTCTCCAAGCACAACTGCACTCACGTAGCCGCAATCACCAAATCAACAAGTAACAGAGTTTCCCAAATTGCCAAGAGCCGTATTTCTTGCAACCAAGCAGCCAAGCTTGGTCGCCAAGTTCAACTGCCAAGCTCGGGTGCCAAGTTCATCTCATCCAATCGGAGCTGGCGGCCAGACGACAACATCGCAGATTCCACCAATGATGAATCTATCCGGAGCTGTGCCAAGCGCCCTCGGGACCCAGATCCAAGGACGTGGAGGCTGTGAAATTGGGCCCAGCCGCCGAGACAAACGCGTGACAAAAATAAAGTATTATAGAGGATGTCGGAACTACAGGAACAGCTGAGATGGATATCCTATTGCCGGTAGATTAAACCTGACTCGCGCCGTTGGTATATACTACGGTATCAGGCCCAAGTTTCACCCTCGACAAGTACCAGCGGACCACTGCCAAGGTAACGCTATACTGATCTTGCCTAGCCTACTCATGCTAACGAAACACCTCTGATTCCAACTTGCTGTTAACGTGTCCTAATTATCGCGTAGTTAGCAACTACAATTGTGACTAAAAACCTTGCAGAAGCGGATTGCCAACGAATTCGAACCCTCTACTTCGGCGGTGGTACATCGAAAGCCGAAATCACACTACTACAACGTTTTCTCTTAATCATATTAAGACAGCTCCTTCAAGCCAGTAGCGAAGAGTTGGCGCGTGCCTAGGTGGGGCACGGTACAAACACACTTACCCATGATCCCTAGTATCTTGGTAACACCCGCTCTTTGTACCCGTATTTAGAATTGGCTGTCGGTACTCCCCACTTCCTCCTTCCTTAGGCTGAACCTAATCAGTAATACAGGATGGGTATACTCATCGCTCGAAGTCTACTGTTTGTATAGTAATCACGAGCTTTAATAATCTCTTCGCAGAGTAATAGCACAGATGCTAATAGCTCTCGTAGCTAGTCTTCTAGTACAGCCCTCTACCCTTTGAAAAGTAGCCTTTAAGCTGCTCGTACAAGGGATTATCGTCCGTCCTAGCTGTAATTATCTTCGATCTAGTCCTCCATCTAGTTCCAAACGTTTCTAGCGTTTAAGACTAGAAAATGTAGTGGCTAAGGCCGCAAAAGGCGTAACATATGCACTATATGCAAACACAATTTGGCGTGTACGCAGAAGATGTGATACTTGAATTACCATAAACTGCTTGATCTACGCAGAAGATCTTGGCTTTGTAGACGTGCCCTGTGCCGACCCATCGAGCATGTTTGCTGAATTTGGGGGCGGTGGCATGCCCACAATACTTGAAGGCCGACGAACATAGTGAGGCTCTTTTCCAAATCCGAATGGATTTAAGAACTATTATTTGAGCCAATCGGGGTCTATCACGGTCCATGCACGACAACACCCAGATCTTGGGTCCAATTTGGTTCCGAGGGATGATTATTTACAAGCAATGGCCGAGAGCCTTCATAGAGCCAACAGGGAGTAGAACAATGACAGTATACCTTGCTCTGGAGCAGGAATTACCGTCACTGAGATCGCTCATTTTGTAGTCATGCTTTATTAAATCCCAAAGATGAAATCATTGAGCGTCCTGGACGTTTGTAGGTGTCCCGATATTCGATGTCGTTTGAATGTTGACATTGTAATTCTGCCCCGAATTTAAGAAAAGCCCAAGACTTCACGTTGAACCCGAGCAAACAACGCCGGTTCTCTATGCTGCGGTCTGCTGAAAAGCTTCTGCCCGAGCTCGAGAGGGTGGCGCTGTGAGGCAACCGTTGCTAAGTTCGGCCCTCTAGCGCTGACGATTCGTAGTCTGGATGCGTCCGAGCCTTACCCCAGCTGTCCGTGGCATCACTGGTAACTATGGAGATGGGGGATACCATACGAAGACATCGATAATTGTTTTCATTGGGAGAGACTATAATATGTCACGAACCCGCTGGGCTGTCTGTATGCTCCACCACACGCGGTCCAGCCTTCCTCATGAGCCACAAATTCAGTTCTTGCAACTGGAACACCTTCTTTTAGTCGTTGTCCCTGTCATTTCAATCTGATAAATTTCCAAAATGGCTCCAAATCTGCTTATTCGATCCATTCAGGCGGCCATCCTCACCTTTGCTGCGCTGCATACGCCGAATGTTCAGGCACAAGCCGTTCCGAATGGTGTCTTTTGGGACGGTCTCGGTGCGATTCGAAACCTTTGGGTTGCGTAAGTTACCGCGACGCTGAAGTGAAACTAGAGATTATGGCTGATATGGAATAGGGGAGCTTCCATCGAATATATCGGCAGCTTTCCTTTGTGGGGCTTCATGAACCAGTCTCATATTATTCGAAGCTAACATGGACACAGTGACTGGAGCACCACCGCCAATGGGCCAAACCACATCAACTACATCGTCCAAGATCGACAAATCACACTACAAAAGTTCGCATACCCAGGGGCAGTGACAGACCCGGCATATGCGATGCCGACCGAGATTCTGCCGGGCTTCTCGCCCATTATCAACTGGCCTGACCAGATCAATAATATCATCAGCCTTTTCAACATGATGAAGTCTGCGGGCAGCGCCACGATGAGGGACTCTCTGTTTGTTTTCACGGCCTCCAACACGGGGAACGACGTGCTGAATACTTGGAACACGACGAATGACCAGGGGCAGTTGATTGACGGTCTTGTCGCGACCATGAGGACCAAGTTTGGTGATGTAGGTTCATGTTTGCATTGCAGCACTGCGGGTAGAGGAATTAACTGACCCTATGGCATAGCTATATAACGCAGGGGCTCGCAACTTCATATTCTTGTCTGTTCTCCCTGCACAGTACATTCCCGAGATTAACATTCTACCGGCATCCGACCAGGCCACCGTGGCCGGCTTCGTGGCCAACTACCAGAGCGCCATCGATGGTCTCGTCAACGACTTGCGAGATGATGTCATATACAGCGGCCAGATCACCATCTTCCAACCCAACTTCACTCCCGTGCTCATAGCTATTGCCGAAGGCACTTTCACCGAGGGGCCCACGGCAGGGTATCTGAACCGCACTGGCTACTGCCCTGAGTACCTTCCTCTTGGTATTTTGATGTAAGCATGCGTGCCGTTTTCGCGATTAGGCGTGGTAGAATGCTAATTAGAATCACCAAGCCCACCGAATCCAGATTTCCAGTCAGGAAACTGTCTCATCGCGCGCAAGTACCTCTTCCACGACATGATCCACTTCACGTCGCCGGCCCACTGCGAATATGCCCTCAACACACTGACGGAGCTCGGAGATAATCGTTTGCCAAGCAATTGCCAGTTTGCTTAGCACTGAGAAGAATTGGTATTATGTTAAGGATTCTCATGTAATCTTTAGAAATTATTGGCGACGTTTGGGAGTCGGAAAAATGGCAGGTGATGGAGTACACGGAAGGAGACAATATACGGGGGAGTAATGATAGTCTGATAGTATACTAAATATTCCACCTAATTCAACAAAACATAACTCGTTGCCAACCCGGCCAAGCTATTGTCCGCGATCAAGCTCGACCCATCCAAACTCCACCCAACCTCTCCCCAAGGCTCTGATTCAACTTGCAGCCCCGTGAAGGCATCCGGTAAGTTTATCTGCACGGGAGAGGCCGTCGTATTTCTAGGGTTGACTATGCCGACTAAAACCTGTGCTCCTAACGACCAATACGACACATCTAGCCCATGCTTGTCGTCTTGCACGAAAACCGGATTAGCACCTGTCAGGAAATCCATAACCGGAGACACGGTTACTACCTGGGCCAGCTGAGAAGCCGCTCCAACAAGCATGTCAGAGGGCGGATAGATCCAAGCGAACCTGCCCTTGGCGCCATGGTTAAACGCCAGCATATCCATGACCCAGACTTCCGCGGGGGTCGGATCGCGCTCCCAGTAGCTCTCGCCCGAAAACGCCTGCGGCACGGCCCAAATGGGCTTCCGAGCCGCTGCGCCCCCTATCCATTTCTGGTAACTGTACAAATCATCAATGCGATACGGCACATCCAGCAACGACCCAACACAGTTATCACACCCAGCGTCTCCGTATGTCTCGTTGACGGGCGTATTCCACTTGCGCGAATATGTCGCATTGATACCGACGGGATACGCGTCTTCCATGATTATATCAGCACCAGAGCTGTACTCAGCGTAGTAGTAATTCTGACAGTTCAAGACCAATGCGGTGGGATGATACTTGTCCAGTGAAACTAAGAGGTCGTAGGTGAGTTTGGTCGAGTTGAGGTTATAAACCCATCCGTCCGGCTCGTCAGCCGTGTACCACGTGAGGAGCGAGGGGTGGTCCTTGACCAGGGGCACTTGCTCGGCCACCGAGGTGAGATTCTGGAAAGAGTTGCGCATGTCGTACTGGAAGAGCAGGTTGAGCTCGTCCATTCTGTCGATGGTGAGCGTCATGTTTCCGTCGGTGAAGTCGGCAACGGGGTTGATGGCGTTGAAACCCTTGGACGCGTATGCCTCCACATTGGCATTGCTGACGTTGAGATAGCCCGAGTAGTCGGCGTAGAAGCCGTAGGGGAAAACGGGCTTGAAGGAACCACGGGTGGCTTCGTTACGATAAAGGAGCGAGCCGTATAAGTTGTCTACCTTGACGACACTGCCAACGGTCTTGTCGGGAAGAAAGAACAGTTCCGTTGACACTGTGTATTTGGATTCATCAAGTCTCGAGGTTGCGGACAGATCAATCTGGTAGGCTGACATTCTCGGCGTGAGTTGCGCCAAGTCAAACTCAAGGAGCTTGTTCGTCTTGTTCACCACGATGGTGTCGGATACTAGAACACGCCCCTCAGTTTCGATGGTGAAGAAGAGAATATCGGATGCATTTCCCCCATACGTCCCATTGGGGACAGCAAGCAGATAAGGTGTGCCATGGATATACGAGAGGGTAGCGTCCACGATAAACTCTGCCTTCTCTTCACTGCCCACATAGATACTGTGCCGCGGTGTCACCTGCAGATCCAATAGTGGTGTAGTTGAAGGCTTTGGTGGCTCAAGCCGGCCACCTGGAATGATCTCCGGCGTGCTTCAGACAGGTCAGCAATTGTGAAAAATGATGGCAAAATGGCATTTGATGGTCCAAGCCTTACCCCGCTGTGTACACTTTCCCGCACCATAGATCTTGCGCACAAGCTGTCAATGGAAGTAGAGCAAGCAATGCCAAGCCACCACATCCAAAACCATGCATCGTGGGTGTTCAATTGTAACGAAACTTTGGATCTGGACTGTGTGCCAATGGGAGGATATCCGCATCAAGCTCGACGCCGCGAAGAACAGCCACGGTGTTTATTTTCGCTCAAGTCTTTAGTGATTGGAGATTCCACGATCGGCACTCGGATGTTCGCATCCGGATAACGAGTCGCTTTCTGCATTGTGATTATGTGAGGGGACTGATAAGCTTTCGCCATGCCCAAATAGGCATTTCGCAGTTTTGTTATACCTGTGTGGATCCAAATCAGAGGATCTGATTGGCTACATCGTTGCTCTTAAGCAACATTTCGTAGCTTCGGAAATAGCTGAGCTTTCTAGAAAAAACACCATCAAAAAGAGATCTGAACCACACAACTGACTTGGCACGAAATCAATCCTGATATTCGTGACTTGAGTCCTGTGAGGTCAGATCGACCAGGATACACACCTGGATCATTATCTGCCCTCTTCAGTCATCGCCTCAACCTTGGCATTCGCGGCTTGATATGGATCACCATCTCGCTGTACTATGGATATTCAGTACTGATCCCAGCATTTTCGACCTATTAGCGTCACATCCGTGCAATTCCTCCTACACCTAACGACGAGTACAACGAGAGATGAATTGACATTGTTAGAGGTACACTGAGTGCACCGTCTCATACTGATCTTCGGTGGCTATCGGAAAGGGAACACTCCCAGTGTCCTCTCGCCATCTACTGCGCTAGTAAGCATCAATGATTTAAACGGAGGGGGTACGAGGCAGGCAGGCACGGATTGTAGTATTAAGGGACCACTTCGCGGCCAACTTGGGATTGGTCCCCCACGCACCTTTGCAGTACCATGTAGCCCCGAATACTCGGAATCCGATCGAAACAGATGTAGAAGCAGTCCACAGTTGGATTGTCACGGCAGAAGCCTTGAATTTGCATTGTTTTAATTTTAATTGAACATTCCACGAGAGCAGACTGGACGGACATCAGAGAGGATCCGCCAACGTATCCACCGGCTACGTAATCCATTAACTTGTAGTTCAGAACTCTCCGAAATTCGAGATTCTACGCGCCGCTAGCGCAAACAGGTTGAGTCAGTTGCACCCCTTGATTTTTGACGGGCTCTTAATGCCATTAGACGAAATTGGCGAGAAGATGAGATGCCGATTGCAGGCATCAGGCATGGGCATCTCTCGATCTTGTTCAGCGTGCACTGAACAGATGGCAGGGGTGCGCCCCCTGACTTCAAACTCACATCCACCTGAACCTCTGCAGTTTGCCGACACTTCTTAAAGTTCTCCAATTCTCCAATGTTACATGCAATGTGACATGTAGGTTGAAGGATCTTATCTGATCTGATAAAAAGTGAAGCAAATCTGGTTATCATATTAGGTAGATTACCACCGATGGATGGCATTCGCCACTCCTCTAACAGTCCACATCGTCGCTTCCGTTTCTGACTGCATTTGACACAACACGTATGCAAGGACCACGTCGTGACCACCTTCGAGATGGCGGAATACCAAAATGGAAACCATCTCTGTGGAGACGGCCCCGTCGTGTTTGCCTCTACCATGTCACGTCCCGGCGCGCGCAGACTGCCTGATAATCTGAGCTTACATTGTACAATTGCACCTTGATGACATATTATTTGATACAATTCTTCCCGCTTGTCCGCATCGTGATCCATTCCCTCTGAAGCACGCCACAGCTGCAGCCATCACCCTCAGCTTGCCCAGTTCAATCTGATTCATCAGTTCCATCAGAACCATTGCCAGTCACCAACACCAATACCAACAGTGCAACCACATCCACCATCATCAACATGTCGACCGCTTTCGTCCAGAAGCCCGCGCCTGCGTTCAAGGCCACCACCGTCTTCCCCGGCGGCGCCTTCAAGGACATCTCCCTGTCCGACTACTTGGGCCAATGGTACTTGTCCCCTTTGTCTTGGACGGATTCAATTCACACTTGAAAGTGCTGACATTACCAATAGGGTCGTTCTCCTCTTCTATCCCATGGATTTCACCTTCGTCTGCCCGACCGAGATCATCCAATACAATGACGCCCTGCCTCGCTTCTCCGCCCTCAACACCCAGGTCTTTGGCGTCTCGACCGATTCCCACTTCTCCCACCTGGCATGGATTGAGCGCCCTCGCAAGATGGGCGGTCTGGGCGACGACCTGCAGCTGCCCCTCATCGCCGATAAGAGCATGTCCATCTCGCGCAGCTACGGCGTGCTGATTGAGGACGAGGGCGTCGCTCTGCGCGGTGTCTTCATCATCGACCCCAAGGGCATCCTGCGACAGATCACCATCAACGACCTGCCAGTTGGCCGAAACGTGGAGGAGACATTGCGCTTGGTCGAGGCTATTCAGTTCACCGACGAGCACGGCGAGGTGTGTCCTGCGGGATGGCAGTCGGGCGGCAAGACGATGAAGGCAGACCCCAAGGGTAGCTTGGAATACTTCGGCGCTACAAACGGCCAGAACGGACACGACAGTAGCACCATGGAGGTGGATGGACAGCCCAAGAAGCGGGCTCGTGTTTGAAGTTTGTCTTCTCTTGTGCACTTCATCGGAACTGATCAAACAATAGAGGGATGTATGATAAGAGGTTAGACGGCTAGAGCCATGATATTGTAAGCTACCTGTCGCCTTAGCAATGTCAAATACTGGTATGTTGTATGCTTTTTTACCTTACGGTTGCTGAAGCATGGTCAACAGGCACCATGCCCGGCCACTCCAGACTTGGACTTGGTGTTACATCTTTATCAAGCACCCTTGCCGCCTGGTCGAAATGAAACCCCGGCAGATATTCATGGGGAAAGCAGTTGCTGCTGTCTCCCACCTTGTATTAATAACGACTTAAATCTCCTCTTTGAGCAATTCGTACTCGTAGCTCGAGAACAAAAATGGCGCGACGCCCTTGAGATCATCCTCGAACACGGGCATGCTGGCGTAGTACTCGAAAGTGCCGTTGGAACTTAAACTGCCGGTCTGGACGGTCCACTGCAGATTGAGACCACCATCCGACTCAGACGGAATGGAAAGCGTCTCCGTCAACAGTGCATAAGCATCCAGCGCAGACGCCAAGTACCGTTCCCCCTTGATGTAGCCTAGCCTGGCCGACTTGAGAAGCCCGTAGACGAACATGGCCGTGCCGGAAGTCTCAATGTAGTTCCCCCACTTCCCCTCGTACCCGGGCGTCATGACGAGCCACCACCCTTTGGTCGTGGGATGCTGTGCCTCTACAATGGCAGACGCGAGACTTCCTAGATACCCCAGGAGCCGCTCACGGCCGGGGTGCGACGAGGGGAAGTAGTCGAGCGTATCGACGAGCGCCATAATGTACCAGCCTACCGCCCTGCCCCACACGTGCGGCGCCGCACCCGTCTCGGGGTCGGCCCAGACCTGCGTCCGGCTGGCATCGAAGCCGTGGACCGGTAGTCCTTTGGTAGCGGGGTCTGAAGTAGTGCCGGCGTTGATCAAATCGAACTGTAGGGCGATGTCATCCCACGCCGTGAAGTTGTCAGGTTCCAGGAGCGCTGTCCATCGGGCGTAGAAAACATCGGCCATGTAGATGCCGTCGAGCCACATCTGGTCCACGTAGGTGGGGTAGCGATGGTAGAAGCCGCCGTCGGGCGTCCTGGGAGTTTCGTTGATTTGCTTCCGCAGCAGCTGGGCGGCCGCCAGGTAAATTCCTTCGCCTGTTGACTCGTACATGTCCAAGAAACTGTGACCAATGCGAATGTCGTCGAGCGACAGGCTGCCGTTGTAGAGCGCGATCGTCCCGTCCTGTGTGGGGTACAGGAGCACGTCGACCTGGTACCGCACGTAGTCGTAGTAGCGGGCGTCGCTGGTTCGGTTATGCGCCAGGAGAATCCCGGAGTACGCCGCCGATGTGGTGTATGCGTTGGTGGGCGCAACGCCTTTCTTGATGATGGTGTCGGCCATCCAGCTCAGGTATCTGGGCCGGCCCTGAACATCATCTGGTATGATCATCTCGTTTGGCTGGATTGTTAACCATGCTCGAGGAAGCACCACCGCTCCGGTGGCAGCAACCGGGTTTACTACCAAAGCTGCCGAAACCAATAGTGCCAGCAGTCGAGACATGACGGTTCAAGCGCAGAATTAGTAACGGAAGGAAGTGCACAGATGGTGGAAAGCTCAAGGGCGCACTATATGCTCAAAACACAGTGAAGTGAGGCAATCGCACATCTTATACAGTTGCTTAAGTATACTCCGACACATTTCCTTCTCTTCATCCAACTAAGACTCGGTGTTCCAGTTTCCGAAGTCGACAGAATATGGTACATGACCGAAGTGCCGCGGATAGCAACTTGTGGTGTTTGACCATGTCTTTTCCGATTTTTACACGGCATACCCGAGACACTAGCTGCGTTGTGCGGGGAATGCATGTAGACAAGCAACAGTGATCGACTTAGCGGACTTTGTCGCTGCGAGATGGTGGAGCAAAGTTGTAGCAGCACCGCAGCATCATTTTGGCCGAGACTGACCTTTGACGGATTCTTACTACTGCGCCAGGTACAGAGCCATGAGCCAAGTTCGACAGAGCCCTGATTGTTCCACGAATAGCAGCTTTGATAATCGCGAGTCCGTAGGTAGTCAGCTTTTCCCCCAGTCTACAGCTCACTGGGTAATATTAAACCCTGCTGTAGCACACATCGGAAAAGCTATAAGCAACGTGACAACTTGTCATAGAGGAGCTCGATTGGTTGGAGCCACTCACTGGAGCCATTTGCTGGAGTAAAAACCATGAAGTCCATTTCGCAAAACCTCGACTGCCCGTGCAATTCCACTCTATTAGACCTCGGTCCCGATTTTCAGAAGCCCTCAACACTGATTTATTTCAACTCTGTTTCGTTTTTATTTAGGCACGACTTTACAGTGCACGACACATCAACATTAAGTGCTAGTACTAAAGTCCATCCAGATCTCTCTTTTAAAAGCCCGTTTGTTATACAGGACTAAATGGCACTAAAGTAGACTGGGTTGGTTGGTCTACTTTTAGTATAGAGGCATCAAAGCTAGATAAAAACATTGTTTCAGGTCAGGGAATAATATAGCGCATAGGTCCAAGTCTGAGACAAGGGCAAGCTTTTGACTTGAATGTCACCACTAGCATGGCGGTGATCGAAGTTGCTTGTAGCGCTGGTGGACTAGTGTTGAGACGACTCGATGTACTTAGATGATGCAGCCTTTGAGATGTCGAGAAGATCCCGTGCATAAGCAGCTAGACGACATCAAATAAGAGCCATCTCCGCAACCTCTGTAAATTGTGATGAGTGGGACTAGAGCGCGCGATAAGAGACCGGTATGCCCTGGAACGAAGTTGCTAAGAATTTGTTGCTGTATTTCACGCTGGCAGACCGCTTGTGCTGCCAGAAGCAAAACGTGCGAGCTATGGAATTTCTTTCACTTCGATATCATCGTCATTTGGTAGAACATAAAGACGCATCACTTCTGATAAGTAGTGTGATTTGGTGCCATAAATGTATTTGTTGGGTGCTCAAATGATGCTGGTACTAAGGGATCCACAAACCAACAATAATATTATTATTATTAAATACGCCGTAGGCTCGAAGCCCCCGGTACCTCTACCAGTACTCCCGTATGTCAAACCGTGCCCTAATGGCTGGACTAAATACATACGCTGCGTCGTCGGTTCGCCCTATTGGCGACTGTGTTGCGTTCACTACCATACTACGTTGGTTCTCAACCTACCAACAAAGTCCCCCCTGAGAAGATCGATGCTATCTGGGCCTTGAAGCTGTCCGACCCGTCCCTAGCAGCCACCTTACAATAGTCCCACTAACTACTGGTTCTCCTGTTGCCGTTGCGAGGTCTCTGCGAGAGTATAGTGGCCGTGGTGCGATAGCGGCCCGTAATCGTTCCCTCGGTCCTTCCAACAGCCCGCAAAAGAGGATTACGTGCTCTGCCGTCTCAGGGGCGTCGCCACAGCGGCATAGCGGCGAGTACACGCCAAAAGCCCCTGTCTTGAATAAGAAGGCTGCTAGTCCTATTTTTTCCGTCCTGATCTGGCACAGCGTAGACGCTTCCAGTCGGTTCAGGCCGAAATACTTGCCCCCTTTCGGTATCTGCATCGAAGGGCCCTCCGGTTCCTCAGCGATGGCGCGTCGCTGGCGATCGTGATGCTCTGCTCCGGTGAGCCATCTCTTCCTCCAGTGGCCGAGGAGGGCAGCCGGGACCTCCTTTTCCTCACTCATCCACTCGGAGCCCCGGGGCTCCTTCTCCATAGTGTACCCTGCCGGTCGGAGTAGCTGCGACGCCTGCTTCCTCTTCGCCGGCCTATCCTGCCGGAGTATATGTGACGCTTTAGCGCTCGCGCTGCGAAGCAGATTTCTCTTCCCGCTAAGCCGTAGCCGTTCTTCAAACTTAGCAGCCCGGGCACTAAGATAGAGGTCTAGTGGCGGGATTGCTGCTTCTGCTTCCAGGTGGCGAACCGGCGTCGCTTTGTTCAGGCTCTTAGCTGGCCCTGCCGGTTCCTCACTTATAGTATGCCACGCAGTCGCCCCGAAGGCGATCGCGCTACGGATAACCACCGTATATAACAGCCTCGCCCGTATAAGATCGCAGCCCCACGACATATTGACTAGCTTTGTATATTATTCTGCAGATCGCCTCAGTTGTTGTTCATCCTTTAACTGATATATTTAGGTGAGTCCACAATTTTTGAGGTGGCCGGCTTTAATCCAATGCACTCTCGGATCGCCCCTATAAGAGTGTCAGATTAGTCTATCTGCAGTGAACGGTCTACGGTATTCCTGGGTATTCCAGTTTCCATTCCTTGGCCTTGGCCCGCCGACAAAGGTCTTGTAGGATAGTGGCCGCCATCTCGAAGTTATCGGCCTCGAGATATATCTGTCCACTGATTTTCGACCAGAATGCTCCTGCATAAAATTTGGTTGGAATTTACGTCTCATACTCCATTGGCGTCCTCTCTTGAATCCATCGTGCGACTTTAGGGCCATCCGGCTCCGCAATTCCAAGTTCTGCCAGACCGAGGGGAAGCCGAACCATCGCAAAACAACAGGCCTGGTCCGTCTTGTTCTCGAGTCCCAGTACCTAGTCTCTGGGCCAGTATCTTCCCACCTTTACGTGCAATACTCGTACAATAGCGATATATATTTTCTTCACCGCTACACACTTCGCTGCGGAATTTGATTGCTGCGGGTATATAGATGTAAGGCGTATTATCTGTTGTCGCCACTTTCTCGAATAAATGCACGAAGTAATCCCTTGTTTGCATCTCTGCACGAGGCTGTTTGGGTACATAGCCCCCAAAGGTGGGAATAGTTGTCCGGATCATATGCTGGTTGTGAAACGGTACGTAATACGTATATCACGGCACAGCGCGGGGAACTATTAACCACCTTGTTGAGTAAGTTACCATGCTATTATCGAGTTGAATGGGCATACGTACTTGTAGCAATTACTTATTAAGAAGTCCGGCTCAACAGTACCCATATCGGTTAGATTAATATGCCCAACTCCGTGGGCAGCGTTAACGAGGCTAAGTGTGTTGAGTCTTCGACACACTCTCACAAGTCTCTTCCACGGGAACCGGATGCCAGGTCACGTCAATATGGTATCGAATATTGCAACTGAAACTCGCTTCCCTCGTTGCTTAACCTTCTTGACGGCGGTCTCAAAAAAGGTCACGATGTCTTTATTTTTGATAGGATACGTAATGGTAATCTTATAGGGAGTTACCGGGCTCGTTTCTCCAATTACCAAGACAGTTTTCAGACAGGATGGGTAGATGGTGTTAAAATGTAGAACCACGTCATCTTTATCGAAGTCCATATTGCGTAAAATGGTGTGTACTCCGGTTGTTGCGTTGGGCACAAAGACTACCTCGTCCGTGTCGGCGCCCAGAAGCGGCGCAATGGCCTTGCAACTTTCCTTGAGAAGCTTGGGATAAGTGTAAACGGATGGAAGTATCAGGCCGCGCTTCACTCTCGGTTTGTAGTTGGCGCTAGTATTCAAGACCCTGCTTAGGAAAGGTACCAAACGAATCGTGGTTTAGCGGCAGGTACCCCTTGGCAAACAAGAAATGCTGTTTTCGCATTGCTTAACTGAACGGAACTGGCAACGCTTTGCCTTGGTCTTTTTGTGCGTCCATGGTTACCACTGGCATGTGTGATATGCGGTTGGAAGCTATACTGGAATGGGCAGGCCGTTCCAGAATTGAACAGGGACGGCTCTTCGGCAGGCAGATGCGTGAGAAACCAACATCTCAAACCCCACCTTAAGACTCTGGTCATCAAGTTCGAAATATTGCCACTCGCAAATGTGAATCTTTGGAGAGAGACAGCGCACAGATGCCAAGTGCTTGCCTCCAATATTCACTCGTCACTCGTTGTCCATTGCGGCGGTGACGGCTTCTAAAGAAGTTAACGGTACATACCAGGTCGAAAACACGACACAGAAATGCTTTATAAATTGGATATGTCACCGGCGTGTAATCACTGGCCCCTCACCAAAGTCCGTGTCCAGTATATTCTGCGGTAGAGAAGTATCACTCTCAATACCAAAATTATTCTGGTAGACCACTATATAAGCTTTGATATACCCAAGAAATGCGATCGTTTGAGTCGCGATGTTGAGTCGGCATGTCTATTATGAGTGGAACTTGTTTTGAGCCTGCCGTCTAGTTCTATGATTCCCACTACTCTACTATGCTCTGCTCGAGCTAGATATATCTCTTATTTCTCAGCCCCTATTACGATTTCGACTACGCCCTAATTTCAGTTCAAGCTTTAATTCAAGAGTCGTGGCAAGAGCATAAGTAAACCCGGTGAGCTGCAGCCACTACGCCATACCGGGTCCCAAATTATACAGCTTCTTGTGCTAGGGGATAATTAGCGCAAAGAGATCGGACAATAAGCTTAGACGTTACTTACGTTGAGAAACATGGCACTAATAAATCCGAGAGCGGCTCCAGCTATCAGCACTGCGAAACCATTACGCATCGCTAATGTGACTTGTTCGACGACCTGGATCCGGGTTGCGCCATTTAGACTCTGGAAAAGCACACTGCTTGTGCCGGCAGCGAGCCCTTGAACCTCCTCGACTGATGCCGCCGGGAGGATAGCGCTTAATTTCTGGAAGCCAACGTTCTGGAACACGGGGCCTGCCATGGCAAGGAATGTGATTGCGCCAAAAATTTGCCCTTCACGCAGCGTTAATGTCTGACTGATTGAGTCGTGTTCGTCTGCAGAAGTAGCCTTACCGATGCTCATGAAACCCACGGCGTTGTTGACATCCGCGACGGGAACAAGAGCCTGCACTACAGCGAATCCTGCAGTCAGGAATGATCCTATTCCCACGCCTATCAAGGCCGTATAGCCGTATATTTGTGAGGTTGGCGTCTCGGCAGTGATTGTGTCTATAATAGGCGTTGGTAAGATGGCAAACAGGCAACGGCATCGTACTTACACATGAGCGCGGACCCAGCCAAGATCGTGGCATTTCCAAACAGATACCAGGGCATGTAATATCCCAATTTCGGCATAAGAGCACCGTTCAAGACAGCAAAAGCAACGATCATGCAGATCAAGGACAAGATGCGAACCGCAGCCAGTATGGCATCGTCTCCCCTCGTGAACTGGAAAAGGAGTGGGGTGTAGTAAATAGCGATATTATAGCGCCGGAGTTGAAGAAGATCTGATACTGCAAGATGTTGAGCTCCATGCGTTTGATGAAGTGCACCGGGTACATTCTGTGTTTGGACGACACGCCGGGGTAGTATATGGTAACGAGGATGAAGGCGATGAGGAGAACGCCCGTCATAACCCAAAGTGTGATGATGGAGCCGCTGTTAAACGGGAAGACCACACCCCCAAATGTCAGCGCCATAGTGAAGCAGGCGCTGCCAGCCGCAAACGTAATGATCCCGATCCAATCCTGGGTGCGCATTTTCTGGCCCATCGACATAGTCTCAATCGGATCGTGATTTGGCAGGCAAAGCGCGAAGGGAATAGCGAGCAGCGCCGCAACGACGACGTTGATGTAGAACGCCCATCTCCATGTTGCGTTGCTCACGGCGAAAGCGCCACCGATAACGGGACCTATGACACTTCCGATACCCCACATGGCGGCACCGCCAGCGAGGTAGAGCGGCCTCTCATCTTTGCCCGTCATGATGCTGACATAGGTGAGTGCGCCGGAGTAGACGCTGGAACCGCCCACCCCCGAGATGACACGACCGACAATGATGGTGTTCATGTTGGGCGCAGCGCCGCACACCACGTTGCCCACTTCGAAGACGATAACACAGAGTAAGAAGAGCCATTTGATGTTGAATATACCGTACGCTTTACCCCTTTGGAGAACGTCAGCTCGAGCCTGCAACTACACGATGGATCTACGAGGCTGTACGGATACCTACAGAGGTAGAATCGTGATGGCCCCGAGAGAAAAAGATACACCAATCCATGGTAGTTTTGCGGTGTCCTGAAATGCCTCGATGATGAATGGTTGGATGTCTGTGACCTATTGCATGTTAGACTGGGCGATGCCAGGTTGCGGCTTGCGCCATTTTTCGACTCACGATGGTATTGTCGATGGAGAATAAAAGGACTGAAGCGACGACCGAGCTGTAGGCGAAGAACCACTGAATCCGAGTTAGAAGGGCAACTCACTCATAGGACCGCGTGGAGCCTACAGACCTTGATCCCTGTGATTGTCCTTGTTGTTTCTTGCTGCTGGTTACTGTCGCCAGAAACCGTGTTTCCATGGGCAGATGGAGGTTGCAGAGCATCGATGGGTATCTCTGGCTTTTCCTTGGCAATCGCCGGGCTGCCGGTCGAGTCTGGATCAGCTGTCGAAGCGTATTTCCTATCCAACTAGGGAGCTTTCGAAGCTTTTGCTGAGGTCGTCACTCATCTGGGCAGAATCCTCCTGCGAATGCTCCCTACCGTTGTGTCGGGACGCGGAATCCGGGACCCGGCCAATCGTATGACCCGTGAACAGTGCATTTGCAAAACATCAAATTTATGCTTGTAATGACATACCTGTCGTACCCCACTAAGCTGACTGTTTGAATGCATTACGAGTGCCGTCGCATCCAGGAGGCGATCACCATCAACAGGGCTGAGTCTAGACATGTTTAGTTCAACCCATTGTGTAATATGACTGTCAATTGAACCGAGTCCGCATTACAGTACAAATCAGAGCCATTGCTTGTTTCCGTGGTGCGAAACAAATGACCCAGGAAATCCCGTTTCGATGCTAGCCTTCTCTGCAACCTCCAGAACACTAGTGACAGCAGCCTGTGGCGTCGAAGGACCATTCCAGTCGGGCTTGCACTCCATGAACTTTGTGGCCAGATCGTTCATAGCCTCCAGCTGATCCGCACTGACACCGTTGTTTTCTTTGATGTTAACTACTCCGGGACAGATGCTCATGAGCAACACCCCATCACGGCGGTACTGCGCACTGAACTTGGCACCGCGGTGTTCATCGCCGCCTTGCTGATCACATAGGGTACGGAATAAGCCACGTCATACCTGCTGATCAAGTCTAAGTCCGCAAGGCCGCTCGAGATTGCCACGATCTTCTTGGTGTCGCCGTTAAGCACGAGTGGCATGACAAGGGAGAATAGATGCATGTTACCAATGACGTTCGTCTTGAACAACGACATGAGCTCGTTCTCCATTTCCACTGGATCGAAAGCCCTAAATACAGAGAGCGTCGGTTAACTCTATCAATCCTCGACCAGTGAGGGACTTGGGGCTTACATTTTGCTCGCGGTCACGTAGCTATATTCATCATTTATATACGCCCCGTTGGCGAAGACATAATCGAGGGTACCGCCTGTCAACTTGCTTACGGTTTCGACAGCTCGCTTAAGAGGTTAGCTGACTATCCGTTTCTGATCATTAACCATCTTTTCTTACTTTGAGTGAACTGTAGTCGGTCAGGTCGGCCTCAACGGTGTGTATGTTGTTTCCTTGCAGGACGGAAGCAATCTTCTGGTCAACCACCTGCTTGTCGCGGACAAGGCCAACGACAATTGAGTCTGAGCGGTCGGAGAGCTGGCGAAGGAACTCGAACTACCGTGTCGATCAATAGTGTTTCTTGGAACCGGCGTTCAGGTTGACTCACTCCTAGGCCTCGCGACGCTCCCGTGATTAGGTATGACGGCATGATTTCAGATGCTTGCAGGTGGCCGTACCAGTCAACTTCTCACGCAGACTGGTCTCATACATAATTGGCTATTGGAGCTACCGGCTCATTATAATGGTATAGGTATCCCTTGATGAGAATGTTTCTGTACTGTATGCCGGTGACAGGATCCCGCGTGGCCGGATACCGGAGGCCGCATCAATGAGCTTGGCCTCCCTCTCTGTGGTTCGGGCCGTCTTTGTAGCCTTGCGCACACGTATGGCACCAAGATACTGGCACTGGCAGCTTACCGTCCCTCGCATATCTGAACTTTTCTGTCACGGCGCTTCGTAGCCTAGGTATCCATGTGCCTGTGCCCGCCAATGCCTTGAGTGGAACACTCGTCAGAGCTCATAGAATTGAATAATGAGGTTTACGCTCTACGCTATTTCCAGACCTAAGTCATGAAGCCACATTTTCAAATCCATGGAAAGACGTTCGCCGACCTTGTCGTCTACGGCATTCTTTTGCCAGGCAACGGTGATAGTCAACCCCTTATCTGCTGTAGAGATCGCGTCAATGGTAATCGCTGGGCCGTGTACTATGGCACACTGGCCGAAGGCACAGCTCTCAATCGTCCAGCCATCTTCGCGGCCCTATTAGTCGCATTTTAAAACGCCCAAGCTGCTCACCACCCAACTTGAAGGACGCTGCTTCTTCATCTCCGATTCCAAGTACGACTTCCAGTTCCCAACAAATTTCAGCATGCCCATCAGATCGTTTTCCATACCGCGGCCCAACTTGTTGGAATCTCTTGCTTCACTCTAGTTGCGACCGACCAAACAATAGTTGAGAGGCCATCGGATAACGTGCCGTCTGTTTGATCCTGCAGCTGCTTTCGAATCGCTGAAACTAGCCCGGTGTCGAAACTGTGCGACATCGTCGAGATCAGACAGGCAAAGACGCCATTTGGATCCGCGCCATCCAATCTCGCCGGGTCTATGAAGCGACGCAGATCAAATGGCGTCTCTCCTGCAAACGCCTTCGCCTTCTCCAGTGAAAGCTGGTCCGCCATGGAAACGAGGGTCAGGGCATGAAGTAAACTGGTGACGGTAGTCCGGTGCTTTCTGCGTGCTTCTAAAACACCCTGAAGAGGTTGATGGGGAATCTGGATGATCCCAATTCGAGTCAGGTATGGTGAGCGCTGCTTGGGTGCCCACAAGGCCGCGGTCGGTGACGCGGGCCCTTGTAGGACAGGAGGTCGGAGGTTTTCCCAACCAGAGACTAATAGAAAAGCTGGAAATATTGGAAGATCTACCAGCTGCTCCTGTGATAATGTGAACGTCGACGTCCGAGGGATGCTAAGGAGGTGGCCTGCCAATTCCGGTAGTGCCTCCGCTCTCTCCGTGCGATTGAGGACCTCAAAGAGATTCTCGTGGAAGATCTTTCCAGCAGTACCGTCTTCAATGGCGTGATGCCACCCGAAACTTACGTCAAGGAAATTTTGCGCGGTTAGACGGAGGATTGTCTATTTCCATGGTGGGCGAGCGTGAAGACTCTCAAATATCGCACTGTAGGGACGCGTTGTTATGACTGCTTGATCTCTCAAGGCTGTGTGACCGAGGTCAACGATCAAAGACAGCTCAAAGTGTGGATGCACATGAGTGGTACATCCGGTGCACGGAGTCCGGACTCCTGGCGGCTCCATTCGAGATCCAGATGAGATAGAGAACGTGGAGCAATGAGGGGCGAGGCCCCATTCCTGCGTTGATTGACCATATCAGAGTGGCATTCGGAAGTTCACGCAGCAACGGTCATCTCAACCGTTACAGGGTCGCTTGTAATAGTAGTTGCGGACTAAAATTCGTTACGGCTGCCATATCCCGTCGTCTAGAATCACGTGCACTTGGCCATGTTTCGTCCCTCCTTCATGAAGTGATTAAACCATCGGTCATGAATCCAATGGAGAGGACGCTATGGGCTGAAAGATTGACGGGGCTTTCTGATCCAGATATATACAAGAGGAACATTACTCATGTTGTGCCATAGTGTAGTGTAGATACTCCAAGCCTCCATTTCCGTCGTCGAGGGGCACCTAGTCTTAGTCAAGACCAACATTGATTGAACCCAGCGCCTGTCTTGCCCTCATCACCGGAGCAGGCGAGTTGCCACAAAGCCAAGCAGTGTGCATTCAAATCTCCTTCTTCGTGTCGGTACTTTGCTTCTCCTTCGCCTCGTCCTGTTTGACGCGCGGCTCGCCAAGCTTTCTCCCACCAGTATACAGTGTGCCATTCAAGTAATCCCAGAACGTGAAGTACAATCCAAGAATTTTCTATCAAGCAGATTCATTATATAATTAGCCTTGTGTCTTGGTAGAAAGCGAGATGTCAACTTTTCAAATCAGTAAAGGAGAACTCTTGCTTACCTTGAGTCCCCATGTCTGGTGATGTATAGTATGGTAGACCATGTCGTTCTTGAATATCAATCCAAAGATTCTCAAAGGGTTTCGAGGGATCTGCATACGAGTATGGCACATAGCACTGATGGTGTACGGAGTGGATATTCCCTTGCTGTGTTAGTTCGTCTAGCGAAATGGTAAGTTATGGATCGTGACGAAGACGTACGATATAGATAGGGGTAAGACATGCAAGGCCCAATGGACCCAGTAAGCCCAGGTGTCGAACACAAGGAAACATAGGAATTGTCGGCACGCCAGATAAGTCCATTCCAGTCCATGAGAGTGAATGTATACAAGGTACGGGTTCATCATTTCTCCGAAGAAGCGGCGGAGAGTGAGGCCGAAGTATTCCGGGCTGCCTAAGGCACCCCAGATGCGCTCGTTAGACACTTCCGGAAGGAGTGCATACGAAGACGACCTGAATGGCATGCATAGTCAGTACGTTGCACAGTACAGCTTCGCGGCTAACGAGATTGCGCTTCTCGTCCGTGGGTTGCCATATGCGTGCTTTGTGGCACAGGTCAAAGTAGGGAACAGTTTCGTAGAATAGGCACACCAGCCAATGCAGGATGATCGGCATAATTGAGGCAGCCTGCGAGTCCGTCATGCCGAAGATAGAAGCTAGTGGTGGCTTGACGTTGTTAGGCGGTGGCGTCAGGAAGGCCATGTAATCGGAGGGTGTATTCGTAAAAGGTAAGAGATCCATAGTTGATGAGGACAAGTTTGCAAAGTTTGCCAAGGCTGCTGTGAAGGTGGCCATGATGCTAGCTGGCTGATGGATATGGGCTGATCTTTTCGAAGGTTTCCTCCATACGCACTGGTCAGCAACAACTTGTTCTTCATACTTTTTCGTTTTAAATTTCACTGCCCATCGCGGCGCATTCTGAACGGGCTCGGCCCCCGCGGACCAACACCGGGCCCCGGAGTCCGCATGACAACTGTATGCCAATACATTCCGGAATTTCCACTCTAGCAATCCCGATTGAACAGAGTGGAAAGGAGATCGCTTCAAGAGAAAGCTTCGGTTGGTGTCTCACGATCAAGAACTTTCTGGTCTTTCCTATCGTTACATATTCCAAATTCTCATGCTGTCCAAGGCAAACAAGTTGGCTACGGACCAGTGGGAGACATATTCATTCAAAAGACCACATCACCAGACTATCTCCTATTTGCTGCCTTTTTGGGCCCTCTTATTCTTTGGAGCAAAACCCACGCGCCCACTCCGCTGGACCTGTCTCCAGAGCAGGATGGACTCGACTAAACAATATTACGACACGTTGCTTAGTATCAAGTTTCACCCTTACGACTGGGGCAAGGGGGGATAGGTAGTTTTTATCCCTCTCGCGTGGCATTGGGTGCAGTGTGCGGCCTATGAGACGTTCGACCATTTAGGATGGTTCCAACAGTACAAGATGCTGCAGCCGGAGGAGTTCGAGAAAAACAAAGTTACCAAGTGGCAAGTCGTTCGTGGTGTCTGTCTTAATCAGTTCATCATGTTGTTCTGTGGCTTTGTTGCCTCTTCTTTCGAGGGAGACATCTCTAGCCAGCCGCTTGATGACCCTTTCGGTCTTACACAGGCTATTTTAACATGGGTGGACGGTGATGCCAGCCTGACTCACCAATGGCCGGTTGGACGTCTTCTCTTAGATGTGGCTATATCCATGGCCCGCGTCGCTGCTGCCATTGTGGTATATGATACATATCAATTTTAGGCACATTACGTCTTCCATACCCGATGGCTATACCGTAAGTTCTTACTAAAGTGCAGACTCCAACAAACACGCAAGGATTGACTCAAGATCCAATAGCACAGGCCACGTTCATATCTGGCACCATCTTCTATATGCGCCTTGGGCATACGGTGCGACGTACATACATCCCTTCGAAAGTCTTATGATGGACGGAATTGGGCCTACACTTACCCAGTTGCCATCGGACTGAATCATTATGAGAGGCTTGCCTTCTTCGTCCTCAGCATGACGAAAACTATCGATGATCATTCGGGATACCGCTTCCCCTGGAATATTTGGATAGAGAATATTACCGGGGCAGCTGCTGTCTATCACACCATTCACCACCAGCATTGGGGCTCAAGGTATGTGAAGAATCCACAAGATACCACCACCTTTTGACCAAGTCTGACAGACCAATTACGCGCTTTGGTTCACCTTCTGGGACGTCTGGATAGGCACACTGTACGCCGGACCTAAGCGTCTCAACATGCTACCACAACAAACGATCATCCATGATCCCAAGAAATCAGCTGCATTAGGGCCGGATTCCAGCCGCCATGACATAGAAGTCATGCTTATCAGAAGCGGTATAGACCCGAACAACGGCGATCCTGGCACTTTGGTAATTCGCGCGTAGGATAACAACCCGTTTTCGTTATCGGGGGTTCGGCCCAGATCACGGGGCAAAATAAGCTCAGATTGATACGCTTAGGCGAAGGTCCATCCTACATTAATGGTTATGGCCTGAACTCACCGATTCTCGGATTACCCTGGGCCGCTTATGTGAGGGGAAAGGAGTCTCAGCTAAGCTGTGGATGACCAAGTTGTGTGGGCGTTTCCCACTGAACACAAGCCTGAAGTTTCCTCTCATGTGCGATAGGTGCTTTAAGTGGTGATGAATCGCTATAGCCTACATATTCTGCTCAAAAAACTTAATAAGCATTTGACGGGAACAAGCTACGTGCCTACGTGTAGTACACCTTGCCTTATCGCCAGTAAATGCCTAGCGACTAGAGGACTAGGGCACTCTAGTGGATATTTGGCTGGACGAGGCTAGCTAGCAGCCCGCGGCTCAAACTCAGCATCGTGATCAAAAAAACTCGCGTAAAATGGTCTCCTCCAAGAATACATGGTGACGGGGTGCGGTGGGATGGTTACCTAGCAGATAGAGTCTTTGTCTTAATGGCAGATAATGATCACTCAGTTCTGTGTTAAGTACAATTGTTTTGACGTCCTCCCATAGTGGTTCATGTTACCATATTTTAATTGTGCAATACGAGCAATGTGCTTTTTGCTTCATGTTTCAACAGGGCGCCGAGGACCAGGTGATCGCTGTGACTCCTGATATATGGTTGAGAACATGGCCCAAAGAAAACTTCATCCTCGACACATAGGAAAAGGACATGAGGATAGGTCGTACGCATTGTTCGTTCTGTTTACGACGGAAAGTAATTCAATGGGAGGGACAAACCGCACCGACGAGCAGCTAAGCCTCGGAAGTTACGGCGTCCAACTTCGACCCCTTCAGATTCTTGGAAATATTGTTCAGGGAGGTAGGAACGTCGTGGCCTGCTCCAGTTGTCGCCGCCTAGGTATATACCTGGCGCGCCGCGGTAGGCAGAGTCCCCTCCTTTCCACTCTTTCTGATGTCAAGCATTTCCTGGGCTCAACTGCAGATACAGTTGGCAAGTCCGGCCACTTCCTCTTCGGAATTGGTTGCCTTAAAGACAAGACGGACGCGACTGCTGCCACGGGGGACGACAGGTGGGTCGATGGGGTACGCACAGTACTTGTGAAGCTGCAAGTGCAGAAATAGGTACCAGTTGTGTCCAGTCTCTGTGATGACGGGGATGATCTGAGTCAGGAAGTCGTTTATTTCCCATCCCTGTTCAACCAGAGGAATGCTAAGTATCCCCGCCTTGGTTGCAGTTTCCCATACCGGGTTCGCTGTGATAGTTAGTGCGCAAAAAGTATGCGACACGGCCTTGAAGCCGCTGTTGTGCCTGAACGAGGGAGATTGAGTTAATTGAGAACAGCCTCATTGAGTGAAACAGGACATTCTCACCGGCTGTGTCTTACTGCTTTTCAACAGACCATATCCGGCCCGGATGGCTGCCAGAGTCGGGAAAGTGGGCGATGCGGTAAAATACAGGGGGCTGGCAAAGTTGATCAACATCGTTCGGACTGTCTCGTTGCAGACAATCACCGCTGGATACAGACAGAGGTTAGATTTGAAACCGCATCCATCACTATAAGGCTGAGAATACCTAACGTAGTCCACGGTCCAATTGCACACTTTGGCAGACCTTATACGACAATGTATAAGTTAATTCAACCACAACGCCTATCATCAATTGAAACTACTCAGAATCTTTATCTTCAGACGTCTCTACATCATTTCCACAAGTGCGCGCATTATGTCCAGGCTCGCCGCAGATTCTACAGCGCCGTACACGCGCAATTCGCCGCCTTGTACGACCACCAATTTGACGAAATTCGTCATGTAACTGCCCATCAACCTCTCATTGAGACTGTAGGTCCTGTCCAGCTTGTATACGAAGTGACCCTCCACTCTGTAGCTGTTTTTTCTTCGCACGGCGACGTCGACTTAAGGTCTCATTTGCCTTTCGAAGTGATTCGACCTCGCCTTCTAAAAGGGCAAGCCGATGCATAACCTTCGTTGTACCTCGCGCAATCTGATCTATTCCAGCAAAAATTGACGTTGGTGAGCTATTTTGATGTCGTACAATCCTATTTTTCACATAATCGGTTTGTGATTGGGCTTCGGTTGGGTTGTTCGGAGTCTTTGATTCCCAAGGGACGGGGAGACCAGCCGAGCTACCCGGAGGTGTTGGCGTATGTAATTTCACATCGAGCTGTGATATGACATAATATGCATCGTACGGAACTATTACTACCCCTCGGAAACCTCCTTGGATATTTGAAACCGTGAAAGTTGCGTTGTACGCGTTTAAAAACGCCGGTAAAAAGTCTTCTTTCGAGACATGACTCATATGTGCTCGCATGAGATCTTCGATTTCTTTTCCGTACGCTCTTTTTAATCCGCGAAAACAACCAAAATCAAGAGGCTGGAGCTTATGCGACGAATGAGGAGGCATACAAAGCGTGACGATATTGTTAGCTTTGCAATATACCTCGAAATCGGTCGAGTGATGGCTTTCGTGATCGTCGAGGATCAATAGGCGATGAGTACCTTTCGTACGAGACTTGGTGTGATGATCGAAGTGTTTTATCCAATCCTCGCCTCTCTCGTTCGTAGTCCAGCCATTTTTAGTAACTGCGATAACCCAATCAGGCGGTAATGGGCTGTTTTCGTACCATGACGAGAGGTGGGTTTTGCCGGTGAAAATGATGTACGGAGGGAGGGCATAACCGGACGACCCAACGCCTTGAATAACTGTAACCCATTCCCGATTTCCTTGCTGGGCTGCTCTAGGCCTTCCGCGCCGATCAGAAGTCGTCACGACCATTTCGGACGAGATTTGGCCCATCACAAAACCGGTCTCGTCGAAGTTGTAGATATCCTCCTCCTGGATCGCGTATTTCGCAATTGTATTCCGTACCAGGTCAAACCACGCGCGATATGCGTCGGGGTCTTCGCAGGGGACTCTTTGATAGTCTATCCTTCGATTTAAACGCATTTGGAGGTCTGGTTGTCGTCTTACCAAGCTCGAGGCCCAGTTGACGCCGACGCGTCCCGCGTCGCGACTTCGAAGTAATCGGTTGGCCATATCTTCAACACCACTCAATCGGGGAGGAAACGCTCGCGAATATAGGTCGGTTATATGTCGTACGATTGCCTCTTCTTCGGAAGGAGTCAACTTTTGCGTTGGCGATCGCGTAATCGCTCGAGCAGTTTTACCGTCGCGTCGATACGCAAGGGTTCTAAAAGGTACGTTATAGATCTGACCAGCGCGACGTACACTTAATTTTGGATCAGATTGAAGCGCATGTAATGCTAGAATCATATCACTTTCATTCCAAGAACCAACCATAGTTATGTGGTGAAAAACCGCAGGTCAAAGTGGTAGCGTACGAAAATCTGCCGAAGTGTGCAATTGGACCGTGGACTACGTTACCTCCTGAACACGAGTGCTTTGGAGAAAGTGTGTAGTCGAATGGCAATCTCATTCTCGAGCCCGAGGTGGCTAACAAGCCCGCGGCCTTTTTCGCCGATAACACCAGTGCTATGGGCTTCATCAACGATGAACTGGGCATTGCCGCGGGGGAAGAAGCTCTTTGCAATTTCGACCATTTCCTTCAGTGAACAAATGTCTCCATCCATACTGTACACTGTCTCGACGGAGATAATAACGCAACGTTCCCCTTTGGCGATCTCATGCTCAATGGTTTCAATGTAATCGTTGTTACCATCGAGCAGACGCGAACCCGTACTGCCCAGTTTGAATCCAGGGTACAGCGCTAGCTCTTCGAAAAAGGCTTCCCGCAGCATGCCTGATGCTTCCAAGGAAAGGAAGTCGTTGGAAAAGAAGTCATAACTATCCTTGCGAGTTCTCAGCGTGATAAGGTTGTTTTCTGCTCGTCGCGCGTCTAGCGTCTCTTCAAGGTTGCGGTAGAAGACGGGCGCATCTCTCATCTTTGGTAGCCTTGGTTCCTGGGCCCTGATCCACTTGTCAAGACCTATTGGCAAAGCCATGTTGGGGTATATCGGTTGAATCACGGCGAAAGTTGTTTTAGATTGTGTCAGAGGCAAGTGTAGAGGTCACGGTACCTTGATCTGCTTTCTGCGCAATTCATATATAGAGAACTTCTTAGCTGACAGTCAATTGAGATATGAGAACAGTATTGAACCCCTTGGGCCCCAGGATGCTAATCATATGCGCCGCAATAGCGTGCTGCAGTGCGCTCGGCGACGGAGCCCGCGACCGGTGCCCCCGGAGTCCGTACTGAACGGGAGTCTTGGGCCCGGCGGTTTCGGTTGTTTACCTCCAGCACAAGGATTGTCGCAACAGATGTGTGATACGCCGGGAATTGGTTCGCTCCAGATGGCAGCTGGAAGGCCACTACCGAAAGACGCGAGTCCCAAGCGTGATGATGTACTAGAAGACATCCATATATACTAGCTAGCCGGTTTGCAGTTTCAAAGTAAGACTATCCATACCGTGAAGAAGCAATCATTTTCAGCCTGAGCCTGTGGCTACATAATTGAGCCGTGTTAGATATTCACGTATCTTGCAGTATGACCATGATATGACGGTTATATGAAAAGAATAATTTGGTGGTTATGGTTAGGTCACCGTTTTCTTCATGCTCGATTCCCTCTATCTGTTCTGTTGGCTGTGTGCATTGCCTTTAAGTAATCTGAAGGGTCCAGCCTTACTAGGCTACCTCTATCCCGCCTTTATCCTGAAGCACAAAGCGCTTTTATTCTAAGCATAAAGCGCCTTTCAACCTTAGGAATCACTGTGGTGCTCAATCCCACATTTAATATCAAACAACAGTCTAGACAAAGCTAGAACTAACAATATGGTGCTTCTATGCTCCAATACCATGTGACCCGTCGTTTTTGACAAGCCGCCCTCTACTTCCCATTTTGTCGTCTCAGCACACATAGTCTTCAGGGTGCTTCTGTTCACCGATTCCCTACCTAGGAGATTTGAACGACCTTCGGATCATACTATTGAAACATGGCGCCAAGCGAAGTAGGCCAGAGCGATCTGCTGAACGGACATGTCACCAATAGTCTTGCCGCCAGAAGCAGCACCAATGGAGTCTCAGACAAAGGCAGCGCGGTCAACGGCAATTCTGCCAGCAGCATCTCAATCAATGACTGCTCAATCGATCAGAGCAACGGCCTAATACCCGTAGAAGACTTATTTACTTTACGAATTTAATACTAACGTGATCCACAAGTCATTTTCGCACACAAGTCACTTTCGCACTTTTTCAAATATTTCAACCTTTTAACTTAGCTTGCACTTTTCTTCCCTCCCACAACATGCCTCGTAAATCCAAAGAAGCCGATCTTCAGCTAGCTATTCAAGCTAAAAAGCGCAACCCTGAAATTTTATGGCGTAAGCTTGGCCGTATCTACAACGTTTGCGACCGTACACTAAAGAATCGATTCGACGGCGACCAAACGCGACACGAAGCTAATATGTTAAAACGAAATCTAACTCAAACCGAAGAGGATACGATTGCCCGACGTATAATTGAGCTAGATGCGCGAGCATTTCCTCCTCGGCTTCGATACGTCGAAGAAATGGCGAATATCCTACGACGTGTACGCGACGCGCCCCCCGTCGGCAAGAACTGGACCACGAACTTCGTTAACCGCCGACAAGACCTCCGAACGCGTTTAAATCGTCGAATCGATTATCAGCGGGCATTCTGCGAAGATCCTGTCGCGTATCGCGGTTATTTTAAGCGTGTTGCGGACACAATAGCGAAGCACGGCATCCAGCCGGAGGATATCTACAACTTTGACGAGACGGGCTTCCTAATGGGCATAATCACAACCGGTATGGTTGTAACGAGTGTAGAAAGACACAGACGGCCTAGACATGCTACACAAGGAGGTCGGGAATGGGTTACGGTGATCCAGGCTATTAATTCGTAAGGTTGGGCGGTACCGCCGTACATCATCTTCGCGGGCAAGGTTCATCTTGCTTCGTGGTATCGCGATAACGACCTACCGGCCAACTGCAAGGTCAACCTTTCCCATAACGGTTGGACTACTAATAATATTAGTGTGGAATGGGCAAAACACTTTGTTCAACATATTATTAGCCGTCGGAAGGGTGCGAAAAGTCTCTTAATATTGGATAGTCACGAGAGCCACCACTCGATGGATTTTGAGACTTACCTCGCGGCACACGGCGTAATTACATTGTGTATGCCTTCCCATTCATCCCACAAGCTCCAGCATTTGGATTTGGTACCTTTCAGTGTGTTGAAACGGCTGTACGGTGCGTTCGTGGAGGGTTTAATGCGAAGGCATCCAACCCATATTGAGAAGCAGGATTTCTTAGCTGGGTTTTTAGAAGCTTTCATTGGTGATTTTCACGAAAAAAACATCAGATCAGGATTCGAAGCAGCTGGACTTGTTCCTTTTAACCCGGATAGGGTCATATCTACGTTGGATATCGCAAAAGTAGTACGAACACCGACACCCGACCCCCAATTGCCTCCCTCCGTCTGGGTTTCTAAGACACCTACCAACACCCTCGAAGCCGAATTGCAGTCAACTTTGATTAAAAGTAGCGTCCAGAGGCATCAAGACAGCTCGCCGACGCATATTTTCAACTCAATTAACTCGATTACGAAGGCTACGCATGCAATGATGCATGAGAATGCATTAACTATTACGTCGGGAGAACGAATAGCTTCGTGAGACGAACCATATACTAAGTAAGCGTCGTAGGAAGAAAAACAAGCAAATCCAATATGGAGGAGCACTTAGTATAGATGATGCACAAGTTTTACGGGCCTTGAAGGTGATATCAAGGTTATGGAGGAGGAAGAAGGGGAAAGCAGTCGTCCTGTAAAGCGCCGGCAGACCGGTATAAGGCGCTGTGGTATTTTCGGAGGGACTGGGCATAATGCAAGGACTTGTTCAATAGAAATAGAAACTGATAATGAAGAAGATTTTGAGTTGATGCGAGTGCATATGGGGTGTGAATTGTTGTATTGGGAAAGGATGACCAGGTCAGCTATTCTGGCCTGGCAGAGCTCTTTTATAGCTCTTATCTATCTTATCTATAGCTATAGGGTAACCCCCCATGGGGTCACGTATCATGAGTAATTTAAAGGAACTGCGTGGCATACTATAAGTGAGGAACCGGCAGGGCCAGCTAAGAGCCTGATGGGGATACAGAACGATTGCCTCCGGGTAGTCTGTGGCGCCCACAAAGCGACGCCGGTTCGCCACCTGGAAGCAGAAGCAGCAATCCCGCCACTAGACCTCTATCTTAGTGCCCGGGCTGCTAAGTTTGAAGAACGGCTACGACTTAGCGGGAAGAGAAATCTGCTTCGCAGCGCGAGCGCTAAAGCGTCACATATACTCCGGCAGGATAGGCCGGCGAAGAGGAAGCAGGCGTCGCAGCTACTCCGACCGGCAGGGTACACTATGGAGAAGGAGGCCCGGGGCTCCGAGTGGATGAGTGAGGAAAAGGAGGTCCCGGCTGCCCTCCTCGACCACTGGAGGAAGAGATGGCTCACCGGAGCAGAGCATCACAATCGCCAGCGACGCGCTATCGCTGAGGAACCGGAGGGCCCTTCGATGCAGATACCGAAAGGGGGCAAGTATTTCGGCCTGAACCGACTGGAGGCGTCTACGCTGTGCCAGATCAGGACGGAAAAAATAGGACTAGCAGCCTTCTTATTCAAGACAGGGGCTTTTGGCGTGTACTCGCCGCTATGCCGCTGTGGCGATGCCCCTGAGACGGCAGAACACGTAATCCTCTTTTGCGGGCTGTTGGAAGGACCGAGGGAACGATTACGGGCCGCCATCGCACCACGGCCACTATACTCTCGCAGAGACCTCGCAACGGCAACAGGAGAACCAGTAGTTAGTGGGACTATTGTAAGATGGCTGCTAGGGACGGGTCGGACAGCTTCAAGGCCCAGATAGCATCGATCTTCTCAGGGGGGACTTTGTTGGTAGGTTGAGAACCAACGTAGTATGGTAGTGAACGCAACGCAGTCGCCAATAGGGCGAACCGACGACGCAGCGTATGTATTTAGTCCAGCCATTAGGGCACGGTTTGACATACGGGAGTACTAGTAGAGGTACCGGGGGCTTCGAGCCTACGGCGTATTTAATAATAATAATAATAATAATTTAAAGGATAAAATGCGGGTTATAGGATATTACTGAATTACTTGAAGGTGCCAAGAAAAGTGCAAAAGTGACTTGTGTGCGAAAATGACTTGTGGATCACGTTATGCTATAACAACCTATATATTCGGCAAGACAGTCTCCTTATGGGAAATACTTCCATATGTGCGCCTCTGTAACAATACAATTACAGCTTTCCAGAACTCTAAGAAACAAAATAGTGCAAGTTCAACACAAAACAAACTAATACCGTTTCCAACATAAAGCAGTTCAACACAGGCTGCTACAATGATATAAGTCCGATTCCCTGGAGATTTTAGGATATTATACTCGAGCAGTCATTCAAGGTCAATACATCGTTGCCCATGACACTCATTTTCTCCATACTGCTCCCTTCAGTCAGTGTTGATCAATAAAACGATGCCATTGAGTCAACTTACGCGGGCACGAAGGCAGCATGCCAGGCCGACGCGCTAGCTCCAAAACCTTTCCATATGGTCTTTGTGGCAGTACTGTTACTGAGAAACCGATCGCTGTCCAGACTGGCAGGAGCGGAAGCATCCTGCGTCTCGGGGTAGAATTTGGTGCTATCCAGTTGGTTGACGGTGGTGTCGAGAGCGGTCCCCGCCAAGTTCTTGCCGGCGCTGTGGGCGCCGACGAGGGCGATTAGTTCATTGGCAGAAAAGCCCTTAGAAGCGAAGGCAGCAATTTGGGTTGCAGCAGTAGCATTTCCTGCAGGCAACTGGCCCGTGGGACTCGGTGTGCTCGAGTCCTTCCGTCCAATTTTGAACGCGATGGAGGGTCCGCCGCATGCTTTAGTCCCCAGGGCTGTGATAACTGGTCAGTTGCGTAATTCATGTCATAGGGTTAATGGGGAACAACTACCAGCTGCCGCTTGAATCATATCTGCAGTGCTGACATTGTACTGCTGGGCCTTGTCGCCAAGGGTGTCGCAGACTGGTATCATTTGTGCGTTCTCAGGCCGACTGGTGCATTCACCGGCCAAGATGAGCGAGCCATCGCAATTGGACCCAGGAAAGCAGTCGTGAAAGATTGTGCGGATGGCTTGACGTGCTGGATCCGAGCATCCCGAAAAGAGTTGATTCAGGTCGGCCGCAATATCGGTCCATACAGCGGGACAACCCGAATGTCGGCGATCTAGGGTTTCAGATGCTGCATTATTGCTCGGGACCGCAATGCCAGCCACCAGAGAAGAGTAGCATAGTGATGCCCACCATGTTTTAAAAATTGCGGACTGCATAATGATGACGACGATGAGCCAGTCTCGACGTGACAAGGAATAGTATCAAGCCTCTTCGGGAGAGATGAAACAACCAACGCGTAGATCAGGGACTGTCGAGTATGCCAAGCTAGGAACGAAGAAATGGACTGGAATATAAAGCACAGAAAAGGAGTGAGGCGGTAAGTCGGCGACGAAAACCAAAGGTACTACAGCAGGACCGGTTCTTATTCTATTCCCATGCGCCGCACTCCCTGCCACCGCTTTGCAAATACGGATCTGCTAATCCCATAGTTATGGTTAGTTGGGCATATCTTTCCTCAATACGAGTGCCGGAACTGCCTGGTCAGACGCAACTATTACGCCCGGGACAGTGGGGCGTAGCGGCGGAGTCATCATAAGGAACGACAAAATTTCCCAAGTCAAGTTCCATCAGAAGACCCTAGCACCGTTGCCTATGCTGATTTGGTGACCAAACCCTTTTCCCCCATTACCATTAAACAATTACTGAAAATAGGTCACAACTGTCCGTATTGCTCTAAAGCAATCTTCGGCAAAGGGAGCTTATGCCGGACATTTTAACATGCAAGGCGGAGGGATCGACACGAAACTATTAGATTTAGATAGCATCTGATTCGTCAGTTACCTATATTCGGGACCGTCTTTATCTTAGTCGTCCGAATCCTTCCACCGCACACCAATCATGGCTCGCAGCTATTGTCGAGCAAGACTAGACCCATGTAAAGCCACGGTCATCTTTTCTGGCTGACCGTTGAATGTGGCACCACTTGTTGACTGCAGGGAAGTACAGGGCAGGGCTGAACGGCGCCATAGACCCCAACGGACTCCCGACACCACCGGCAACGATTCGTGACAGCAGTTTAGTCTTCTTGTGGAACAAAAACCATGATCGGGCTGCGTTCTACGCTTTGGATCACGCTATGATCGCTGACTGCATTTGCTTTTTGGGGACGAGTTAAGACGAGGAGACTATATCCCAGTTAACTGTCGTAGTACTTAGCGATGATACAACTATAGTGTTCTGTATATAGCAGTCAGCCGGACCAAATGTTAGTGATTTAATTGACATTCAAGATCTTTTAGGCTTGGTCCTTTCGTGACATTAACTCTGGACTTGAATTTATTAATCTCAAGGGTGAATACTACGTATAGCACTACTTATAGCATTCAGTTAGGTATTACTGAAAGTAGGCATCTTCACTGTTTTTCTACTAATAGTTTACAGTTAACGTGAATGTACACCGAGCTGGCCATGACACCGAGCTGGCCACCCTTACATAACCTCGCATAGAAATTTTACGATAGTAAAACCACAACGCCGTAAATCAATTGAAACTACTCTGAATCTTCCTCTCCAGAAGATAGCAATGCGATCTTATAAGTTCGCGCATTATGCCCAGTCCCGTTGCAAATACCACAGCGCCTCGGGCGCGTTTCAACACGCTTTGCGCGACCACCATTTCGGCGCTCTTCTTGCTATATCTGCGTCGCCAACTCCCTATAGTCCCGTAGGTCCTGTCCTTCTTGGAAAATAAGTGATTCTCCTTCCCTTAATTGCATTTTTTAGTCCTCCGGCGCCGGCTTAGCATCTTATTTGCCTCTCGAAGCTCAGCGCACTCGGCCCGCACGAGGGCGAGCTCGTGCATTATCATTTTTGCTCCCTTCGCAAACTGGTCGACAGCTGAGAAAATATTCGTCAGAGAGCTATTCTGATGCTCTGAGATGCGCTTTTTCAAAAACGTAGACTGTGCATGAGCCTCTATCGGGTTCTATGGCGTCTTTGATACCCACGGCCGGGTTGCGATTTCTAGGGAGCCAACAGGCGTCGGGGTCCGTAATCGTACGTCCAGCTTTGAAACCACACTTTCTGGGTTGAATAGAACAAGTCCTGCCCTTCGAAAGCCAGCTTGAACGTTTTTTCGCCGAAAACTGCAAAGTAGGCGTCTTTAAAGATAGGAAAGAAGTCCTCCTTCGCGATATGTGTTAATGACCGGCGTATCAATTTCTCTACCATCTGGCCGTACACCCGCTTTAATGGACCGAAACAGGCCACGTCAAGTGGCTAGAGGATATGAGATGAGTGTGGAGGCATACACAAAGTTACAATTTTGTGTTCTTTGAAATATAACTCGAAATCGCCGGAAACGTGGCTCTCGTGACCGTCCAACACTAACAATCGATATATCTTGGACTTTCGATCTTTCGTACAGTTATCGAAGTATTTAATAAATTCCATACCGATCTCGTTAGTCATCCATCCTTTTGGACTAGGTCTAATTCTCTAATCTTTCGGAATGTTGTCGTCTTCGTACCAAGAAGAGAGGTGGTATCGGCCCGCAACAACGATGAACGGCGGCAGCGCCCAACCGGTAGACTGGACCGCTTGGATTACGGTAACCCATTCCCGGTTACCTTGCTGTATTGATTTCGTCCTGGCACGTCGTTCGGAGCTCGTAACTACTATATTGGTTGAGATCTTGCCAATCATAAACCCAGTCTCGTCGAAGTTGTAGATGTCCGACTCTTTGATACCGTATTTCGCGATAACATTCGCAAAAAGCCGAAACCAATCTGCAATAAGCTTTGGATCTTCGCATTGGGCCCTTTAGTAATCGTAAGGACGGTTCCAACGAGTTTTCAACTCTTTGCGACGTGCGACGAACCTCGAGGCCCAGCGCGTTCCAATGGGCCCTGCGTTACGTGTCGCGCGGATAGAATTTGCCATTGCTTCCACATCAGCAATCCGGGGCGGAAACGCTCGTGCATCTAAGTCCAGTATATGCTTGATAATAACCTCCTCTTCTAATTCTGTCATAGTTCGTGAATTGGGCAAAATATCGCGTCGGAAAGGTACGCCGTTTTTACGCGTTTGGAGGGTGCTTCGGGGGACTTAGTACGTTTTTGCCGCTTATCGGAGACTAAGTTTTTGGTCATTTTTGAGAGCTTGAAGGGCTAGCATTAAGTCTGCTTCATTGTATGACTTTGCCATAATTGGTTGTTGAGAAAATCAAAGATTAAGTTAGCCGGTTGCGTTAGCGCATGAAAGTGGCCAGCTCGGTGTCATGGCCAGCTCGGTGTACATTCATGTTATCATTTTCGTAGTAAGTATATAGAGTCCCTATAAACCGCCGCCGGATTTAAACTAACTATGATCGTCGCTTACCTAGACATTGTAACGGGGTAAGGCCGGACATCAGGGAAATAGGTTACGGGGCTAGGAGAAAGTTTATTTTCTCTTCTTTAAGAGGCACAGAGGCAGAGTAGGTCACGAGTCCCCCATCTTCACGCATCATCATCCTCATCTTCACATATCATCATCTCCTTCTTATCTATATCTTCACCTTCGCTTTTCAGTCAGTTATTTAGTTATTTTAGTTATTCAGCTTAACGTCACCCACAGGTCAATGCCCCACACGGGTCTTTGCCCAACCTTTCACGACCTCCCAACCTTTCATCTTAGATAGATTAACAACAACCCGTATTCATCTAAGAAATTAATCAGAATTCTTTTCATTATCTGTTTCTACATCTGCCTGTGTCAGAGAACAGAATGCCATAGGCACCAGTGGGTGTCAGGATACTGAACGCAGGACACCGGTGGGCCGCCGGAGGGGTGTTTCGGACAAAAGACTCCCGAGTCATGATTACAATCTATGTGAAGCTTTGGGATGACGAGAGTCAAGATCCTTGGCATCGCCGACCCTGCTGTTATGCCGGGTCCAAGCGGCGGCCTAGCTATCTATATAAGGACCATCTCGAAGTAGGATAGGGAAGGAGTTGTCAGAGCCACAAGTGTCATCCGAGGCGGGCCGGCTTCCACCAGGTAGGAAGCCGTTTGTGGCGGCTAGAGAGCCGCTTGTGGCGAATGAGAGCCGTTGAAGCCGTTTGCAACGGATAGGGAATCGCTTGGTTGCAGATAAGGAGCCGCTGTCCAAGATATTGGCCGAAGTCGGAGGAACACAGACATACGGAAGCAAACATCCAGAATCCAAGAGAGAACCTCGGCTGGCTATAAGTAAGGAGTCGAGACGGAGGAAGATAGAGAGGGCAGAGATCAATGCATCACCGTGGGCACCCCTACCTGAGACCGCCAGTGACCACCCGGTGCTACGTAGGAGGGACGCCCGTTACTCCCCATCACTCTGTACTATTGCCTTCGGCCTAGCCGTACCCTGACAGCCTGACAAGTTCGCGCATTATGTCCAGTTCCTCCGCAAATGCCACAGCGCCTAGCACCCGTTGCCTCCTCCTTGTAGGACGACTACTTTCACCCTCTTCCTCACTTTCCAAACCCGTATCACCCCTAATAGCCCGTATAACTTGTGCATCTTCTATATTAAGTGGCCCACCATACTGGATTTGCTTGGTTTTGGTTCAGCGACGTTTGCTTAGCACATGGTTAGTCTCACGAAGCTCTTCGTTCTCGCGACGCAAGATAACATTCTCTTGCATCATTGCATGCGTAGCCTTTGAAATCGAGTCAATTGAATGAAGAATATGCGTCGGAGAGCTGTCTTGATGCC